TAAGTGATACCTTCAGAGATGTGCCAAGCTATATGACAATGGAACGGCCATACTCCCCAGTTATCTAGCTCGATCTGGATGACAAGATAGCCATTGGGCTGGACGAGCTGAGTATCACGGCGTTGAGGATTCTCAGGATTGGTGATGGAGACACCATCCCAAGTTCCGATGCCCTCACTAAGGATTTGCATGTTGAAACCGTGTATATGCATAGGGTGAGAAGCTGGGAAGCCGACACTCTGCATGATAATGCGGACGGTCTTGTTAGTGCCCAGGTCAAAGACTCGGGATGTCTCGGGGAAGTCGAGGTTACCGAGTTTGGCCTCGAAGAGAGTGGGATCGTTATAGTTGGCGACGTAGGTCTCGTTGTTCATATACCATTTAAAGGCACCTGAGGAGTTGTAGGCGGCTGACATTGTGAAGTTGAGAACGACATCGGGCTCTGCAACCGGGATGGCATACTTGGGGACTGTAAGGTTCAAGGGCTGGTTGTTGCAGTTGATCGGGAAGTATAGTCGAGACACATCAATCTTGTCTGAAGTGGTAGGAGACTTGCTGGTATCGGCATTCTCGTAGTAGATGGCAGCGAGAGCCTCCACGCCATTACCGTCATTCAGACTACAGCCTGTCTGCCCTCGAGGAGGGCCAAGTCCAGAAGGTCCCTCGGTCATGCGCATCCATACAGCATCGGTGCTGTTACCAGTGGCTTCAACGATAATGTCGGTACGCTGACCAACAGCAAGAGTGACTAGGTCGGTGTAGTAAGGTTCAATAGGTACAAAGTCATTGGCTACAACCTTGAGCTGGTAACCATCGATTGAGAAGAAGATAACTGCCTCAGCAGCATGGTTGATCAGACGTAGAAGATGCTTCTTTCCGCTCTGGAAGCGGAATTGAGAGATACCTGCATTAGGTGTGCAAGTCAGATTAGTGTTCTTGCAGTCGTAGTTGTTCTTTCCATTGATGAGCATGTTATTAGAGTTTGGTGGGAAGATTGGTCCAACTTCCGAAGCGAAGAATACTTGCTCTACTAGAGTGTAGTAGTCTGCATGGAACCAGTCAGTCAACATGACCGGACCTAGATCCACATCGTATTCATCCGCTACTGGTCCGTGAACGATGATGGGGCCAGTCAAGCCGTTAAGATACTGAGCTGACCAGTGAGAGTGCCACCAACTGGTACCGTAGAGTTCAGCGCGGAATCGATAGGTGAATGTTTTTCCAGGTGCAATTGGGCATTGAGAGAGGCCGGGTGTGCCGTCGTACCACGGGGTACCCTTCTGGAGGAATCCGTGCCAGTGCATGGCAGTACCTTCGTTGAGATTGTTTGTGATTCTGACCTCGATCCAGTCGCCCTTATGTTGTTAGTTACTGGCGAATTATAATAAGGACATAGATGACTTACCCAGTTGGCCTCAATCAGAGGACCAGGGAACTGCCCATTAACTACTAGAAGCCCGAGTTCAACACCGTCAGGGGCCATAGTCCTGTTGGAAATCTCCCATTCGTAGTAGCGAGTCATACCAGTGTTTGGAACATTCTTCTCGTTGTAGGGATTAGTATCATTGGACTGTCGCAGACCCCATGGACATCCTTGAGGTAGCGGTCCATCTGTCCATGGTGCAAACCCGGGTTGATTGATCGTTCCCCATGTGCTGAGACCTGCGAGACGTGATCAGCCTTGAATGTATACAATTGAAGTCGCAAACACAAACCATTGGTTTTGTTTTGCGGTAGCGAAGCGCCAGGTGACCAAGGGTGAGAAGTAGCTTGCGGCCATGGAGAGCCGTGTGCTTGAGATTCATTCCAGTCCTTAGATGGCGCCCATGCTGAAGCAATAGCGGAACCCCAAAGCAGTGCGGCCGAAAGTCTGGCAATGGCCATCATGTCGAAAGTAAACAGTATAGAGGGTCAAACGAGTTGATTTATAAATAAGTAGTGCAACGTGTGCCGGGCTGGTGCTGACTACTGAAACGATGGACAAGTAGGAGAATGAGGAACTGGAAGGTTGCACTTGAACCACAGGTGAAAGTGAAGCAGGGAACCTGCTTCAACTATATAACCAAGTCCAGGGAAGAGGCAACCACCTACCGGCACCTGAGGGCACCTTACCGCCAGCAACGAGCTTTCGCCAACGATCCGCTCCTTCATGGCAGCCCCCACAGCAACAAGGCAATAACAAGAAGCTAAGGTTGGCAAATGACTTTCGAGCCGATCCTGCCAGGGCGGGTCTACAGAATGTGGCGGGTCCGTTTGCATAAGGCAAATGGGCGAGTGAGGGTAAATGTTGGGTGAAGTGGTGTTGGCGTAAATCGATACCGTATCCATGGCACACCTCCACTTGTCATGCATGCGCGAGTCTCTTAGCTGTTCATGCATGTTAAGATTTTAGCTTCGCGGCCTTGAGAGGTCGCCACAGTGTAACGAATGTGATAATGCGGCTTTGTCGGCACATCATACTGGTAGGTACCCCAAATAGATGTACAACTGGTCAAAGATCAATTATGAGGCTCGCTATTCTGCCGAGCATGGAAGGTGTTTGTGCGCTGTTGAGGCATAAGATCAAGGCTTCATCAGGTGCTGGCAGCGACTCCTTTGCTCATCAGTTGACCAGTCCTGTTTTACATTCTTGCATATCTGCAAGTTGCACAGCAATAAATCTCCGAAGTGACCAGGATGGGGTTCGTAGTGCAAGGATGGCCCTTGAGCCGAAGGTTGGACTGGGACGGGACGTTGCTCTGGTATAAGCGTCATAATGCCGGGTACTTCGAAAGCTTGGCATGATTGTTTACCTTCCAAGCCACAACAGCTCCAACCTGTCGAGCTTTTTCTTGAGGCTTTGGCGGAGCTTATTCTTGCTCTTTGCGCCTTCGTCCAAGCACAGTAGGACATCAGCTCGCGCTGACCTCACATCGTCCAGGAGTCTGCGGTCCTTCTCAGCAAGACTGACCGACCATTGACCTGTTGTTCACAAGGCAGTCCATGACGATGTTCTGCTTACACGTCCAAAGTTTACGCGACCCGTGCAGTAACATGCATGCAGCATGCGCTCAGCGGGGCAAGATTGAAGAACATCCCTTGCATGTTGCTATTGCTTACGCGATCCTTGTTCGAGGCAAGATTGCAAGATGCTTTTGCCCTGTTATCACTGCTCAAGCCCATGGTTCGAAGATGACTATCATACAGGCAATGGTTTCAGGCTTGGGTCTCGTGAGTATCACTTCTCGCCAAGTGCTGCGCATTGTTACGGACTCAGGGTAGCGATGTCCTGGGCTGTTCACGCTTGATCACCAGAGCCTTGATGAGCGTGGAGTAGACCAAAACATGGCCTCAACGCGCTTCGTTCTCGATGCCTGCATATTCCTCTCAAGAGATGAATGATGATCACTGCTAGATGATCAAAGGACCTGCATCGGAGAATTTTTTTACTGTCAGATCGCTCGTACAGCATTCTGTCTCCCGACTGCTAGTGTTGCGTGTCAGTCAAGCACGTTCGGCAACCTGCCGGATTGACGCCCCTCCTCGTGCTACAACAAGTATAAAAGCTCGTCGGTATCTGTCAGATATATGTATGCCTACCGTCTCTGCAGATTTTGTTGTCGTTACTGTCAAGATCTCGACTCGAAGACGTTATGTTGACTTTTGCGACCTCTGAGTGCGCAGACGCCGCGATTCTTTACTCACCAAGCGGATGTTACACACCAACACTCCTATGCTCACAGCCGTTCTCGACCGCACAAGCCACTGCTCACTGCTTTTGTTTGATCGAGATAGAAACATGAATCGCGAGGAGCAAAAGCACTCGTGACGAAATCGCAATCAAAATTTCTGGAGGGTTGTGAGGGGAGCCGAAGCGGACTTTTATATATCACGCTCCCTCGGCCCAAGAGCCTACCACCCGCACCCAAGATCGCAAAGGCCCACACTTACAAAAGCAATTTATATCTTTCCAGTCTTCATCTCTTGGACTTTCTTGCAATGGCATCAAGGGATCTTGGATGGTGTTGTCGGCACGTCATCCGGAGTTGCCGTGGGGAATGTCTTACTTTGAGATGTTGACAGGAGGCTTAGCCACGTACGCATTCCGAGGGAAGTTGACCTTTGCTTCTTCTACCTCCCCGTGTGCGGAATCCTCTTTGCCTTTCCTCCTTAACGACCAGCGGGGCAACGACGAGCTGTATAAAGACACAGTCATATCTCATGTCGGTAAACCTAGTCGATGATGTCGTTGCAACTCAAGAAAGTATTGTGCTTTGAGGCAGCTCTAAGCGTGACAGTATTTTGCACACGGGGAGGCATCGTGATTCGGTAACTCGGCACTTGAGTCATCTTTGACGCTTTGAGTTCGTACAATTTAGGACCAATACGGTTGCCTCGTGCAGGCATCGATCTGCTGTCCCGTCTAGTTTGTGCCAGTGGTGAAAGTTCTGAATCTAGACCTAGATTTGGCTTCATGCATCTTGATTGTGTAGCGTTCTCAAGTCGCCTACACCTCTGTCGTATCCCGAGCAATGCTGTTCTCGCCTGTGGCTCGTAAGTTCCCGTTGAAGATCCAAAACAGAAGTGGCAAGAGGTCATTCATGGTGTCAACTTACACCAACTTTGAGGTTCAAGACGTATGTTGTGTGCTAAGAGCGTGGCGGCGCCGCTTGAAGTTACCGTTGTCGTCCATGCGTTGCTCGAGTGATAGTCTATACCTGAACGACGTCAGAGGCCCTTCAGCTGAGTGAGAGTCACCTCACGGTTCGTCGAAGAATGCTTCATCGCTCGATCAAATGGATACATGTTCAATGTGGCTTCGTCCTCGCCGCGGATGACTGGTCCACCTTCTAGACTTGGTGTCTCTAACAGTCCCTCACAGATCTGGATAACCCAATGCCGGACCACGGAACTTTGTCAAAGCTCCATACGTGCTGTACCCTCTCAAGATCTCGGGGCGTGAACGCTTCCCAGTAACACAGCCATAACAGCAGATGTGGCAAGTATCGTTCATGATTTCACAATCTAGTCAAAACAAAAGGAAAAAAAAATCCATCCACAATTCAGCACACCTCAAAAGTCTCCTCCCTAACAATTCCCTTCAAGCTCTCCTGACTCTGTCCAGCACAATGGCCCCTCTTCCTCTTTTCTTCCTGCCGAATCCTTCTCAACGATTCTCTCCTCTGCACTTCCTTGACATCTGCAAAGATCCTCGCTTTATGGGTGTAGACTTCTCGGTCTCCGCGGATTTTGTCGCCGAAGAAAGACATGGGTGTTGAAATTCTTCTTCGGGTTTTGCGAGTGCGGGCTTCCGAGCAAGAGGAAGAAGTAGTGGAAGCGCTGGGTATAGTGATGATGAAGGCGGGTGTGCAGGAGGAGAGGAAAGAATACGTGGCTAGGATTTGTTGTATAATGGCCACGGGGACAAAGTTGATGTTTGAGATCCTGTGGGAGAGGAAGTGGAGGTAGGTGATTAGATATGCGATACTGAGTGCGATGTTTCTGGTTTCGACGAATCAGTACTCTGCAAATCGGTCAGAAGGCTTGAAGAAGCAATAAAGGACTTACGGTATTCTCAAGATAAAAGCTAGGAGCATATTCCTCTTCTGAGTAGCTTCTACTTGCATATGTTTCGAAGTACAAGCAGCTAAGCCCAACCCTCCTATTTCTGTTGCAATACTCAATGCCATAGCTACAGAAACTCTGGTATCAGTGTGTTGATGTAGGTTCCCTGGGCTCGATGACAGCATATAACCAGGTGAGCAAGCAATACTCGTCGTCAAGACCGCGACAATGCCCCAGATGACCACGAGTACCACTCCAGTATTCAAAGTATAATTACGCCAGCTTCCAGGAGGTAAAAATCGTCGAAGAAGCAGGAGAGCCGATATCTTAGACGTCCCTAGGACAAGGAAGAGCATTATTCTACTAGCAAAGACCAGCTATACGTCCTGTTAGTCGCGTATGTCCCATATCAGACACTCATTCATTCTTTCACCTTTGCAGCTTTCGTAATCTCAGTCTCGGAATCTGGTGCCAAAGTAACTCCAAATCCTGACTCAAGCCCTACCATCAAGAGGGCTGAATGTGTAACGATGAAAACCTGATATGGTCAGCTGATGACATGATTACAACTCAGTGTATGATGACTTACGAAAGAAAAAAGAACGGCGAGATCATCAAGACTATAGCGACGATATCTCGCTATAATACGCCAGAGTAAGAAGCAAGGACACATAATTGTGCAGATGATGAGGGTTATCCAAAACCAGGCTCGGTGATTTGTGCTCGTCACCGAAGGGAGCTGTGATGTAGATCCTGTCATTACGATCAATCGAGGAGTGTGACAATGTAGTTCTGAAGCGTCTCTCCAGTAGTGCTTATTAACATGTAGTGGTCCAGAGATCGACTGTAGTGGAAGATGAATAAACGAAAGTAGAGAAGAGGAATTTGAAGATTGATTGTGACGAGAGCAGATGAGAGAAGAGATCAGTAAAAAGAGGGTAGAAGAAGCGCAGCAAAAGATTCGAAGCGACTGTATTGAAAAGGCAGATAGAGTTCCCGCCAGGAGATCTCTAGAGCAGTCCTATCTGCACTGAGGCTGGGATGCCTCACCTTACTTAAAGAAGGCAGCGAGGCTAGCAAAGGAAGGCTAAAGAGGCACGAACCGCACAGATCTACATGCCATAAAGCAGGATAGTAGTAAGCTTTGACAAGTTCACTTGAGCCTCAGACAAAAACACGCCATGGAGCGGGTAATCTACCTGAATCATTGCTTGCCGAGTGTTTCCTTCAAAGAGCGAGGTTTGATGAAACTGTCAGGGCGTTCCAAGGCTGGAAGATTTCAGCCTTGGACCCTTTGTTGGTTCGTCTTGTCAAGGTTAGAAGATTATTGCTCGGAGACTGGCGGGCTATTCCTTGGAAGTTGGAGAATGGGTGTTGGCTGAGAGCGAGCGGTTGGCTCGATCGAGATTATGCGCCTGTATGACAGCCTAGTATAGTGGTCAGCTCTCTATATGAGTTTCATGGCTCAGGATGCCATGGCAATTCGAAAGATCGGGTCTGTCGTTCAGCCCATGGGTCAGTATGGACGAGTTGACAAAGTGGATAGCACTCCAGACCCAGTCCTATCCATCTTCTTATCCGTATAATCCCAAATAAGACACATACCCACTTCTACACCAATCCTTTGAGGCTCAGAAACCATTTCGGTAGATCGATGTTTGGATAAAGTAATTTCCCATTGTCCTGGTTCAGAAAGACGTGTGGTTGCGCAAAGGCCGTTTGTCTCTCCACTTGCTGAAACAGCCGCGCGCCTTCCACCCCGGATTTTGATGTCTCGAGTCGATTCTCGTTAAAATGAACCGTCAACCAAACCATCTCTCGAAAGTATGATTGTACAGTCTAGATGGTGGCAAGCTTATACAGCACGAGATCACGATGAGATGGTACATATCGTCGATGGGTTTTTCGCATTGCGCTGCTAGTATGGGCGAAAAGGCCGGTCCCTGCCATCACAGACTCCCCCAAAAATGCATGTCAAGAATCTCTCGAAAAAAAAACGCCCAAAGTCCTGCAGTGAACATGAACAACAAGGACTGAGACTTGTCACGCCTGGCGGACACTCCTTTCCTTTTTTTCCCAAACGCCCAGTAAACTCCGCGCCAAATCAGCAGTTGTCCTCCTTCGACTTGAAAACAAGAAAAAGTCCGAAACATTGTTGGGCCAAGTCATAATATCGTGACTGTCCCGAGAAAAGGTGGTATTGTAAAGAAGCGAGTAGTAAAACAATGGAGCGCGGCTCATTCGATCAGAGGTTTCCTGTGACCCCCGACTATAGTCATGCCTAGACTCTTGAGGCCGTTGGCATCGGAGGCTCTGATTATGGTGGAAGCGGGTAGCATTGGGTTATCGGGAGAGATGTGGTAGGCGTCTTTCGCGGCTTGCTCGATGGCTTCCATTTCTTCTTTGCAGCCTGCATGGTCCCATGGGCAGACTACAATGGGCTGGCGGATCATAATGTCCTTTGCGCCGGACATGACAGCCTGGAAGGAGTTAGCAAACGACTTGTAGATATGTTCACAATACAACATACCTTCACTACTAGATAGTACTCGATCTTGTACAGAGTACCGGTAGTTGTGAAGCCGCTCACGGCGTATAGAGGAAATTCACGTTTTTGTCGAGGCATAATGCCTTCTTGGTTTCGCAAGTCTCTTGCTGGGAAGACCAGGCCTAGATTTGTAAAGTAGCCAGCTTCGGGCATCTTAATCCCGACGCGGTGTGTGGAAGAGGCCAGGGTTTTTGCTTTCCGTTGCGGTTCGTCGCCTTGATGGTTGTATATGACCTCCTCCTCGATGCTCATGGTAATAGCTTTGACCGTGGCCTTCATAGCTTTTCTGAGCATGTCCGGATTGGGAGTGAGTTTGATGTAGACGCTGACGGGATCAAGCGGACCGTAGGACCAGCGGGGTAATGATATGGCGAGTGTGACGAGGTGATCCACAACACGCTCAGCGCTTTCTGGGCGGTTGTACATGCCGAAGGTGGAGAGGGTGTCGTATCTCGCGATCGGTACAGGGAAGGGGTATTTCTTCTGGTCGCTTGCGCCGTGGTGCACCGTGACAACAATCTCATAGTATGTTTCTGCGGCACGGCGATCCAGTTGTAAGCTCGCTGGCGGCACACGTCGCGCCATCTCTTCACCACCTCGTCCGTACGGGATAAAGATGACGAATGGGAGATCCATGGAGAGAATGGCTTCGCTTTCTCGACCTAGAGGGGCGCGATATAGTAACATCTCTTTTCCGACTATGTCTGTGATTTCGCGCCGATTTGACGTCACCAGGTGGCCCTTGATGGTGTCGGCCGAGGGGTGGATGCTCTCGCGCCGCTGTAGACAAACAGTCACCAGCGATACATGGACAGGAGCCGAGACGCCCAAGAGTGGACGAATCTCGACCTTGCCCTCTATACGTGGTGAAGTGGCCGAGATTCCAGGGTAACCGACGAGGAAGTTGCTGTTCGGCGGACCAGAGACGCGCACAAAGGCGGAGGTCATGATGGGCGCAGCGTCGTCGTCAATGTAGGCGTCGTCGCCCGCATGTCATGGGCTGGGTCGGTGAAGGCAAGAGTGTTATCGAGGGCGAGCGAGGTGAGCTTGGATTGGAGTGATCGGCCAGGTCTCAGATGTGCAGCCTGTCAGCGCCAATTGTGTGTCTAGACGTCAGTCAACACACACGATGTCCGGCTCAGGGCGGGGGACTGCGGCGGACAAGGGGAATTCCAAGCAGTCAAAAGTCACGAACAGCAATGAAAAGGGCGGTTAAGAATATCGGATCTGATAATTCGGACAATGATCATGTCGCTGAAACTCGCAAAAGTGCACCGGACCTTCCTTGGTTTGATGACTTGGTTGGCTATTGGGCAATCACAGAGCGGTGATGAGCAACGAAGCAACAGCACGAGCCAGCCAATCTGAACCTTCCCGCAATCATCGTCATCGCATACCAGTCGCGCCTTCCTTGCGCACTCGACAAACAACTTTCAGACTAGCGACAATGGCAGTCACACTCCACACCACCCAGGGCGACCTGAAACTCGAACTCTTCTGCAGCGCCTGTCCTAAGACGACTTACAACTTCCTCGCCCTTTGCGCGTCCGACGCCTACAATGACTCGCCTTTCCACCGTCTCATTCCCTCTTTCATGATCCAAGCCGGCTCTCCTGCCGCCACCACAACAAAGGACAGTCCCAGTGTCTATGGTCAACCCTTTGAAGATGAGATCAAGTCGCAACTCAAACACAACCAGCGCGGCATCCTGAGCATGGCCAACAAAGGCCCAAACACAAACGGCAGCCAATTCTTCGTGACTTTCGACAAGGCCCCGCATCTTGATGGAAAGAATACTGTCTTTGGTCGCGTCATCGAAGGATGGGAAACTCTCGATAAAATGGAGTCAATCCAGGTCGACAAGAAAAACAGACCAAAGGATCCTATTCGCATCCAATCCGTCCACGTTCATGCCAACCCTCTGGCCGATGAGCAGAGATGAGACAAAGAAGACCTTCTATCTTTGTCAAAACACCGTCCGCCAATATGTATTATTACAGCATTGCGCGACGCCAACCGCTGGCTGAAGCTTTCACTGCATGCGCCAGGACTGGCCATGCACCATCTTCACTGCAGCCTGCCGTATGCTCGACAGCATGCTCATGACCTACAATTGGTCTTCTGACATGAATATCGACGAGTCCCACAAGACATATAAGACATATGTTCCAGGCTTTGGCATAAGGCTTCGTCTGAGGCCTTGATGTTTGATGCGCAACACGCGTCGACACATACATAGGATATGCCTGCTACGAGATCTGCATCTCAATTACACACAAGCACACACACTGTGGTAACTCGCTCCAGTCGTCTTTTTGGCGCACTCAAAAAATGTACCTCTTTCCCTCGCCTTCCCTTTTGCTCTCACCATTCCTTCTCTCCCATCTTCTTCGTTGCGAGGTCTTTGGACGCATTCTATTGCTCAGCGGATTTCTCATTGGGCATTCGACCACCTCGCCCTGATACATCTCATTACCATATCTACGATACAGTTCACCTGTCGCCAGAAAGCTCGTTGTGTCTAATGCGCGACCTGTGGTCAGTGCACCGTCTCTTCTGGTCAGCGTTTCATATTGCTACTTGCCGACAGCCACCGCATCAAAAACGGTGAGATGGCCGAGCGGTCTAAGGCGCCAGCTTAAGGTTAATCCAATACGCTGGTCCGAAAGGGCGTGGGTTCAAATCCCACTCTCATCAATATCCTTTTGCCAGCGACCATGTCGTTTTGCTAGTATACAATCTGCGAACAGAGCATGGTTGTGAAGCTCTGAATCTGGTTTTCTATTTTTTCGAAAATTCTTGGAGCCTGTGATGTGCGAAGCCCTGATGTTGCATAAGGGGCTGGCTTGGCGGAATATTGTACATTCATGCATAAATTGTGTGATTAATAAGACTAGTGCTCTGTCTTTCTCTACATACGATAGATTAGCCTTCTAAGCTCTTGTGACATTTCCAAATCCTAATACTGCTATAATATTTGCTTTTATAATAATATGATAATAGCTCAACACAAATGGGCTTAGGTTTGCGTGTCTATAGCTTGGCTTTCTATGTGAAGCTGCTACAAACCCGAAAACTTTCTATCCTAACTTATCACCACTATTTACGCTGATCAATTACTGCTTGATGTATAGTACAGGATACAAAGACTTTTACTACACGGGTCAGAGTAAGAGTATAGAGTTTCTAGCTGTGATGACATCGTCGTCGATACCTTGTATAGCTTGTACGCAGTATCACCCTGGCTATATGGTACGTGCATCCCACGTCATCGTGTACAAAAAAACCCCCTACCTGAAATTATCGAACATTGTCATCAAAACATTTGATAATCAAACATACCATCCATCCATTAGTGATGCAAAAAACCTTGGGAGAGTCAAGTATACTTAATTAAAAAAATTAAAAGCAAAGAACCAAGTTTCTAAAAAAGAGTAAAAAAAAACAGCAGAAGAAAAGAATCCCTTTTTTTTTGTAAACCAAAACGAATTAAAAAAAAATGGGTTCTTTACCACCTCATATCAAAAATAGCCCAACATGTATAAAAAAAAGCTGCATCACTGACATGAAACCAATCCCTCGACTTGACAAAAGAATACAGGGATCATCACCACTCGTTGCAGTTTGCACAATCAGAGAAGATTGTAACGATTTGGTCGTTGTCTGAGAACCTTGACTCGCCGTTGTTGTCTCAGATTGAGGGTTTTGCACAGAGTCTGTTGATGATAGATTGATACCTGGGATTGTGATTGACGATGAGATGGCATCTGGAGTTGTTGCTGTTGTGGTAGTGGTATCTTTGAAAGTTGGATTTGGTGGTGTGGTTCTTGAGCTTGTGGCTGTGGGGTGAGAGGACAAATTGTCGGGATCATGTTCTGATGTAGAGGGAGCAGAGGTGTTTTCTAGAGACTCTGCTGTGGGTAGGCTGGATTCAGTAGATGGTGTTCCTGGCCCGGCGACTTCAGTGCGGTCCGAATCTCGCGAGGTTGCCACATTGGAGGGCTTAAAGGTCGTTCTTGACCCAGTTGTTGCATCAGACGTTGGCACCATCATTGTAGGAACAGTCTGAGCCGGTAAAGCCTGCGAATCGACAGACTTGGAAGTTTTCGCAGCGGTCTGCCAGGCTAGAGTGGGCGAGACGATGGTCGTAGCCTGTACTAAAGCATAAGGTGGATCCCTGTTCGAACACTACAGTCAGCCTGGAGCGCAGAGGACCCGAACAAACTCCACTCACCAGACGCCATCTACTTGGATATAACAATCTGTGCTGTAGACCTCATTTGCCCATTCCGTCATCGACGAGGGAGGAAGGATATAAGGTCGATAGTCCGGTCCAATGGTGAGTGCAGTATCATACGCCGTAGGATCTGCGAAAAAATCAGTATATACATCCCCAGCCAAGCAAAACAGTATCTCGTACAATACTCATGCCAGACAAAAGCCGATTCACCCGAAAAGTATGCCTCAGCAGGTACTTCCTGATAACAGCCATCTCCAGGATAATCTTGTATCCATGTAGTTGTATTATCCCGCGATCGGCATTTGTAATTCAAATCCTGGAACCGGAAAGGATAGTAGCTGAACAAAGCCCTTGCGCCACGGATGGAAACAAGATCTGTAGCATGCAGAGCTACAACCGTGCTCGCGACAGTGACTCCGCAGCCATCTGCACGCGAGACACCCATCAAAGAGACACCTACACTCGGCGATGTTATAGTAACGCCATCAGCAACGAATGTGTTGGGTCCATCCCCAGTCCTTGGAAGTCCTTGTGTTTGCGCAGTGCTGTTGCAGAGATCTCCATTTCCATCTAGTGTTCGTACAGGCCAGTAGAGTAGTCGTGCTGTACTCGCGACGATGTTACAGTAGGAGCATGCATATCCTTTAGGCCCTGTAGGGAAAGACTTTGACGACGTTGATGTGCTCGAAAAACTGCAGATCGGCGTGCCTTGAGATTGGACGAGGGTGTTGTTCAAGTCATACAAAGCCTGACAATCAGGCTGCTGTATCGTACATGGAGCTGTTGAGACACTGTATGGAGGTACATTGTAAGAGTACTCGGTAACGTTGTATCTTGTCGTCGAAGACACGCCAGGTGTGCCTAGAACTGTCGTCTTATGCGTCGATTGCGCGGACCCGACAACGCGAGGATAGCCATCACATAGCGTGGTCACAGATGTCGCATAATAAATCGGCACCACTTCAGTAGACCATCCAGGTTGTGTTTGTGTTTCCTCAGAGACAGAGGTAGAGTTGTGATAGATAGACCAGCTCGAACTCGAGCTGAGCCAGTCCGATATCGAGGACGCGCAAGCAAGAGCAGAAGACAGATTTACACGCGAAGACGCGTTCCAAGTCGTCGCACTCGTGTTCGTCGCTTTTCCAGATGCAAGCCCAATGTGCGCAAAGGCAGGGCCGAGCAGAGTCCAAACCACCAACGATGATGTCATGTCATCGAATATCCAAGTACCTCAGTCGACTTGGCGTGCATACACATAAAATGACTTTGAGTAAAAGTGACAGGTCTTGAGATATATGCTTGACGATGCTTAACATGCATCTCGGAGAAATCGGCAGGGAGAAGCATGTAGATCTGTCCAACGGTAACGATTGCGTCGAGCTTCGAAGTATTGCCGATGGATACGAGCTTGCAGGATCTGGTGAGTACGATAACCCCCTAGAGCTACGCTGGAGCCGCAACCCAATTTCTTCATCCTCATTCCCATGAGAGAGAACAGTGTCAATCACGCACAACACCTTCATGACCACGCCAAAGGATCAATGGAGGTACTGACGTGCACAAGTGGATTAACACCTTGACCCGGAAATCAGGAACTCCATTGATCACGGTCATCAGCTGGCTGGAAGCATGAAAAGACACGATCCTTCTTGGGCAATCATAGCATAGTCCTGACCTGATTGTGTTGTAAAATGATTTAATTGTTGACCCAGGTAGCTAGCTGCCTCCAAAACGCCTGTGCTAATTTACAAAGCCCGCCCGATATAGTCTGCCAGCAGATATGTCTTCGCGAGCCAAATCTGCATCTCCCATCCTTCTAGCTCACATCAATCTATCGCCTCTGGAGAGTATTCCTCCTTCAAGCATGACCATTCTCTCCGTTAGCGGCGGAACCATTAGCCATGGCAGAGGGAATGATCTGCGGGACCTCAATGACCGGGCCGTCACCATTCACAGCTTTGCTCGCTGACTGAGCTGCCTGCAGCTCCTTTCTGATAGCCAGGACTGAGTCAACAATGACAGCATCAATCCCCTCTTTGGACTGTCTTGCCACCATGGTGGGATTGTTGTTGAGCGTGCCGTAAGAAACACAAACCAGACCACTCTCCTTAACCACACGAATCAGGCGAGGGCAAGTAACGAGTGGCTCGGCAGCAGAGACGACGCCTAGAAGGTTCCAGCGTGAAGCGAAACGGATGGCCTCTTGGAGAGACGAAGCGCGGATATCGCCGACGGGTGACGTGCCAGCATCAGAGAGGAAGAGAATAGGAATTGAAGGTTGCTTGAACGACAACAAGAGACAAATGTCTGGGTTGAAGGAAGAGAAGAGCATGCTGCGACCAGTGCCGAGGTCGTATACCTTGGTGAGCACGGTGTCGACGAACGAGTTGAGTTCGACTGCGTAGGTGTCCATGTCATGTTCCTCGGATTCGAAGAGCATGGGGTATTCTGACATCTTTTGTTAGCAGTAGTCGAGAAGAAACGGCACATCAGCAGAACTTACTCATCTCAATATTGAAGCCGATGGATGATGGCAGTGTCTTGAACATCTCTTCCAATGTGGTGAAGGGTGCCTGGATGAAGTTTCCCCGACTGTTACCCTTGAAGCCCTTCTCCTTGAAGTCACGGGTATGCTTCATCCGCTCGGACATATCAGGAGCGCGTTCGTCTTGGGAGCCTCCGAGCGAGTATGAACGTTGCTTGCGCGACTGTTCAGTCACACCATCCAGATGACTTCTTCTTGGCGAAGGAGGACGAGAAGTCCTGGGAGTCTGACCTTCACTCGCGTGCATGAATTGCTCCAGGGTCAAAGTGTGTACTGGGGCATCGATACCAGTCTCACTGACCAAAAAGTCATGATAGATGACCGGAACATGATCTTTCGTGAGCTGAACATCGAACTCGACATAAGATGCACCCAAGTTGGCTGCTGCGATGAACGACTGAAGAGTGTTCTCTCCCAACTGCAGAGACTTCATTGACGCCATGTTCTTGCCCAAGCCACGGTGACCAATGACTTGTGTTTGTGTGCTCTTCCAGTATGTTTGGTCTTCGGCAATGTGCATGTTCGGGTGTTGGAATGGCGTAATAATCAAGAAGTTGAAGTTGACCGATCCGATGACGTCCAATGTCTCTGCAGCAACGATGGGCACGCTGAGATCACCTTGGAGAAGCATGCGCTTCGAGCCGATACTGGGCTTAATACTAGAAAGCAAAGCCACACCGCGGCCGACAATCTTATCCTTGGAGCCAGAGTAAGTAGGAACGATGTCAAACAATAGTCTGACCTTGGTTGGATCGCGAGTCTTGAATGTGATAGGTGAAGTGCTGATGTTCTCCTGAACGGGCAAGTCGACGATTGTCGGCTCTCCATTGGCACCAGATGCGGCAACGACAAGCGACAGAGCAGTATCGAGCTGAGTGGCATGCGCGTCCGCAAGGGGAATGTTGTCGAGCACGACTGCAGGGACATTCTTGCGATAGTCCATGGATCCCAAGCTGACGAGTACCATGGACTCTTCTGTGAGATATCTGTGGCCGAATGTTTTGACGGCCTCGGGAATGCGAGGAGCATCACGACCCTGAGGAACGTTGGAACGTCGGTCTTCGATGGAAGAGTTGTTCTTCGGCGACGTGCCCAACGCACTGCCAGGTGTGAGGTGAGGCGGAGGTGCATCGAGGTTTTCTGGTGTCGGACTGAGGTCAGTCAGCTTGTTTGAGACATCGAGATGACCTCTGAGCGCGGCATGCTCAATAGGCAGCCAACCCGAAAGATCGGCCTTGCGCGTCTCTGCACCAGCATCAATGAGCAGCTCGACAATTGGTAGATGGCCGTCGACGCAGGCTATGAAAAGAGGCGTCCAACCATATGTGTTCTCGGTGATCTCGAGGTCGGCCTTTTGAGTCTCCGATCCCTCGAGTAGAGACTTCGTGCACTCCACGAAGCCGAAGCGTGCAGCAATATGCAAAGCCGTTTCGCCCTGCTCATCTTGGTGATTGATGTTGATACCAGCGTCGACCAACAGCTTGACAATCATGAAAAAGTTGTTCTTCGTCGCCAAAGCCAAGGCAGCGCCTGATTTCTCCACGTTACGTCTGACAGCATGACTATCTTCAGACTCGCCGTGCCAATCTTCAGCCAATAGTAAGGCTTTTGTGGTCCTGTAGTGACCACCGATGACACTGAGATGTAGAGGAGCGTATCCCTCAGCGTCTTGCCAGATATCTGAATCGATACCCCTGCTAACATCAAACTGGCCCCAAGCTTGCATGAACTTGATGATAGTTTGGGCTGCAGCCACAAGACCGTATTGGGCAGCATAATGAATGGGTAGACGACCATATGTGTCTCTTTCCTTTAGTACCGCTCTTTGCCCTGCGGTCAGATTTGAGAGAACGAACGCTAAGAGCTTGATGGCAGGATCTTCTTCGCCGAGCGAGTGGTTGAGAGACTTCTCCTGGACCTTGAATGAGCTGGGTACGCGCACCGGAAGCTCTGCTGCATTGATGAAAGAGTTAGCTTCTGCACCAATAGGTACTGCAGCGGGTCCGTTCTCTTCGAGGGCTCTGGCACGACCGGTAGCAATTACCAAGCGGTGAACGATGTTCCGCTTGTTCATATCGTCGTCTTCAGTGAGGGAAGAGATTTGAGACAGCAAGTATGTGATGCACTCGTGTGACTTGGCCGAGATAGCTCGTTGTAGAAGGTTGAGCATCAACTTTTGGACGACATAAGGAGGCAGGTCCTTCAATGAATCCGAGGTAAGCTCCTTCAGCTTCGTAAGATCGTTCTGGCGGACGGTCTGCTCCAAGGTGTCCAGCACAGCTGTGGGTACGCGCATGGCGTTCTTAGACGAGACGCGGTGCAGCGAACCGGTCGAGGCGATCGAGGCGTTGTCGTCAAAGACCTTGACGTCGCCCAGATTTGACAACCAGTCGTTGATGGCGCGCATGTCTGCCTCAGTTCTGCGATTGTTCGCGAAAGCCTTGGGGTCGACTTTGGCGGCCAGATATGTGCTTTGCGAGTGGGAAGCTTCGATCTTCTTGTCCAGCTTCTTTGTGATCTTGACGAAGCCTCTACGGTTGACCTCGCCAAACCAGATGAGGTTGCGGTATTGTCCTCTGAGCTCTAGCAAGGCGCCCATCAGGTCTTCCATCTCTTCCTTGTCCATGCCGTCTTGTGGCTGAGTAGACTGTCCATAGCGATCGTAGAGGAGTCGGAGTCGTCTAGAGAATTCGGCATGTTTTCTGTTGTAAAAGCTGTCTACGTCCTCAAGATTGCGATCTAGGGCGAAGAAGAACTCTAAGACTTGAATCAGCTATGCTCGCCAGAGGCTCGCAGCCATCACTCACCTGCGAGATCGACTTCTCCGCCAGTCTCTGTGCTCTGATGAACGGCGGCCTTGATGAATTTCTTGAGGCCTTTGTAGTTGATGTACGCAGATGCCCACTCAGGCACCTGATTGCGGGGCAAGTTCTGTCCAAACTTCATGATTGTCTTGTTCGATTAATGGTTAGTAGGAATGACGGTGACCAGCAGGCGCCACCAAGTGGTGAGTGTGTAGAAGGAGGAGAATAGTCCAGAGCGAGTAAATGAATGCTCTTTACTGATAGCCGCGCAAACGAACGGTAGGTTTAGTATAGATGCAAGCAGGGGTAGGGACGGAGGCCATTCGTTCAAGCAGCGAGTTTGAGCTAGAGTCTCTGATTGGAGAGCCGCGGGGGTGCTGGCATTCACACGGGGAGGGCAGTGAAAGGGTCAAGTGAAGTGTAAGAGATGTGAACGTGTAGATACTTCTATTATCTAATTGGTTAGGCCATCGCGATTGAAACGTGAGCTTGGCGTAAAAAGGATGATGATGTTTTTGTCCGTCGCAGGGGCTGCCAAAAGGCGCGTTCCTCAGGGTCCCCGCTGCAGATCGCCGTCATGTCCGACTCAAATCACATCCGTCTTCCGATCCTATTCTTACTCCAGCAATCAATATCCATGTTATGAGGTTTTTTTGTGCCAGCATATGTGGTACATTCTCCTTACTGTAGCATCACTGTTGATAGCCTTGCGAAGACTTTTTGCGAATTTGACAGACACTTGACTCGACAGCCGCGACTCCCGAGTCACGAGAGAAAAAAGCAACAAAGGAGGGCATGATTCACTATCGCGTCTATCTCGGTGTGATAACAATGAAAAGAAAAAAAGTTTCTCGTCGGCAGCAGATCAGGTCACGAAATAATGCGATACCAATTTTTTTTCTCTTCCTTTCTTTTGAATAGGGTACAAGTCGTCTGGTAAGATCTCGCAAAGCAGACAGCAGCTCGTACTCGTGAATAAATGCTTTTGACGTCTTCCTCTCAAACTCTATACAGTCTAAACAAACATCGACTGTGCTCTACTTTCCAACATCATTACTTCAACATCATTACTTCAACATCATTACTTCAACATCATTACTTCAACATCATTACTTCAACATCATTACTTCAACATCATTACATCTCGCTTCCAGACTTTGGGAAACTCTTTGATATCTACCACCATGGTCAGGATCAGTGATGTCCGGATCTCAGCTTACTAACCAAGCCATCGAGCCACGTCTGGAGACTTAGTCAGTATGAGAAATGGAAGTCATCGTTATGTGGACACTTACTTGGAATCTTGACTTGTTGGTAGCGGTTGCTTTGGTAGCAGTCGTCGTTTGAGTCGGCTTAGCAGTGGTGGTAGTGGCAGCCTTGCTAGTAGCAGATGTAGCAAGCGTCGACTGCACAGTAGCGTCGGTGGTTACTCGAACAGCACCTCCTGCTGCTGCACCAGCGTCGCCGCAAGAGCCAAAGCCTGATTGACAGCCGTCGCCACAGTATGCAGCGGTACTGCCGCACCATCCTGCTGGCGAGCAGCAATTGCCGAAGACTGAGTTCTGGCAGGTCATACCACTCGTGCCACCACATGTTGCGTCTGTCGAGACACCTGTTGCTGTAGCGGCAGGAGCGGTCGAGGTAGTGCTACTGCTTTGAGGAACATTGATACCACATTGTCCAAAGCCAGCTTGACAACCCTCACCGCAGTAGAGAGTTCCAGAGCCACACCACCCAGCCTAGACATGGTATCAATAATCAATCTTGGTAGAGATCTCTCGTACTGTCAGCTACGTACCTGAGAACAGCAGTCTCCAAACTCAGACCCAGTACACATGAAGCCAGAACCACCGCCGCAAGTGCCATCGTTCGATGTTGCGGTTGGTGCGATAGTCGCAGATGTCTTGGTCGCTGAGGTCACAGCAGAGGTAGCAGAAGTGAAAACATTTCCGGACGAAGAGCGATACCAGTTTTCTTCTGGGTCACCAAGACACTCGCCGACAGTAACGGCTTTGTAGCCAAGAGCCAGAATCTTTTCGAGCATATAGGCTGTCAAGACATTGGCAGTCTGGTTGTGAATGTCATGGCCAATGACAAGGTAGTCGTCTGTTGCAGGCTGGCCTCCAGCAATTCCAGCATCAAAGTTGTTTTTTGCGTTCTGAACGAGTGCAGGAGAGTCGTTGTTGTAGTCATCTAGTGTATGTCAGTACAGGAGGACTCGAAGGTGGCCGAGGAGCCATACCGGTATCAACGTCGAAGTAGGTGACATGGTAACCAAGATCAGCCATGTCTTGCTGGCATCCAGACTCCGCAGTGCAGTCGGAGTAAGGAGGTCTCATATAAGTAGGGAAGAATCCTAAGATGTTGCGTAGTGCCATCTCATTGCTGTACATGTTCTGCTTTCTCTGTGCGCTTGTAATGTTCGATAGATGAGGATGCGTCCAAGTATGAGATGCGATCTGATGTCCTTCAGCGTATGCTCGCTTGATCGTGGCAGCCCAAGGGTAAGCAGCATTGTCAATCTCTCCCTTGCCATTGTTGTTTCCGGTAATGAAGAAGGTGGCTTTGGCATTGTACTGCTTCAGCACGTCCAGGATATGTTCTGTATAAATGAATGGACCGTCGTCGTAGGTGATGGCAATGGTTCCAACTACTGTACAATCGTAGATTCCAGCTCCGCCATACAGAACGTCACCGAGTTTGGTTCTTGCAACAGTGGAAGTGCTGCTACCTGATGGGATGGTGTTGTCATCGCATGCTGGACCGAAGTTGAATTGACAACCTGGTGCAGCGCAATATTCACTCCCTCTTCCACACCAACCTGGAGAAACGTCAGTTTTGATTTGACTTATCTTCAAGGTGATCCGTACCAGCTTCTGAACAGCAATAACCATCGGCGCAAGAACCAAAACCCTGTCCACACTGGCCTTCAGTGTTGGTGGAAGCTTGACGCGTGTCAAGAACAGCAGGGGCAACTGGTTGACGACTGCTTGCCACAGAACGTGCTCTTCTGGCCCCGCTCAGAGCAGCTCTGCTTCCAAAAACTTTGGGAGCTCCTGGGATATCACCATGGGCTTCTATGAGCGAGGGAACCAAAGCCAGAGAGGCCAAGGCCAGGCTGTTGAAATGCATCTCAATGAAGACTTGAGCTTGAAAAGACAGTTAAGGAGCAGCACCAGATCGAAGCTTGATCTAAGGGAATGTTCAAGCGAGGGTGATGTCAGAAAAGACAGGGAGGAGCGGGTGACGCAGCACGATGGAATGCTGATGAGCAAAAAAGGAACCTGCCTATCTTGCGACTTCGAAAGATTGCGTCGAGCGTGCTATATTATATATCTCAGACCTACGATACGAGACGATGCGATCTCCTCAAGCTACTGCACTGACCTTCCTTGCTTGCAAGCTGGGCATGGTTGTGAGCTTTCTATTGCCCTAGCGTTTTGACAGTGTGAGGAGACGAAACCAATTTTGTCGTCCAAAAGTAGCAATGCGGATATGCAAAGAGGCACGTATCGTCTATCCCGACTGGATCGAAACACTGGAACGACATGAGGTGAAGCATGGTCTGTTTCGTGCTGCTCCTTGGCGGTCAAAGCAAGCGGGACAGCGGCGTGGAGGCTCACGCCGGAAGACCTCGAGAGGCCAATCACTGGATGAGATGTTTGAGGTGTGCATGTGGCTTGCTTTGGAAACGATGCTTTGGGTCGTGGTGGGAGGAAGAGGAAACGGATTGTGTAAAGACTGCATCGAGGCCAAGCCATGATTGGTCGCGACACAGACCGGCGTCGGAGAGACCCCATGCTTTCTCCACGACTCTTTTTATTTTTAGGGATACATGGTGTAACCGACCTCGAGCTCAACTTGTCGTAAACATGCACGCCGAGACGATACTTGAATAGCGGTAACATGCGCATCGCAGTAGGTAACCCTCTTCATGTGCATATTATTGATTTTCGCAGCTGATCTGTCCATCTTAATTTGCCTGATGAAGGCAGTCCTTGTCATTCTGAGACTGGATATTGGATCGCTTCTTGACAATGATGATGCGCTGATGTGTGCAGAGACTGGAGAATTCTTTCGGAGGGTAATTGAGAATGTTTTGTTGATTTATTTTGAACAAAGCGTATAATCTACACGTGCACTCTAGGTGCTTCCAGGGCCACCTATGAGAGCGAATCTTCTGACTATTGAAGGACCGTACTCTGGGATATAAGTCAGCAAGAGATGGGAGAAAGCAAAGGGGTGATAACGAACCGTCGTATTCTGCCTTTGTGTGACAGTAGCTCCTGAATTCGGGAGTCTGACCCAACAAACTACCACCGAACCAGGGACCGTGACGTTGTCGCTTGTGAGTAATGACCTGGACATCAAGACCACCCGACTTGGCACCACCGCTACGAGCCTCGCTAGCTTGGATACGGGCATCTACCAGATGTCTGATGTCACGCTGGAGTCTGCGACCGAAGTTCTCGTAGAGAGTAGAACCACCAGACAACACAATGTTCTTGTAAAGTCCTCTTCTGACATCGATGGGCGATTGTTGGATGACAGTGTCGACAATGTTGGGCAATGGGGTCAAGAAGTCAGATGAGTAGATCTCAGGGTTGAAGAAGATTTCGGGAGCAAGGAAACGCTCGTAGCCGACATCCACAACAGCATTGCGGCCATTCGGGTAGTTGATGGTGTGCTTGCCGAATCGTTCTGGCTCACGGTCGTAACGTGCGAATTCCTTGACGATGTCGGGGCAGACATAGCAGAACTCCTCCTTAATCTTCTCGGCCGTCTTGAGAGAGCTGTCGGGCTCGCCTCTGTCGCGGAGGAGGCTTTGAACGAAGTAGGTAATATCACGACCAGCGATGGGCACACTCTTGATGGAAGAACCGATGACATAACCCTCGGCAACTGGGATAACGTGGGTGACACCCTCTCCGGAGTCGATAACGGTACCGGTAAGAGAGCGATCCTGAACCTTTGACGAAGTCCATGAAGCGGCAAGGGCCAGTACAGCCTGGACAGCGATATAGAGACCGGCGACGTTGAACGATTCGAACATGATCTCGGCGGTGGCTTCACGATTCTCCGGAGGGTTGAGTGGAGGTTCGGTAAGGAGGAAGTGGTGGTCTTCGGGCTCGACACGGAGGTATTTGAAGATGGAGTTGGACCAGAAGCGTTCCATTTGGTCCTGCACATGTCAGCATTCAAGTAGGAGTCTTGTTGTTTCCCTCCTCTCAACATACCCAGTTCTCGACTTGACCATGGCGAATTGGGTAGTGAAGGCCGTAGCCAGGACCACTTGAAGCGGCTAGAGCCTCGTCGCCGATGAAGTAGTCAAGATCCTCTGTACCTCTCTTTCCAGAAAGCATCGAAGCATTGTTGCCGCCACCAGGTCTTCCCGAGCGGCCGGCGGAGCCACTGGTTGGGCCCTTCGTAGCAATGGCGGTAGGGAAGACGAAGGACGGAGAGTCATTGCCGGCGAAACCTGCGGACTCAGTAAGGCAAAAACAATGCGCGAGATGTTAGGGCGACAAACCGAGCTTTGTATAACCCGTACCGCTATTCAATGTCAGTATGGCTGCCTATGCGCGCGATGGACCGGGGAGGCACGTACTTGTCCATGACAACGGCTGGAGTTTGGTTGGCCATCTTGACCGGAGCGTCGCGAGGTGTCTGGATTGATTATAGAGATAGACCGAGGGTCAATGGCCTAGAGGAGAGCGAGTATCGAGCAAAGACGTATGAGGTATCAAGATAGTGCAACCTCCCAATGTCGCGTTGGCTCTCAGGGCGTTGTCGTCACGCTCACGGACAGCTCGGCCACCACTGCCTCCCCCGCCAATGTGTCCGTGCGTGCTTGACCGCCTGGCAGCACGCGTACTTGCCGATGTTGCCCAAAGACTGACTTTGATAAAATGTACACTTGCTGTCTCTGCTCTTGGTCTTATGTTTCCGCCTGTGCGACACTTGTCTAAGATGGATCAAAATTCATGCTTATAGCGAACGCCTTCGTATCTGTAGACTGACTTCCACGTGCCTTTTGTTCAAGGCCACTCAGATTTAGTCACAATGGAAAGAGCGACCCTCTTCAAGCTGTAGGCTCGCAAACATCTCGATCACGGAGCACGCTTCCAATTTCTCTCTTCCTTCCTTGCAACCAATCCACGACGGAGTCTTTGCATCTCTCAGCCGCTGTCGGAGCGGCTATTCCCACGACTTCCTGTCCCTTCTGACTATCATCACTCGCTCTATCTTTCTATCCGTTCGCTTGACCTACCAACCTAGCGTGCTTCGGTTTGCGTGTTTTCTTCTTTGCCTTCTCTGCAAGTACTCGACGGGCTCAATAGCTGAAGCTGGCGCCATCAGCAAGCCCTTCATTGCCTTTGGACGACCCGACGACCACGAAAGCTCACACAGCATCCGAAGGACTTCCATCCATTCACGCTCTGCCTTTCACTCCCTCTCGATTGCTGTTCTCGAAGGCGACTCCTGCCACTTTACTCATTAAGTTACGTCTGCCCTCTGGCAAGATGCTCCACTCAAGATCTCGCAAGATCCAAAAGAATGGCGCCGATCAACCATGCATATTCGTCCATGCCGGTGCTGGCTACCATAGCTTGCAGAATGAGAGGATTCATCTCCAGGCCTGCAACGAGTACGTCTATCGCACCCTGACCACCCTTTTCTTACTGACTCTACCAGTGCTGCGAAAGCCGCCATGTTGATTCTACGTACTGGTGGAACTGCTCTTGATGCTATCGAGATCGCTATAAAGGTTCTGGAAGATCGTGAAATCACAAACGCTGGTTATGGAAGCAATCTGGCCATTGATGGAATCGTCGAGTGTGATGCCACCATTGTCGATCACTATGGCCGCAGTGGTGCTGTCGGTGCTGTCTCACGTTCGTCTTATTCGCCGTGCACAATCACCCACAGAGCTGACTCAACCTAGAAATCAAGAACCCCATCTCTTTGGCTCGCACTCTTTTGGATCGTAGCACACAGTTGCTCAGTCTACGTCGCGTCCCTCCGAACCTACTGGTCGGCCAGGGTGCCATCGAGTTTGCCGCAAGCGTGAACATGCCCATACTGCCCTACGACGCTCTGGTCTCGGCTGGTGCCAAAGAACGTTGGTTGAAGTGGAAAGCCGATCTTAACGCTGTAGAAAAGAACAGGAAGAATTCAACACCACAGAAGAGCAGTTCCCTCACAGCAGTACCACCATCGCAGACCCTCTCAGGCTTCGGACCCGACGATCGTGTGCGCGAACAGATGCGGCGCTCACATACTCGTGCTCTCGAAGCTGGGGTTTGGAACGAAGCGCAGCCTATAACACCACTTCCGTCTTCAACCGATTCTCTCGTCGCCCCTGGCTATGTTCCGAGAACCCTGACAAACGGACTACAAGCCTCTACCCCTACCAGAATCCCAACTGGTTACCCCGCCGAGTCACCGCTTATGATCTTTTCCGACCCTTACGGTCCACCTGGACCTCGTCAACCCTACATCGGTGCCCCTCTGGCTAACAGTGGCCGGAGACTCAACGACGGTCATCACTCTGCAGAGAACTTTCCATCAACGGACACAATGGATCTTGATGACATTCAGAACCTGTCAGGGCTCTACAGCTCGCGTTACAGTGATCGTCATGATGGCTCTTCGGGCTCCTCGATAGACTACAACTCTTCGTCGTCGGCATCATTGCAACTACCGTCAATCACTCCAAGTCCCGAACTGGTACCTATGCTTTCAGATTTACCTGCGCTTGAGGGCATGGACATAGAGCTGCCTTTGTCGCCCAGTGAATCAGCGTCTCCCGACCTTTTATACACAAGCCCACCTCCGCTTCCACCTTCGCCTCATCTGGACCAGGAGGACCACATCACGGACACAGTCGGCGCCATTGCCATCGATAGCTATGGAAACATTGCTTGCGGTGCATCATCAGGAGGTATCGGCATGAAACATCGTGGTCGTGTCGGACCAGCTGCCTTGGTCGGCATTGGCTCTGCCGTGATACCGGTCGATCCGGAGGACAGGGACCGAAACACTGTCGCAGCAGTCACGAGTGGAACTGGAGAGCACATGGCGACCACCATGGCTTCTACAGTCACAGCTGAACGTCTCTTCTACGGCGTGAAGAAGACATCCGCTGGCATCGTCGAGACGGATGACGCCGACGCAATCAAGTCGTTCATCGAACGTGACTTTATAGGTGGGTCAGAATTGAAGCACATAGCTGTCCGATATACTGACGCCTGAACAGGACATCCAAGTGTCAAGCACAGCCATTCTGCTGGTGCAATTGGCATCTTGGCCGTGAAGAGAACGCGTGAGGGCATCTACTTGCACTTTGCACACAACACAGACTCATTCGCATTGGCATCTTTTCATAGCGCGGAGCCAAAGCCCACATGCACCATGTCTCGCAGTACAGGTAACGGAGCGATTGCACAGGGAGGTCGCGCAATCAGGTTCAAGACTCCGAGAAAAAATGCTTGATCGGCATCAGAAATAAGTGCTAATTGCTCTGAGGTTCTTGGACCAACCCGACCAGAAAACCATGGCTCAACCTAGATTTTCCTAACCTCAGATAGCCCGTAATGTAATATCTTGTACCATCACGACGCGAAGTGTTGGGAGAGTATCATGTTTTGATGTGTAGATTCCAGGTTGACACAGCATCGAGCTTCCCCATGCTGCGCTGAGCCACTACAGCTTACTCTCACTTCCACAAGACTGCTTTACAAGCCAAATGAAGGAAAGTGTGCAACGAGTGTTATGTGAATAGACAGAGGTCGAGTGAGCTCTTGGCATTCGCAGAAGTGAGAGCGCGACAAATCCGACCGGCGACCGGCTTTTCCCGCGCCCTTCAGTTTTCTCCAAGCCAGCACCTCAGGTCCTCAGCATCGCAAGCTCTCCGACCAAAGATTTGCGACGCGCATAGCCCAGAACCACTACATCAACACGCTCCCACACACCACACCTTCAGTTCAAATCACAGACTCCCCTCCCGCCCACCATGGCCGACGCAACCCTCTTCGACGACACCTTCACCCTCACAACCCTCAACAACCAAAAATACGACCGTGTATCCCGCGTAACTGGCACGTCCACCGACTCATCCACCCTCCTCTCCCTCGACATCAACCATGAAATCTATCCCGTCAGCGTTGGCGACAGTCTCCAAGTTGTCCTGGCAAGCACGTTGAACTTGGACGGCACGAAAGAGGATGTTAGTAAAGGGTGGAGGGAAAAGGGGAGTGAGGAGAATTCTTTGGCGGATATGTTTGATTATGTTTGTTGGGGCAAGGTTTACAGATTTGAAGAGGGGGAGGGGGAGAACATGTGAGTCATTTTTGCAGATTGCATTTGTTTTTTCTTTGTGCTTTTGGAGGGGGTTGAAGAGAGAGATGGGAAGAGGAAGAGAGAATTGGAGAAGCGCGATGATGTTGCAAGAGATGCCGGATTTTACTGACAGCTGTGCAGCAAGGTCTACGTCTCTTTTGGAGGACTTCTTCTGTACCTTGAGGGTCCTTACAAGAAGCTCACTCCTCTGCGTATCGACTACGTCTACCTCTTGATCAAGAAATGAGCGTAGTATCGACCAACCCACTTCTGGAACCTCTACGGCAAATCCCTCACGAAACATAATGGTGCGCAGCTGCGGTCAACCCGCCGGATCGCTTTTTACTCCACACATTCCTTCCTCTGCTTTCCGAATTGAACCGCGACCAAAAGACAGAGATGGCGGAAGAGAAAGGAGTAAAAGCATGGAAGGGAAACTTGAAGAAGCTACACAAGAACGACAAAATAAAGTCAAGGATACTCCAAGGGCAAGACACAAAAAGTTGATCAGATTCTCGGCTTTCGAGAAGGGGGAAATGGCATAGCGTGGAGTTTCATGGCGTTCATTGTGTTGAAGAGAGGCAGCTACTCACGTTTGCTGCTTGCAACATGAGAGTGGTGACAGCAGAAGACCTTTTCAGGCTCCACCTTTTCTGCCTGCTAGCTCTTTTCTCGTCCATCTGCTCTACTATCCGCAAGCGCTAAATCCTTTGCCTTTTTTATCAAAATGCACACTTTACCCAGTCATCGAGAATCACTTTTCTCTCATTCATGTTGTGATTATTCTATACAATGACTGTGAGACTGGCCGCAAATGTAGATTCGTCATGTTCATTTAGTGCTCTAGTAAGATATGTCTTTCAAGCTCTTATCTGGGAGTGTCTGCAGCACTCGGTGTGGGCGAATCTGCAGGAGTGGTGCCATCAAGCTTTCGCTTCTTCTTCTTTTTCCTTGGAATAACAACCGGTTTAGCAGCATGACCTGCTAATGACAATGCTGTGCCACAAGTAAGACAATTGTTATCAGGCGGCGGTTGGCAAAAGACTACGATCGCACAAGTCAGCCCACTTTCGCAGCTTGGAGGAAAAAGGGGTTCAGCAGAATGGGAGAACACATACTCGATAAGCAGATACTGCACACATAACCCAAATCCACAATGTTCCGGTGGCAGAAACACGCAGCGCGGAAATCTACACCTTCGCTTTCACCTGCTTTGACCAGATTATTGCGTGCCGTTGCGTCTGGGAGATAACCCATCATGAGCACTTGCAGTAATCCAGCCACACGATCACCCAAAGCCATATACACACCCCCCGTAGCATCAGCAGCTTGTTGCAAAAACTCTGCATTCGAATGAGCAGAAAGCGTAAGAATGTCTATGGGGATGGCGAGGCGTTGACAGGCAAAGATGCTGTTCATGATGGGGATGTATTGGTCTGCGATGTCGCCGCTGACCGAGAGGATGAGGATGCGGGATTGGAGGCCGGTGTGTGAGGGTTGTGTTGTGCCATCTACGGTGGATGTGACAAAGGTTCCGGCGGTATTTGCGGCATCGTAGCCACCGTCTCCTGCTCTTCCTGGGGCGTTGAGGGTGGCTTTGGCCATGTAGGTAAGGGCGAGGGTGAGAGCGCCAGACAGCATTGTTGACGTGGAAGCTTGGAGGTGTTCGGGTGTTGTTGTGGCGAGGAGAGCGCGCAGGTTTGTGGTCAAGGCCTTTTCCAGTTGGGCAAAAGGGCGGTATTTGTTGGCGTCATTCTGTATGTCGGTGGCCTGGCCGTGTGGTACTCGTAGGTCGTCATGTGTGGTTGGGTAGAGGAAGCGGGCGCTGTCGGAGTGTGAGGCGACTACGGCGACTTGGTTCAAGTTGTTGATGGCGAGGTGGGCGTTGATGAAGACTAGGAGGTTTGCGATCAGGGTCGAGAGAGGGAGAGTGCATGACAACAGGCCCCAGGCGTGCGGGTTGGTGTCGAGGATGATGGTCAAGAGCGCGGGAGCTTCACTCGTCTCGGCCACTTCTTCGTGTGACGAAGCATCGACCGCGTTCATGTCGAAAGTGTTATCCGACCATGCGCTGGTGGGAGAGAGTGAAAGGTCGAACAATGCAAAGAAAGGTAGAGACGATCTATTTCACGTGTGAGGCTTCGATCTATTCCGTTACTGCGAATCCGTAGGTTGAATACCTTCCTCCCTGTCGCAACCAACATACACATCACTCGGAATATGAATACATCTAGAAAGAATACCGCCGACATATCGGCTGCCCAAAAACACCTGCAGGCTGTATCGACTACCCTCTTGTCGACATCACCACACGCATCGGCCTTTCTGGCTTCCCAACTCCAACGAGCTGTCCCTATATTGTCGCATTCCACCTCTGCACCGGATAACTGTCGCGCCTGTGGTCATTGCCTAATTCCCGGTTGGTCCTGCTCTATCTCAAGAAGGAAACTACCGGAACTCTCTACAAAGAAGCCAAAACACGGGCCAAAAGTCGCAAAGAAGCCTGCCACGCCTCAGCTCACCTACATCGACTACAAATGCTCCCTATGTAATGGAGTCAACACGTTCAGATCAGACACACAAGCTCCTACTAGACGATCCAAAGTGTCGAGATCAGCTGTCGAGTCAAAATCCGGTGCTGTTCCTTCTTTAGTGTCAAACGATACAGCAACCATCGCAAAGTCAGCACTTCTACCGACAGCGACACCAAGTCCTGTCCCTTCTTCTGCCATATCCTCATCCTCGGAACAAGCACGTGGCGGTGTGGACAAGAAGAAAAATCGCAAGCAGAAACTCGGCGGTCTTCAAGCTATGCTGGCCAAATCAAAGGCCCCAGCGTCAGCACCCAAGGCTTTTGATTTCATGGACTTCATGAAGACGACATGAAGCACTGTGGAACGACTATCACGAAGCATGACCTGGACCTAGCAAGTAATGACGAGCTGCTGGAAGCCACACTCATTTCTCATATCGATCTGCTTGCAGCAGGGCTGCGATGTAGAGACCCATCTTGGTATATTCGCTTCGGCTTCAGATTCAGAGACGTTCGTGCCTTGTGACAGCTGCATAGTGTGACAGTCTACCGCACACTGGGAGCACGTCTAAGGGACAATCATCTCATCAGTAAAATCACTGACGTAGCTTATCGATAAGCCTCTCAGAAATTTATTCGGAAGAGTCTCAAAAGTGCCCCGCGCTGCGCGCATCGGCCTCGAACCTTCGGTGAGCGACCAAAGCCGCCCAAATTATTGCTAATCGTCGTTCCCATCGCAAACATCATCTTGAAACTTTTTCCTCTTTCATTACCACATAATACTTTGCGCAAAACACTCCACAAACGCGCATTCATATATCCCGACAAGTAGCACCCTTCTACAACACACATTCAACCCCAGACATAACCGCAACAATGGCGGCAAACAACAAGCCCACTTCGGTTGCCAAGGACCTCTTCGAGGACATGGGTCGCCAGGTTGAGGGCATGAAAGCCTCGACTGAGGATGGTGACGACCAGAGAGTCGTCGACGAGATTGAGAGTCTGTGCATGAACTGCCACGCCGATGTAAGCTCAACACACCTGATCAAAACTTGACAGCTTACTGACCATTACCCAGGGTATCACGCGTCTCCTCCTCACCCGCATTCCCTACTTCCGTGAAATCGTTCTCTCATCCTTCTACTGCCCTCACTGCAGTTTCAAGAACACCGAGATCTCATCTGCCGGCCAGATCCAGGAACGCGGCTCGAAATACGTCTTCAAGGTCGAGAACAGCGAGGACTTCCAGAGATCAGTCGTCAAGGGCGATGGCTGCTCATTCAGAATCGAGGACATTGACCTTGAGATTCCCCACGGAAGAGGTCAGATGACAAACATTGAAGGTGTTCTTGCAGGCGTCAAGGAAGACCTTGCCCAACACCAGGAAGCTAGAATGCAGCAGATGCCCGAGGCTGGCGCAAAGGTCGCTGAGGTTATTCAAGCTTTGGGTGAAATGCTTGACGGCAAGAGATACCCCTTCACCGTCTCCGCCGAGGATCCTTCTGGCAACTCGTTCATTCAGCCTTCGCCTTCTGACGCCCGCCACAAGTACACCCGCACAGAGTTCGACAGAACACCCGAGCAAAACGCTTTCCTTGGTATCGGCGAGGAGGCCGCTGCCGACGGCCAAGACGCTCCCGTCGATGGCCAGGATGCCCCTGCCACTGAAATCAGACCCGAATACCGCGCCGCCGACGGTCTTGTTGGCGGTGGTGACAGCGATGCCCCGAGAACCGTCACCACGAATAACGTAGACGACGAGGACATTCGTGAGAACGAAGTCTACTCCTTCCCTGCCAGCTGCCCTGGCTGCACACGCCACTGCACAACCAACATGAAGATGGTCAACATCCCCTTCTTCAAGCAAGTCGTCCTGATGAGCACTGTTTGCGATCACTGCGGCTACCGCAGCAATGAAGTCAAGACTGGTGGTGAAGTCCCCGAGAAGGGCTCAAGAATCACTCTCAAAGTCAACACCCCCGAGGATTTGGCCCGTGATGTCCTGAAGTCTGAGAGCGCCGCCCTTTTCTGCCCTGAGCTGCAATTGCGTGTCGAGCCTGGAACCCAGGGTGGTCGTTTCACCACTGTCGAAGGTCTTCTCACAAACTTCCGCAAGGACTTGCGTGCTCAAGCTTTCGGTCTCGAGAACGGTGACGACGAGGAGGAAATCCGCGCTGCAGCCGACTCTATGCAGAGCGAGACCAAGCGCACATGGGCCGAGTTCTTCGAGACCCTCGGTGAGGCCATTGAAGGCAAGCGTCCCTTCACAGTCGTAATTGAGGATCCTCTTGCATCATCATATGTGCAAAGCTACACTGCACCCGCTCCCGACCCGCAAATCATCGTCGAGGAGTACGAGCGCACTCAAGAAGAAGAGGAAGATTTGGGTTTGAAGGATATCAACACCGAAGACTATGGCTACACGCAAACCGAGGAGAAGAAGGAAGAGACTGCTACCGAATGACTAGATGGTGGCAGAAAAAGAAAACTTGAACATGTTGATGATGTTGAAGACAAGATGGATGTGAATTGAGAGATTCAGGAGAGAGAGAGGAAGCATGACCAGATACCACATTTGCGCGTTTTTCGCTAGGTTCCTAGCCATTTGGAAGGAGGTGTCGAGATGATGAAACAAAACACATGACCATTTCTCAACCCATGACACCATGAACTCCTTGCATACTTGTGATACCCCAGTGTATCGTGATATCAATGCTCCATCCCCTCATCCTGCTGCTTGAGCTCCAAATCCAGGTTTTGAAATGCCGCAGCCAAACTATCAGCTTCTTCAACTCTTTGCTTCCCAACTCCACTTAGATTTGTTTTCAACCCTGCAGCTTGCATTTCTCGAACGTGATCGTAGACCATTTTGTGCACTTCTGCGTATTGTTTGCTTTCTGTGCCCCAGGATGTTGCAGCATTGCGGAGGTTGATGAATAACTATTATGCGGCTCTCTGATTTAGAAAAGTGGTTGGAGAAGTTAAGGGTGTAGAGAAGATTGGGGATTTTGTGAAAGAGGATGGGCCGGAAAGAGAAGAACGAAACGATGGGAGCATGAGAGATGGGAGATGAAGGAGGGGCTTAGATATAGTACATTTTCTGAATTTAATTTTTGTTTGTAGTGGTGAAAGAAATTGTTGTTACCCACGCATTGGAGGAGGTCGTTGTGTGGTGATGAAGATGACATTGTGCTTGTTTTGGGTGAGGAGCAATTGAAGCCGACTATTGTCAGAATGTATATCTGGGCGACTTTAGTTCTATGTTTCAAAGAAGATTGAGAGCGTAATGGATCCTGAGAAGTGAATAGTGAATAGGAGGCAATAACTCATACAAAGGCGTGCAGAAGGTGCGAGGCAGCGTCGCCAAGACATCACTTTCATGAGACTGCCAAATGACTCGTCTGTGTCTTCTTCTTAGCATCATCGACTTTAGTATCGAGTCGCGGAAAGACTTCTGAGAAACACAGCTTCCAATATGGAACCACAGCTGACCGAGGAGAATGGCGTCAGGATAGCCGTTGAAGGATGTGTACGTTTAGTCCACCCATCCCATCCACAGTTTGTCAAGCTTACAAGCACTAGGGTCATGGCACACTTCACGCAATCTACGCGTCAATCGAAAGAGCATGTGCCGTAAAAGGCTGGCCAGGAATTGACTTGCTCATCATTGGAGGCGACTTTCAGGTACACACCCTCCCTAACCACGACAAGAAATTCTTTGCATTGCTAAAACACCCAAACACAGTCCGTGAGAAATGCACACGATCTATTATGTGTCTCAATGCCAGCAAAATACCGCGCTATGCATGATTTTCACGAATACTACTCTGGCACCCGTAAAGCACCTTACCTTACCATCTTCGTCGGCGGGAACCACGAAGCAGCAAACTATCTCTTCGAACTCTACTATGGCGGCTGGGTGGCCCCTAACATCTACTACATGGGCGCCGCAAACGTTCTTCGCCTCGGTCCCTTGAGGATATCAGGTCTAAGCGGCATCTGGAAAGGTTTCGATTACAAGAAACAGCATTTTGAACGTCTTCCTTATAATGAGGGGGAGGTGAAGAGTATTTACCATGTCAGGGAACTGGATGTGAGAAAGCTTCTACAGGTGAGGACGCAGGTAGATGTGGGCATCTCTCATGATTGGCCGAGAGGTGTGGAGTGGAAGGGTGATTGGAAGAAGTTGTTCAGGCAGAAGCAACATCTGGAGGAAGATGCCAGGAATGGGCAGTTGGGAAGTGTGGCGGCTACTTATGTCATGGATAGACTGAGGCCGCCGTATTGGTTCAGTGCTCATCTGCACTGCAAGTATGCTGCGGTGATCGACCATGAGAAGTCAGGGGAAGCCATTGGTACAGCAGCTGCAGTCGCGGCAAGCAATGGAGCTCAGATGGAGAAATTGCCGAAGAAGAACTCGGACGAGATTGATCTGGACATGGACGACGAAGAGCCTTCAGTTCCGGCACAAGCCACGAAGAATACCGACGAGATAGATCTCGACATGGACGACGATGAGCCAACACTAGCAGCAAAAGCCAGCAAAACCAGCACAACTCTACCTGTCAATGCAGACGAAATCGACCTCGAGCTCGAAGACGATGCAGACCCCAAAACTTTAGCGATAGCTCCAGGACAGGGCCTCGATGGTGCCAGAGTACCGATTGATCCTCCAGCCCAATCCGCAGTCCCAGAAGATCTCCGCGTCCAACTCCCCGCCTCCTTCGCTAAACAGCCTCCTCGTCCCCAAACCACAAATCAACCAATATCTCATCCTCCAGGAATCACGAATACGAAAACTAACTTCCTAGCCCTGGACAAGTGTCTTCCAAACAGGGATTTCCTGCAGGTGCTGTCTATGCCAGCATTCTCGGACCCAGATGCAGCTTTCGACCGTCCTATGCGTCTAGAGTATGACCCAGAGTGGCTAGCCATCACCAGAGTCTTTGCTGCCGAGTTAACAGTCGGTGGCGACCCCAACGCCCATGCTCCGATTGATAAGGGAGAATCCCACTATGCTCCTCTCATCGACACTCAACAAACCTGGATCTTCGAAAACGTCAAAGACCTCACAATCCCAGAAAACTTTGGAATTACAGCACCAGTCTTTGATGCCAGCCAAGGAATCCACGTTCAGGGCAGTCCGAAAGAGTATACGAATAACCAGACGAGCAACTTCTGTGAGATGCTAGAGATCCCCAATCCATTCGATATCCCGGAAGAGGAGAGGGGAGAGAGAATGAGGAAGGGGCCTCGGCCTGAGGAACAGAGAAGAGATGGAGGGTTTAGGGGAGGCAGAGGAGGAGGTAGAGGGGGTGGAAGGGGAAGAGGTGGCGGTCGTGGTGGAGGAGGGCGTGGAAGGGGGAGGGGTAGTGGTGGACCTAGATACTAAGTAACAGAGTATGGCTATTTCCCCAGTACGACTTGGTCCTCGAGCATGGGGAAATCCCTGCTCAACTACCATGTGCTTTCAAATGAAGCAGAGACCGAAGTTGCCTCTTTATGCCCTTCCACCATTCCGGTTGTTTCACATTAACAAAGACTTTGACGCTTTCTTAGAAAGCCCTCCTCTTTTTACTTCCAACCTGGAATCCAAAATGCTAAAGTATTTCTTTTGAACTCGTTTTTAATGAGAAGTTGTGGAAAGCACATCTTCTCATCTTAATCGCGTATAACTGCAAATATCGCCATATCGTGACCTTTTTTCTTATTCTCTGAAAATTCTTTGTATGTATAGAGTGAATTACTATGATTACTATGATTACTATGATTATGATTACTATGATTACTATGATTACTATGATTACTATGATTACTATGATTACTATGATTGATATCTACTTATTATCTGCTAACTATCCACTTACTATCTACTTACTATCTACTTATTATCTGCTTACTATCTGCTTACTATCTGCTTACTATCTACTTACTATCTACTTACTATCCACTTACTATCTACTTACTATCCACTTACTATACCGACCATCTACTAAACCTCCCCCTACTAGTTTCCTCTAGATCTACCGAAAAAGAAAGACACGTATTAGAAGCAGCAAGAACGAAAGCGGGGAGAAAAAAGGAAGAATTAGTCTTAAGGATGAAAAGGGGGATATGGTTTTCGTGGTATCTTTTTCTCTTTATACAAATCTGTGTGTCTTTAGATCTTGGATTGTGGTCGCTTGTAAGAATTGCTTCCACCAGCACCAGCCTATTATTCCCTAACGTCAGAATGTTTTCGACATCACAAGCTTCTTCATATGAAGAAACGCGTCTCAAGTCTTCTTGTGCATAACAGTCGCAGCAGCCTTTTTTCCAAGGAAAAAAAAAACAATCAGCAAACCCGAACAAAGTCAAAAGAAGGGGGAAAAACAGAAAAGGAGAGGGAAAAGGGGAAGAAAAAAGAAAAAAACTCACCTGATGATTAGGGAAAATCAACGTATCAGCCAGCACAACATTCTCCCTCCTCCCAGCAGCAAAAACGACAACCTCTGCAATATCCTCTGGCGTCAATGGTTCACACCCCTCATAAACCTTGTCAGCAGCTTTTTTATCGCCATAAAACCTCACGACGCTGAATTCAGTCTCCACCTGTCCAGGATCGATTTCGATGACACGGACACGGGTGGCGATGAGTTCTTTGCGCAGGGAATCTGTAAAGCTGCGTACGGCGGCTTTTGTGGCGCAGTAGATGCTGCCTCCTGGGTAGGGTTCGCGGCCGGCGATGCTGCCGACGTTTATTACGTCGCCAGCCCCTGCCTCGCCACGTGCGAGGAAGATGGGGAGGATGGCTTGGGTCATGTTGATGAGGCCTGTGACGTTTGTGTTGAACATGATGTTGATGTCTTCTTCGGCGATTGAGGGGGCTTTGGCGACGCCTTTGACGAGACCACTGGGGAAACATTTTTGTCAGATATTCAATTTGTCATTCTTCCACCTTTCCCTTCTTGCAAAAGGCTTTTTTGGGGGGGAGGAGTCAGAACCACTCACGCATTATTGACCAAGACATTGATATCCTTGAATTCCTCTGGAAGATTGCCGACAAAGTTTCTCACTTCCTCGGGGTTGCTGACATCCAATCTTACAGGCAAGACCTGAACACCATCGCCAACTTCCTTTTTAATCTCCTCTTTCAATTGCTCGAGTACTTCCAAGCGACGGGCGGTGACGATGAGCTTCAGGTTCTTTGGGCTGGTGCGGGCGAACTCGATAGCTGTACTCTTTCCAATGCCCGAGGAAGCTCCAGTGACAACGACAGTCTTGCCTTCGAGGCGCTTGCCCATTGCCGATGCCATTGTGCGGAGGTGGTGGGATGCGGGGTATGTGTACAGGCTCGGACGTGTCACAAAGGTTGCGATGGAGTTCAAGGTTCGGAGGGGTTGAGCAAGTCGACGGAAGAACATGCGATATGACCAGGTAATGGAGTCTATGAGGACGACGGCGTGTTCTGGAAAAGAGGAAGGTCTGCTCTTATCGCAATACTGCCGGTCGATGGCGAGCTCGAGGTGGAGCTCCATCAGGGTCCATGCGCCGGGCTCGCCCCGTCCTTTGCCGATCGACCGAGACCCAATGTCGACGGTCTTTTGTTCGTCCGCAGATACCGCAGATTCGTGGTTATCTTTTGTCCGCAGAGAGAGAGAGAGAGTAATGCATCTGACTCCTGTTTAACAGCACACGTGGAATGCAATCAGCTGGGTTAAATGTTCAAGGTTCTTAAATACGTATAATCAATTATATGAGCTTGACGCTGTCTATATGTCTGCTCTAGAAGTTCATGAGATCTGTAAATTGTCAGTACTTTTGCTCTGTATTGGTTGAATAGACTTGTATGCTGACCTCTTCCGAAAAGTGCTCTCTTGGTCCAGTCCATGGCAAGAAGGATTCTCGTGCGAAGACTGACACTCTGTGAAAAGTAGACGGCACGCCAGAGGTACACTGCTACCAGACCGCCGGCAAAGTTCATACCGCCAAAGTCAAAGATGGCTGCGTTACCGACATAGGCCAGACTGCCCATGTTGGTGTATGAGAAGGCCTTGTAGACGGCATCATCAATATCACCATAGTCGAGTCTGTTCAGCTCCATACCGGGCGCTGCCTGGGAGAGCTTGTTAAACTTGCGACCAAGGTAAATACCCTGCTGATTGGCACGCTGTGCTGTCGCCGGTAGCGAGGTCATCTTGCCGTCAATCTGCTTGAGCAGCTCTTGCAGTTCGCTGAAATCAAGTGTACCACTCTTGTCCTTGTCGTATTGTTCGAAAAGCTTGTCCAAACGCTTCAAGTGTTCGGCGGCTTGAGGGAAGCGTGCCTTGACACGCTTGGCAACACCTCTCCAGTCACCATAGTTGATGATCATCTTCTCGGGGTCCTTGCCCTTCTCCCAGGCAACGGTACGAAGGAATGATACGATGTGATCCGATACGTTGTTCTGAACCGTAGAGCAGTCACCAATGGCATAAACATCACCAAGCGGAGCTCCAGCAAGACGCAGATGGGTGTCAGTCTCAAGAGCATGGCGATTAGTCTGAAAATCACCGAGCTTCTCGGCGAGCTTCTTTGAGAATTCGGTTTGTGCGACACCGGTCGACCACAGACAGAAGCCCATGGGGATTTCCTTTGTGATGGTCTTGCCCTCCTCGTCCTTTTGGGTGAAGAGAATCTTATCTTTCTGAACCTCCTTGACACGCGAGTTTGTGAGAATGTCGACCGAGTCCTTTGCGAAGCGAGCTTCAGCATACTTGGAGAGTGTCTCGTCGTAGGTGTTGAGAATGTGACCTCTGCTTTGGATGACATGGACCGAGATTTCATTTCTCAGGATACGAGGGTAGTAGTTGCAGAGATCTTCGTTGAGCATATCGAACAATTCGGCAGCGAACTCGACACCAGTGGGACCACCTCCGCACACGACGAAAGAGAGCAGGCGGCGTCTCTCCTCGTCGGTAGTAGAGGGGATGGAAGCAGCCTCGAGGTTTTTGACAATCTGGTTGCGAATCAGGCGAGCGTCGGTGATGTCCTTGAGGAAGTGGCAGTGTTCGAGGCCCTTGACACCATGAGGGTTAGTCATGGAGCCAACACCGATAACGAGCTTATCATAGGGAAGGTAGAAGTTTTGCTTTGTGCCATCCGGAGCGGTTGCCGAGACTTCGACGAGCTTGTTCGAGAAGCTGTGGTATGATTAGCGCAAGCAAAGATATGGTGTTCTGCACAACTCACTCGACATCCTCAGCAGTAGCCTTCAGGAAATGACCCTTGACGCGAGAGATGATTCTGCGAACAGGCTCGACGAGAGAACGCAATTCAAGAGTACCAACAGTGGCAGAGGGAAGCATAGGAGTAAACAGGAAGTAGTTTGACGGAGAGACAACAGTGACGTGGTAGTCGTCCGGGTTCAGCTGCTTCAGCAGAGCAACGCTGCCCCAGCCAGTACCGAGAATAACCAGCTTGGGCTTGTGCTTCTGGGCCTTCTTTTCCGGCGAGTCGTCGTCATCGATAAGATGTTCAGCGATAGGGAGATTCTTGGGACCTCCTCTTCTTGGGTTCAGGGCAAGTTCGGAAACAACAATGTCGACCGAGTCTGCTTCTTCCTTGTATGTGGTTGCATCGAAGGCGAAGAAGGCAACTACCAGGACACCAGAGACGGCGACAAAGATGCCGAGAATAGTGAAGCCTCGGTAGAGGAAACGGAGAGTACGAGATCGTTGTGTAGGAGAAGCGGCAGGGGACTTTGGTGGAGGCTCGGTGGTTGTGCTCTGGCGACGGGCGTGGTTCAATTGAAGGAGGATGGCGGGTCTTGCGAGGGATGCTGGTGCTTGTACGCGTTGCAGCATTTCACGACGCACTGGACCATTGGCCAGAGAGCGAGTGAATTGTTGCGAACGGCATGTCTGGACAACCGAGCGGCGCAATTGCATCCCAGTGCGGCCGCTCAATTGACGTAGCGGCTGCATCTTGGGTGTGATGGCTCGAGGGGCCAGTAGAGGAAGCGAAGCCTATAGGCGGGAGTCTGACAGAGAACGAGAGATGGAGTTGAAGAAATTAATTGAAGTACAACATGCCTGTTCAAAGACTTTCAATTGAAGATGACGAGTCAAAGTGTTGAGTTTGGATCTCAAACCATGACTTCCAAGATCAATGCGAAAATGGGCGGCTTGATCGGACGTGGTGACGTATCACAACTTGATCCCTCGATCATCTTATCTGATCCGACTTTCCCGCCTGCTTCCCGACTCAAGTCTGCCCAACTATCCTGCGTCTCTTGACAAGAGCGTGTTGTGCATAGAGTCTGTTTCATCTCTGGTCTTATTCGGCGGTACAGCTCATGACGCTTCACAAGTATCTTCAACATGAAAGAGTAGGACGACTCGTTAGCACTGCCCGATGTGGGACCGGTGGGCATGGCTACAGGAAATTCTGATGGAAGATTGCTGTTTCCTGAACATCGATGGACAACGTGTCAATTAGTGTAACGAAATTGCCCTGTCTATTCGAAGTCAATGAGGCTCGCGGACAACGGTTGTCTAGATCATTCGCAACAAAGATGAGTCTGAAGTTCGTTTGTTGTAATCAAACAAAAGCGAGGTCAGGGTCATGATGATATCGGTAGGGACATTGAATTAAGAAGGTCACCGGCTAGTAGTCCACCAACGAGACGTCGCACTCACACACACTAACTTGACCAGCCACATTTACATGATCCTACGCCATCAAGTAGTTTTGCGCGCTTATCGTAGACGAGGCTCGACTCTCAAAAACACGAGGTAGATATTCTCCACGGCTGCTTTCGTTCATCTTACTTCTTCCTGATCGACCGGAATATATCTCGAAACTTGATTTACGCCCACCACTCTTCCAGAAAATCTCCATAGCCATAGATCCTTCCAGCGATGCACAAGACGGTATCTCCGAAGGTAGTTATGACCTTACAGGCCTACTCGTATGCACACACACTCCACTACCCAAAACTCGAAAAACTCAGAAAACTCGCAAAACACTCGTAACATCTTCATAGACGGAACCAAGGATCGAGATCACAGTGGTCGATGAACAGCAAAACCGGCTTTTGTTCTGTGTAAAATCTCGTTATCCGAGTATACACGGTATGCTCGAATATCTATCCGCAAAAGTCATAGAAGATGTGGTAGTCAGTGTATCGATCACCAGAGAGAGAGGGATGGATATCAGTTTCTTTACGTCATCAAGGGTACAACTTCCGACGATGCTCGCACGTTCTTCTATGGTCAGGCCTGACGCAAGGATATTATGATACAAGTCACAAAGACCGTTACTCTCACTATATTCATCCTCCTAGCGGTGCTCTCGATCATTCATAGTGAAGAGTCTCTCTACACTACGAGTAATCGAATGCTGGTGAATATTGGAGCCTCTAGACATGGTTTCCATTTACAACGCTACTATCTTCGATTGCTACGTCTCCAATTATTCGACGCCAGCAGTACCTCTACTCATGACACCTCTGCCAAACCACTCGCTAACAGTAGCGAACTTATCTCTGCTTCTATCGAGTGCGTCCAAGAACAATTCATGCCTGTCAGCACTCTCATCCTGGGCCCGCTTGATGGCCTTGACCGTCGCATTGTCATTCGCGCACTTTGGACACTCGACGTCAGAGTCCTCGTCACCAGCGCCGACATACAAGCACCGCTCGTGGAAACTGTGTTTGCAGAGGAAGTGGACGGTAGGGAGGTCGAGAGGAGCACCACAAGCCGAGCACCTCGTAGCGGAGAAGGAGACAGGCTTGGTAGCGAGAGTTTCGAGTTCGTTGGCTTTGGCTGCTGTGTCGGTGCGGTAGGACGAGATTAGCTTGCGATTGGACGCGATTTCTGCTCGTTCACGTTCGATTGTGCGGGAAAGGTATGTTTTGACGAGACCCATTGTTGCGACCTTGCTTTGTGACAAAGTCTGTATGACTTGGAGTGGTGCCATGAGACCATCGTCATCGATCTTCTTGAGTACGCTGTCGAGCTCAGAAGAGGCTTCGGCGAGGATTTCTTCGGTCGAGGTGAAGTATGCAAGCGCTGCTGGGTACAGTTGTGGTTCTTCTGGACCATACTTGCGGAGTGCTTTGATGGCTCCTGCTGTGTCGTTTGCAGCAGTGTAAGACCGGAAAATGTCGAAGTAGAGACCGCGTTGCTCGCGGACGAGAGTTGTGCCATCTCTGAAGTTCGATAAATGCGAGAGCAGTAGGATGTTGGAAGTACCCATACGTGTCTGCAAAAGAAGTCAGTATCAAAGGTGGATTCATACACCAAGTCACATTAATACTCACATTTTGCTCTTCAACAAGCTTCTTCGCTTTGCTCTCCCACTCTCTCTTGCTTTCGCCGGTCTGCTTACTAGCGATTTGGAGATACATCTCGAATAGTGTCGTGTAAAGATCCGTCTTGTCTTCATCTTTCAAGCCGGAGCTAGCGATGCATGCTTCAAGGAATGAGATAAATTCATCCGGATGATCGACGAACGAGGAGAAGGCGGCTCTAGGTTTGGGTACCTTGTACTCGACGAATTCATCCTCGACCGTAGTCTCGATAACATGTTGCGTTGTCTTGGTACCACCTGGCGTTCGTGGGACATCTGCACTCATGTATGGAAGTGGTATTAGAGCAGCAAGATTTTGTACGGCTGACGTCGCCATCTTGCCAATGCCTCCTGACTGTTGTTCTGTAGTGATCTCTTGCTCGACCACAGCGTCCTTCTTGGGTCGGAAATTGCCAGTGAAATAGTCTATGAAGAGCTGTTTCGTGTCCTCAGGGGAGTGCTCAAGCAAGACAGTGCCGTATTTTGTGAGACTTTCATACGCTTGTTCCGGCTCCAGTCGCCAGACATAGGCCAACGCTTCAGCATATTTCTTGAGATCCTCTATCAGGATATCAACAACTAGGCCGTGTTCGTTGTGCTTTCGCGCCAAGAAGGCGGCCTGATCAGAGTAGCCACCTTGGCGACACATCGTTATGGCTGTATCCAGGTCGAACTTCAGATCACCCGGTGATTTGATAAAATCTTCGAGCTTGTCAACGTCTTTTAGCTTTGCATAGCAATTCAGCAGTAACGTCGTATGGTCGGATGAAGCCTTGTGATGCTCATGTAGCTCTTCCAGATACTCGATAAGATTTCGTATCCGCTGGTTATCGAGGAATTTGCGAATGATTTGTGAAGGTTCAGTATTGTCGATAGCACGAAGATACTGTTGCATGGCGGTGTCGTAATCGCCCTTGCGATATAGGTAATCGCCATATTTGCGGAAGATAAGATTTTGCTGGACAGCATCGACTTTCTCCTTCTGCGCCAGGTTGATGGCCAGAACAAAGAACTCGCGTTGATACAGGATCTCAAGCTTCTGTTGGAAGGTCTTTTCGGTGTAGCGCAAGACTTTACCATCAAGGGTCACCACGTAGACTTGACCCCATGCAGAGAAAAGGGCATTGACCTGACTGGGTAGAGCCTCAGTGTGGGCGATGAGTTTGAGGTCAGGATTAAGGATGGTGAAGTTGGAGGTACTAAACAGATCGTCCGCCTGGCCACCACCAAATGACCTCGTCGGAGCATTTGTCATGTGTTTGGGAGGCGACACCAGCAGGACGTAGTCTTTGTACATAGCAGTGAGCTTTTTAGGACCTTCATAGGCATACGAAGCGACTCTGCCTCGCGGGTTGTACGCGTAGACGGCATCATCACGAGCAACAATGATGTCGTTTGAATGCAAATCTTTTGTCAGGCAGCCGACAGCACAACCATGTTCGTCCAGTGTTCTCGCAGGCTGACCCTGACCTTTGCCGGAAATGATGAGGGTCGATATCCTGCTTGTGGTGGATATGAACAGAGTTGTAACGTTCGCTTCTCTGAACTCAAGGCCGGTGATGGGTTCGTCCGTCTCAAGTACAGTACGCTGTTTTGTTCCTCGATCATGGATGAAGTCGCCTCTTATTACAGTAACGGCGCCATCTGCAAATCCGACGGCGACTTGAGACAGGTCCCGCAGTACAGCGAAGGCCGACACGGGGAAAGGCTTCCTGCCATTGGTGACAGAGACGGTGCAGAGACAGCGAGGTATTCCAGTCTTCTTATCGGGGCGGTCCAAGGCCCACACCTTCAGGACGGGCTCGTTTGGTAGGTCCTCGGCGAGAGTTATGAGTAGCGACGAGTGGGGGATATGGCGAATTGTGGTTAATGCGCCGGATTCATGCGCCTTCCATGATTGTTTGGTCTTGAAGGACTGATCTAAGAGTCGAAGTGTCCCGTCCGGAGAGCCGAGATAGAGCTGATCGGAGCTCGCAGTGATACAGCTGACATTGCCTTGCTAGTGAACAACTTGTCAACGCTGGATGGCAATCGAGTCGGCAGTCAAGGTACCTCTAGAATCGACTTGTCGGCGTCTGCGAGCTTGACGGGGCTGACATCGAAGAATCGGAAAGCTTTCCACTGTACGTACGCGTCAGTTTCTGAAGCTCCCTTATGCGACAGGTTACATACAGAAGTCAAGGCCATGTTTGTCAAGCCATGTCCTGAGAGCAGCTGTCTAAGACCATGCAACCATGCGCGCATCGGCGAGAAGCTCCGTCATCTCCGCTACCCTCGTCTTGGCATGGGCCAGATGTGTATTAGCTACGCCTGGACATCGTCAGGTACGCGGGGAGATTGATTTGATTAGAGCACGTGATATCGCGGGGTCGCGGCTCTCCTCGTCGCGTCTTCCAGGCAGTCTGCCAGCCCCAGCTGCCTCATGATGAGCACTGACAATCTAGCTCTTAGCCGATTGTACCATGCCGCCTGCCTTTATTCAGGACTCGGAAGATGAAGACGACCTTGTTACGGTAGCTGCACCTGCCGCAGTGGCGACTCTGACTAGATGCGGGGAAGAGGTGCCGAATGACATTGATGATCAGTCCTCTGCTTCTACTGCCGAGCTTCTCAGACGTGCCCAAGTCGCCCTGATGGCTCCCACTCAGGAAGACGTGCCTGTTGTCAACTTCTCCGATCTCGCTGCCACCTCCGTCGCTACTTCGCCCGCCAGTTCGCACAAGAAGCGCCCTGTCTCCGATACAGATCCTGAGCCTCGTTCGTCTGGAAAGCTCAAGCGCATTAAAATTGTCACAAAGCCAGAGTCACGATACTCTTCCACCGACCTCCTGCTCTCCGCCCCAGTCCCACCTTTCGATGGCACCAATGACACTATTCCCGGTCCTACCCTACCGTCCGCAGCTGGCCACCATGTAGTCCACGAGAAGAGAACCCCGAAGCCTCGAAATCGCAACTCGTCTCAACAATCATCGGCCGACCAGACAAACAACCTCACTCCTTGGTCAGGCACTGTTCTCGGTAGTAGCGACAGGCTCAATTCCGATGATGCTATCGGTTACCCTAAGGAGTTGTATAATCCAAAACCCTCTCGCTCGAGATCTGCCCAGGTTGACACGAGTCACATTGACTACACAATGGTGGTTGAGAAGGCCGTCAAGAAGGGAAAGCCAAAGCGTTCCGCCACCGACACAAGCGACCATGTCACCCCCAATTCAATCTTCCCCGCATTACCAATCGACCAAGCTCCTCCTTTCGAACGACTGTCGCCCAGTCCTGAAGCACCTGTCTCTACAGACTCTCTGCAACTACACTCTACCGTACCCGAATCCGTCCAAGATCTGTATTTATCTACAAAATCAGCCAGAAAAGCTACAAACACGAAGCTGCCAGCGAAACGCGGTCGTCCCAAGAAGAAGGTGGTCGCAGATGACGAAGAAGACGAAGAAGACGAGCCAGCTCATGGAGAAGATGTTCCAGCAGCAAGATCCACGCCCAGATCAGTCATCAAGACAGAGGTCCAGGTCGTCATAGAGCCAAGATCTGACCCAGCTTTGGCAGCTAGTGTACTCGCCCAGCTGAGACAGCACAAATCACGGGAGCCGACGCCCAAGCCAGACGAGGAGCCGGCCTTCCAGGAGGCCATGTCTGCACCCTCCCGGGAGATTGATCATGTCGGATTCAAGGCTGAGTCTGAGCTTGGGGTAGGTGACGAATCCGCGGAGGAAGTTATCAAGCCTAGGGCCAATGCTAGATCAAAGGCAAAGGCCAAGCCTAAAGCCAAGTCAAAGACACCCGAACCAGTCTACAAAGACGAAGATGATTACGAACACCAAGACGAAGACGAATTCGTGGAAGAGCCTGTGAAGGCAAAAGCCAAAAGCAAGGCAAAACCAAAAGCCAAACCAAAAGCAAAAGGAAGAGTTGCCAAAGCCATTGCTACGCCAGATCCACCCTCCGATCACGATGAAGACATGCCAGAAGTTCCTCCACCAGACGGAGATGAGGATGATTCTGAAGACGACCATCTCTCCGAAGCCGAAGAAGACTCGGAAGACGAATCTCCCAAAGCTAAACCCAAAGCAAAAGCAAAAGCTGAGCCTAAGTCGAAAACAAAGCCAAAGCCCAAGGCAGCAGCACCAAAGCCTACTGCGGCTACCCCAAAACCCTCTCCTCCTGTCCCCGAAGCAGAAATACCGGCTCCTGCCATCATGGAAGTATCTACTCCTGCTGCCGTCACGACACCCAAAGTTGCTACTGTGAAGAAAGACGCAAAGTCTTCGGCCAAACCTGGTTGGCAGCAATCGACGTATCGAGTGGGTTTGAGTAAGACACAAAGAATTCCCTCATTACTCAAGGTCTTCAAGAAGTGAAGGCCCCATATCGATTATATGTATGCATTACGACGGAGTGTTGAATTGACTGGGTTGCATGGCTGGACAATATAGCATAAGAACGGGATATGAGAATAGCATGGAGATGAAGGCTTTGCTTCCAACTACAACTGAATAATGACTTTCAATGGCTTTCTCTAACTTATAACACTCACACGACTGTGCCTTTGATCGGCTCTTGGCAGATATTACGACGATCACGCCGACAGTGACTTCTTGTCAGGCTTTCTATGTAAATATCAATTCACTTGGCCAAGAACTGTAGAACATTGCATGCTTCGAGATATATTAACGAAGCGGATCAGAATACCCTGGCTATCCTCAGCGTCCGATTGTCAACGGGTAGTCTCGAGACCCCTGACCTCGACTCTTCTCACCATCAGACATGAAGCCATACCCCGCCCTCACAGACTATCAATAGCCTTGATATGCTTATCGACCAAACACTCGTACAAGTCATCCCCATAGTACGCAGTATTCCCATCCTGACTAGTCTTCCCTCCACTCAGAGTATCGCCATACTGCCAGAACAAATCTGCTCCCGTCCCGACAGCTTTCAAAGCAGTAGCTTGCCAATCACTCTCAATCGTGCAGTCATTGCTCGCCCCAAACTCCTCAAGCAAGCAAGGTTTTCCAACTGCAGAGCAAGCTTTGGCATGTGCGACAATCCACTGATTACCCCATTGCTGCGTAGGCGTCACAGACCAAGACTCGGGATAAAGATGATATGTGCAAAAATCAATCGTGGGGGTTTCACAGTTTGCGGTGAAATTACTTCCGCCGGCTGAGAGTTGGTAAGGGTAACTGCCATCGTCGCCGGGGATGGGGCCGAAGCCTTCTTCTCCTGTGGTTACCATGTGTTTGGGATCAAGGCTTTTGATGTATTTGGAGGTGTTGACGACCCAGGTCTTTAGAGTGGAGAGGTCGCAGCCTGTGCAGCGGGGTTCGTTGGCGAGTTCCCAGGCAAAGATTGCTGGACTGGCTGTGTAGCGTGACACGACTGCTTTGATGTATTTCTGGTATTGGGTTTGGGCTTTTGTGTTGTTGTACCATTGGGTGTTTGAGGAGATTCCGGCGTAGGAAAAGTAGGCTGCCATGCCGCCGTAGTCGGTCCAGTTGTTTACGAAATTGATAATCAGTTTTATACCATGGGCTTCTGCGCTTTTTACCACGTAGTCGAGGCGTTGGAGGCCGTTGGAGCCTGTGTTGATGGTTGCTTCTCCATTGGCAAAGGACTGGAAGTAGACAGTTCCGTCGGTAGGGGTTGTGGTTACATCGTTGAAGCCCCAGACACGGAGGATCTTGAGACCTGAGGATGCGAGGTGTTGCATAACTAGATCAACGTCGTTGTTGTTGGTCAGGAAACCGATCCAGTAGGAGTTTGTGCCTGCGTAGTAGCCGGCCTTGCCATCGATTACAAACTTCGTGCCAGAGGTTGTTGGGAAAGAACCGCTGGCTGCTGCGGTAGTGGTCACCGCCTTAGAGGTCGAGAAAATCTTGGATGTACTGATAGGTGGCTTGGTCACCACCGTGGTCGGTGAAGGAACGGGGGCTTCGGATGTGCTTGTCTTGATGGTAGTCGCGACGCTTGATGCAGCTCCTGCAACACACTGAGAGTAGTAGTCATTTGCCTTGCTGCAGTGGAAACCAGAGACGCAGACAGCAGATCCAGTATAGCCTTGACCACCACACTGTCCGTATGCTGAGACTGCTGACTGTGCGTATGCAACTCCAGCGGCTGCCAAGGTCGCCAGAGAAAGAGAATATTTCATGATTGTGAATAGCAGAAGGAAGTGATCCACTGACAGCAAGGAGAAGAGGGAATTCCAGACGCTTATTTATGTTGGAGTCGAAGCAGCAGATGAAGGGTGATCTGAGAGAAAGAGAGCCTGTGAGCTCACAGTACCTACCGAAATGTATACACACTCTTTACGCGACGGCATCGTGACCAGAAACGTACTCCTCCATTCGAGCCCTAAGTGCATCTCCGGTCCTGTTTCGTATTGATCGTCAAGAGGAGAACTCTGATATCCAATAGTGCAGCATGCATGAATCAAATTGTGGTCAAGCAGGCAAAGTCGAGGCGGACGAATTCTTCTGTGACTCGTGGAAGAACGTATATCATGGCGAGGGGTTACATGCATCCGGCCGTATCCTCACACAGGCTATACTGAATGGCCGTTACCGTTGTATATGGGGGTTCGTAACATGTGGTAGATGGACAAGATGAAGCGAGGGCTGGAGTGGTGGAGAAAAAGGTTCGAAACGCGCCAAGGCAAATTGCAGGTGTTTCATCCACGCCGAGGTTCGCTTCCACGACATGCCTTCCTCTTTCGACACGGAGCAGGAATGATACAAGTCTTCCCGAGCGCATAGTACGCCTACTAGACTTTAGGCGTAAGCAAGTCATAGTCACCAGGCTGTTCTACTGCATTACCGCTGCACTACTCACCTCGCATATGAGATCGATCGTTGTTCGCACGCGTCGTCTTTCCCAGCAGTGATGCAGCTATGACCTCAACCTAGCGCTTGTGGGCGCAGAAAGTCCAGTAATCGGCATACCCAATTTCGAGATGTGAGGGACATGTCAAACGCGCGAAAAGGTCTGAAATTTGAGCGCGAAGTTGCTCACGGACTGAGCACCTTTCAGCTTGTCGCTGCTGTCATTCCGCTGGGATAATATATTAGCAAGTAACCCCCAAGGTGAGGCCGAGAATCCAGTCGGCGGCCACGAAATTAACCCACACAGCCTTGGGATAGCATCTCATTGCAACATGTCTCCGACTACCAGAACTCGCGCCAGCACGTCAGGAAATGTGTCACGACAGCACTTCGCTCTACTCGGACGACGAGAGAGTATGCAAAGTTGGGGATGCCTGAAAAGGCCTTGAGAAGCTCTTCAAGGCCATATGAGTCGATATCTCGAGACGCTCAATCCCAGCATCGCGCTTTTCATGAGCCAACTCGGATACTGACTCATATCAAAGATTTGCATCATTCAAGACGGCTGTGACTCTCTTTGGTCAGACATGGTACAAGGACAACCTCCGATCTCGACGGACATTTTTTTCACCTTCAGCTGAACAAGGAAAATTTCTTCGCCGTAAGACCCACCACCTGGCCCAATAAGAGGTACTCATTGGCCATATTTCCCTCGAAGCCTCAGCAGTCATGTCGACCATCAGACAAGCCATCTAGCGCAGGACGATAGCCACACCGTCGGATCTCTTGAACAATCTACCTCTCGAATTGCTGTTGAATGTTGCAGGATTTTTGCCGGTTGAAAGCCTTGCTTGCCTTTCTCTCACCTGTCACAATTTCTACGAGAACACCTGTCTTCGCAAGAATTGGACTCTTGCCATCCGGACCATAAAGTTCTCTTTCAAGCACATGTCATGTTGGACTCCGCTCGGCGAAGGGAAACTTAAATTTTCTAGCACTGATTTTGACCGACCTTCCGTGTCACTTGCTATGTGGTAGATGCTTCCGCCTCTGAATGCCACAGGAGCATCTAAGCAAATGGCTCGATTGCGGAAACTGCCACGGCACTATCCGCGACAACTACGACAGCGGCATAAAACTGATCTTCAACAAGACCTTACCCTGGTGGTTTATTAGAGCTGTAACCAGACACGACAGACAAGAGTCAGGCCAAAAGATACTCTTGGACCGCATCTCACTTCAGACCGATTGGCAGACCCGTTACAGTGGCAGTGATCTGGATCCACAAATTCGTACGTGGCTGACAAAATCAACCATTGAGCCAAGGGTATTTGACAAAGAATTGATGATACATACCTTTCAACGGGTACTGTTCGGTCTAGAATACGTGGCTTTGCTCGATACAGGACAAAATGAGTTCAGTCGTGAGCTAGGCCAGAGAATGCCGAGTCATGTCTTTACATCTGCGAGCACACTCATCACGGCAGACTTACGCTCATGGTGGAGATGCTGCTCAGATCGCATCCTAGCCCTAGCGGGTTTAGTGTTCTGAAGTCCTCAGTTCGCAATTGCGATCAATACTTAGTTGATTACACCTATACAGTATGCAAACACTTGGGTGGAGCTTTTGAGTTCGCCGTCGATACGTGGAGGAACGCAGGTCCTTGCCATGAGAACCGCGACTTGGAAGGCATGTACTGTCCACACAGAGATCTCGGTGCTAAAGCTCTCCACGGCAGGGGGTCTGAAATGGAGCCATGCGCTCCTGTCAGCGAGATGACCACCGGCTGGGTTCGCAAAGGCAATGAAAGCAATCTTCACAGTTCTACAATGACTGAAAATAGAATGGGCACTGTGGCAGAAGCACTGCCTAGCATAAGTCGAACGAATTCAGCAAGATCAAAATCTCTGAACAAAACGCATATCGAGGATTAAGAAATGGTAAACACCGGAGTCGGCAATGCCCCGAGTGATGGTATAGATCGGAATGGCTGACACCAACTGTGTTTGTTGACTGTGGGAACAGAAGTTCAAGCCTTCACTCCAGACTGTCGGTGTATTACCTATCTTACACTTGGACTATCTGAGGGTTGGACATGGAGCAGAATCTTCTTAATGGCCATCACGGTCGACGTCGGCCGACAACATCTAACCGAGTATACACCCACCTTCCTGCTGACGATCTCAACACGTCATAAGAAGTAGCTTGTATAAGCCTCCATCATAGTGCCTACCATCTCGATGATCTGTATGCGGATCAAGGTCGATGTTTGCGGGGTTATGGTGGGGTTATCGGCCCCGACGCCCGATTGACTCGAAGCTCCTCTGTCATGCAGCTCTGGTGTGGACGATTTCTAACAAAAGTCCACGGCAGTTACTTGTGAGTCGTTTTTGACATGGGACGTCTCTGCCGATGGTGACTTCCCACTGCAAAATGCTACCTTGGAAGCGGGGCAGCTCCATTCAGTATACCACGAGATCACCGAGTGAAAGGTGGGGTTGTATTAGAGGGAGGAGGAATGGGTACTCAGACACCGATAACTGACTCATAGCTATAAAGCTGCTACTGGTTACACATAATCGAAATTAGAGATCACTAACCTGCATCATGGTCAACACCAAGGTCTTTTCTGTCGGCTTTGTGCTGATCAATGCTGCATACGTAGCCGTCGCCAAAAGGAACAACAACCATGAGACCTCCGTACCTACAGTACACGTCAAAAATGGCACCTACACAGGTTACTACGCTCCAGCTTATGGGACGGACAACTTCCTTGGGATGCCATACAGTCAACCTCCAGTAGGCGATCTGCGATTCCGCGTCCCACAGTCTCTCAACACTACCTGGTCTGGGTCCAAGAACGCTACCGAGTACAGTCCAGAATGTATTGGCTATGGAAGAGATACCTGGAGTCAAGGCAATTACGTCAGTGAAGATTGTCTGACATTGAACGTTGTCAAGCCTGTCGGCTCATGTCAGAACCTCCCGGTACTCGTATGGATCCATGGAGGCGGTCTGGTGATGGGTGGAAGTGGAGACCGTCGTTATAATCAGTCATTCATCGTTGAGCAGTCTATGGAAGCAGGCATGCCGATCATTGCCGTCAGTATCAACTATCGTCTGTCCTCATGGGGTTTCCTCTATGGACGCGAAATTCAGGAGTCTGGTAACACCATGAACGGATTCAGAGACCAGCGTCTTGCTCTACGCTGGGTTCAGGAGAATATCGCTGCCTTTGGCGGTAATCCGAACCAGGTCACTATCCAAGGCGAATCTTCCGGTGGCACCAGCGTCGGCGCGCAAATACTCGCTTACAACGGTAGAGACGATGGGCTCTTCCATGGCGCGATCGCAGAGTCTGGAGCTCCCGTCGGTGCTGGAGTTGACTTTGATGTTGACGATTGGGAGCCCATCATCGCAAACATCAGCAAAGCCACTGGGTGTCAAGGCACTGACTCTGTGCTTGACTGTCTCCGCAAAATCCCAGTCGACCAACTCAACGCCGTGATCAACTCTACCGTCACAAGAGGTGCTCGCTACGGCCCTGTCGTTGATGGAGATTGGTTCACTCAGACTGCAACCAAAGCTTTGGCCAATGGCGACTTCCTTAAAGTCCCATACATCATCGGTGTCAATGAGGCCGAGGGCGTTGGCTTTGGACCTCAGCGTATTAACACAACCGAGGAGATCTTTGACTATCTTGTTGGATCTGGCTATGACAACTTGACTGCTCATGAGATTTCGATTCTGTATCCTGACATTCCAGCGATCGGTGTACCCAGCACGCTTCATGGAAGACCAAATGCCACTTTCGGACTCCAGTTCAAGCGCAGTTCGGCCATCGCTCAAGACCTTAGCATGAATGCTGCCAGACGTCTGACGGCGCACTGGTGGGCTAGACACGGAGCCAAATCGTATACCTAGTAAGTACTATCTTTGATACCTACAATGGCAGATACTGATTTTGTCTGTAGCATCTTCAATGCCCTGGTCAATGGACTATCCTACTTCGCAGGAGCAGTTCATTTCCAAGAAGTTGCCTTTGTCTTTTACAACACGGAAGGTCTCGGCTACCCACAGAACGGCGGTCCCAATCCTCTGGGAGGGTCCGAACGTGAATCACTCGTCGTTCTTGCCAAGCAGATGTGTCGAATGTGGATCAGCTTCGTCAACTACGGCGATCCGAATCAAAATCTTGGTCGTGGGTGCCCCTCTCTGTTACATGGATGTCACCCATACTGATATCAGACACAGTCTCTGCAGAGCATTGGAATGCCGTCGATGCCGACGAGCCCGAGTACTATTATTTCCAGCAGAACACGACTTCAAGATCCTTGCCAGATCTTGTCCGTGCAGAAGGTGTAAGCTACATGGAAGAGCTTATCATGGCTCGTGGCGGTAGAAATTGCACTGGTATCGTCGCCTGTGGCAGCATTTATGACGGTGAGCTCGGCAATCTATAGGTTATATCGGACCTGGATGGATACTGGTGAGTCGCTCATATCCGAATTGACCGATGGAGGATAGAGATGAGAGGTCATCTCGAGATATTCGTTGCCGTGTCGAACAGGAGGTCGTATGCACGACTGGCTGTGTAGAAGAAAGCAACACAAATTGGGAAGACATCCTGAGTTCCAAAGACATCAATGATGTGCATTAATAAGCACTGAGCGCTATCATACCGGATTTCTCATGTGAATCTCGATATACTGCGAAGAAAGTGCTCCAGTTTTTGACTTGCTTTTCTAGCAAGTCGGATCCCGCCTCATGTCGAAAGGTCGGTGCGCTTGTGCAGACCTTCACGTATCCACTCTGAACATGCATAAGTCTTGACAATGACGTCTTGTTGTTTGGGATCTTCGACAGTGACTTATGATGTGGTAGCTCTGGGTGGAATATTATACATAGGATACGCGCTTGCCTGTGTCGTTGCTCTTGTAGATGGCATCGACCCAAGCATGACGCTTGACAGCCCACTTCCAATCAGGGTAGTACGAACCATCAGCGAAGGCCTCGTACAGTCTTGCAACATTTCCAGGAGGACCTGGCCTGTCTTCGGTGAATTCGATATCCTTCGTCTCATCCGTCTCGAACAGCTGCATCCTGATTTTGATGTTCAGTGACATACTGAGAGCAAAGGTCTCTTCACCACGAATCTCGATAACACCTTTGTCTCCTTCAATTCGCCAGAGAACAGCAGGTCCGTCCATGAATGGTTTACCACCCGACACTACCGCTGTTGAATGCGCTCCGTTAGCAAGAATGCCAGACATGGTGATGTGATCAGCAGCGGTGCGTCGAATGGTTTTCACAACTTGCGAACCGTCATCGGACTTGATCTTAATGTCTGGAAATTGGACAGACAGTGTCGCGGAAACATCTTGGAGCTCGCCGAGAGTGTAGCTCACAGCATCATACAAGTGTCCGAATGGGATGACCAGCAGATTGCCGCCAATTTCAGCAGAGTTGAGGTACTCCATGGACTGAGTGGCTTCTTGACCGCCTATCATGCCAGCTTGGCTGATACTACTGCTAACAACACGACCGATTGCATTGTCCTTCTCCAGTAGCTCTTTGATACGGCTGATGACAGGGCTCATTTGGCTCTGCAGACCAATCATAGTCTTGACACCTTTGCGCTCGGCAAGCTCGAGTAGCTCCGTGGCTTGTTCGAGGTTCGAGGCAAGAGGCCACTCGACGAAACAATCCTTTCTAGCCTCGATGGCGGGCTTCATAGCCTCGTAGTGTCGATCGACTCGGACACAACATACAACCAGATCGACATCAGAGCTTGCTGCCATATCAGCTACAGAGCCATATGCTTTCGCAGTATTTGATAGTCCGTGGGCGTCGATGGACTTTTGTGATGACTCGACCGAAGTATTGCAGACACCTGTTATCCTATATTTCGACGAGTCTTTGAGGGAAGGGAGGTGAGCAGTCACTCCCCAAGACCATCCATCGGCGGACAGGCCGATAATGCCAACACCAAGAGGTGCCATGATAAATTGGTGATGCTAGCGTACGGTGAATATAAGCCAGAGAGAGTACGAGGAGCGTGTGGAAGTTGTTTGGCAAAGCGAGTTGTCTAAAACTGGTGTCGCAGTCAGTTTATAACGTATTGTGATTAATCTACGAGGTGCCAAAGATGTAGACTGTCTGTATAAGCGATGATGACCAAGCTAGAGCTGCTCTGCGCACGATGCGGGACGGATGGCTCGAATCCGGGCAAGTCAGCAGCGGCGGATGCGGAAAGCTGTCGGGCGCGCACTTGCCTTGACATCCGGCGGCACCAACCACGGACTGTTCCGAATGGGGCAGGTCTTGGCCCGAACATTGTCACATAAGGTGCACATTTGGATCATGTCCGTCATTAATTAGGCATTCACAATCTCGGGGTTATTTAGCGAGACAAGTACAACATCATCACCATACCACCGTTGTGTTTTTACGCTGTAGCTTCGATGTATCCCACTCCACTCGGTCATTACACCGAGTTCCTTCGGCGTCCCCATATCAAGATGTTGACGATCCATGGCTAATCTTGACCACGCGCATCTCATGACACTGGCTGGGGTTCAAACCAAAAGCCACAAAACCAGCGTTATCCGCTCTATTTTCCCTAAAGATCGAGCTCAACATCTAACAGTTATCACAAGCATGCGAAATTCGCAGACAGCCGAGAGTTGATTCGGTCGTACGCACGCCAATCTTGCCCTAGATCTTTCGAGGCCCGCTGTGCGTCATGTGTTGTCACAAACATCTTTCGACCATCTTTGAACAATCGCGCTGGCATCTCAAGGCCTCAGTATGAACTATACAGTTGTGCTCGATGATAGGGGCGATACGCTGATATTACTCAGCAATATCGACCCTTCGGACATTGCAGCAATTCCTGAGCCTGAGATTCTTGGTCCGCCGACAGGCGTATCTGACGAAGCCACCATCGGCTTTGACGCAGCACAAGACGCCAAGCTGTTGATGTCCTTGTGGCAACTGCTACAAATGCTCAAATAGACATTATCACATCTACTGCGCAATCATCAGCAGCAACAAATAAGGTCTTCACCAAAAGAAGCCCTAATGGTGGAGTGAGAGGCAACATTTAGCGCCGCGATCTGACCAATCCAGTCGACACTTCGCCATATATGAGCATCGCCAGTACATCCATATATTCAGATGCTAATATTGCTTGCAGGATGTCCCTTCGGGATATACGCCAGCTTTCGTTGGTCACCAGAGAGCAACACAGGACCGTATATATCCGGCCTATCTGACCCCCTCGAGATATGATCCCGCCCCTTTGCACCAAGACATGCGGTAAGGCCAGCTCCTGCGCGGTTGGTAAGTATCGAACATCATCAAACCTCTCAATATGACTGATCGATTGCTATATCTCGAGAGAGACCCCGATAGTAATAACAGCCCTGTGGGTAGCATCAAATGCTCATTGTGCAGCATGCCTCAAACCACATTAATTAAATTCACGACAATCACTACAGCTTAGTCCACCGTAACGATAACCACGATCGCAAAGAAAAACAAATGCCAAGAGTGCGCGGACGGTCAAGTGATCTACTCCGACGCCCCCTATGCATATAACACGAACAGAAAAATCGTGGTCCTACCCACTGCTTATGCCAGTATAAATGGCGCTTATGTAAATGTGACCACAACTGACTCGGGGAAGAGGGCTGCGAATTCGGTTGCTGTATCGAGTCTATCATTAATCCCTGGGTGGCCCGCTGTTAAGATGTCTGCTGCCTGTTCTCAACTAGCCACAGGTCATTCAACAGCCACAATCACGGTCACGACATCAACTCCCCTCATTATCAAGACTGGTATCACAACAACCATGACCCAGACTTAATATGCAGTGGCCATCGAGACAACTTGCGTTGGCACGAGGACTGGGCTCATTGACTGATCGAAATCCATCGTATTGGGCCTGTGGGTAATGGCTTTCACTTCATCGATACGAGGTAGCTCAAAGATGCTTGGAAACCCGCTGACAGACAGCTTCATCTTGACAAACTTTGGTGGAGGCACTTCTTATCTCTACCATCCCATGTCAGACATATGTGCCACGCTTCAACCTGTCATGTCTAGCTCGATTGCCATGCAAAAGTACGACGGCGGCTCCTCACACTTGAGCCGTGTGGTCGCAGCATTATCCCAGCAGAGAACCCGGCGTGGCTATCGACCCCCCGCTTGTCCAAGGGTCAGTGTGTTATGGCTATTGGAGACCGCGGAAGCCTCTGGCCGAGCGGATTCTACTCTGCAAACAACAACAACGGTCAGATTTTCAGTGTGAAGGCCGGTGACGGTGCTTGTTTCTACTTCGCTCAATTCTGCGACCAAAATTGGAGACGGTAACGAATTCACATTTTTCTTCCAAAAACTGCTCTCATGGTCGAGCATACGCCGAGTCTCGATTGTGTCTTCTAACAAAGTGTATTCGTGTTTCGAGCTTGTTTGATCCAATGACCCCCGGTTCCGACTATGTGGACTTCAGAAGAATTACGCGAAGTGGACGCGGCAAGCTGACCAGAGATGTGCGGCTGGCATTCCGAGGCAGTGAGACGCATGGTGCCGCTAATGCAAGACACATCTATCGATGGCCAGTATCTGGGGACGGAGCAACCGCCGCAGACCGACTCGTTTCTATTTCCAACAAGGGACGTCCGAAAGCCCTGGCTCAAATTCGACTCAATTTCGAGCATAGTATGGCGGCAAGGACTAGCAAAAAAGGCCTCAGCAAACATACCATAACTCAAGAATAAATTCATCACGATTGAGAATCGCGTTACCGCCACCAGAACATATCACAATGCAGGAACCATCGTGGTCACTGCACTTCCTCATGATCTTGTGACATGTCAATCTGTCAAAGCGCGGAGAGAACGAATTCCGCAGACCGTCGGGCCATGCAGCGATTTCCATCTTGGACATTGTTAATTCCAGGTCTCGCGACACTTGCATCTTCAAACCGGAACCACATTGCCGACCACAAAACAAACTGACAGAAACTTGATCAGGTACGCGATCGGAATATGTGATTAGAATGCAGAAACAGAATCGTCATCCATTATGCAGGAAAGCACGATCCCAGAGACCGGGGTTGAAATTGACAGGTTGGAAGAAGCAGGGGCGGCTATGCAGCTAACTCGATGGAGTCATGCAGCCGCTTTTCTGGAAACAGACTCCATGTTTGTTACCGCATCCTTGAGAAAGTTGACTTGTCGAATTGATACAATCTGCGGTGAAGATGAAATATGCCATTGTACGAATTCGAGTTTTATGGGAAGCGATCATTGCTCCGCTGAGAATTGAGGTAAGTCGTCCTATATAAGAACTTCCATGGTCGTGTAGGTCGAACCCAGCTGATCATCTACAATTCACTTATCCATACCCCAAACATACAGCATCTCGTTCACTTTCGATCCCATCAATTGTCCGCAGCTCCAATTCGAAGCTCCATCCACCACACAAGCAATGGTTCAACCCATGCGAATTGATGCCCGCGAGTGTGCACCTCAGCCATGCGCTTCTCTTCCTGAAAACACTGCTCTGTCGCCTTGCATCAATCATACTGTCTCGCCAATACTTGGTCCCGTAAGTCTCGATCGCTATCATCAGGCCAACTTTCAATGCTCATGATACCAGATCGCGTTCGCAACTCGCCAATGTGTCTGCGGCCGTTTCGTCATCGCTGGAAAGCGTTGTACATGTGGAAAACAAAATTGAGCCCACACATCTTGTCCAATTTCCCACTGAATCCGTGCAGAAGTTCTGGGTAGCTCTTTGGCCGTACACACACGAGGAACTTGATGTTCCAGGACTGCTATCTGCTGATTTGTGGCACATAATGTCCCTCTGACTTCGAGTACTGTGGCCGTCGGCGAGACAACTTTCTTATTGCCTGCTTTCTTATGTCTCAAGGATCTCATGAGCTTTGCTGGCTCTGTGCTATCCTGTAGGATCAACAATCTCCATATTTGCTTTCTGTATCATAAGAACAGACTTCTTAACTTTATCCGTCTGTATCAGTTTTACCACAATCTAAACCTAGTCACCGCTTCGTTCTACGCAGAAATATGTTACACTTGGAATCTCCTGCATAGTGCATCTGTGGCGAATAGGATCAATGTATGAGCTCCATCGACCAATCTACTCGATGCTCATAACATCATGCGAAAAGCACATGCCTACTTCCATTGGCCAATTCAAACTTCCAAACATCACTCTTTCCTTGAGGCTTTCACTCGAGGAATGAAGTTTGCGCTTCGTAACAATTCCGCGGTTAATATTGTGACGTCTTGTAACTTTCGACACGGCAAGTATGAACCAAGGGCCTCGCACTGCCCATTTGAACCAACTTCTGGGAAAGGGCAAGCGAATATCCCATCTGCCTCCCCAAATCTCATCATTGACTTCACCTTCTCTTCCCTTCCCCCTCTTGTCCTTTCCGTCAACATCCATTTCTTCAACACATCCACCCCTCCTCCTCCCATCCAGATTTCCCAAAATCACAGGTTTCTCTCAGCGACGGACCCGTTCACGCGAATCCCCTACTCCAATGCCTGATTCGTCAGGGGGAGATCCAGCAGACCACAGTTCACAGGCTTCACTCTGCTTTATTGCAAGTTTGCTCCTGTTGCGTGTGCGTCGACCGGGACGGTCTAGAAGCGGTTGACCGATCAAGACATACATACCTGACATATTGAGGACGTTGGCTCTAGCGCCTCTTTTCGAAAATGTCGTGTTCTTGTTTTGCTGTTTGGTCTTGCCGAGGTCGTGTGGGATTTCTGTCAGTCGATCTCGTTGTCAAGGTTATTTACCGCTTCGTACCTCCGTTGTTATCTACGAAGCATTGCCTGGACAGGTACAACTCCGACCGGACAAAGTGGAATGCACGATCGTCTTGTTATCGCCATGTACAACGACCATGTGGACATCCAATGCGAGCTACCAAGTTTGTAGGCGCGTTTACCCTTTTTGACCAGCTATCAATCATTTGGACGGGAGAATCTGACAAAAAGGCCATTTCAACAAATCATTTCTCATTTCGCTCACATCCTTGCTGACGGTCTTAATTCATCCTCTGTATCAGTTGTGGCACTCGATCAAGCACTTTCGTTCAATTTGCGTCGTTCGGATCAATCGCTCGCGGTAACCTCTGCTGAGGCCCGTGCTGCAACACCTGCTTCCAGATCTTGCTCCTTCACGTGACGTCTGTGTAGCAAGCTTGGAGTTGGCAAGTCTTCGCCGATCCCGTTGTCTGTTTCCGGGCCTGAATGAGGCTCGGACATATGGACTGATGCCGTAGAGCGAGAGGCAGCATCGGTCGAACGATCAGAAGCTCCGGCGCCTACGTCGCTTCTTGACATATCGAACATCCAAGGATCCTCTTGTTCGAAGGTTCCGTCATTATCGCTATTGTTGTCTTCCTGCTGTGCGTCATTACTCATCGGCCTTCCAGTCCACTTCGTGTTTCGTCGACGATAAGACCAGCGTATAGCATTGAACACCTTCCTCGGTGTCAAATCCCATACCATCTGTGCAGTCGTCTCGATAATGTATCGTAGAATGAGCCATTCTGAGGGCTGTGGCTGTAGCTTAGGCGGCTTAAACTGCCGGAACCGAGCAGCTATTGCGATCCACTCTCGACGTGAACCTGGTAGATTGGATGATGTTTCGCTGGACACGCCGTTATCAGAGGTATCTATATTGACATGATCGGCCATGTGATCGATGATTCTTGATCTGAAAGTACTATATACTTCACTTAGTAGTCTGACGATCTGATTGAGATTGAAGGTCACCAAGTATGTTGCTATTGCCGTCAAACACATGGCGAGCATAAGTCCGGTCCAGCTGAAAGTATTTGTGGTCGACCACAGAGACTAGCTCATGTCAGGACTGGTGATTGAATGCTGGAGATTGACTTACTGTACAGAAGCTCAACGGAAGGTAAAAAATGCTCACGTATGTAAGCAGTCGGACGTTCTCGCTTAGCCGATTGGCAGCTCGGCTTTCCAGCACAGCACTGGCGTTGAAGAGCTAGCCTTCATCAGTATCATTCGGACGTAGCATATGTCGATAGCTTACTCCGTCTCTCAATGCTAGGACCCTCGAGTGCAGAAGCGAAGCACGCTTCATCGTACGATTCAATCGAACCATCTGCGGGTCCAGTGCCTCTAATACTTTGAGCTCTTTTCCGGCCAACACTGCTCTGTCCGGATAAACCCGATTGACGAGCTCGAATAACCTTTCGCAGTTTAAACGTGTCTCCTCGAGCATTTGTTTGTATGCCGATAGACTGCTGAGCATCCAGAAGTACCTTCTTGATCTAGAGAACTGTTCGTCGTCAAAGAGTAGCCGATCATGGCGATCAGGATCGACTATCTCGTTGTGGACGTTCACCATGCTTTCCATATATCGCAGCAGGGAATCCCACTCTTCCATAACCCGCTTCAGGACCATGGACGTAACCAAGCATATCGTCAAGGGCAATGCAAGCAGAGGCTCACGGACAAGTCGCTCGATGTCGTCGAATACTAGATCTCTCGACGCTGTCTGGACGCGGCAGATCCAGTTTTGATCCCGTGTCGTGGTGTCCGTATCGCTCCATTGAGCCCATATCTGGTTTGCTTGTCAGATACTCTGCACGAAATTATGATTTTACACACTCACAGAACAAGCCTTTCCATGCAAGCTGCGTTCATAGGGGGCATCGTAGAGTTTGCCTGAAGGCCATGCCCAAGCTGGATCCGCATTCCTCGGCTTCGGATTAGAAGAGTACCAGCAGACTGTCATGTTAATGTGACCTTCGTTCTGGAGATCCCCAAAGGTGTAAAGATCCTGATAGAACCCCTTATCATTCAAGTTGAAGAGTTCTGTGACGGATCTCGACTCAAACCCCTCTTGGAAGCTGAAAATCAAGTCAGTGACCCAGTCGTCTCATCTGCTCACTGCACTCACATCAATCGTTGTGATCGGAATTGACTTTCGACCGAACACCTATCGCTCTTGTCTGTTTCGATAGCCGTCATTTGCTTTGCGCCATGCTGTTGTTCTAGCTGATCCGGCTCCAATTTCCAGGCGCGATATTCCGCATCAAAGTGGCCAAATTTGGTGACCCATGGCTCTAGCCTGTCATTGTAACGATATATGTGGGGTCCCACGCCGTATAGATCATTCACTCCGTTAACATGGACTCTCACGAAGAAAGCAATCCCCGTTCGCATCCCGCGAAATAGTCGTCGCAGATCATGGTCATCAAGGCGGCGCTCCATGCTATGGATCGGGATATGGAATCCGCCCCTGTCAGCGTAAAAGTAGGAAGGCAGTCGGCCATCAGACGTGTGGCCTGCGAACCGTATTGGTATGTAGCCTTCCGTGCGGACTTCTGGAAAATATGCGGATGTAGATCGAAATGAGCTTTCGGAATCGATCTCTGTTTCTAATGGCGCGCTTTGATCATAAGCATTGTAAACAGATCCTTGACCATTTGTACATACCTGGTAGTACTCATCTCGTCCAACTCTATAATTCTTTAAGGCTCAGAGTGGATGATGTAACGTTCACAAATCCCAAGACAAAGATACCACGTCAAGAGAGTTGTCGTAGGTAGGACCCGCAGCCACGGCAAATCCTATTGGTGGTCAATAATGACTGCGATCTCCAGATTGATGCAGCAATTTGGCAAAACTTCGGGTACTTCCGCGCATTGAGAATCAATTCGAGGGATCGTTCGCTTGAAAAGCGGCTTCCTTTTCGATTGTCGTTATTCTAGCGGAGCTAATGGTGTCGCGCCCTCCGTTCTTGCAAAGAATGGACTTCCTCCAGAACATTAAGTTTTGATGTATACATTGTGCATATGCAGACCGTTGGGAAGTGTGAGGCTTGGAGACTGCTTGTTCTGAGCTTGATGATACTATTCCTTCGTTGAGATTTTTATATATGGCGACACACAGCTGTACGCATTATCCAGCCGCTGCGAAGATATCGTAGAAACTCACAGTTGATCCCGGCTCGTACGCAGGCCACCCTCCAACCCTCTGATAGAGGCTGCCCCTGATCTTGAGCCATCTTTTGAGAGTTTTTTGGTGCTCACCAGAATATGCTTGTGAGGGTTCCTCGACTACAGGCCCCCTCTGCTGGATGACCGTGAAGAGGAACCGCAAACCGTCAAACCGTCGTGAAGGGCGTGAAGCCTAACAGTAACTCTACACAGTAACCTCTATTGCCGTTCGATGATTTGATCAGTAGGTGACACAAACACGAATGTTGACGCGTCGGAGATGGTGGGTTTCGCACGTATATGAAACTGTACCAACCGAGTCGCCGACATGCATGGCATCCAAACATCCTTGAGATGACAAGGCGCAGTGCTCTTCGAACGCCAAGATGAGAACCTGACCACTCAATGCGTGCTTACAATAGGTATACTGTACTCAAGACCAGTCAAGTGTCAAATACAACTGCCCAGCCTGGTGCTGCTGCAAACCATCTTTTTGCTTGTGTCCCAACAGCCACAATGACCAGTGTCCGCAACTCGACATATTCAATGCACAGTGTGGCTGATGCTCACCTATTGGCAATGCTGGATGGCAAGCAAGACGAGTGCGGACTCGCGACCCAAGTCTCCAGACTCTCGGCATTCTTTCCCACAAAGCTTCTGGAAACAATTTTGATCGTTCCAGGCACTTCGCGCTGCAAGGATGAGACCGACATGTCTGGAAACAGGCTATCAGCAACCTCATTCGATGACATGCAGAGATCAATCCAAGTCATTGGACTCCCAAAACCTGAGAGGTCAAAGTCCAGGCTGAAACTCTCTTCCGAGTCTGAACGCATCATCGAGGACGCGGCAGATGATGATCTTTTTCAAGACCAGGATTACGACCCTGAACCACAGATGCAATACTTGGCACCTGATAAAGGGGTGGTCGCGTTTACGCCCAAGCACCGTCAGCAAGGCTGTGGATATCGTCACCCACCGTACTCTGGACCGTGTGTGAGAACCAACTGTTGTGGTTATGGTGGAGGATATCGTGCTCCTCAGCGACCGCCGCCGGCTTACTTTCCAGGGTGCAGACGGCAACGAAGGTGTGGAGGTGGATATTACAATGGTACAGGTGGCTATGGGTATGGCAGAGGTGGGCATCCAGGTTGCGGTGTGCTTTATGCCCAAAGGCCGATACTTATCCGACGGCATCGCGGTTGTTGCTGTTGTTGACGATTTTTGGTCAGGGCAGAGCCTCGGGCTTAGAACTGAACTGGAGGCCCAGTGGAGCTGATTGTTGGCGATAGAATAGGCGGGACGGCCTCCGGTATCTTGTTGACAGAATCTAGCCCTCACCCCTTGAGTCAGTGATCTTCAAGATCTTTGGTACAGTTCATTAAGTCGTGTTACGCGAATTAGGTGGGGTTGTGATGAGCCGCGATCAATGCCGGCCTTATATTGAATCGCATGAATTGATCCATAGAATCGCTGATATGCCGTCACACAGTGGCCCATGAGCTCCGTGCAACATGGCCAACACCTGGTTGGGACTTTCTAGAAGCAGACGTTGCTCGACATCCCTGTCAGATCGCATCCCGGCTATCGTGAAACGCCACGTGAACACTGCGATAGGGTCCACTCGGCAGTGCAATAGATTACGAGGATCAAACCTCGAGTACTCATCCTTGCACGTGGTTGGGAAAGATTCGAAGATCTGGTCGAGTTTGACGCCTGAGCGACACGAAACAAGAGGCTGAAGTTTGTGTTGTGTGCTTCGAGGAAAGATCAAATCCGGGAAGAGCCGAGAAGGGAGCGGCTTGCATCGACCTGGGCAACACAAAAGGTGGAGAGCCGATTGATCTCATCACCATCATGCAGATGCTGACACTGCAGCAAACATGTTGACGACCGCTTTCTCAACATTCTGTCAGCTGATCTTTGTTTGGCTGAGATGCCTGGCATCTTTTGTAGACTCCATTGCAGTTCGATCCTGGAGGTAAATCCTATCCCGACCCTAGTCAGCGTTTCTGGGCAGACACCTCGGAGAATGGTTCTTGTGTTTAGAAAAGGTCAATCTTGTGTTAAGGTCATTGCGAAGTGTTCGCACCGAATATCCCTCGATTTTCAAGACATGACAATGTGGATGCGGATGATGGTTGCGTTGCGAATGGAAGTCAACATATGGAAGGAAAGCCGACTTCGGACTTTCGGGAATGCCGAACAAGCCTCGAGTGATTGAGAACAGCGATTGGAAGAAGTTATCCGTAACGCGAGGCGAACAAATTGAGGTGCATGATCAACATCAGGAAGTCGGCAAGGTGCATTTGCAGCCCTCAGATGCGCGCACTGTCGCACGCAATCTAAAGAGCACTGCGCGTCTTACAGTCCTCTCTGCTCAATGAGCTCACTGATCCTCGAGAAACCACGCAGATGTTCGGCTGACAGCCTGGCAAATTTTGAAAAGCAGCGAACACAACGTTGAAAATCTAACAAGGATGTTTGGTCGTGACGGCTCCAGAGTCGGGTAGATAACAGTGGCTACCTGCCCAGATGACAGGGAATATACTCGTTTAAGAGCAGTAATGAACATCACCCGGCGTAACGAAGGAAAATTGATTGCTGCGAAACAAAGGGCTTCGGAACATAGTGCTTTTGAAATTGGGCTACAAATTGCAAAGCGTTCAGAGCAGGCATCTTGTGTATCGCAGGATCAACAGTAAGAATAGACCAAAGCGGCATTCTTGTCTGTAGGTTCGGCAGTGATGAGTGTTGTCGAGTCGTCGAGTGGTAGATGGCCGGGGCTCTTTGCAGTAGGGCGAGTTTAAAAGGTCCACAGCATGTTACGAGGCGCAGGATTGAGGTCGTCTGATCCGGCAAAGCACCCCTAAAGTCGAAATTCGAGCCGTGCGTTTCTCCAAAACAGTTTAATGCACGAGCTGCCGATCCCGTCCCCCCCCATCGGACTGCGCTGCGACGGACGCGGTGGCGCGCTGTAACTGGTCTTGACTGCGCAGTTGCAGCTTAGTGGTTACGGAGTCGACTTGATTGATCTTCACGTCCACGGCTGTCTTTTCTTTTCCCCCCGCCCGACACTCCTTCCCAGCACTGTTCAGTCTGCCTGCTGCCGTCTGCCTCTCGCTCTTCCCATCTCATCAACCGCTACAGCACACACGCCTGGACGCCGGTCGTGCCAGTGGAATTGGCACATTTGGATTCGACGTTTGAAAGTCAAGCTGAAACACGATTGTGGGACTTGAGCGATTGCAACGTGGGGTTGTACAACGACATTCTACAAGCTTCAACGACGATATAACGACGACATGGCTCCGAGCTTCACCTCACGTCCACGCTCGTCGCGCGACTCGAGACCGGCCAGTCGAGCAGACGACGACCTTGTCATCCCGGATCGCACCTCGTCGCTACATTCGCGCATCACACAGCCTCTGGCATCGCAACTAACCCAGCCGCGCAATGGCCAGCGAACTCCAAAGACCCTCACCCATGCTTACATGGTGTGTGGCGTCGGTCGTGAGCCGTCGCAATGGGTCAAGGCTCCTCCGCCATCCCAGGGAAAGATTGGACACATGAAGGGCGCTGTTGGTCAGTTCTGGCTCCCTGAGATTCTAGGGAGCAGTCCGAGGCTGGAACAGGACAACGACATCGCCCGCGCCCTTCATGCTGCGATGAGGGTATGTCTACACGCCATGTCCGCGAGTCCATTGTACTGATCATTTCCAGGCATGTTTCCCTCATGACGTCGAAATTTGCACAGGCACCATGCAACCTCACTGTGTACACCATGCATTCGTTCTCCAGCAAGATTCTTCACACACTCTTTACGGTATTGCCCTCCGCGTCTGGTCTCGCGCTGATGAGAAGCGCGCTGAAACAATTCGCGAGCTGAGAAAACGTACCGAGACCGACTACTACGAGACTCCTGGCGAGACATACTGGATTCCTTACTGCTTGAGTTTCCTTTCTAGATACCCCTTGTATAACCTGCTCGGCGACTACCTTCGTGGCATGTGGATCCACTGGAACAAGGCTACTAACCTCTTCCATGCAGAGGAAGTCTCTCGCATACTCAGTTTCCCTGCTCCTAGGCTCAACGACCTTGTCCGTATCGACATGAAGGACTACGCTCTTTGCTACCAATTCCCTTCTTCTCCTACTGGCTTCCAGAATTTCGCCATGTGGCCTCTCTTTTCTTGTCTATCTATTCCCAACATTGTCGGTGTCACCGAAGCCGCCATCTCGCCCACCCGAAGAATCATCTTCGTTAGTCACTACCCGGCAATGCTTACAATGGCTGCCGAAACTATCCGTTACATGGTTCGTGTCTATGAATGGAGCGGCTTGTATGTGCCCATTGCGCATGCTCGCCATGCAAGGGACCTCGTCCAGGAGCCTGGTCCGTACATTATTGGTGTCACTGCTGAATGCCGCACTCTCTTTACTGCCCCAAACGATGCCTTGGTAGTTGACCTGGACCGCAACTTCGTACTGACCTCCAGCCCACCGGACGTTTTGACAGGAGGCCAAAGGACTAAAATGATCAATCGTCTCACCCAGGCCTTGAAAGGCGATGTCGCACCCTCTGGTGTTCCCCAGCATCTTCGATCGGCTTATGGTGGCGGTAAGCTCATTCCGGCAGGTCAGATTATCGTCATGCGTGGCGAAGTCGAAAGTGTGCAGGATCCCGGTTGGTGGAACCAAGACGCAGTCATGTCTGTCATGGACCACGTCTGCGAGAAATTGGGACGCAACACTGGCATTAAGGCTGTCTTTGGTGGTTCCCAGAAGAAGCCTTTGATGACCAAGGTGTCAACGCGTCATCTCAACGAAATCATCCGCGAGCGCAATCAATACTCTCGTGATGCGAACGAGGCCTGGCAAGATTTCATCAATCTCAAGTGCCGCATGGATACAGAGGTTGTCAAGGTCACCAAGCGCAACAACATCCTCGACGCTGAGCTCGACTCCTGGAAGCAGCAATTCCTCAAATTCCAGTCTTTCGCCGAGACACTCACCAAGGAGACACAGGAGCTCAAGGTCAAGATCGAGGGTCACAAGCGTGAGAATAGAAGAATCGCTCAGATCTCCGAGCAAGCAAAGGAGGAGATTGCCCGTCTTACTCCCAGACTTAGTGGTACTGAGAAGCAAAGGGACGATGCTCTGGAAGCTCTTGTTCTGCAACAAGAAATTGCTGAGGAGCTCGAACGCGAACGCAAGCGTAACAAGCAAGAAATCGCATCTCTGCAGCAAACCAACTCAGCTGTACTCCGTCAACGCGATGAGGCACAGCGTGTTGTTCTCCATCTACGTGCTTTGATCGACGGTCAGGCACACCACATGGAGCACATCGTCCGCACCATCGAATTGCCTGACGAGGTCGATGAAGCCGCAGCCACTGCTCTTCCTGCATCTCCTGCTCCAGGTTCGTCGGTTGCAGGAGACAACGCCAGCGCGCAGACTTCGCGCGCCTCGTCGCGCAGCAGCACTCGTATGTCAGCTCGTGGCGAAGATGCTGCAGCTGAGATTCTCCGTCGCAATGCTGACGCCCGTCGTCGTCTCAGCGCTCTCAGTATGACCGATGTCGCAGACCGACAATTGCGCGACAAGACTGATGCGATTGCCTACATCATCCGCAACATCAGTGAGCAGTGCGCCGCAGCAGTTGAAGGTCTCAACATGGCTCAACGTGCCGAGTCCGTTGCCGGTGACCGCAACGGCAACGAGGACGACGCAAGTCTTGCCTCCTCCGAACACGGCGGCAACCTCAAGCGTCGTAGCAAGGGTCGCATCATGACACGCGCCTCCCTCAGCGATGCCGCTTCCGAATACGACGGTAGCGAATCCTCCAACTACAGCCTCCACGACGCACGAAGCCACACAATCCGCAGCAGCATCCCAGCCACACCCGATCTCGTACACAGTCACAGTTTAAACACACTGAACCGCAGCAGCACATCTATGAGCATGATTTCCTCCTCCACAGTTGCCACACCAGATAGAGGTAGCATGCAAAGCCACTGGCGTACTACTCTGCAAGAAGACATCCCAGAGCTTCCCACCAAGATTGCGAGGACGGAGTCTGGAGATTCTGGGGCTGGTGATGAATTTGATGCTGGTACTGCTGCTGAGGATGAAGAGCCTGTGAATGCAAAGTACTCTACTAGAGGGCTCGAGCATCGTTTGCAGATGCGTTCTAATTAGACGTTCTTCTTTTTGTGAGGTCTCTTTTTTTTTCTTTTTCTTATTCCTCAAAATTCTCGTGGTGTATTTCTACTTATTTCTTCTGATGATATGGATTATCTCGTTTGTATGTTTTCTTTTCTTTGCTCTTTTCTTTACTTTTGTTTTGATATTCTCAATTACCCTTAAGCAGGCGAGCGCTTTCTTGTTTTCTGTTTGTGGTTTTCCTCGTCCCAGCTAAATCTATTTATCCTTTTTCTCTTCATCCAGTTTCTTGTCAGCAGTGCAACGTGATCTTGATCTTACGTATAACAACTATGCCTTATGACTGTTATCACGTCCGCTAATTACAAAAGGAGCTCTGTGCCGGGTTTTCCTTGCCTATTCCCAATATTGATCCTCATCCAATAATTTGGAAATATTTACAGTGATGGTTCATACATCTTTTGATCGGCATGAATTCCCGAGGGCTACGATACATACATCCTGATGCTTCTCTTTATGCATCTATACCTTTGTCCTCGGCTGATCTGTTCTCCGTCCCATCTCGGTCATCTCGCCAACTTGGAAGTATTGTGGATTTGACATGTTTGTTAACATCAAAGCTAAAGGATATTTCACGTGTCTTGGATACGCGGCTTATGATAGATAAAAATGTTTTGCACGAGCTGCGTCTAAAGATGGGCACAAAATCTGACGCCTACATCTGATTTTCAACCTTATTCAAAATTGTATATGCTCTCTCCCTGTATGGACGAGCTTGTGGTCGCTCCTGCCTTGACGATCAAAGCTGATCGCGCCTTCCACTTTCAATCCATCCACATCCCGTCGACTGCTGAATCTTGTATCTCTCGTTCCTTCCCAGATACTGCGAGTTCTGACTACTACTTTCCTCGTTCAAGAAACAACACAATGGTGAGCTGTAGAGAGCCGCAGTCACACTTTGATTGAAAAGAGCCTTCAAGGAGAGCAGTAATGGGAGCGAACGTCCGTAAATTCCGTAGACACTCCTGCTATTCATCGAAGCTTTTTGTGCCTTGACATGTATAGGTGTGGAAGTTTAGCATATGAAGAGCTCATGCGATTCTCTCAGGCTAAGAAGAGAATAGCACCGGCTCTCTTGTGTCCTTGCTCTTGTGCTGGTAATCGATTTTATACGTAGCTATAAAAGGCAGGGAGAACTCGAAGAAACACAGCCGTGTCCGAGAAGAGGGGCATTCTATGCTCAAGTGCCTGCTCAAGTGATTGTAACATAGTCTGGCGATACTCTCTCTTACTGACTTACTTCTCGATGCTCAACCCACGTAGCTATAGCTTCTAGCCGACTTGGCACATCCTCTCCTACAAGCTCGATGACACTGGCGCCGTCAGGCCAATGCAGCAGCGATCCTGGAAACTTCCACTTAATCTCAACAGGGTTCTTGCGGGTTGGTACGTATTTGATCTGCGACAGACGGCAGTAACGTAACTTGGTCAGACATGAAAGCTGATGAAGTAGTCCACTTTCCCAGGTCTCCGATTGTGGGACCCATGTTTGTCTGTCTGGTATAAGAATCAAGACGTCATCTAACGTAACAGTTTCAATTCTACGGCTGTGATGGGTCAAGAGAGAGTCCAGCGCGAGCAGATCGACGATCGTGCATTCTTGAAGATGGAGCCTGGTGATACGCGCGGATGCCAAGTAGTCGTAAGATAGAGAGAGGTTACTCGTAGGACTTATCGCGTTGATAGCGTGATCACTCACCTCCGATTTGAGCAACGTCAACCAAAGTTCGCCTTGGTCAAACGAGAAGTGAATGTTCGAGTCTCTACCCTCCCGGTCTAGAAAGATGTCTAGCAAGAATGGTATACTCTCAGGCTCGAGATATGATTTGCCCGTTTCCCTCAGACTCTGGAGACCCAAATCAAGCTGATGTAATCGGCCTCGCCGGCCGACGTCGAATTTGAGGCCACGCATGGGACAAGCAAATAGTTTGGTGGATTTCAAAACCGTCTGGAGTGTCTCATCGAGATTGTAGTCGTGATGCGTGTCCGGTCCGCCGAGTAATAGCTGACGCCCACCGAAGCTCTCCAAAGGATTTCGATCGCTGACTCCAACAATCACCTCGCCATGGTTTCTCGTGATTTTGCTGAGGATCTTCGCAGTGACATTTTCAAAGAGAGCCGATTGGGCGAAACGAGCAGTACGATTGATATCTCGAGTTCTTTCTGCCAGAGTATCAAATATACCGCATTAAACTCGATGCTCTTGACAAGAGGTCCTAAGACAGCATGTTCTGTTATTTTGAGGAGCTTGTTCATGCTGTATGCTGAGACAACATGGCTTCTCCCCACGAAAAATACGAGGCCGAATGCCTTGGTTGTGGAGGCACAGAGTCGTTTGTTCATAACGCGGACGCGTTTGAGATCGTTATCGTCCAGAAAGCTGACGATTTGGGAGATGATCTCCCCGGGACAACCAAGTAACTTTGGTCTCGTCTCCATAGTGTCCAGTATAAAGTGTGCCTTGTGCCGGGGCATTGAAACAGAAGCGCTGCGCTCTGAGGATTTTGAGGTAAATATAATGGTGCAAACCTGAAGGTGCAGCGTGAAAGTCTTGTATCCACAAGGTGTTGGAAGAGTTGGGAGGGAAAGTGCGAGTGAGAGGAGTTACTTGTCCTTCACCTCGAACATCACTTGACGCTCCCACAATGACCAACCCTTGCATGTCTCGTCCACCAACACCCGTCCTCCTTGTCACCAGCTCCGGCCGAATCGTGTCTACTTCAGGCTCACTCTAGCTCCAGTTGGCAGTCACTTCCCTATCACTCAGCTTTCAGTTGTGTTTCACATATCCATCACCCGTGATCTACGTTTGCTCCACTCCATCAACCACTGCCTATGATCAAATTACTGCACACTGCAGAAAATCTCTTCCCCAATGCGCCACGCTCGATGAGACTTAGTCCACTTGATTTGAGCCAAACGAGCCCTGCTTTGCTCTTTCGCTTGCAACCCCATCATGATGATTCATGATGATTCATGAAGATTTTGCTGCTGATTGGTAGGTGGTTTCTCGGAAAGAGAGGTATGGTGGCCGAGACTGCGAAATGTCTAACTCCTAGAGCCAGTGTCAGAAGTTTCGAGACATGATACGCACATTCTGAGAAAGATTCCGACGTGAAGTCATGCATGTATCGTTCAATTCATTCTCCCTTGATATTGATAGACTGATGAGAATATCTCTAATGTAACCTCCTCAGCGCTTCAACAATGCTTCTGACCTCCTCAACACCCACGCTCAATCCTTGCACGATGCTTTCCTGCAACTGCTCATCGCAGTCCAAGAAACGCTCAATTAATTCGCCATCTACAAATCTGTTTGGCTCGTCCGACTCGCGCACTGATGTCTTATATGCGCGGTAGCGATTGAAAGGCACGTTTCCAGGGCTTTGCACCTTTTCTGCCATGTTCTCTTGTAGGCGCATAAGTGTGTCTTGGTGTTGCGGTGCGATGGTGGCGAAGAGGTATATGGCGCCTTCGACTGTGGCGAGGAAGGCACAAGGAATGACAATAGCGCCGGGGGTTGGTTGGACCTCGATGCGGCGGATGCGATTGACCATCTCGCCGAGTTGCATGTCGGAAAGGACGCGTAGGCGGCGCTTGTCCTCCTCTGAAAAGCCATTGACGTCTTGGTTAAGCACTAGCAGGTTTCCCTCGGCGTCACTTTCGACGTAGGTGTTTGCTTCAATGTTGGCAACTGCCGTACCCCATGTAGTGTCGTAGTGACGGGCAACTTCGCTTAAACTGTCGTCCTGGCCATTTGCGCCCTGCTTGTATTGCACAACTGAGACACTCTTCATCAGATCCGCAATCGTAATCTTGTCTCCAGTCACGGATACGTCAATGGGTGCTGTGGATGTGCGGTAACTAGCGACCTTGTCCAGGTATGGTGTACTGGCCGTCTCGTACTTGAAGTTGTACATGACCACCTAGGGTATGTTAGCAGACGACTGGTAACTTGCGGAGGGAAAAACTTACGGTCTTTACGAGAGCTGCAACAATACGGCCCTCGCACATTGCCAGACATCTGCATGCTCCCTTGACTTTGTGCTGGGTCACAAGCTTGAGACGTCTCTCGTCTGTGACCTCGAATACCAGGATACGACCTCTAGGTGCATCTCCAACGTCCTCTTCGATGTAACTTGTGCCTACGATAAAGCGCTCCACTAGATCACCCGAGCCGTCATCTAGCTTAGCACGGATACAGCTCTCGACTAGTTCTTCCTGGTTCAGAGCAAACGTGTGCAACTCCTGGAACGCGACCTCATCAACAAGCTTGAAGTGACTTTCTATGTGTTCGTAGCTTTCCCTGATGGTACGCTTGATGGTACCAAGGCCAAAAGCACGTAGATCCGCAGAGTACGCAATGCGGCGCACGGTCTCGTTAACAGGCAAAGTCTGTACATGAGTCGTTCTTTCCTCGTCCACAATGGCGAGCTTGAGCTCATTGGCAGTAGCAATTGCAATGGCATTAGGGAAAGCCTCGGTGTCAAAAGGCGAGACGCACGTCGCGTCTTCTGCTGTGATGGCAGAATACACAATACGGCCCTCTGATCCATAGATCAGACTTGGGTGCTCGCAAATGGCAAATACGGTGTTCAGTCCATTGCCCTTTGGGAGTGCTTTGAAGCTGGCCTGTTGTGTACCAAGAATTATGCTCTTCTTTGACGATAGAGCGTTGGTGCTGGGATCGATGGAATATGTGACGACGTTTCCGTCTGCCATGCCAATGAAAAGTGTCGGTAAAGAGCCCTCGAGAATCGGAGCAACGAGTAAGGATCTTGGAACTGCTGTGCTTTCTTCATCAATCGTCTCGGAGTGGAGAGTCCTTAGAGATGAAGCATCGAGAAGCGAAACACTTGCGTCTTGCCAGAATCCGACGACGCAGGTGTTGCGCAATGTAGGCGACAAGGATATACAAGCAACCTGCGAACCAGCATCAAATTGTCTCGTAGCAGTGACTTTCACGTCATCGCCGGAGACATCAAGCATGGTTAAGCCCGAGCCGCTGACGGAAACCAAGATATTACTACCTGCTGTGGAAGCCGCTGCAATTGAGGAACCCTCTGACGGCGACCAGCTCGCCAAATTCATGCCGCTCTCAGGGTCAGTGATGAGGACTGCAGAGCTGGTAATCTGGAGTATCTTGCCACTGGGGAGATTAGTAGCAAACAAAGTACTTTGTGACAAGTCCATTCCCTTGAAGTTGTCAGCTTCCTCAACATCGCCATCTGAAGAGAAGCTGAAGATGCGGGTGTGTGCAATGAAGGACACCACCAGTGTGTCAACGAATTCGAGTGTCGAGGTCGACTTCACACTGAACACGTCTGTGATGTTCTCCATCTCACCGATTGACCCGAGATCTTCGAGGCCAACACCGCTTCGGACACTGCGTAAACTACCGTCTTTGAAAGCGCCGCTGCCAGTAACAATACGCGCCTGACCGGAAGAGTACTCATTGACCTGGGCATCAGAAGAGCGATTACCCATATCCATAACCGTGAAGTCGAGGATGGGAGCAATGTTGGCGAATGTTTGCAGAATCTCGATAGAGCCGGGAGTGATCTGGATGAGTTGAGAATTTCCTTGGTGTGAACCCACGAAGATACGACCTCCGTCCAGGTACACCAACGTCGATGCACGTGAAGTCTCGCCGATGACATCTAGTTTCCAGCCCTCAAGATCTTGTTTGGCGTTCAAAGTGACCATCAGCAGGTACAGCTTTCCGTATTCGTCAGCGAGGACAAAGCGCTGATCGTCTATTTGTGTCCATGCGACGAAGATGGTCGCTTCCTTGAGAGGCTCGCTCTTTGTGATTCTGCGGTCGAACTCCTCGCAGTAAGATATGGTGGTCTCTCCCAGGATGAGTACACCATAAGCAGGCCCAGGTAGAGGTATGAGATGACTAGCACCCAGATCGAGCTCATCACTTGCTTCCTGCTCATTCTCGAGCTCGGCCGATCCGGGCTCGTTGGACTTGAGTGAAGGGGTATAGTCCAGTTCGCGGACCTTTAGCCTGACTTTGCCCATCGAATCCTCAAAGAGCAGGGCCAGCTGTGGCTTGTCCTTTTCTTTTCTTCTGTGCAGGAACGTCGACGATCGTACATTGAGCTCTGGTACTCTGACGGAGGCGGGCTCACCGATGTCGCCGGGTCGTGAGTTGGGGGCTGATTTGCGTTTGGTCTCCTGGGCGATGGGTATGACGGACACGATGCCTTCGTAGATCTCGATTGTCATGTACCTCCGTGTGGGGTCAATGTTGCATCGTTCTCCAAGCTGTGCTTCTCTTGCTGCTCTATCCGATATATCCTTGAAGCTCTTCTCGGTCTTGAGCTGCTTTGTCGTGGGGTCCCAAGAGAGGGTAAAATACATGTAGCGATCGGTTCCGACGAATAGATGGTCGGTTTGTGACGAGGCATGACGGATTGCCTGCAGCATGATGACCTTGCCGTAGATGGCTTTGGAGTGCTGTAGGACGAGGCCATCTTGTTGTTGAGCGTAGAACTCTAGGCGGTTGGCCTTGCTATCTTGGTGTCAGCGCATACAATAAGTTAGGGTGGATACAACATACGCCACCACAAGGGTATCCTCGTCGGCGCTCAGAAAGTTGAGTTTTAGCGCGTGCCGGACGCTGCTGGGCCGGTGGATCGATGCCAGATAGGCCATACTGCAAGGAATGGAGAGATCACAACCGAGGTGAAATAAACACAACTGCTGAGATGCAGTCGGTGAAAGCTAGCTGTGAGCTCGCGTGAAAGTCGATAAACGGGTATATGACGCTGTCACTTATCTCCGCGTACTCCGAGGCTAGAAAGTGTGGAGAAGCGCCAACATGTAGCCTCCTCACGGCTAAAGTTTGTCACTCATGGTTGTAACTTGTAGCAAGGCACAACACCTGTCACTACTCGATTGAAGCCTCCAAAGGCTCGTTGTTTCGTCAATATTCCGCAAATTTCTCCTAAGTCATAGCATCACTACCATTTTTGCAAAACCTCTTCATAGCTCCGCATCGGTCGTAAGTCTAGGAGAGCGACATTGACGGAGTCTAACTAATAAGAGCTATTCTCCTTCCGAATGTTCTTTAATGGCATCATGATCGGATTCTCGGCGCAGGCCGTGCCTTCGATAGGGTCTTTAGTAAGATGTTGCACGTGTCTGCATATCACAGTTCTGTTAAGATGGTTGCAAAGAAGTCAAGGAACAACCTTTGCAAAGCACTGCTAAATGCTGCATCCCTCGATTGTGCAACCATTGTCTCCTTAGAGACTCTACAAAGTACCTACGACGACAGGAATTATATTAATAACATATTAGATAACATGACAACCACTTGTCCATTACTGACGACGGTTTATGTTCAATTATGAAATGTCGTAGGGACGACCCTGACTTCTCAAGCGCTATGGATACCACCATTGCCGCCGCAGGCGCTACTACTGCAATCGTCCAACGTCTCCAGCCTCGGGAATGGAGACAATTAAAGTTCCATGGTATGCAACTCACATCACAGTCGAACATCTCAAGCAGCGGTACACTCGGCTCATGCGCCGAAATTGGATGCCCTTCAGATCCTGGACCTTCGGTAGCGAATTAATGTATGGTCAACAATCGCACATACTTGAATCTAGGCATAGATACTTTCACTACAGATCTTGCTGAAGATCCGACATGGACTCAGGCCACACAGGTCTTCGATGGCAACATGACACGAATTTTAGAGAAGGACTTTTGGCTGGGTGCTCCTCCTGCACTCAATCTCAGTGAGGGGATCCTCAAATTCCGAGGATGCGCTGTGTTCTCGTATAACCTGAAGAAGAGGATGCAGGATAACGAGACTGTGGTGTCGACATGTTCGAGTGCTGTCGGCGATCAATGCGTGCCTGAAACATCCAGCGATGCAAAATAATTTACCACGATGCTTCTTCAGAACCTGACGCGTAACGGTACTGTATCCGAGGAAGACGTCTGGTAAAGTCTGGAAGACAGACCGAAGACGCATCTGGCAATAGCTTGCGAGCCTGTTGCAAACGAGTCTAGTTATGTGGACGGAGTGGCAGGCTGGGGTCAAGAAGTATATGCAAGATGTGAGTAGTGTATCACTCGCATTGTAACACTTACTGGAACAGCCATCACTGGCGATCCCGCACCGAAAGTCCAGTTGCAATCGCAAAACCAGAGTAGTGATTGCTGGCCGACGCTCCCGAAGACGAACGATTTGGCTTTCGCATTTGGCTACAACCAGACCGGGACTTATCACGCAGGGTCCACACTGCGCATGATCAATGGAGTCAATCTGTTAATGACAGTGTTGTATCCCAGCGATACGGAGAAAATCCAAACGACTGGAGCCGAAGCGCACATGTCATGTCTGTGACCAGTCCAAAGAAATCTCGCAGCAGAAGCGAACGCGGTCCAAGGTGAAGCAGGACGCGTGAAGGCGCTTGGGTAGTCGGTCGGTCTGGTCCCGGCGGCGGCCACATTCCTGGTGATGTAAACAGCAAGGTGGCTGGGGGTCAGTAGAATAGTAGAGATGTCGTTGTGAAGCTGGCATCTGTCAGATGTTTCGAACAATAAACCGGGTCAGCGGTCCAATTCGCGCTAGTGGCCACTATGTCATTGACACGATTGAATACCTGGGACACGACTTGTTTTATGTGAGAGTGCAGACAGGCACAGTGACATGTTTTAAGACGATTGGATGTCTGACAAGGTCGAGTGTGACTTTGACGGCCAATACTCTGTAACGATGGGCATGCGCAGTGGAGAACTAGACCAACCACCCCACCATTCGCAAGCAAGAAGAGCAGGCGAGCACAGGCCATGAAGGTACGAGTTTATGAGACTCCATCGAGCACCAATAAATGGCCGTTCATGCTTCACAAGAAAGTAAGAGGCTATCGGGGCGAGAGGGGACGCGATTTAAAGCAATTCGATCATGGTCAATTCTTCGCTGCTTCCGGACAAGTTTTGTTTTTCTGTCAAGCAGAAAGTCGCAAGAAAGAGGGCTTGGGCAGGGACTTGATTGACACGGCGGAGCTTCTTCCCAACCATCTAATAGTTGCGTCCCCATCGGCAGCAAATCTATCAATTATCCTTGTTTAGTGTCTTTCAAAGTCGCGCATCGGCAAGCAACAATCGACTCCCTGACCCAAGACGGGCAATTCCTCAGAAACAACAAGTTGGCAGCGCCGCTTTGACCAAATTCTAAAGGTTGCAAGTGCACAGCGTCACTCCCCTCCACACGCCTAGAGCCTTGAGCCGTCCGTCTTGTCTGCTTTGACGCCGCTTGCGAGTTGCGACAGCACCCAGCACCCACCACCCAGGCACACCCAACTCTACCCAACAGTGTCGCCATTCTATCATTCGTATCAGTCGAGCCGTCCCACCATCCGCGCATCCGGCTGCTAGAGAAACGACAGATATTCTAGCACAAACAGCAGTCGCGCTCAGACTCACTATTCTTCTTCGCAGCATCGCCGGCGACTGATAGCCCGTCAGAGCCAGCCAGCTCCGAATCGTCATTGTATACCAACCCGAAGATGAATGGATCCGACATTAAGAAGGCTGCAATCCAAAAGGCAAAGCAAGTCGCTCAGTCCGCAACCAGCGCTGCCAACGGCACCAACGGCAAGAAGCGCAGAAAGCAAGAACTGAAACCTATCGTCACCACCGAGCAGCAAGAAGCGTGAGTTGATTTCTCCCATCCACCGACGTTCTCAACATTCCTCTAACACAATATCAGCAGCGCTTCAGGCTCAACCGCTTCCCCCATGACCAGCCAAAAATCCACAGCGAATACCCGTGACGTAAGTCCATCGGGCTCAGATTCATCTTCGCTCTCCGGCGACGAGCAAACGGAAAACACAGCAGATGAGGAAGACTCTGAGGACTACTGCAAGGGCGGCTACCACCCTGTCCAGGTCGGCGAGGAATACAACAATGGAAAATACACCGTCGTGCGCAAGCTGGGCTGGGGCCACTTCTCGACCGTCTGGCTCTCGCGCGACAATGACACTGGCAAACACGTCGCTCTCAAGGTCGTGCGCTCTGCCGCCCACTACACCGAGACAGCTCTCGATGAGATCAAGTTGCTCAACAAGGTTGTCCAGGCCAACATGGATCACCCTGGCAGAAAGCATGTAGTCAGTCTACTCGATTCCTTCAATCACAAGGGCCCTCACGGTATGCACGTTTGCATGGTCTTTGAGGTCCTCGGCGAGAATCTTCTGGGCCTGATCAAGCGCTGGAACCACAGAGGTATTCCCATGCCTCTTGTCAAACAGATCACCAAGCAGGTCTTACTAGGCCTCGACTACCTCCACCGTGAATGCGGTATCATCCACACCGATCTCAAGCCCGAGAACGTCCTAATCGAGATTGGCGATGTTGAACAAATTGTTAAGACCTATGTTCAAGACGATCCCAATAAGGCAAAAGACGAACACCGCAACGGAAGAAGGAGGAGAAGAACTCTCATCACTGGCAGTCAACCTCTACCCAGCCCTCTCAATGCCAGTTTCAGCCAGACCGATCTGTCAAGCCTCAACAAGCTCATGGCAGAGCAAGGTAAACCTACCCCGATTACCGGTCCAAGCCCCAGTCCGAGTCAAGATGTTGAAATGAGTGGTGCTGCAGGCGCAACTTCACCCACAAAATCCATGAAGGAATCTCTCGGCATTTCAAGCGAGGCAGCGCAAAAGGAACGCGAAAAGACTGCGTAAGCTCTCCTATATCATTGTACTTGTCCTAAGCCTGTGGATTATTGACTGATCATGATCATAGCGACATCCTCGCCAATAACGTTTCAGGCATCGACCTTGGAAAGTCCTCTTCAGCCACACCATCAAGCAAGGCAACAGAAGAGATCTCATTCGACACAATTTCCGTCAAGATCGCCGATCTGGGTAACGCATGTTGGGTTGGGCATCACTTCACAAACGACATTCAAACACGACAGTACAGATCACCAGAGGTTATCCTTGGATCTAAGTGGGGTGCCAGTACTGATGTTTGGAGCATGGCTTGCATGGTAAATTCAATTTCTGCCTAGAGCAAATCGTACTCGAGCTAACAACTATCTCTCAGGTCTTTGAACTCATCACTGGTGACTATCTCTTCGACCCTCAGTCTGGCACCAAGTATGGAAAGGACGACGATCATATTGCCCAGGTAATCGAACTACTCGGAACCTTCCCCAAGTCATTGTGCGTTTCAGGAAAATGGTCGCAAGAGATCTTCAACCGTAAGGGTGAATTACGCAATATCCACCGACTACGCCATTGGGCCTTGCCAGACGTGTTGAGAGAGAAGTACCATTTCAGCATCGAGGAAAGCAAGCGTATCGCCGAGTTCCTCTTACCCATGCTCGAGCTCCAGCCCGCCGACCGCGCCAACGCTGGAGGCATGGCTGGCCATGGCTTCCTGGATGGCACAAATGGAATGGACGGCGTCAAGCTGGATATCGCGCCCGGTACCAAGGGCGAGGGCATCGATGGATGGGCCACAGAGATCAAGAAGCAACGGTAGAGCAGCTGCGGGTACTTTTGCTGTTCTTGGACAATTGTGAAAATTTGGACCCTACGAGTGGCAATACTCATCTGCATCATCGTCCACCGCAGCTTACTGCTCTTACATTTACGAGAAACGCCGTTGCCGAGAGATGAAGAGTCACAACAGACAGCTACTGCAAGTAATCGGAAGAAAGAGGGAAAGACGAGAGCAAGAAACACTACATGAAGAGGTTCTATGAAGATAGGGACGTACAGGGGAGGAAAATGACACTTCTGGCTAGTGTATTTCAGGGGGTTTTCCAATTCGAATAGGCGCATAGCCTTCCTTACTTTGGTCCGATATGTTGAAATTGTTGCTGCATCTCTACCCTCCCCGTGTGCGAACCACTGTCACATCTGTAGCTGTCTGGAAGCACAAACATTTCTAGATCTGGAGCGATGGCGCCGAGATACATGTTCTCAACGACTCCCTGGGTTGGATGTGTCAAAATAAGATATGACTGTGCCTTTCTACAGCTCGTCCTTACGCTGCTCCGATCATTGAGAGTGGATGGGATGTGTCAGAGTTCAGCACACAGCACACGGAAAGAACAGACATAGTTGCGTAACCGGGTATGGGAGACTGTCATTAGACTGTGTGCAAGTGAGAGGTAGGGTTCGTCACATATCAATGAAGCTCACAATGCGTAGGCCATGCGGGGACAGGGCTGTAGGAGTGCAAGGTATTTTTGGTGATCAAGTAGTCGGCGAGGAGAGGAAGATTAGACATATACAAGTATTAAGCATCATCTTGAAATACCAAAACATAAGAACATCCGATATCACTCGAAACATCTTACGAGAAATAGGCCGACCATACCACCAATGCGGCAGCTCGGGATTTGAATGCCTTTCAAAACATCAGCAAGATTTCAGAAGTGGCGTTTTAAATGGCGCCAGGATTGCTCAATTCATGAAGTCTGGTGATGCTGATCACTAGATGTATGACAGGTGGAGCCACGCAGTCATCGCCGTCGGACCAGATTACTATGCGAACACGGTGTTTGATACGGGGAATGTCCGCGACATTGTGGCCTCAGGGGCAAAAAGAAAGGGAGTCTCCGAGGTTGCTTTGTTTTGTGCGCGTCCACGATGAGATGATCTCAATGCTTAGCTCGAGATTGCCGGGCGCTGATTGGCTGTGATTACAGATCTTGGCTTCGATCATTCCCAAAGCATGGTCGGCATCTTCTAGCCTCCGCGAATCCAGGGACCTGTGGAACCATAATGTGGGCAAATCGTATGATTTTGGTTCTCACTGGAAATTTAACGTTGGCGAGACGTCTGCGGCGTGGTGGTTGTTTAGAAAAAGGGTAGCTCTTCACTTCACTTCCCGGTCCTTTGTTGCACATACATCACACCCTACGGGTTCCTCTCTCCTTAGCAGCGACACGATCATTTCAGTTTGAAGGATCAAGAGAGGCTCATCATGTCGTACCTGTGAGTGATGCCCCTTTGTACTTAAGTCTGTTGATCCTCGGGAACGCCTTCTGACCTATAGACAGCAATGCGACAGCCATTCTTGAGCACGCTCTCCCTCACACCTCCGACACCTACTGGAACCAATTCGATACGGTCTCCAAGTACAATGTACATCTCAACTATTTCGAGCGCCTCTGGATGGCGTGGTATGCGTACATTGGCAACGACGTTCTTGCCACTGGTATCATGTCTTTCATGATGCACGAACTCGTCTACTTTGGCCGCTCTCTTCCTTGGATGATCATTGATCGTATTCCTTATTTCAACAAGTACAAGATCCAGAACGTATGTCGATCCAATGCTGCAATCAGTATTCACGACAATCATACTGACAGGTGTCTAGCAAAAAATCCCCACTGCTGCTGAACAATGGCAATGCGCCAAGCTCGTACTGATCAGTCATTTTACTGTTGAGCTTCCTCAGATTTGGTAAGGCAGAACTGGCACAAGAAGAATTGGGACGACATTGCTAACATCGCCTCCTCCAGGCTCTTCCACCCTATGGCTCAATTCTTCGGCCTCGGCACCGAGGTACCATTTCCCCCTGTCTACAAGATGGCATACCAGATCGCCATCTTCTTCGTCCTCGAGGACACATGGCATTACTGGATGCACCGCGCCTTCCACTGGGGTCCTCTCTACAAGGCTGTCCACAAGATTCACCATCAATACTCTGCTCCTTTCGGTCTTGCTGCCGAGTACGCATCGCCTATTGAGGTCATGAGCTTGGGTTTCGGCACCGTCGGTATCCCCATCGTCTGGTGCGCCATCACCAAGGATCTCCACATTCTGACCATGTACATCTGGATCGTCCTCCGCCTCTTCCAAGCCATCGACGCTCATTCCGGCTACGAGTTCCCCTGGTCGCTCCATCACTTCCTTCCCTTCTGGGCCGGCGCCGAGCACCACGACGTACACCACGAGAAATTTATCGGAAACTACTCCAGCTCTTTCCGCTGGTGGGACTACGTCCTTGACACCGAGGCCGGTGCCGAGGCTTCCAAGAGAAGAAGAGAGAAGAAGCTTGCAAAGGCCAGAAAGGCTCAATAGATGCCTCCCGTGTCCTCTGATGTTTTCACGCTTTCAATTGCGCTTCTGGACATGGGAAGGCAAGGATTGGATATCTGTTCAAGATGCCACATCTTCTACCTTCACCGGAAGTCATCGTTATAATGGCCCTTTTTTCGTATATTCTGCATTGGGATGGAGTTCTTACTAGAAAAGATGGAGGTGCTCACGGGCAAGATCTTGAGTTTAGCGTTTGTGCTTATTTCTCTACAAGCCATTAGATGCGCCGACAGCGTACTGCACAAATACGACATCCTAAGTCTTCAGTTCATCCATTGTTGCAAGAGGTATATGTGATTGTTCTTCAAAAATGAGGCACTCGAACTCTGGAAGATACCATGCATTCTCACGACCAGATTTTCGCAGGTACTACATCTCTAGAGCTGGGCGATCGCTCTCTGACCGAGGGGCCCTGCCTCACTCCTCCTTGTAGCGGTTAACATATCGTGTTCAAATATTCAATGTTGGTGAAAATGCAACAAAGTAATTCGGAATCTGAAGTGTGGCACTATTCTGTGAGTGACACGCCAGATCGCCGCTACTCGAGCTACAGGCGCAAGAAGCCACAGACAGACGATTAATGGTCAGATAGTCTCCGTAAACCGTTAGATCGAGAACTGCAGTCAGCCCTGTGGTTTGTCGGTGGGAGAGGCACAAAAGCATGCTCTGACACATGGATGATGAAGCCCTGGTTTCGTGAAGCTTGTCGTCATCACATGCTGGCTGCACCTTGTTGGTCCACGTCGCACCACCACGCCAGCGACACAAACTCTTTGTAGAAACATGACAAGATAGCCATTACCCCTAACAACCCGTAGCTCCTCTACTACGCGACAACACAGATCGCCATCATGTCTTTTGTTGTAGAGTAAGTCGAACTCGGCCTCTTGTCTAGCCCCGCTCCCGACTCTGGCCGACAGAGCTTCATGCAAACACGATTCATGGTGCTGACCATGGTGTGCTCATAGTCAAGTGCGACGAGTAGATTCGCAGATCGACCGTCTGCAGTTGAACGCGCCTCCACCAGTAGGACCCATCAACATCAATGGCGACGATCAACACTACCCCTCGGAAAGAGCGGAACATCTGCAATCACTGGTCAAATCTCTATCCATAACACCCTCCTCAAGGAATCCTCTACTCTCGGCCTCTCAAATTCAACACTACCTTTCGCGCGCTCAGATCTCGTTGCCGGACGAGGGAGAAGACCTATCAACAAAGAAGCACGATGGTGAATACGAGCAAGAGTTGGCATGGCTGCTAGTCGCAAAAGCTACTGTACAGGTATATGGCTTGATCCTATCTCGTCTTTTAGATGAGACGGTCGCGCTCGCAGATGACGTTTGGTACTGGGATCAAGTGCTAGGCAGTCAACAAGCGACCGTACTTTACAGCTTCCAGACTGCGCCGCTTCGCCTCGCCGAGTGGAGTAACTACGTCTGGGCTGATGTACGCAAGCGTAGTGCCGACTTCACTATTCGTGGAGCGGGTGCCGAGGCACAGCAGAGCTTGACGGCACGCTGGACGGAGTTCTATGGACTGGTCAAAGAGGTGGTTAGAGAAAAGGGTATCAAGGAGATGCGCAAACGTGTCGTGAGCCCTGTCGCTAGAGTTCGTGGTTCTGTCCGCCAGAAGCAAAATGAACTCAAGCGATGCAGACTGCGTGGAGCCAACGCGTTGGGTGTGCTACTTGGAGAAGGATTGATGAATGAGAACATGCATGGCGAGGGCTTTGCAACGCCGCATGGTCATCAAGGTCGGGACAAGTGGAAGGCTAGCGTGGCACGTAATGTTGCTCTCATGGATGCTGTCCTTGCCAAAGTCAACGAGGAGGAGCTCGCAGTTGATAAGTTCGATGCTGCCATTGCAGCAGCCACTGACGATGACCCGCTGTACGATGTGGAAGTCTACACTCAAGAGGGTGGTGAGACTTCTGAGCTAGGAGTGCACCCTGCGACCATCGCCGACAGACTGATCAAGATGCTACACGCCAGGATCCCGGAGTATACACAGCAGTCCAAGGTCGTGGTACGGAAGCACGGCAAACCATCTCGTATTGTCAGATACTGGCTACCTATCACTGTGGGAATTCTTTCGTCGAGTACCATCCTCCGCTACCTTGTCAACCGCAAGGCAGAGATTCTTACTTGGATCCAAGAATTTGGCCACACGATTCGCGACTTCTGGATCAACTGGTGTGTAGAGCCTACCCGTAAGGTAATCCAGACAATTCGTCACGACAAAGACAGCGAGGTGTCAATCATGTCGAAAAGATCACTGGAAGGCGACAGGTCTAGCTTGGAGCGCATGGTTGTGGACTTTGCGATAGACAACCCTGGCAATGCGACAGACACTGGCAGCCCGCTCACAGAATCGGAGATCGCAAGTCTCAGAGCCAGAGTTCGCGAGGGCGACTTGACGCCGGTGCTCAAAGCATACGAGAAGGATCTCTCCAGTCCTTTGATGGGTAGCATCCGTGGAAACCTGATCCGCGCGTTATTGATTCAGGTTCAGAAGACCAAGGTCGACGTTGAGGTGGCCATGGGTGGCATTGATGCATTGCTCAAGAGTCAAGAATTGGTCTTTGGCTTTGTCGGCCTGACACCTGGTATTCTTGTCACGATTGGAATCTCACGCTGGCTCTCATCTACGTTGACATCACGACGAGGCGCTGATGCCAGTCGCAAGCAGGGACACATGATGCGACAATTGCGCAACATTGACCGAGTGCTCACCAACTCGACACCGACAGAATTTGGCGAACTGTACTACAAGGATCACGGCTTGTTGTTGTGCGAAGTTCATGTTCTGCGCGAGGCGGCGCATAGAGTTATGCCTGCACAAATATTCAGGGACTTTGTTGAAGATGTGGAGGAGCTGGTCGACGTCCGAACCGGAGTCAAGAAACAGAACAAGGTGGTCAACAGAATCCGCTGGGCATACAAGCGATACTTTTAGATATTCTTCGTCTTCATAGGCAAACAGAAGTCACTCCTCTCGTGCAAGGCTGATCAATATGGACGTTGTAAACAGTTGTTAGTTTGAGGTTTGTATGGTCGTCGGATGGAGAAGTTGGGGAGGGACACTTGGCAGGCGCAGGCTGGCCGGGCGGTGGATCACTGGATTGAGGGCTGGCTGGTCGAGGGCGGGAAGGTCGCCAACTTTTGGCCCATCCCATCTGCCTTGACGTCGTCGTTTACACCCAACACTTGACACTCTGTACATCTCCCACCAGCCTTTGACAACCAAGAGCCGCCGACGTCGTCTCTGCTTCTTTGTTGACACGCCTCACACCACCTACATCTCGTATCCTGTGACTCTCGGCTTCGCTGCAACGACAAAGACACACCGCCTTCTACCCATCACCCTTACCACAAACAAGCGCTTGTAACCTCGCTGCCGACTCGTACATCGCTGTCGTCGCCCTCGCACATCTCACTGCCAACCCCCGTCGCTCCCTCACACATCCCGCCGTCGCCATGGCAGGCCAAAACCGCAACTATGACTTTCTTGTACGACCCCACTTCTGCCTATATCGCAACCACCAACGGACCCCTCTGACCATTCCTGCAGATCAAGCTCCTCCTAATCGGTGACTCGGGTGTCGGCAAATCATGCTGTCTGCTGCGATTCAGCGAGGACAGCTTCACCCCCTCGTTCATCACCACCATCGGCATTGACTTCAAGATCCGCACCATCGAGCTCGACAACAAGCGCGTCAAGCTACAGATCTGGGACACCGCAGGCCAGGAGCGTTTCCGTACCATCACTACTGCATACTACCGCGGCGCCATGGGTATCCTGCTGGTCTACGACGTGACGGACGAGAAGAGCTTCAATAGTGCGTCTTGACAAGCACCCCACGACTCCTCTCCGTCCTCTCGAACTAACCTCCTCCTCACAGACATCCGCACCTGGTTCTCAAACGTCGAGCAACACGCCAGCGAAGGCGTCAACAAGATCCTTATCGGAAATAAGTGCGATTGGGAAGAAAAGCGCGTCGTCAGCACCGCCCAAGGCCAAGCTCTAGCCGACGAACTCGGCATCCCCTTCATCGAGGTCTCTGCAAAGTCAAACATCAATGTAGAAAAGGCCTTCTTCTCACTCGCCTCAGATATCAAGAAACGCATCATTGATTCCAGCGGTGGTGGTCAACAGGGCGCTCAACAAGGTGCCAGTCAGGTGGATGTTGGCCAGGGTCAAGGTGTTGCGGGAGGTATGGGAAAGAACTGCTGTTAAGAATTCCTCCTTCGCAGCTTCTTCTTTCTCGCTGCTCTCTTCTTGCATCTGCTCTGATGGTCCCACACGCCGCTTTTTGTTGTTTCTACCTCAGCTGCTCTCATGTTCTCTGTTTCTTCCATTCTCGCTCTCTGCTTTTCTTTTCCCTGGGAAAGGCGTACCATGGCGTCAAAGATCTCCACTATGGGTGGGGCGTTTCCTTTATACCGCATTTCCTTTCTCTTGCACTTTTTCCCTAGTCATCCCACCAGTTGTCATACCAGACAGATGTTTATGCAACAGAACTCACGCTTCTTTTTTTTTTTTTTCGGGAGGCCCTTAGAAAGCCCCTGCATCCTTGATACTTCCCACTATTTTATGTTCCTCTCTAGAAGAAGGGGGTGATTGAAATGAATTTGTTGAAAACACATCTCTTTCCTCCCATTTGTCTTGATCTTCTGATGTCTTTATATCAGCTTGAATTTTTCAGGAGCTCCAACAAGGACGACCACACGAGAAAAACAGATCTTGTATTATTGACCGTAGTCCAGGTCACGGGAGAGAGAACAGAACAAGAGTCGCCGAAGAACTAAAGACGGGCTACACCACAAACCTCAGGTGTATCGACAAAGATCACTCCCTCCCAAGCTCCAAAACTCTGGCACAAATTCACCCTAATTTGCAAGTACAATACCATCACACATCCTCGTATGATCCCACGCTGTGCTGTCGGAAAAGGCAGTAGATGTCATACAAAACTACTATCACATTGCGCCTAATGAGACCATATAATATTGTCAGCGAACCAACTTGTTGAAAACTCATTTCCTCTACCCGCTCATCTTGCTTTCCTGGTGTAAAGCGGCTTTTCAAACCTTGGGCTACACTCGTGACGATTGCTCGCGTGAGGATGACCTTGCATTGTGACAGGCAATGTATCAGAGCCATCTGGATGCAGGAGATTAGGTTGCTGGACCCATACACTCTGAAGATCAGAGATCTGTCCCAAATTTACTCTGATCGCATGCGTGACTACCTTGAACATTGACACACTTGGGCAAGTGGAGGTATAATGGTTGTGATCTTGCTGAGTGAGAATCTTCAAGAGCATCACACGGATACTCGGCGATGAAAGAAAGAGCGACAGCACGCGGCATTGCTTGTGGCCCGGCGTAAGCTTTCTGCCACCCCGGACCACTTCGCCCTTCGCTGCTCTCCATTCCGAATTCCTTATCAAGTGTCGCATCAATCTACGTATCAATGGCTATCATGAAGTTGCAGATTCCAGAGTATGATATACTGAGCTCGTAAGACGGATGCAACGTCAATGTCGACTGTGACCTTGCTATCATGATCTTCGGTGGGGAATCTCATGCGAAATCGCGCGGCCTTCTAAAGTATGGTGCCGTGAATACCTTTGGAGCCTTTCGCGCTTGTTATGAATGGCGGGTTCCCTCAACATTGAATGCTTCATGTTCTACCATTGCTCGACTGCTAAGGTACACAATTGGGGTAGTGACTCTGAATCATGTTCCCAAGACTTGCTCTTCCTGTCTTGGCTACGTCCCTGTTCGCAATCGTAGATGCTCAATTCAATAACCCGCCAGGTGTCGACATATGGTGCGGCAAAGCTTATAGAGATACGTATGTTGTTTTCCTATCAATCGGCCGATGACACACTGCTAAAATTTCCGCTGCAGAAATGCCTCCTTTAACCCAGGTGGCTGGTTTGAGGAACCAGCAAAGTCCGCTACACCATTGGTGGACTTCAAAGTAAAGCCTCGGATGAATTTGTATCTAGCGGATGATACCAGCTCAACCCTCGTAGTTGACGCATCCATATCTTGGTACATTGGCCACGCTCTACCAGGCATTAATACGTCCACACTCGCAACGCATAACTCGGCCATCACGCTTCAAATCACGATTGGAGACACGTCACTCCTCACAAATAAGACATCTATAGCGCTCGGATCAACAAGGAACGAAATTCCTTTCGATCTATCAATCTTGCCTGTGTCGTCTGAGCCACATAACGTCACCGTCGTTGGTACGCTTCAAGGCCACAAGAACGCAACATTCACTGCTTCAACCCAGCTTACCAAGCTCCCACTTCGATCCGACAATGGCACCGTGACACGGCTTGATAACTTATACGGCGGTCTGTCCGTTCGCAAAGGCCAATCAAAAGAATGGACCTCTTTGTTTCCTTATACCTACTACGTCCAATGGAGTCTGTATTGGTACGCCAACCTCTCCACTCTGGACGAGTTTGCAGCGATGGGCTATAATGTCATTCATATCGTGCCCACCGGTGATCTGGGTGATACCTCATTCCCATGGGAAGAGTTCCAGCCCTATCTCGACCGCGCAGACGAGCTAGGCCTATATTTCATGTATGATGTCCGCTGGGACTATGCCAATCTCACCACTATGGTTGACCAGATCCACCATCTACACAACCATCCTTCAATTCTGCTATGGTACACAGCCGACGAACCGGACGGCAAGTCCAATCCCATCAACTCTACCCTCATTGCCTATGACACTATCAAAGCAATCGACCCATATCATCCTGTCTCGCTAGCTCTAAACTGTCGAGACTTCTATTACTCCGACTATGCAGCAGGCGCAGAAATTGTGCTTGAAGATGTCTACCCCATCAGTACCAACACTTCCTACTCTGAAGTTTACAACACACCTTGCAATGCGACATATGGTTGTTGTGGCTGCGATGACTGTGAGGGAAGCTTCCATGACATATCAACCCGTCTGGACGAATACACTGCCAAAGACAATTTTCTAGGCTGGCAAAAGATCCACTGGGCTGCTCCCCAAGCGTTCGGAAACGAGACTTTTTGGACTAGATATCCCACTGCTGCTGAAGAGGTTGTTATGAATATGTTGAGTATCAATCATGCGGCCAAGGGAATCGTGATGTGGGATTTCCCTACCAAAGCTGACATCCTGGATGTGACGAACAGACTAGCTGCAGTCCTTACCAAGGAGCCGGTCGCTGACTTTCTAGTCGGTGCACCTTTGCTTCAAGAGCTCAAGGTCGTCGGTGCTGGCAATGTCGATGCTGCGGCTTGGGTCAAGGAGGATGAGGTGCTGATTTCCATTGTCAACCTGGATTACGGCAACACAGCTTCCAATGTTACAGTGATATTGCCGGGAGAAGTAGAAGTCACAAAAGTCTCTAAGAGCTTCTGGGGCGACACTTCGTGGTCTACACATGGCAATAGGCTCACGGTGAGCTCCCTCATGGGTTTGGAGGTTTCTTTGCTGCTGTTGAAGCGTTGCTGATCGATACTCGTCACTTGCATGAAAATAGAGTTTTTCAAAGTCGCTACTCTACCAAAATGTCAATTTTTGAACTCCGAGACACCTTGCAAGATACCCCACGCAGTGAGGGGATTATGGCTGTGACGGCGAAAGCGAACATGAAGCATTCAACAAGTTTTAACCGGGCAAAAGGACAAAGTTCTGCCCATCGGTGATCAGCCGCTAAATCCGATAACGGCAGCTGCCCCGCACATCGGAACATTAGGGTGGTCTGTAAAGAAGAGCGAGCCGCGGTCACGATATCATTGGAAGATGCGAGAGTACTCTAGAGTGATACAGAGGGTGCGGTGTAACGGATCTCGACTTCCTTATCCTCTTGCTCTTGCACTCTTGGATTGTTACACCAAGGATGACTTGTCTCCTAGATCTCTCGCATGAGCTACTCCAGGGCATACTGGGTGAAGTCGATGGGCATGATCTTGCGGCATTAAGTGCGACGTGTCGAGCCTTCAACTCATTTGTGAAGGGGAACAGAATACTCTGCAAGAGTGTGTACCTGCGATCATGGGTTAGTCGAGCTATGATGAATGGAATTGCATGTAGGATTAACACGATAGATAGGACCGTCCAGCAGGAGCAGAGCCTTGTTGGGAGACGTCGGTACACAACCTAGTCGCGTTGACGAAGTTACTAGAAAGCGATAATCTCGAGACAAAGGTATGAGATGATCTAAGCAAAGCGGAGACACAGTAGCCAACTGACACATACTAGCGACAAGCTTTCGAGTGGGCGGCTCCTCTAATCGCACCACTCTTGACGACGAAGAATAGTGCTAGGAACGCAGAGTTCCTTGCGGACCTATTCACATCTCAGAAGAACATCGACGCCTTCCTCGCCGCATCCTCCCTCTTCGAACATGCGGGCAACTTGACACAACAACCAGCCTCTACTCCAGAGCTACGCCAGCTCGCGGCCAAACTGCACTGTCTGTACGGCGTGCCGATAGACTGTCAGATTCCCCCAATGCTGGTACAAGAAGACAGTGACGACAACTCTCCATCGCCATCGTACTCAGTTCTCTGGCATCCAGAATCAGCCAGCGAGAGCGTACAGATCCCAACAAACAACTATGCTCGAGCTGTAGTCTACGACCTCAGACGATATACAGAAGAAAGTTTCTGGGGTCCCTTCAAGAGTGACGGAAGCCAGGATGTGGACTGGGAAAAGGTGGAGGCCATCATGGTCGTTCTGGGATACAACATGCGTCTGTTCAACAGAAGAGCACCACACGTCTTTGAGCCCATATGGGAGAAGCCATTCAACGGAGTCTCACCAAATTCCTACGTCTCTGCACCGCCAACGACTTTGACGCGAGAATTGAGCCCACCTGGAGATCTAGACATGCAGGATCCATACGGCATCACCGGAGAGTGGATGAGGGTAGTCTGCTTCCTGGACTACCACGACTTGTTCGCCTTCAACTTCCTACACAGTGTACCCGAAGACCAACCACGAGATCCCATCAACACTCGTGAAGCGATCAGAATCATACGCCTCAAACTTCGTGTCTCTGCAATCGAACCTCCAGGACCAGAAGACGGACAAGACTATCCAGTGGTTTCTTTCACAGGTACAAGCTGGAGTCTCCACGCAAGTTGGGATGCGAACGCCAATTCGCAAATCAGAGGTACGTCAAAGCCACCGAAAACCCTTTCCAATGTTCAAAAATTGACAATAATTCCAGGCGAGGTCCGCCAAACACCAGAAGGTGAGATTCGATGGACCACATATTCAATATTCCACAGGTACGTGTCGAATTTTCCTTTCTTTTGGATTCATTTTGCTTTTATCCACCTTTTCTCCAACACCATCCGGTGTGGTCTAACGGCTAGGATTTCTCGCTTTCACCGAGGAGGTCGGGGTTCGATTCCCCGCACCGGAACGTCTTCTTTTGCCTCTTTACATTCTTCTTAAGAGGTCGGGATGGTTGTTGAGAACTTTTTTGCTGTGTATTTTGGTATAAAAAACACCGAAGCCTGATTCGCGAGGCAGGAGCGTTTGAGCGTCGGGCGTTGCCTGCTCTTTCCCTCCCATTTCTCAAAGCCCTCTCCCTTCTCGTGTGTCGGAATTAAATATTCCCGATGCTTTTTGTACTCTCTGGTTTTTTTCTTTTTTCTTTTGTGATTGTCTTTTTTCTTTGTTTCTACTTCATCATTTTCGGATCAATTTTTCCCCTCGTTTTCTCTCGGCTTTCAAGGTCGATTTGTACTAACACATCGAATAGTGAGGAGCGATGGCGAAGCGAAGGTATACAAGTCGGCGGTGTTCGCTCAGGCAGAGGTGTCTTGGGAAACTGGTTCGACAAGGACTTTGACCGACACGGACCGGCTGGACCTACGGCATTCTGGAAAGTATCGGACTATATTGAGGACAAGGATGCTGATCAAGGTGCACCTGATGATGCTTCTTTGGGTGACGATGACTCGGATGGTGATACTGAATACATGAGTGATTAATGGGGTTGGAGTAAATATGGTGTGGGTTGGGTGTTTGGCTGGTACATGTGGTATGCCTTAGGAACCGGGGGATCACAATGGTAAGAGGAGGACTACGGCGAACATATATGATCAACATCTTCAAGTGTGTAGCTCTTCGAATGCACGATGCTTATTAATGTTACAGCCAGGCCTGCAGGGACTTGTTGTCCTGTCGACCAAGCTCTCTTGATTTAGGAAATGGGCATTCTTAACTACGCTTGAGTCACGAGGCACAGAGGATCAAGGATAGTCGGTTTGGGGTAAGAGGGCGGGATAATTTTAGTATGAAACATGCTGATATGAGATGCTATGTAGACAGACTTCCAACACGCCCATCACGACTGCGGTCCAGAAGAAGTGTCTGGCGACTGCCATCGAGTTTGAAGCACGCTCTTTGAAGGTTGAACAGTACCCGCAAGGAGATCAAGGCGACTGCCGACCATCTTGTACACCAGACGATCCTGCTTGATCCCTGGTTGCCGGAAGTCTTTGTGTAGATGATGTTAAGCGGCGACTTGGTAGGGGGGCGTCTCCAAGAGCTTTGCGCCAGCCTCGACCGGCTCTATGAGGGACCTCTGTAGTGAGGGGGGAGTCTGATACCTCCGCGATAGGTATCGAGGTGTCAATTTGTCGAGCAGCGAAGGTACGAGCTCCAATTGTGGTAAAACCAAGCCTCGGATCGGCCACTCTTGAGGGTTGAGAACCACTGGTAGCTCGAGCATTGGATATCGGCGATCCATCGTATCGATTGCCGAGCCTCGAAATGATCCTTCGCTCATCTAGGACAAGTCCACGAGCTCGGCGTGCACCTCGACTAATCTCTGGGCTATCTGCTCTCAACGGCGGGAGCCTAGGCATACCGGTAGCTTGCACGCTTGATCCTTGTGATCCAGGTTGCGTTTGCTGTCGGATGAATTTCTGGAACTCCAAAGACTGGTCGATCAAGGGCGTTCTGTTTGACCTCGGAATGGGAGTATGACTTGTTCTCTGGATGTCCTGGCCAGTTGCTGTTGGCTGTGCGCTGGATTCATCCTTCTTCTCGTGATCGACCTCCTTTGCGTCCCAGGCCAGTGACTCCTGATGGGTGGATCGCACAACGTGTCCTTGATTTGAGCCACAGTCAGGTATGCGGCTTGCCTCTTCTTGTCTGGGTTTCACTCTCGGGCTGCAAGCTGCAATATGTCTCTGCGACTTGGGTTACGTGGAATTGCATCTGTACGTCCGGGATAGGGTTGCATTTTGCCCGAGCTCAAGTCTACCCTTCGGGCGTTGCGGAAACGATCGGACAGCGTTGAGAAATCGAACCTATGATCGATATCTTCAGGTCGACGACGGACTGGGCCAGTAGCTCGAGGCGGTGCTGGATATAGATCGGGACGCACTTGTCGACGAGCGAACGCCTGAAGTCTGGTGTGCGGATCGGACATGGCAGACCTGGTTTGTCTTCGGGGAACGGGATTACGAGGTTCCTGGACGCCTGTGGTGATTTCTGATGTCTGTGTACCGATTGATCGATATCGTTTCGGATCTTCCTCGCGTGGAGAGAGGCCATCGGCACTTCGCTTCGATGGTGCAGACATCCTAAAAATTTAGAATCAGTAATGCCGGGATACCCGACAAGACAGTGGAGTGGAGGAAGAAGTGATGCCGGGATACCCGACAAAACAAGGGGGAGGAAATGGTAGTAGTGATGCTGGGATACCCAACAAAACAGGAAGAGAAAGTGAATGGAGAGGAAGATCGGGAGAGAGGCCGAGCAAGAAACTCAGCAGAAGGTGTTTAATTGAAAGCGCCTAGCGCCAGTGCACAAGAAACAAGCAGGGAGGTCAGAAAGGCAAATTCAGGTTGATGTTTGGCTGGGGTGTTGATGTTGTTGACTTTGTGTTGCGCTGCAACATCGAACAAAGACCTCGTTGTTGACTCCAAGTCGCGAGAGTCGCTCCTGCCTTCATAAGACTGATTTAAAGTGTTTACATCCGCAAAAAAATCACATCTAATGTGCCTTTTTTGATCTGTTTGTCGAGCTTTCTGTGAAGGCACCAGCTACTCAAGACAGTCGCGCCTGCCTCGGAATTCACTTTACGATGAACTGGCTTTCATACATCATTTCTGATAAAATTCTTGCATACAACTCGCGGCTACATTAACCCGCCGACTCTCCATATTTCAAGTCGTCAACTCTCGAGATCCAAATAACGCATTGAATGTACTTTCTTTTTGATATCTACGAGGCCGTTTGTCGTCCTCGACACCTGTCGTCATGTGCTCCCACAAGACCAGAGCCTGACGTGGCTCTGTGAGTCGCTAAGTGATGAGTACAAGATGCATTGAAGGCTTGCTGCTTGCCATGTCGTCGCGATGCAGCCCCTGACCAGCGATGAACTTGCCCTTCAAGTAATGGCGACGACGCTGCACAGGACTAAATCTCACCTCTTGATCCATGTATGGACCGAATTGGGAACCGTCGTACGTACCAGACGGTGCAGGTCTGGCATCAGGGTTGAAGATCGGCCGGCCTGGCGGTATACTTACAACAGAAGTCGTACCAGTGTCGACAGAAGCGCAAGCAACGAGGTCGTCGTCAGTCCATCTTGGCCAGTTTGCACAAGCGGCGTTTTCAAACAGAATGCCCTCGAAACCATACAGGGTCGTAGTTTTTCCTTGATATTGCTGCTTAGGGCAGATACATTCCAAGATGATCTGGCTGAGGTGATTGAACATCCAGGTCTTGATGCAAAATATGTACATCGAGAGCAGGCAAAAAAGAATCTTATGCACTGAGGAAGGGCAAAAGAAACCACGCCTCCTGTGGAAAGAAACCGGCAGCCTCCGCGTTCTCTTATTACGACTCACCTCTGAAATGCGAAAGTATCTACCATGCCGAGGATTGAACTCAGACCACGGGTGATTGTCGTATGTCCGTTCCAACCAAGTAGTCCACACACACCAGGCGAGAAGGCGGGGTCCTTGCTTGGCTGGATGACAGGAGGACACAAAATAAGTTGTATATAAGGGCAGGGCGATGTTGCGCGGGTTGAGAGGGATTGACGGTGATTGAGCATGTTACGTGCCTGAGGGTTCAAGGCAAAAAGCGAGGACTAGGCTGCAGCCTTTGGTTACTTCCCTTAGGTCTTCGTCGGTGAACGAAGAGCGTGTGTGGACGGAGATATGGGGCGTGCGGTTATAGGGGAGGGTAGGTGGGACATCAAGCTAGCCAAAGGAGAAAGGGAACCAATCGTCCCAGTGTCCAAAGTCTTGTGGAAGAGGCTCATTAGACTGGACTGCAAAGCCAGCTCTCAGCTCGGCTACAACATTGTAGCCGAAAGCTTGCAGCTAATTCAGGGTATCCTCTTGCTCGTAGGCTGCTTGTGCATGAGGATCGACATCAGCAGCAGCAACTGGATTGAGTCGATGTAGAAGATCGACGTTATCGGGAGTGATGATGTGATGATGGAAGAGGTTGTTTGTCTGGATTGTTGAGACTGCACCAATGCCCCTATTTCAGTAGTCTGGCCACTGATGTCGACGCCGAATAGTTCCCAGTTGTGGTAACCGCCGCCTAATCCTGTCTTGAAGAAAGACATGAGCTGTTTAGCCTCGGTGTACGAGCGAAGAGCGGAGTGGTGTGTCTGCAGTAGACCCTTGGACAAAATATCGCTGATCGGCTTCGATATGCTGAGGCACATACGATATGGTTCAATAAGCATGACTGAGGTCAGCTTCCTCTCTCCCTCCTCGAATTCGAACAAGAATGATTCTGCCTCAAGCCACGAGAACTCATTACGGCCCTTTGCCTCGAGCATTGCGTACTGCTGGGCAGAGTCACCTGCCAGGACAATGTGCTGCACAGTGTGCCAGTTGGGAATGTAGGCGGTGGCAATATCGCCGAATGATGCCATACCGGCCCCCATTGACGAAGATCGAGTTTGCCTTGTAGTAGTCATCAAGAGTCGCATGAAACGCAGAATTGAGGGTGGAGAACATGACATCGCCGATAGCCTGGTTGGATCGTGCTCCAGGGTGCTGTGCTGCATTTGGAGTCTGTTACGCTCATCCGGTGAGAACCTTGTTCCAAGTCTCTCCTTGACTTCGATCAGGGCGGCGGCGAGCTCTTGAACATGCTCGTTGGGGTTGTCGACCGCGGCGGCTTCAGCCACCCAGTCTTTGAACTGGTGCTGCCAGGTGTACTCCTCGATGGCGGCGACGGAGCATCTATGCTCATCATCCAGATCAGCCATTGTCCCAGAGCGCAGGATCAAGCAAGTCATCTTCCATCTCTGCATCTATCATGTTGGCTGTACTATCGACGGCCTTCCTCCTCGCTCCAATGAACCTGACCATTTTCAGGTCGTTCATCTCTGTATCTTCATTGAGCGCCTTGAAGAAGTCATGGCTGACGACGGCATTTGAAGGGGCGCAAATCAAAGATCTTGAACTTGTCCGACTGGCGAAAGACTTTGCATGTCATTCCGATGGCTTTGATGGCGGCGACAAGGACTTTGGTCTTGTGGTGGCACTGAAATACCTCTGGAGGGTTCCATGAGACGCGGTGTTGAAAGTAGCGAACACGACGTCAACAGTTTCGGCAAAGAGCTTGTTCAATCTTGCGCTCTTTCGAGAAAAGCTTGTATTGCAATCTGCCCTTGGCCTTTTTGAGAGCGGCGGCGCGCTGCATATATATATATACATATACGTATATATGTACATGCTCGTTGTGGTTAACCATGGTAGCGGCTTAGTGTATCGGTCCTTGAGCTTGTGTTACCACGTATAGGCCTTGATCGAGCACCATCATATGTTGTGCCTTTCGGCAGACAGATATAAGTGAAGCTGAAGTGAACAGGAGCATCGACACTTGGCAAGGCGACTCTCCTCGATAGATGCACCGACTTCTCAAGCTGATTGGAGGCAAGGTAACATTCAAACCTCGTGAGTCGGCCGCTGAGAGTTAGCTCCTCCTCGTGCTCTCGTGGACATTGCTCTCAACTTGAATGTGATTCTGCCTTCAGACAGACAGACAGACATTCAGGGGTGCTGTATGGAGGAACTCGGTGAAACTGCTCTCAAGCACAGTGCCCTTAATTTGAATTGTGCTGTGCTTTCAGACAGATGATCATTGCTGGAGATTCTCCGTGAGAGATTTAAAGCTCGTGAAGTCCATCTTGGCTAGGAAGAGGGCATGTCGGGAATGAAGCCACTATGGCCAATGCGTACTATTTTAGACTGAAGTAGCCCTTGCTCCTCTCGCTGACCAGCAAATGACCTTTGTGATGGCCTTGAAATATGCAGTCAACGCGAAGTCACGATTATCCGTAGCTGCCAGAGTCTTCCAGCATTGAGAGCAGCAAACAAATCTATCTTGCCCTCCAAGTACACCGATCGGTAATCGTATCTTGTAGATGATTCTGTCCGGCGCTGGTAATTGGGTCTGGGACGATGTGACTGGATGCTGGCTTAGTCGCGACTGCCAAACGCTTCTTTGTGCTGTGGCCGCAACGACAGCCTTGCTGAGAAAGCGCGACTCTTGATCGTTTGCTCACAGCGCTCCTGCCTTGCAGGAAATTCCCCACTTCGACGTGACCAGGAACTATTCTCACCGGAGCGGAATGTAAAAGTCGTTTCGCCGAGAAAAGGACAAAGCGAAAGTACTCAGAGGACAACAGAAGGACTAATTGTGTTCTCAAGATGAATTTGTCTATACACACTGTAATCACTCTTTCAGTGAATCGGACTGGCTGCTTGACCACTTCAGTACTGCAGGTACGGCATTCCTCAACCATGCGAGCGTGACATGGATGCTTGACATGTGATGCGACATGAGTGTTGTGCTTTTGGTTCGAGCACTATGATTTGCTGTGTTTGATGCTGAGAAGTCGGTATGGTGGCAATCGTAGCATACCTCCACGTTTGGCGCGTCAAACGCAATAGGGTTGGTCCACCAGCGATTTGAAGGGAGAGAGCAAAACTTGACTTGCTCACCTGGTGCAGGAGCAGCTGGTTTCCACAGGCCGACCATATAGAAATCTGTATGTGGTTTAAACGTCTCTTCTTGGACTCTGAGTCGCTGCTAGCTGTCGTGCTTCGTGTCGTGATTCGGCGCCTTGATTTTCCTTTGACCGAACGATGGTATAGGGGTGCATAGGGATGTGTCGCATAAGGGGCATGCTTCTTTCTTGAGGTCGCTGCTGTTGGTTCTGACGAAATTTTGTCGCTTTGGGGTAGTCTTCTTTCTGGTCATCGAACATAACAAGGGACATGTAACATACCAAAAGGGAAGCTGTGGAGTGGAATCGTGCTTCATATAGCCAAGAATCCGGAGAACATGTGCCTTCATGGATCTAGCTTATGGCGTTGAGGGCCATCGCAAAGCAAGTAGCTGCTTCTACACAGTCTCGATATAGCGCTTGAATTCCCTACACACGAACTTCGTCAGTACATGTCTGCAGACCTTCTTTACCTAGCATTGATTCAACTTACCAATCCGTGACTGCCTCGTCCCACAGTCTGAGTTCATGTTCGCGAGTTCCAGCAAAGTGGTCAACAAAGTCGTCGCCGAACACTTCTCTTGCGATGCTGTCCTTGCTCTTAAACTTCTCGGTCGCCTCTCTTAAGCTCTTGGCTAACCTGACACCGCTATCTGATGCACCGCCAACGTCCTCGCCTTTGCCCAGTGGCGGAATAGGGATCTCAAGCTTTTTCTCCACACCCCTCCAGCCAAGTGCCAGGATAGTGGCCAACACAAGGTAAGGGTTTGTGTCGGCACCGGGGACACGGACTTCGAAGCGAGTAGACTTTGGAGAAGCGGTAGGAGGTGCGATAAGGCGGATACTGGCAGCACGGTGTTCCAAGCCCCAGCTGACTGTGACGGGTGCCCAGAAGTTCTCGACCAGACGTTTGTAGCTGTTGATTGTAGGGGCGAAGATGGGCATAACATATGGGAGACCTTCTATCAGACCAGCAAGGAAGTGACGGCCCAAGTCGGAAAGGTGCTTGATGTCCTCATAAGGAGCGTTGGGGTCGGGTTCGCTGCGTGCGAAAAGGTTCTGATTTGTTTCCGGGTCGCATAGCGAGACATGCATGTGTCCGCTGTTTCCTGGCAGGTTCTCGCGGGGTTTGGCCATGAAGCATGGTGTGATGCCGAATTTGCTGGCGATCGACTTGACGGTGAGCCTAGAATTGTGTTAGCGGAGGGACAGGGTCAGAGATGCTATCAAGCTTACTTGAACAGCGCAGCTCTGTCTGCCATGCCTCTGATCTCGCCGAATTCAAGGGCAGCCTCGAAGACACCAGGACCACTCTCTGTATGCCATCCTTCAATGTTACATCTGAACTTCTCGCAGGCATCGTAAACGCCATAGTAGTAGTCTTGATTGTGGACTGGCCTTGCTACACTGTATCCAAACATGCCTTCGGTGAGGGATGGTAGAGCTGATGGCGGGTGGTCTTTGAGGAACTTTGCTGTGCTGGACGAGTTGCGCTCGGAAGCGGTAGGATCGGAGGGTGCTCGGAATTGATAGAATTCGTATTCGGCTGTGAGATCAACATGTCAGCTAATCGTACTGAGAGGAAACATCATACGACGTACCTCCTGCCATGGCACTCATGCCCTTGGCCTGGATCTTCTCGACAGCTCTTCCTAGAACACTTCTCGGACAGGCCGAGACAGACTGTCCCTCAGGCTCGTAGAAGCTGACCAGGAAGAAGGGAACATTGTTCTCCCATGGTATTCTTCTGAAACTGCCAAGGTCTATCTGGGCAGTGAGGTCTCTGTAGCCGTTCTCCTTGTTTGAAATCTTGAGTTCCTTAAAGTATGTCTGATCATGCATGTCCCAGCCAAAGATGACAGAGCAGAAGCCGAAACCAGACTCAGCGATGGACAGGAACTTCTTCTTAGAGACCAGCTTGCCTCTCAAGATACCGTCAATGTCGCATCCTGCGAGCTTGACACTTGTGTCATTCTTCAAAAGCTCGGCCAAGTCTTCGAGCTTGAGCGCTGTGGGATCGTCAGAGATGGCCATATTGAGTTCGAATGCGGATGTTGAGTAAATCGAAGCTTCAAAGCGATGTGGACGGGTAGTAAATGTATCTTTGTTATGGCTATGATGGCAAAGCTGCATACGCAACGCGATTCGTGAAGCTGGCCGCCGAAGATAAGCGTCGATGCGGGGCCAACTGCGTCGCTGATCCCTCCCATCCTGTATCTCATCAGGGCTAACTTTTGCTGTAGCGCCCGCCGGGTATCTCTGACATCTCACGTGCCGTCTTACTCAAAAACGAAGACCAATAATTCCCGTCCACAGGGGTAGCGAAATGTTGTTCCTATAATTCTGTGATAGCTGTCTGTCCAATAATCAATTACATCATACCATTCAGCTTATCGACCCCACAAAATGCGCACATGCCGACCTCGCGTCGCTTGCTTTCACCTCGTGTTCGTATGCTAAGTTTGTCACAGAGGCTGACTTGTGAAGAAGATGCAGGCTGCTTACTACGTCGGAATCAGCTGTTTTAGTCGTCCCGTAGCTATCTATCTCTCTTGAGTGTCACCACATCCGGGACGCAATTTCGTGACTTCGAACAGATCGGAGTGGCTCACAAAGATAGAAAGTACGATGTTGAAGTGACAAACTTTATGGTCTACATACCTTATCACGTAAACCAAACCGACTTCGGCCCGGTCGGCGGACTCACTGACCGCAACGATAGCAGCGAGTCATCGTCTCCCTTGGCAAGTTCATGAAACACATGTGCAACTCCAGATTTCTTTCTTATCCATTCAACATCAGTCGCCTCCTATATCCGTTTACTACTTGACCTTACTGCTCCTACAAGGTGAACATTACTCTACCCAGTCGTCTTGATTTCGCTCTAACATTGTTCAGAATCTGAGCTGCACATTAAGCTTCATTCAAACAATTTTCGATAAGAACACAATTGCAATCATGAGCTCCGAAGGCAGAGGTCGACTCGCTGGCAAGAACGCCGTCATCACTGGTGCTGCTGGGTAAGTGATGTTCCTTCTTCTCTGTCCGTTCAGGTTGTGTTGCGTCGTTTGGGACGAAAGGAGAACGTCTTGCCACTATAATTTCCCATCGGGCTTTTTGCAAATATGAGGACCGAAGACAGCATCGACTGACACCATGACAGTGGTATTGGTCTCGAGACCTGCATTCTCTTTGCCCGCGAGGGTGCATCTGTTCTGATGTGCGACATCTCAGCACCTGCTCTGGAGAAGGCTGTTGCCAAAGTCAAGGAGATTGTTCCCAATGCTGCTGGCAAGATTGAGACCACCATCTGCGACGTGAGCAAGGAGGATGCTGTTGCTGCAGCTGTCGAGAAGGTCGACTCATGGGGCGGTCTCGATGTCATGTTCAACAACGCCGGTATCATGCACGCCGATGATGCAGGTGAGTTCTCATCCGAAACCAGTTGAAAGTCCTGAGCTAACAGCATTGCAGATGCCATTGATACCCCTGAGAAGATCTGGGACCTCACACACAACATCAATGTCAAGGGTGTCTGGTTTGGCTCCAAGCACGCAGTGCAGGCATTGCGCAAGCACAACAAGACCAAGGGCTCAATCATCAACACTGCTTCCGTGGTCGCTTTGGTCGGAGCCGCAACTCCTCAACTGGCATACACAGCCAGCAAGGGTGCTGTTCTCGCAATGACTCGTGAGCTTGCCATTGTTCACGCTCGTGAAGGCTTCAGATTCAACTCTCTCTGTCCTGCTCCTCTTAACACTCCTCTTCTGCAGGACTGGCTGGGTGACGACAAGGCCAAGCGTCAGCGTCGTGAGATCCACTTCCCCACTGGCCGTTTCGGTGAGGCTATCGAGCAGGCACACGCAGTTGTCTTCTTGGCCAGTGATGAAAGCAGCTTCGTCAACGGTACCGACTTCGTCGTTGATGGTGGCATGACCAAGGTATGTCGCTTTCTGGGTTGAAGTGTTTGTCGCAATGGCTAATGTTTCCGATAGGCATATGTCACTCCTGAGGGTCCTCCGGCTCCTGCTCCTACTAACCTCGCCAAGTAAAGAGGTCGACGTTTTGATCGCGCATGGTTGGCGCATGGTTGGGTTGCATGAAGCATAGGATGCTTTTTAACGACTTTCTCGTAGACATCATGATTAGGAAGAATTATGAGATTTCTCATTAGACCAAGACTATTATCTATCTTGCTGTCTCTGCTTCGGTCCAATGGACCAAACTTGTGGGGTAGGTAGCGGCGCCATTCATGGCATATCAACTGCTCTGTATCGCACAGATGTGGATCGTGTAGTGTTTAGATGGGGGCTAGGACGGGAACATGAGCAGAACTTGTTGCTTATGTTTAGACCTTCTTGGCCTTCTCAAATGCGCCCTTTGGGTCCTTAGCAATGGCCTCGAGCTCCTTACCCTCCTGCTTGCCGGCCTTCTTGAGCTCGTCGGTGAGAGAGTCACCCTTTTGGGATTGTTGCCAGAGGAGAATGCGCGAGGTTTGTGTTGCGCCAACGCAGAAAAGGAGGAAGTTGACGGAAGCAAGGCTATTTCAATACTGTCAGCACTCCGATAGTGGTAGGAGATCCCTAATCAATGCTCTGGACATACAAAAGGTTTCTAGGCTTAATAACAAAGCACCAGCGGGTCCAGATCAGACCAGTAGCCATAAGAGCGCTGTTCTGAGAGAGGGAAAGAGACTCGACGGGACGAGCAAAGTCGGCAGCGCCAGCGAGGACGAGACCCCACTTCATGATGGGAGCCCAGAAGTGGACCGTCTTGGGGCCAACGGGAGAGTGGAAGAATTGCTGGAAGCGAGACTGGTTTGGTGGAGGGTCGACATTGGTCTCGGCGGCCGACTGATAGGTGCGTCTTTGGGCGACGGGCTTGCCAGTACGGACAGCCTCCTGGCGGAAGGCATTGAAGAAACGGAGACCGGCTCTGAATGACATGTTTGCTATATTCCGGTGTGACTGAGTGGAGATTGGGGAGGAAGTTGCGCTCAAAAGGAAAGAGCGATGCTGCTGCTTTCCGGCGATATCTCAGCAGGACCCGATGCCGCAATGCGGAGCAAGAGCGGAGTTTGTGTCAGCGCTTGCCGGTTGCGCGAAAGTGAAGTGTTTGCCCTGTTTGTCTTTGACGGTAGGTCAGCAACAGCGACACTTGACTGCCGCGAAAGTCGAGATTGGTCAATTGAATACACACCTCATTCCACACACACAATTATGTCGCTCAAGCAATCGTTCTCCAAGGCGCTCAAGGAGCTGCGCTTCCACCACTGCCAAACCTCGGAACACAGCGCCGCCGTCCGGTAAATCACCATTCTTTCTTCGATACTCAACTCAATGCGCGGCCGACGCTCTGACACCTGGATCACAGCTCGTTCTTGACCCAGCAATACCCTGCCATGAAGAAGGCCAACCCTCACACCCCTATCCTTATCCGCGAAGCTCTGGAAGTCGAGCCGAAAGTCTGGGCAAGATACGGTTAGCACAACTACCGCATGGTCTACATACTGGTAACCACCTACTGATCATACTGTAAATCAGACTTTGGAAAGGAGAAGAGCGCAAGTTTGAAGGGTATGTTAACATCAAGATCCGCTATACTGGAGAGAAGTGCTGACCAACTATACAGGTCTTGACAGCAAGGCTATTGAGAGCAAGATTGCTGAGCTGGTCCAACAAGCTCAATAGATACCCCGTTCCAAAGCCTCTGATCTTCCTTCTCGTTGTCTAAAATTCGTAACGACTTTTTCCGCCATTCTATTAAGCCTTATCCCACATGACCGCACTTCATTCGATACGAAACATGCATTTGAATGCGATAGCGGGATCAATTGAATCTATGCTGAAACTTTTATGCTCTGACGCATGAAAGAAAGAAGGGGCTCCTAAAATATCAAGCTGTGAGATTGGAAATCTCGCCAAATCTAAATTGCGCCCAAGACATGCTGCCTTGAGGGAGGGTCCAAAGTTGCTTGCCAGCATCATCTCCAGCCGCACCAGCCCCGATGTGGACAGGCAGCAAGTGCTCGAAGGATGGATGAGCTTTCCTAGCATCGCTCCTTCGCAACAGCTCGGCCATGGCTTTTTGTCTATCTTCAGGCTAGCACAATTGTTAGCAATCACTCTTTACACATTCCAGATCTGTGGGTGCACACACCTTTTGTTCTACGGCCTCTTTCAATGCAGCATCGAAGCTCACACTGTAAGGCATAGGCGCAGGTCGCTGCATAGCCTGCCACATATCTCTTAGGTTATGCACAGCCATGCCACTGACGATCACCGCTACGCCTTGCTCTCTCAATCCCTGCATTGCCTCTCCGAGTCTGTAGTGCTGATCTGCATCATCACTGTCGAACAGTGACACTTGAACCAGAGGCACATTCAGAGGATTGGTCTTGGGGTCAAAAGCGACAGTGAAAGGCGCAAAGACACCATGATCAAGACCCCTCGAAACACCAGTGGCAGGAATGTTCGCTGCTTTCAAAGCAGACAAAACACGAGATGAGAGCTCCTTGCTGCCAACATTCGGATACTTGACTTTGTAGTAGTGATCCGGGAAGCCGTAGTAGTCGTAGATCAGATCAGTGAGTTCAGCGGTGTTGACTTGAATGCTGGTAGGACTTGCCTGCCAATGTGCCGAGAATACGACCACGGCTTTTGGCTTGACTTTTTGCGTAATTTCTCTGCCGATTTCTTGAAGCTTTTTATAGGCTGGGTGATCGTAGTCTTCCATAATGTTGGGACCTCCATGTGAGAGGAAGTAGACTGGTGTCCGAGTCATTTTGGATGTCGAGTAAAGAGCCGATGACACTTTGCTAGTGCTTATGGGTGACGTGCTCTTCAACGATGCTGCAGATGTCCTTCCCGCGAAGGTTCTTGTCCAACGAAGCAGAGGTGTAGAAAGTGGAAACAGAGCGAGAGCCAGGATGATGCAAACGATCGATGTTATCATGCCAACACGGATGTGTTGCATTGAGAATTGGTTGTGGTTGCCACTGTAGCTTATATTCTAAGTGAGGTGTGTGTAGTCTAGATCGTTCTTGGTGATTATATCTCTACTGCGTTGCGTGATTATGCTATGCGGTATGGTTCCGTGTTGCTTACATTTCTCGGTAGGGTTTCGGCATATTCGCTTCCGAGCATCGGATGCTGGGACGAGCTTTGTTACTCAGCATCCATCCATACCTCAATCTGCTGGATCGGTCTGGATGGTGAAAAGATAGTTCCAAGGTCCGTTTACAAGTACCATCTCTATGGCTTCCATCAAGTAATCGTATTCACCACCCTGTAATTTGAGGTTTAACGACCTCTTCCGTTTGAGGAAGGGTCGGCTTGGCGTCAATGACGTTTTGTAGCATCTTGCATTTCGTGCTTGTCACTTGCTGGAATTCAGATCCGAGCAACATCATCCATTGAGCGTCACAACATCACAATCACAGAAACTGTTAACAAGATGGCTGCTATAGTGATTCCAGCTGCCAGAAGGCACACTTCATCCGTCATTGTCATGCATGGCTTAGGTGACAGGTAGGCTGAAAGTAGATTCACCTCGAAGGGACATAATTCACTAACTCATCGTCAGTGGCTCGGGATGGTGAGAAAACAATTTTGTGAAGATCGTCTGTCAAAGAACTCACAAAATTGAAGGTCTTTCTTAGCCGACATGTGGAAGGGCAAGTTCGATGAAACATCATTCATCTTCCCGAACGCACCTGAAATCCCTATTTCCGTGGTATGTACAACATCTGTCGGACTCTGATCTCGGTTGACTGATGCTCGCAGAACATGGGGATGAGAATGCCCGGGTAAGATCACTCGGTTGAGTTTTCTGATTTCTCCAGCAACATGTGCTGACTTATGACCACCTGCAGTTGGTACGACATTGTAAGGCCTCGCAACTCATCAAATGTTTGCACTCACTCTCCATGCCCTAGAAACCTTTTACGTCAACAAGTTCAGCGTCAATACGGTACTGACCACTCTGCAGATGTCTTTCGATGATATCCAGCAACACGAGGACGAGGCTGGCATCACCCGTTCTCAAGCATACATCCACTCTCTGATCGCCAAAGAGATCGAGAAGGGCATTCCTTCTGAGCGTATCGTCCTCGGTGGTTTCTCTCAGGGTGGTGCTATGAGTATCATGTCTGGTGTCACTGCCCCTTCGCGCCTGGGAGGTGTCTTCGGCCTCAGCTGCTACCTTCTGCTTCGTGGCAAGATCAGAGACATGATCCCCAGCGAGAATCCCAACAAGGTAAATTTAATTCATTGACCGAGATGTCAAAGACACGTCTCATGCTAAACTAAAATAGCAAACACCTATCTTCATGGGTCACGGTGATGCTGATCCTGTCGTTCGCTACCAATGGGGCCAGGCCACTGCTCAGACTCTTCAAGAATGGGGTTGGAATGTCGATTTCAAGACATACAAAGGTCTCCCTCATTCAGCCGCTCCCCAGGAGATCAACGACCTGGAACGCTATATCAAGGCGAGAGTTCCTGACCTCGGCGACAAGCCTCTTCCTTCCAAAGCCTGACTACAGCAAGATGTACAATCTGCCGAGGTTAGTAAGATCTGGTTGGTCATTCCGATCTTGGTCTGCTTGCTCTTCTTCCGGAGATGGTGCGGAAGGCGTAAAGATGAAGTCAAGACGGTTTAGACGAATTACATGAGTTGGCCCCAGAATCTCGCATGTCAAGCTTTTTCACGCACGCTACTGTACAAAGGTGTGTTACTCCTGAGATAAGTGATGGCCGTTCTCAAAGGTTGCAGTCTCGTCGACTCATCTTTGATCCTTCTCCAACTCAGGAGTCAATTGCGTCTTTCTATAGCTTTTTGTCGCTTCGTCTTGCCTTCGAAAAACGACAGTCGTATATGTTCTGAGCACAGTGATAGATGCCGTTAGATCACATACTCGTATCGAGTTATCTCGTGTATAAGGATCACTCGAAACACACCCGAACTCGGCCGCGCGGTGATTGATCAGGACCCTTAGAAAAGGCGAGAGAGGCAAACATTATATCTGCAACTTCGGATACGTGTCTGTAAATGCGAAAGTCCTTTGCGAATGCTGTATTACGGGTCGTGAGAAAATCACAGTCCGACAAAGATCCAGACATTTTGTGTTTTCCATCGGATCGGCAAGATATTGCCTCTTCGAGCGGTATCACAGCACGAAGATCTTGATTGTCGTCCCGCAGCCTCCTACGCAAGAACAACACACGGAGATGTCAGAGACCATGTTTCAAGAACTACTGTGCCCTAAATACTCGAACAATCAAGCAACGAAAGTGCCCGAAATATGACAGCCGTGACAGGTGGATGCTTGATTACAGCATCCACAGCTTGCACTTTCCATTCTCTCTGACCCTCTTCTGCCTCGCACGGCCCTCCCCACCTCCTTCTGTACCAACGTTTCAAACAAAGCAGGTTTTGTACCATCCCTCATTCGAGAATCGCGAATGCACGAGACGCGCCATCGTTGCGCGAAGAGATGCAACCTCGTTTTTGTGAATCGCGTCCTCACGGGTACACCGAGAACCGGGCACGCGGTCTGTCATTCGTCAGGGCTGATTGCTCTCTATTTTTCGACTTTGCTAGGGTGTGTTGGAGGCCTAAGCCACAACCGTACTGCCTTTGATTTCCCTGCCCTCTTCCCTCAAGGATGCGTAAGTCCTTGTTCCCCGCTGTGGTAATAATCTGTCGCTAGGCGGCATGAGTACTGTTCGATGATGTGGGTGACCCTCGGCAGGGTAGTGGGTGAGATGAGATGTAATTGCGTGGTGCGCCTCGTGTCGTGAACTCATGGTCCTGGTTTCTCTTTTTACTATTCTGACACTTTCACTGCTTCTCCCTGCTTTCAACCAGACTTTCCTATTACAGCTGCCAGCAGCACCGTGGCTCGAAGGTATAGACTTTGTCGCGCCAATCGAAGCTCAGAACCACAAGATGAAGCGTGTTGACTTTGCTGCCATCATGCAAGAGCCGGTCTCAAGTCCTGAGAGGACATCAAAACGACAGGCTCTCAAGAGCTTCGCTTCCAAGCTGAAAAGGAGCACTAGCAAAAGGGACTCTACAGTGCGCTGCATCCTTACTCCATGTCGCATCTGTGCTTCACTGACAATCTCAAAGGGTGATCGCTCTTATGGAAATCGTCGCAAAAGTCACCTTCTGGACGTGCCATCTGTCGTTGTTGAATCTGAGCCCAACATCCTGGCCGAATGGGGCAACAAAAAATCATACGACTTACCGCGACCATCAAGAGATTCAGTCGCAGGACAATACTTCGTTGGCTATATCTCAAAGCCATCACAAAATTCGCCCAGATCTAGCCCTAAGCAACTGAGTCATGATGAGCTTGTCAACTACTTTGCTGGGGCGCCAGAATTTGACATTAGATCTCTCAGACCGAGAGTCAGCTACCGCTGGAAATTGGACGAGGAAAGTGGTGAGCCGCAGGATTTTATTGATGTCGGTCATGCTACCTTTGAGGCTGCTACGCTTCGACGTCGGGAAAGAACGAGACAACTTCGAGACCTGGTTGCGGAAGACGCCGACAATCAGATTCCTATGATGGAAGTGCCAAATATGATGAGTTTGAACGGAAGCGAACCCGGAACTATCGGCTTGGAGTATTTCTTGCAGATGCCTTTGGCAGATAGCAAACGCTGTGCCGAAGACGATGACGAAGCACTCAGATTCAAGCGACAATTTTTGATTACCTCGCCTGAGGACCTGGAGCTCAGACCTCTCAATCTGGACTACCTGATACACAGACTTGGCCAAATCAACGATAGTAGACGATCTAAAGACGGTAATGAACAGCGTAAGAGGATGCGCGGCGAACAAAAGGCCGCTAAACTACATACGGAACTTTTCTCGAACTTGCTCCCAGAGCCCGAAAGAGAAGAAGACGACCCTCCGTTCACAGACCTGGATGCTCAAGTAGTGGCGCTTGCGAGAGTTCTAGTTACGACTAGACTTTGGTATGACTTCAGCTTGGTAGAACATCGAATCCGCTTGGGCCAGATCCTGTGGCCATGCACAGACTACGAGGATGAATTGACGGCCGCGTTCGAGAGACAATCAATGCCCACCGAACGCGACATATTACTGCTTCAAATTACCCTGGCTTGTGAGCTACTGATCAGGGTCGAGCTCTCTGGCTTTCCTACTTCTGGCTTTTCACGCAAATTACGATGGGATCTTGTTCTCGCACAACGTTTCCTCGACAGTATAAATATCGCGCCCAAGATTTCAGCTGAGGATGAGAGTCCGTATCGCAACAGCGTCTTGTCGATTGCTACTTTTGTGACGGCAAGGGAGAGTCTGGATGAAGATCGTGTTGACAGTCTAGATGGGAGCCATGCAGAGCCAATTATGTACCCGCGGCACGAGAAGAGACAAGTGGCAGGTCTACTAAAATTTGCGGAAACACTCGCATGGCCACATACAGAGGAGATACAGGAGCGATTTGCTGAGCGAGTAAGACGACACTCGCGTGGTACCTTTAGTGTCTACGGCGCATCAATGGGTACGCCGGGTCAAGCAGCGCTCGGCCAGGGCAATCACTTTGGCCAACAGAAGCGACCGCAGGCTAGTAGAACATGTACTGCGCAATCGCTACAACTTCTGCCCGCCTCCGCGTACAGAGCCGATACCTTTGATCTCGGTGGCTGGTTGAGCCGATCTTGGTTGACAGGTTTTGTATTGCCTGGCGAATCTACTTCACACCTGCTCATCTCGACATTACTCGAAAACTCGCCCGCAGCAGTGGCTGCACTCGGTGACGCTGCCAATCTCTATCAAGGCTTTGTCTACAAATCACGCAGCTACTGGAGTAAGAGCTGTGTAGTAGGAAGAGTAATCGCAGCCGTCAATGGAGCAACCGACTGCATGGGCTGGATATCCTGCAGCAGCGCACCAGTCGACCAAAAAGATGGATGGGTGAACCTCGAAGTCAAAGACCTCCCCAGCTCTTCAACACCACGTATTGCCGACAGCACAGCTCTAGCAGCCGACTCTGCTTTCGTTCCTGGCGAGAAAGGTACAGTAACCGATGTCGAATTCACATGGCCAGTGGATGGCTTCACAGTGCTCGGCAATGAAGCAAGATATCACGGTTTCAGTCTCCTCCCCACAGGCACGAATTTCGAACTCCATCCTACAACACCTTCAGATGAGCCTTGCATAGAAGCACATCTAGCACCCATACCCACTTCCGTCGCCTTTTTAGAATTCAGCACGAAACGCAGTTCTGCACCTGTCAAGGTCACCCTCCCACTCCTCTACGACGTTCATTTCATCTCCGCAACCCCTTGTTTCCCCAACATTTCTCGCCCGTCCACACCTGCCACTGTCCATGCTTCTTCAAAATCACGCTCTGGTCAGCATTCTCGTGTTGCTTCGACGAAAGAACTGCCACTTCCCCCAACTCACCCTTTACATTCTTCCTACGCCATTGAAGTTATACCGGCGGCCACGATCCTTGCGGACGACTTTACAGATACGATACAATTGGGAGAAGGGACAGTGGTTTTGGATTGTAGAGGTACGGGGGAGTTGCAGTTGTTGGCGAGGGCTTGGTGTGCTAAAGTTGGTGAGAATGCTGTGGTGGGGAGGGTGGGTAAGACGTGTTTGGGGTGTTGTGTCAGGGAGGCTAGGGGCTTGGGGGTCAAAGTTGTTATTAGGGTTTAAGAGGCTGCGAGTTTCAGAGAGTGACGTTTCAGTTAGTTTTTATGTGTTGATACCCTCTTGCAATTTGAATGTACTGTTGATGTCTACACATTGGCTTCTGTAGTGAATCGCCAATGTATCATGTACTTCCACGACAAATGGCTTCTCACTTGATTTCAGAATATGTGCCGTGAAGTATGGACTCGTGAAGAGTAAGGGAGGGGTACTGTCAGGCTTGAATACAGAACAGCCATGTCGATTGTGGTCTCATGAAGACAGACAACGACGGGTACACGTCTGACTCAGCATCAGTCCGCACCAGCCGCGACAACCTCCTCTTCATCCTCAACCGCCAAATCCACCACAGGAACGTCCACCCTCACAACCCCATCCTCCTCCCTCCCACTAACCCGCTTAAACTCCTCAAAGGCCTCCTCATCCCACACACTCGCCCTCATTCGATCATTCGCAAACCTCAACGCATCTTTCAACCACCTCCCCTTTGTATTCCCCGTCTCTTCCACCCTCTCAAGCCAATGCCACAAACTCGGATCTCTGAAATTGACATCTGGTGGTGAGTCTGCGGACGCACGAGAGATGATGTGCATTCGCAAAGCAGCAGCTAAGAGGTAAAACACAACACTGGGATTGCAGCCGTGATCCATGACTGCAATTTTCAGGGTTGTGGTGTCGGGGATGACGTTTATGGCGGGCGAACAGAGGAGGGCGACGGCGGTGTGGGAGTGGCCGGCGATGGCTGTTGATAGTCCAGCAGTGGCGGTTTCGCCTCGAGATGAGGATGCCCAGTCGATCCTGCAGCCTGACCAGATGAGGTATTTGAGAAATTCGAGCTTTGGTGTTGTCCAAGGTTCGTGCAAGAGAGATTGTGGTAGCTGGACTGAGGATGATAGATTGAGGTAGGGTAGTCGAGACTGATTGTGTGGGTGAGAGAAGTTGGGGACCAGAATCATCAGTTGTTGTTCTGTATCTCGTTCTTGTTCTTCTCCTTCCCCGTCGTCGCTGTCGTCTGTGTCTGAATCTGAACCCGAGTCGGAAGGTGATGAGGCGCGAAGTGGTACCTGTTTCCGTCTATGAATTTCTTGGATGGCGTCTTTGAAAAGATCCCAGGTCATCCATCTGCATTGCAGCATACGAGATACAGCAGCAGCTTTGGCGACTTTGTCGTGGCTAGTAGCATCCCTAGACAGCGTGTCTATGGCGAAGCGAAGGTAGGTGTTGCGATGTGATAGGTCGCGGGCGAAGACATAGGACGACAAGGGCAAGCTAATGGTATTGCAGTATTGAAAGATCACTTGGACAAGCTCGGTAGGCAATTGTTCAAACTTTGACAAAGTAGAATCTCGTTTTGTTTTCTTCTTGCTATGAAGAAAGATGTTATTTACTGCATGACATCTGACTGACAGACTTTCATGACAATGTGGATGAAAGAAAACTATGTTTGATGTACCGATACTTACTTCTTCAGGGGTTGAGAGCTGGCTTGGTTGGAGCGCGCAGTCTTCCATGGCCGATCGCGATTCTTGGTGGAAACGTCTTGGTTCTCAAGCAGTCGACCACGCTTGCGACGACCACGGCTCCTGATGGGAGTGAGATCCATGTTGGATGGAACACTCAAATATAGATCAATCGAGGTTGATTGGAGCTGTAACTATACTTTCGACACAATGTTAGCAGGTGTTTCAAAGGACAGGTGCTATTGATAAGTGTGATTGTTGTAAAAGTTCTCAGTGATCTTGGTGTAAATCGATCAGCGCCGAAGCTCAATTACTATCTATTGCTATTTTAATCATTGAACGGGGGGATGTGGTGTTGCGAAGATGAAAAAGAGATTCCTACCTGGTGTTGAGTCGAATAATGCAGCGCAATGTCGTTGGTGCAAAAATCAAATCTGTTCTGAGCTCAAAGTCAGCGGACAATTCGAGCAAAGTGGTCATCAAAAGAGTTGTAGGTTGTGATGGGTGTCAGAATATGTAAGAATTGAATATCACAGCACATGCGCCGTTAAGAGAAACAGGCGTGTAACTCCGGTCGCACGTGTCAATCGCAAATTATGTCATCTTTCGGAAGGGTGCTGGAGGATGTGCAGAAGTGAGAAAGCGTAGAAAAAACATACCTTTACATGTTGTTGGTGGTAAGAGAAGGAAGCAGAAAAAAAAAGTCGAAGTCGCGCGCGGACTATAAAGCTCGTAGCGCAAGCCGGGGAAGGAGGTGATGGATTATGTAAGCGAGGATTAGCCCGCTGCCAAGCCCGACGCTCACACTTTCGAATTCTTCGCCGGCACAGACAGTCGATACGCGAGCATCTCGACATTACCGACCCATCCCTCCTTTTACTGTACGTCCGAGTCGAACAGCATTGCAGTCGCAGCCGCACAAGTCAACCTTCTGGAACTTTTCATCTGACCCTTTTCGCCAGAACTCAACAGTCAAAATGGGTGACGCAGACATCAAGGCCAGCCAGTGGAGACTCGTCGAGGTCGGCCGTGTCGTCCTCTTCAGCACCGGCATCTACGCTCAGAAGCTCGCCGCTGTTGTCGAGATCATCGACCACAAGCGCGTACGTGAACTCCTCCGACCGACATCTTGAAAGAACGATCGATATCGAAATACACACTTGCGCACAAAACACACCTCCGAACACCCATACGCATATCCACATCCGTCGCAACAGGCGCACAACTACGACAAGAAGAATCAGCAAGAGCGTCAGGCTGACAGTGTATGAAACAGGTCCTTGTTGAGGGTCCCTCCTCCGACTCCAAGGCTGCCGTCCCCCGCCACTCCGCCTCTCTCTCTGACCTCTCTTTGACTCCCATCGTCATTGAGAAGCTCCCCCGCGCCGCCGGTCACACCGCCCTCAAGGCTCTTTGGGAGAAGAACAGCGTCGACAGCAAGTGGAACAACAGCGCCTGGGCCAAGAACCGCGAACGCTCCGTCAAGCGCAAGCAGCTTACCGACTTTGAGCGCTTCAAGGTTATGCGCCTGAGAAAGCAGGTGCGTAGATGATGGCATAACACAACACAGTCGACCAGTCCGGCTGACAAGATATTCACAGGCCCGTTTCGAGGTCCGCAAGCAGTTCGCTGCTTCCCGCGCCCAGGCCACCAAGGCATAGATGGATGACTTCGACGCAACAAAAGGGGACGGATACCTGGGTTCAATGGGAGTAGTGGGCTTTGGCTTTTCGCAGAAATGAAAGCGGGGGTTTCTCTTTATCACACTGCTTCGCTGCAAACAATCGGTGCTGCCTTTACGTGTCTCCAGCAGAAGGATACATGACAACTTCTGGGAGACTGACGGAAGGCCATAAAAAGTCCTAGCATCGACAAAGCCTATCCAGCTTCTTTTCTCAAATGCTGTGGGAAAACAAGGAAAATGCTTCAAAACACCAAAATCTTCAGCGACAACGCTTCTTACGTTCATGAATTGTACATGTCTGATTTGTAAATGTGAGAAGGAGCAAAAGTGATTATAAACAGTGTCGATGTCCTTTGTTATTGTGAGCGTGGAGACGGTTGTTGGCCAGTGACGCAGCACAAGCCAGTCGAGGCAGGCTGGATGGAAAGTGGACTGAATTCACAAATTCACCGTGCGTCGCAGCTTCGGCAAAGCCTAGCACACCACGAACCCAACCTCATCCCCAAGGCCACATCACCAATTAACTGCATAACAGAATCGTTCATCTCGGTAAGTACAGGCGAAGCTATGCGCAATTTTTGGCATCTCTCAATTCTAGAAAATGATTGAGAGATGCGCAATGTGCCTTTCCCATAGCTCTGGTGTTTCGTGGAAGCAGCAGTCGACTGACGCGCAAATTCGGCCACAGATCCTATAAACCAGCCAAAATGTCGAACCCCCGTGTTGAAGAAATCGTTGACGACAAGCCCGAGCAGCAGGTCGAGGTTGATGACAGCTCCTCCGACTCTGAGGGTGAGGAGGGTGGTATCCCCGCCGGCTCTTCCGTCACCGTCCACTCGCGCAACGAGAAGAAGGCCCGCAAGGCCATTGCTAAGCTCGGCTTGAAGAAGATTGAGGGCATCACTCGCGTCACCCTCCGCAGACCTAAGAACGTGAGTCTTGACATTGCATCTAGATAGCAATCGCAAGCGTGGAGCTAACATGGGCCCAGATCCTCTTCGTCATCAGCCAGCCCGATGTCTACAAGTCCCCCAACTCCAACACCTACATGTAAGCACTTGCTACCCGTGCCAACCTACTACAGTACACGGACAGCCAATTGACATGTCGTGCAGCATCTTCGGTGAGGCCAAGATCGAGGACCTGAACTCGCAAGCCCAGGCTGCCGCTGCCCAGCAGCTCTCCCAGCAGGAGGACTCCGCCGAGCACACCCACGACCGCTCCGACAAGGGCAAGGCCCCCGAGGTTGAGGCCAAGAAGGAGGAGGAAGAGGAGGATGACGGTGAGGAGGTTGACGAGACCGGTCTCGAGGCCAAGGACATTGAGCTTGTCATGGCCCAGGCTTCCGTCAGCAGAAAGAAGGCCGTCAAGGCCCTCAAGGAGAACGACAACGACATTGTCAACTCCATCATGGCCCTCAGCATATAGATGCAGTCCAGCATCTGTCTTTGAAACAGACATGATTGACGCTCTGATCAAAACTAAACACTTTATATAAAAAAGTTCCAATCAACGAATGGATTTTCTCGTTGCATCCTGACTATGCTTTCTTGTCTCGTTCAAAGTGTTGATACATACATGTCGGGCTACGACGATTCGCAGGCCGATATCGTGGATGTTGTCGAGAGTCGGCATGGAGGGAGAAACGCTCGGACATGGATGCCAAGACCGGAAAGAGCGACGGAGCAGCAACCTCAGTCGATGTTCGCGCAGGCCAACGGATACCGCCTGCATCGACGTCTCTCTCCCCTCCACCACCCGTCAATCCAACCATCATCACAATGGCCGTCGGAGTGAGTCATGTCGCCCTCAATCCACCACCCCGTCGCCCTTCCGCCCGCGCCGTCCCGCCCACTACACGCCCGGTCGCCAACATAAGCTAACACACCCTTCTGCAGCGCAGCGCAGCCACCAAGCTCGACTGGGCCAAGCTCTCCCAGCAGCTCTCCCTCAAGGGCGCAACCGCCAACTCCCTCGTCGCCTTCAAGAAGCGCAACGACGACGCCCGCCGCAAGCTCGCCCAACTGCAGGAGCAGCAGCAGACCGTCGACTTTTCCTACTACCGCGGCATCCTCAAGAACTCGGCCGTCATCGACGACATTGAGAAGCAGTTCTCAGCCTTCCAGCCCAAGAAGTACGACGTCAACCGCCAGATCAAGGCCATTGAGGCTTTCGAGGCCCAGGCCGTCAAGGCTGCCGAGCAGACCAAGACCAACGTCGATGGTGAGCTCAAGGACTTGCAGAAGACATTGAAGAACATCGAGGAGGCCAGACCATTCGAAGACTTGACCGTCGTGCGTATACCCAGAATTGCTGCCCCGAATCCAACCAGCCATCTAATAACCACATCTAGGACGAGGTTGCCGCCGCCCAGCCCGAGATCGACAAGCGCACCGAGCAGCTCGTCAGCAAGGGCCGCTGGATGGTGCCTGGATACAAGGAGAAGTTTGGAGACCTCTCCATCCTGTAGAGTGGTTATTTTCCCTCGACATCTCTCTACCACTTCCTTGTATCTTCCTCCCCTTTTTTGCTCTTCCGCCACAAATTCCCTCACCCTCTCAAATATACGTATCTTTTGCCGGTCGAATGGGCTACTACCAATGGCAAATCCTACCCCTTGTAGCATAGACAAAATCGCATTTGCCCTTTGATCAAACATGACTGTTAGGGTGACCCTGGTTGATTATTGTCTGTGCCCCTCTTTCCAGTGTGTCAAACGTACCTCTTCCAGAGACATAGCTGCCTGATTTCAATAGCCGTGTAAATGCAGAAACAAGTTCAATATACATGTCATTGTCCATGGAGACTGTTCGGGGAAGTAACAAGCAAGGCACCCAAACCTCACGCATACACACATCTTTCTCGAACAACATAGTCAATAATCTTTGTAGTCTGCGTAAATGCACAAACATATTCGAGATAGATACAGTTGTCCGTGGAGGACATAAAAAGAGGGGCACAAACATCCAACCCATCCCGCACGTGTGGTTAAAACACGGTATATAGCTGTGGAAAGGCACAAACATATTCGCAATAGTTGACGTTGTTCATGGAAAACACCAAAAGAGGGGCACAAATATCCAACTCATCCCGCACGTGTGGTTAAAACACGGTATATAGCTGTGGAAAGGCACAAACATATTCGCAATGGTTGACATTGTCCGTGGAGAACAACAAAAGAGGGGCACAAGTGAAGACAAATATTGAAAAAACGACCAAGAACATATGTCACTGACCACAAAAGAGTGGGAAAAAATAACATGAGGGGAAGAAGTGAACGGTCTTGAAGAAAAGTGAATTATCGACATGTTTGCAGCGTGCCTATGCTATGTAATTAAAACCACAGCTATAAAAAGGGAAAAAAGTGAATCCTCATTCTCATTTTTTTCGTTGAAACCCCGACCATTCGAGAGCTCTCGACAGGATTTTTTGTTTAATCATTGTGCTCGGTGTTGGTGATGGTAAGCATCTGACCACCATCTTCGTAGTGGCCGTACTCCTCGGCACCACCATCCTGCTCGAGCTCGCCGTACTCGGTATAAGCATGATCGTGGTCGATGGCTTGGGGCTGGGGCTGGCCAGAAGGCAGGACGCGAGACAGAGCTTGCCAGAGAGCGGTCCATTCGACCTGCATGGCTTCTTTGAGCGAGCAGGTATCTGTCTGCTTGAAGTACTGGACGCAGAAGTGGCCGAAGGGCGAGATGGCGGCGAGACCGGCTTCTGGGAGCTGGAGACACGAGTCACGAGGGGCGTCGCCCTTGGGAACGAAGTCACCCTTGGGGTTGGTGGCCATGCCCATGAGGGACATGACGTAGTGGAGGAGCTGCTCAGAGGCCTCGGGCTTCTTGACCAGAACCTCAAAGACCCACAGTTGACCACTGGGGGACTGGACGTGGGTGTAAGGGATGTAGGCCAGCATTCCGCCAAAGCCGCATTCGGCAGTAGAGTTGGCAATGTAAGCCTTTTGCTGGGCGCTGAAGCCAGGGTTGCTGAGACATGCGGTAACGTACTCCTGAAGCAGAGGACGGTGCAGCTGCTGAGGATAAGTGCCACGCTGGACAGCGTCGATCAGAACGCGCAGCTGCTGGATAGCACAGACAGCCAAGTCGGTACGCTCACGGATGGAGATGTGCTCGGCCGCGTGCCAAGGGTACTTGTGCATCAACGAGATCATGGCCTCGTAGGTGCGGTTGACACAGCGCAGGGCGAAAGGCGAACGCTGAGGAGTCTCGGCGTGCTTGGTAATCATGACCAACTCCTCGGCGGTGACGAAGCCCTGGAAGCCAGAGTTGTAGAGTTCATCAGTGGTGTGGACGATGGGGTTGTGACCATCCCACTCGACGCACTTGGCACGGGGGAAGAGCTCTGTCATGAGAGCTTCCTGGCTGCTCAGGCTGATGTCGATGTAGCGCTCACCGATGCGAGGGGGGCGCTTGTTCTCGAGGCGCTGTCTGTAGGCATTGACTGTAGCCTCGGCCAATTCAGGAGTCTCGATCTCGACGTAGCAATCCATAGTCTTGCCAGTAGAGCGCTCCATGATGATGTGGATGGCAAAGTAGGCAGTGCCACGAGGCTGGGGGGTAATACGAGTGCTGCGACCAAGAGTAGCAACAACTTCATTCTTGGAAGTCCCATAAGGGATGTTACCAATCTTGATTACACCATAGGTGCAAGGGTGTACGTCGTCAAAAGGGTTGACGAAAGGGATGAAGTCATAAACATCCTCAATGGTGGGAAGAGTGGTGTTGTGAGCACCAATCCACTCAGGGTCAGGCATGATCTCAGGCGACATGACTGCCTGGCTGCGAACGAAGGGCTGAAGAGCAAACTCTCTCTCGGGGCCAGAGCTAGGGCCGACGAAACCGTGACCACCAGGAGGGGATCTGCCATCATACTGCTCAAAGGAGCCTGACTTGATGGCCTCGGCCATGAGTGCAGCATGAGTCTTGTGCTTCTGAGCGATGTCGACAGCGTTACTGACCTGCGGAGGGCTGCGGGCCCAGGTGTAGCCATTGCCGTTGTTGCTGACGGGGCTACCGATAGGAGAGTTGACCGTGTTCTCCATGGCCGAGACAAAGGAGGCATAATTGTCCTCAGGCGAGCGAGAGTCGACAAAAGGATCGGCATGAGGAGACAGAGCACGGGGTCGGGGCACGTTGCCATTTGTCTGGTAGCCACCCATGTATTGACCGTTCATGTTTATGGGAGGATGGTTCATCTGAGAGCCAGGCATCTGGGGGCCAGGCATTTGAGAGCCAGGCATCTGAGAGCCAGGCACCTGGGGGCCAGACATCTGGGGACGGTGAGCTTGAGGGCTCTGGACGTGAGAGCCATTCATATGAGGAGGGCTGTTGAGGGAACCAGAGTTCATCTGGTCAAAGTTCATCTGGCCACGGTTCATCTGAGGAGGGCCATTGAAGTGACCAGGGTTCATCTGACGACCGTTCATCTGTTGACCGTTCATCTGTTGACCGTTCATCTGTTGACCATTCATCTGAGGGCCGTTCATCTGAGGGCCGTTGAAGTGACCAGGGTGCATCTGTTGACTGTTCATCTGATGGCCGTTCATCTGAGCAGTGTTGGTGAAGTGACCGCCTCCAGGGTAACCATTGGGTTGGTAGCCGTTCATGTTGTAGCCGTTGGATATCTGACCACGAGTGAAAGGGACAGGCTGCTGAACATGAGGAGCGAGGTTGTAGTTCGACAGAGGAACCATACCGGGCACACCAGAAACAGCATAAGGGCGCTGCATGTTGTCGGGCGACAAGACACCAGAAAGACGGGGGTCAGTGCTGGGGTCAAAGTAGCGAACCTGGGAAGGACCAATGTGCTGTGGGTACATGTTGGGAGTAGGTTGCATCTGTCCAAAGTTCTGCTGCATGTGGGCGGGAGGCTGGTATATGTCGGCAGAGCGCTGTTGCTGCTGCTCCTGTTGCTCCTGGAGGCGCTGCTGCATAGCAAACTGCTGCTGGGATGCGACAAACTGTTGCAGCGTCTCGGCACGAGTGGGCTCAACACGAGTGTTCTCAGCCTCGGGGGCAGGAGTTGCGAGCTCGCGGAAAGCATGAGAAGCTCTGAAGGGACCGGGCTGGGGGCCATGGATGTAAGGGGCGTCGGACTGTCCACGAGATGAACGCTGCTGAGCGTGAGCGACCGAGGGCTGTTGCACATTGGCGGCAGGGTGCTGACGAGCGCTGGGTATGGGGCTCTGCACAGCGTTGGCGGCATCACGTCTGGCGTACTCAGGGAAGTTGTCGACTGCAGGTCTGGCAGGGTTGAACGATGGAAAGCGATCGTGCATGGGCTGCTGACGCTGGTTGCCTTGAGCTTGAGTACGGCGGGACTGTTCAGGCTGGACGAGGTCAGGCTGGACATCAGGATGAGTCTCGCGTTGCTGGCTGCCAGTCATGGAACAACCATGGTCGATGACACCACGGTTGGTAACACCAAGCAGGTTCTCGTTCAAAAGAGGGGGAGTGTGCACACCCTGCTCTTCGATGGGCATGTGGAACTGGTTCTCGACAGGCTCACTGACAATGCCACGCATGTTGGCGACGCTTGCGGCAACAGATGGGAAGTTGGATTCAACGAGAGCAGGGCTACCCCAAACAGTGTTGGAGCTGCTTGTAGGGGACAGTCTCAGACAACGGGTCACGTCTGAGAGGTCGTCGACAGTTGAACTGCCGAATGCGCTTACGTCAAGGATGGTAGCGACAGTCTGTATCTATTGTAAGCAGAGTGCGCAAAGGGAAGGAGAGCGCATGCGCAGAAGACTGGTAGATCGTGAGATCGTGAGATCGTGAGATCGTGAGGGAGGAAGAGTTGGGGGGCGCGCACCTTAAGACAACGGGCACAGCGAGCAGGTGCACCGTCAGGATGAGCCAAGTAGTGGTCATAGCAGACAGTATGCTGGCATGGGACAAGACGGTGGCTCGGCTGTTGGACACATGGACCGCACTGTGTGCCTCCAATGCGTGGAGCCGCCATGCTGCTGCTGTTCTCCGCGCCGGCGAGGTTGTTGACGGGGTCGCCAGGGCGGCGAGTGTGGCTTGGAAACATGCTTTGGGAAGCTTGCTTGGTGCAACGACTTCTGGTTGCTTGGATCAGTTTCTCGATGTAAGGAAAAGTATGAGATCGTCCACAGCAGTTGTGCGGTTGATCTTGAATGGTTGTTGTGGTCAAAGATCGTTGCGACGCCAGCGCAGTGACGAATCCTATATCACCCATGCTGCTCTCAAAAAGGCCCGCTGGTGGTTCGGCAAGTCCCATGTCCTTCCATTGGCCAGAGTGAATGCCATCCTCCTCTTCATCGGTTAGGCTTAGATAGAAAAGATACTCATTCCTTGTGATCCATGAAGACATGCCCGTACGCTCCATAGGAGCCAGCGAGGTATCACGCACAAGGTTGGAACAACACGTGACAGAGACAGCAAGGAGACAGGCAAGTGGAAGAGAGATGGATGTATACTACCACATCAAGATACATGTGCCTACGAAGTTGATGACTGCGAGAGGTACGTGGGCACGAGTTGAATGAAAGCATGCTGACACAGAGCAAACAGACCTCCCGCAGAAGTGGCAGTCTCAGATCGGGCATGAGACAGGGGTGATCGTCCTTTTGGGGGGTCAAGAGCTCAGCGTCCATCCAAGAGGAGAGTTTGGTCGTAATCGTTTCTGGTCGGATTGGTATCTTTGGGAATCTTCTATGTAATGCGGCGTCAAGACCTGGTACAAAGGCCTTAGGGCAGCACAAAGCGTCGTGCATATGAATCAATCGAACTGTACTGTATCAGCATGGGTAAGCAAACGGATAAGATGAGAAGGATCTTACAGGAGTCAAGAACGATTCGGCGACGAATCTTGCTCTGGCGTTCAACTAGAACATGTTAGATGGAACTAGACAGCACCGGATAGAAAGAATGGCATACGAAGAGCTTCATCTCCGAGATCTCCTTGTCGACTTCTTCCATGAATTGAATGATAAAGTCAACCAGCTTGTGCTTGAGCATCTCCTCGGTATGGAAGTTTGTGATGAGGAAGGAGATGTCGTATCCCTGTAGTTGTGTGAGCTCATTGTTGGTTGTTGTGTACCGGATGTGGCCAACGGACCTTGACGGGCTTCCTTCTCAGGATGAAGAATGACTCGGCACGTTGTGTCAGGAAGCGGGTGAACTTGTGGACCAGGATGTGTTCGATCTCGTCTGCCTGCTTGATTCTGATGCTCACGCGGATACTGTTGACGCTGGGTTCGATGAAGACGCGCTCGTTCTCGTTGCGTGATACAGTCAATGGGTTTAACAGGACTTCGGGCGAGGTTTGGGCTTCAATCTCGGGGACGTTATGGCGTTCGGATGCTTGCGATGCGAAGTTGGACAGCGACATGGCTGCCGTCAACGACGACCGCACACATTGCAGGTATGGTCGGAGTGATTGCGACTGGAGCCTTGTTAGATGACGGGGACTGAAATGAGCGGCTGGGGGCTGGGAGACACACCATGATCGGATGGTGAGAAGCGACAAGGTACCAGACAAGGAGCTGTCGTCCGGCTTGCGGTATGCCACGCTTCAGACGTCCGTCCTGTGGAGATGCCGCGCCCCGGTGACGCGCCGCCAGAGGGGTTGTGCACGGCCCACATCCTGTTCTAGTCTTACTGGAGTCTTCTCTCATAAAACTGTCTACTCAGATGGAGCAGTACAAAGAATCAACTTGATATCGAGTGACGCCACGGTCTACTTCACATCCTCCCTTTGAAGCCTACTAGTCATGTTCAACAATAAAGTCGGAACAGCCAACACTGTGAGGGACTGAGATGAACTCGGACTTCGTAAGCTCGCAATGTCCACATGCAACAGATTGAATCATGGATGCTATCACGATCAAGCGAGAAGATGTGGGTTCGTGGAACGAGTACGTCTTTACGAGGATTCAGAATTGTGTAGGGCCTAAGACACTCGACAGACAGAAGGGGCCTGAGAGGCATCTTGGACAGCAGCTTGCGACTCAATTTAGTACTGTGTAGCTCTCGGCGGGCATCATACACTTGCTCTGAAGCAAACGTCGCGTGGATCCCTGGTGAAGCTGAGATACCTCAAGGCGTACTATCAAGAGACTTGTAGACCGTGTCGAACCGGAACCGAGTTGTATCGAGCATACTACTTTAAAGGCTGCCATCGGGCACGCGGCTTCTAGGATCGGTAGAGCCGACGTTAATTCACGCGTCCTCAAGACACGCGATCTGACTTCAGATAGTTGGGGCATCTCGACGGTCACGTCAAGGGCACGAATCTAGTCTAAAGCCGAGAGGCTTCGGGTCTTGTGCGACATGAGGGACCAGATAGGCGCAATGTATAGAGGAATTCGCTGATGGACGAGCTTCATTCTCTCCTCCGATCCTCGGCTGACATCGGAGGGATCGGCAACAGATGCCCCATGTTTCGCAATTGTTCATATTCTCGAGGTTGGCAATTGCAGGTTATTTTCCCCTTCACTCGAGTATTTCAGATCAATCCCGAAAGCCGACCTATCGAACATGTTCAGAAGCGGATCGGCAGCCGTGAAGAGGGGTAGCTCCTTCGCTGGAGCAGCTTTGCGCGCCCGCAACCAGACTCCTCGTCTTTCCACCCTCCGCCAGTTCAGCACCTCCTTCCAGATGGCGCAACAAACCAGAGCTGAGAGCGATGCCTTTGGCGAGATCCCCGTCGCCGCCGACAGATACTGGGGTGCTCAGACCGAGCGCTCGCTGTCCAACTTCAAGATCAACCAGCCTCATGACCGCATGCCGCCTCAGGTTGTCCGCGCCTTTGGTATCCTCAAGGGCGCTGCTGCCACCGTCAACATGAAGTTCGGCCTCGGTATGCCATGATCGACCCCCGTATACAACAGCAGTAGATCGGTACTGACGCCTCTTTCCTCACGCAGACGCAACGGTCGGAGAAGCCATCCAGAAGGCCGCCGCCGAGGTCGCATCCGGCAAGCTCGACGAGCACTTCCCTCTGGTTGTCTGGCAGACTGGCTCGGGCACTCAGTCCAACATGAACGCCAACGAGGTCATCTCCAACCGCGCCATTGAGATGCTCGGCGGCGAGATGGGCTCAAAGAAGCCCGTCCACCCCAACGACCACGTCAACATGTCGGCCTCGTCAAACGACACCTTCCCTACCGCCATGCACATTGCCGCCGTTCTCGAGATCGAGGAAGAGCTCCTCCCTTCCCTGCGCAGCCTCAAGGATGCCATGTACAAGAAGCAGCAGGCCTTTGACAAGATCATCAAGATCGGTCGTACCCACTTGCAGGATGCCACTCCCCTGACCCTCGGCCAGGAGTTCTCTGGCTACGTTACCCAGCTCGAGTACGGCATTCTTCGTGTCGAGTCCGCTCTCCCCCGTCTGCGTTACCTCGCTCAGGGTGGTACCGCCGTCGGTACCGGTCTCAACACCTTCAAGGGCTTCGCCGAGGACATTGCTACTGAAGTCAGCAAGCTCACCGGTCACGACTTCGTTACTGCCCCCAACAAGTTCGAGGCTCTTGCCGCCCACGACGCCATTGTTGAGGCTCACGGTCAGCTCAACACCCTGGCCACTTCCCTCTTCAAGATTGCTCAGGATATTCGTTTCCTCGGCTCCGGTCCTCGCTGCGGTCTTGGTGAGCTCAAGCTTCCCGAGAACGAGCCTGGTTCATCCATCATGCCCGGCAAGGTCAACCCCACTCAGTGCGAGTCCTTGACCATGCTCTGTTGCCAGGTCTTCGGTAACCAGGCCGCCGTTACTTTTGCTGGTTCGCAGGGTAACTTCGAGCTCAACGTTTTCAAGCCCGTCATGATCCGCAACCTTCTCCACAGCTCTCGCCTTTTGAGTGATGGTATGCGCTCATTCGAGAAGAACCTTGTCGAGGGTCTCGAGGCCGACGAGAAGAGAATTGAGGCTCTCCTCCACGAGTCTCTCATGCTCGTCACCTGCCTTAACCCCGTCATTGGCTACGACATGGCCTCCAAGGTCGCAAAGAACGCTCACAAGAAGGGTCTTACCCTCAAGGAGAGTGCCATGGAGCTCAAGGCTCTGAGCGAGGAGGACTTTGACAAGACTGTCCGTCCCGAGCTCATGCTTGCTCCCAAGGAGAAGAAGTAAATGTGAACCGTGAAGCGGACTGTATATTATAAACCTTTGATATCCATTTGAGGGCTGGTAGCCTCATTTCTACATATTGCATTCGAAAATATCGCTCTACCATTTACATCTCTCTTCTGTTGCTCTGTTTCTCGTGTCAATGGAATAATGGTTTGAGATAATGCAATTTGACGCACGGACGTTTTTTACGCAGCGGGCGATTCAGCCTCACACCCCCGAACTTTTGGAATAATCTCCTTGTCCAAGATACTTTAAGAAATACTCAACCACCAAGAATCATGGAGGAGGCATTGGACTGGGTGTCTGACAATCAGGGCACTGTTGCTTTGACTTGGGTTGCTGTGGTGTTTGCAACTGCTGTTTGGTGGTTCACGACAAAAGGAGACTCTGAAGCTGCCGTGGACTTTGAAGTGCCTTTGCCAGAGCAGTGTGAAGATGGTTGGCAGGGCGAGGTTTTGCGGGAGCCTGGTTTGAAGGTTTGTTGTTATCTCTTTGCTTCTGTGCTCTCTGAGAAAGAGATTTTGCCATTTCTCTTGATTGAAAAAATGTTCTTTACTTTAAGCTGTACAATTGTGACTGACATGAATTTATACAGATCTCGGGCTCTTCTGCTGTTCAATGTTACTGTCCAGCAACGGGTCAATTGCTCGGTGTCATCAATCCATCTACTCCCGACGGAATCGACAGAGCTATTACGCGTGCTCATGAGGCTCAACGCACTTGGGCATTGACAACCTTCTCACAACGCCGAAGAGTGCTCAAAACATTGTTGAAGTGAGTACAAATAGTGCTTTCCTCCCCGACACGATAGCTGACTCGCTGCAAGATACGTTCTTACTCATCAAGACGACATCGCCACAGCAGCATGTTTGGATTCTGGCAAGACACGTGTAGATGCTCTGTTTGGCGAGATTCTCGTAACAGCCGAGAAACTCAAGTGGACTATCGACCATGGCGAGAAGGCCTTGAAGCCCTCATCCCGTCCTACTAATCTACTCATGATGTACAAGTCCAACTCTGTGGTCTACGAACCTTTGGGTGTCGTGGCCGCCTGCGTCAGCTGGAATTATCCTTTCCACAACCTCCTGGGGCCCATCATCTCGGCACTGTTTACTGGAAACGCAATCATTGTCAAGGGATCTGAGCAGACTGCTTGGTGCTCAGTGTTCTTCGCGGACATCGTCAAGGCTGCTCTGGTTGCTTGTGGACACAGTCCTGAGCTGGTACATGCCGTCACTTGCTGGCCTACCACAGCTGAACACCTTACCTCGCACCCTGGAATCTCACACTTGACTTTCATCGGCAGCAAGCCAGTCGCCCACCACGTTTGCACTTCAGCGGCCAAATCTCTGACTCCAGTCGTTGTAGAGCTCGGTGGCAAAGATGCAGCCATCATTCTCGATGCACCTAACGGAAAAGCTATGGCTAAATCTGAGCTCTCGAGGATCGAAAGTATTATCATGCGCGGCGTCTTCCAATCTGCAGGCCAAAACTGCATTGGCATTGAGCGAGTGGTAGCTATGCCTCTAGCCTACGAATACCTTCTATCTGTCCTTCCCCCTCGTATCCGCTCTCTCCGCCTCGGCAACGCACTTACCTCACCCGACGTAGATGTCGGCGCCCAGGTCAGCCCCGCCAGTTTCACAAAACTCGAATCTCTGATCGCAGAAGCCGTTTCTCAAGGTGCTGTTCTCCTTGCAGGAGGAAAGCGTCATTCTCACCCCAAGTACCCCCAAGGCCATTACTTCACACCCACTCTTCTCGCAGAAGTAACGTCAGACATGAGAATCGCACAGGAAGAATGCTTTGCACCCATCTGCTTACTCATGAGAGCCGAAACCCCCACCCACGCCATCAGCATCACAAACAGCACAATCTACAGCCTAGGCTGCAGTATCTTCGGCCCCGCCACCTCTCCCTTGCAAGAAGTAGCTTCAGCAGTAAAATCCGGCATGGTAGCCATCAACGACTTTGCAGCCTACTACGCCGTCCAATTACCCTTTGGCGGTGTGGGTGGCAGTGGCTATGGCAGATTTGCCGGCGAAGAAGGACTAAGAGGGTTGTGTAATGCAAAGAGTATTTGTGTGGATAGATGGCCAGGACTTATCAAGACTGCTATCCCAGCGGGGTTGGATTATCCGATGAGGGAGACGGCGTGGGAGATGGGGAAGGGGGTTGTGGAGTTGGGGTACGGGGAGACTGTGTGGAGGAAGATTGGGGGGTTAAAAAGGATGCTTGCTGGGATGTGAGATTTTGTGGATGGTATCACTAGGAAGCAAGAGATGCGGGTTTATGATTAGATCTGCTGTGTTTGATATATGTACTGCACAACAAAGGTCTGGCAGAGAGCGTGACAACACTCGTCTCGATGGTTCTGTCTCCTGAAGAGTATCGTGCTTTCACGCAGCTTTGCAAGTGACACAAGTTTGCCTTGGATGGTGCAGCAAAGGCGAGAGCCTATCTTGAGCGCCAATGAGACGAGGCATCTCGAGTGATGTTGATACAGCCCTAAAAAGTACTGTGCTGTTAGACAGCCATGCCATTGATATGATTCAGCACACCGGAGTGAAGTGCGGTACCCTTCGAGAAAGTTTCTGTGCATCGCGAACAAAGCGACATCTCCCACGATCGACGCCCTCGTGTCATCGTATAATTTGCCCTTCTACAACCACAAGATGTACATGCGTGACGAGTCCTATCTCCCAGAAGCTGAACAAGGTTTCTTCGGGAATTGTTCTTCCATCATTCCCGAAGTTTCAAGCCATGAGGTGCGCCAATGAAGAGACAAGCATTTTCCCCACCCGCTCGGCTTCGTCTTGTTGGCAGTGCCGTTGAAATCTTGTACACGCTTGTCAGAACTTTCCAAGCCTCGCAAGCCTTTTTCCAGCCTCTTCCGCTTGACTGCAGGATCAGAGTTGACCACCAGTGACACTCGAAATGACACTCGAATCGTTGGTCAAGTCGGGCAGACATAGCAAATCGAAATCGTGCAGACGAGTGGTATGATGCTGTCGATGTGTCTTGTTTTGATCGAACTGTCCGGGTCAAATCGGTGCTGCGACATGAAAAGACGTTACTTTGACAAACTTGCGCTGTGCACGGCTTGAAGTGGTATCAGACACGATCCGAGTTCCGGTTAAAAGTCGTGGTTGTCCACTCAGGCGGCTGTTCATGATGAGGCACCTCGTCACATCAGCAGTCGGACCGAAGACACACCCTTACCGATAAACAAACCATTCCTGAAAGGTCCTTGAAGCGGAGCTCCAATTCGGACCGTCTCAACAACCCTGGAGGTTTCTTGCATGTTTTGGAGCGATTCTGGGGGCAAGTTCTCCATGGAGATGGGAAATGGAGAGATCGCGTGCCTCCACCTTCGCGATGGTCTGCCCACGGAGAGTGATCGGCTCTGATGCACGAGCATCCCCATGGATGTTCTCCACTTTCTCATGGAGGTTACAAAAGGTGGAGGGGCACCCAGTTGGACGAAAGTTTTCTTTCTGAAGCATTTCTCTCTTTCATCCTACAATCTTTGAACTTACTCGTGCATCAACATGGGTAAAGGTGTCAAGGGTGCCGCCTCCGGCGAGCAACATGAGAACATTGAGATGTTTGACGCTGCCCAGCAGGGTAGCTACCAGGACCGTCGCGACATGACCAAGGACCAGATGGAAGACGCTGTTCGCTCGGGAAGTGTCCCTCACGTCAATACGAGCGAGGCTGTCGATATCGCGAAGCAAGGTGGTTGGGAGGTCGATGCTCTCATGACCGAGATGCAGAATGAAATCGACGCACAAGGTGGAGACCACAACGGCCATTTCGACCTCGAATTCGCCAACCCAAAATACTTCACATTTCTCATTGTAGCCTTCGCTTCCATGGGTGGTATGCTTTCTGGTCTCGATCAATCGCTCATCTCTGGTGCCAATCTGTTTCTTCCTGAGGACCTTGGTCTCAATGACCGCCAGAACAGTTTGGTAAACTCTGCCATGTCCCTCGGTGCCGTCGGTGGTGCCATCATTCTCTCTCCAGCCAACGAGTACCTTGGACGTCGCTGGGCTATCATCCTCTCGTGTATTCTTTACACTATCGGGTATGTCAAAATAAGCTGTGTTCATACACAAACTCTGACCTGTCTCTAGTGGTGTTCTTGAAGCCGCTGCCATGAACTATGGCATGATTATCGCTGCCCGTATCATCCTTGGATTCGGTGTTGGTCTCGAGGGTGGTACCGTCCCTGTCTACGTTGCTGAGACTGTCGAGAGAAGACTTCGTGGAAACATGGTCTCTCTCTACCAGTTCAACATCGCTCTGGGTGAGGTTCTTGGTTACGCCGTCGCAGCCATGTTTGTTACCGTGGACGGCAACTGGAGATACATTCTAGGCTCCTCGCTCGTCTTCTCCACCATTATGGGTATCGGTATGCTCTACATGCCCGAATCACCTCGTTTCCTTATGCACAAGGGAAAGCCTGTTGAAGCCTTCAAGGTCTGGAAACGTATCCGTGGTCTCAAGACTCTGGACTCTCGTGAGGAGTTCTACGTCATGAAGATGTCTCAGGAGCAAGAGGACGAGGAGGTCGCTGCCGGACGTGGTAGCGCCAAATACCCCTGGATGGATCTCTTCACACAGCCCCGCGCACGTCGCGCCTTTGTCTACGCCAACATCATGATCTTCTTGGGACAATTTACTGTAAGTTGCGAAAAAGAGAACGAGGCGGGAATAAGATCGGAGAGGCTTCGGACCACAACTCCGCTCCTTGCTTTTGACCACCATTCATATTTGCTTTCTTGAACGACATACTGACTTTGTTTGTAGGGTATCAATGCTATCACTTACTTCATGAGTACTTTGATGCAGAACCTGGGCTTCGACAAGTACCAATCCAATTACATGTCCCTCGTCGGTGGTGGTTCGCTGCTGATCGGTACCATCCCTGCTGTTCTTTACATGGAAAGATGCGGTCGTCGCTTCTGGGCCATTTCCACGCTACCTGTCTTCTTCATCGGACTGATCATCGCTGGTGCGTCGCAATACGCTGGCGGTCAGAACGCCCAGATGGGTGTCTACCTGACCGGTTTGGTGATTTACGAAATTTTCTTCGGAACTTATGCCTGTTTGACCTGGGTCATTCCCGCTGAGTCTTACCCTACCTACCTCCGATCATACGGTACGTGCTGCCAAGGTGCAACTTTTGTGCGCCAGCTCGTGCGTTCGGGCGTTTCACTCGTGTCGAGCCCAACCCATGAGCTGGCTAGCTGAACAAGTACCCTATCTTACACCCTGATGACCCTTCGCTAATGAAAACCCCAAGGTATGACCACGAGCGATGGATGGCTCTTCCTTTCGTCCTTTATCGTCACATACAACTTTACTGGTATGAGCAAAGCCATGACCAACATTGGCCTCACTGCCGGTTTCTACGGCGGCATTGGTTAGTTTTTCCTCTTCTATCAGCATTGCTTTATGCTAACAGAGATTTAGCCTTCTTGGGCTTCTTCTACCAGCTCTTCTTTATGCCTGAGACCAAGGATAAGACCCTGGAAGAGATTGACTTGATCTTTTCTCAACCAACCAGCAAACTCGTGGCCCAAAATTGGAAGAACGTCAAGGAGACCACCAACGATCTACTTCGCTTCAGATTCAAGAAGGTCTTCATCGACGCACACGATGCTCCTGCTGTCGACTTCTCGCAGGGTAAGCAAGAGGTCGGCCATCAGGCATAAGCCGTTGAAATGAATTGGGCTGGCTATACCAATCATTGAACGTGGAAGACGCTATCAATCTGGAGGCGACCTTCGTCGATACCTACATATTGCTAGATCTATAGAGATTGGTTTTTCATGTAGCTATACATGACCATATAATATGAGCTTACGATTTCAAATCTACTCTCGTACCTTTTATCTTTCCTATACCAGTCTCTTCTATGCATGTATCGGCATCAGGGTACAGTGCCCTCAGTAGTAGTAGCAACATCGATGGCAATACGTCTCATCGACCTTCTTTGCGTTATCCGCTGGCTTGAGGAGAGACTGCCTCTTTCCACAGCGCCTGTCGCTTTGCATCAATCATGCAGCGGAGTGGATATTGGTAGCTGCCTTGAGGCACAGTACTTTCTTACCTTACAGCTATGTCACCGAGTCACGTCGCTCTCTCAATTATTGCGCCGATGTCAGACATGTATGGAGGTATGACTGTGCCTTTCTACAGCCCACTATTGCTCTACTCTGATCATGGCATTGAAGATGTCTTTACTCGCAGCATCAATACATCTACTCTCATGTTCTCTATATTGATATAAAATGGTGATCAAACAGATGATCGTGTAGATAATAAGGACAGTCTCTGTGTACACTGAACAATAAAACCACGAGGATATAGACCGTAAATATGCAGCACAAGCGGACCTTACAGCAGTATTTCAGAGGCGAGATCAACAACTGTCTACCGCCAAGAAAAAAATCAGCGATTCATAGCCTGTGATGCTTGATCCATCCAGGTCATATCTCGACCTACACTTTGTGGTCGGAATACGTTGAGGACGAACATGTCTGAGAGTGCTGAATGTGTTGCCGGACGACAAGAAGTGTGCACAGACTCAGGCTTTTAGGGTTAGGTTAAACAGAAGATTCTTCTTTGACTCGATGAACGTGTATAACGTTCACTTGAAGGACACTCGTGTGCAGCCGACGAGGACAACACAATGTGTGCGGCCAAGATAGCGCTGCAATTTTACTCGATAGAAGTGCATAACGACTGACCGTATTCGCGCAGGAAGCTGGCCGAAGGATCATCTCAACAAGTCGAGTCGAAGTGTATTTTCCCATCTTACTCGATGTTAACACCTGAGAGTGACTCGATGGCTACATGTAAAGTAGGAGTTTTGCCGGCGCGAAAGGGTCCCTATCAGAGACGCGGCGGCTTCCGGGGAAAAGGAGGAGAAACACGGAGCGGTACCGGGTCCTTGCACAAGCTTGACATTTTGTTGTGACTGTTTTCCCTGACCTCGGCATCGGCATGTGAAGGACAAAAAGCTGATATGCCAGACCGCGGCGCTCGCAACCCGAGGCGACCATGTGGTATTCACACGCAGAAAATCTGAGAGGAATTGTATACAAGTGAAGATTGACAGGCAATTGAGTGAATGCTCGTAATTGAAGGCGGGATGCGATTGCCGAGAAGCATGTATGACGTGAACCAAAGCAAAGAACTACCCCACACCAGTTTCCCGAATCTCGACCAAGCAGCCCATCTCCTCCCCTCGCCCGCCGTTCTCGCCGGAGAAGAGATTCCCAAAGAGCTTAGACCACTAGCCTCGGTAAGGTTATCTCTGACGGCATACAATAGATACATATACACGTAGGAGATCTGCTCCTCATTTCTTCCCTTTTCTCCTTCTCTGAACCTCATCGTCATATCTGTGAGACATATTCACACCTCAGACAAAAAAAGATACAATGGCACAAAACGCAGACCACATTCTCCGCGAGGTCAACATCCTCGGACCTCTTAATGACAAGACTCGCAAGGTCATCTCCAAGGATGCTACTGTCTTCCTTGCCCTTCTCCACCGCACATTCAACAAGACTCGCAAGGAACTGTTGCAAAGACGCGTAGCCCGCCAGGCCGAGCTCGATGCTGGCAAACTCCCCGACTTCCTCCCAGAAACCAAGCACATTCGTGATAGCGATGCATGGAAAGGAGCGCCACCAGCACCTGGTCTCGCTGACCGCAGAATTGAGATCACTGGTCCTACCGACAGAAAGATGGTCGTCAATGCCCTGAACTCGGATGTCTGGACATATATGGCTGATTTCGAAGGTACTTAAACTATAGGGAGCCGCATAGAGCACAGCACTAACGTCAATCTCTAGACTCAAGTGCACCCACCTGGGATAACATGATCAACGGACAGCTCAACCTCTACGATGCCATTCGCAAGCAGGTCGACTTCAAGCAGGGAGAGAAGGACTACAAGCTCCGTACCGACCGCAAGTTGCCGACGCTTATTGCTCGTGCCCGTGGCTGGCACTTGGAGGAGAAGCACTTCACTGTCGACGGTGAGCCCATCTCTGGTAGTTTGTTCGACTTTGGTCTCTACTTCTTCAACAACGCTCAAGAGCTCGTCAAGAGAGGAGCTGGTCCTTACTTCTACCTTCCCAAGATGGAGAGCCATCTCGAGGCTAGACTTTGGAACGACGTATTCAACCTTGCCCAGGACTACATCGGCATGCCCCGTGGAACCATCAGAGGTACTGTCTTGATCGAGACCATCATGGCAGCATTTGAGATGGACGAGGTGAGTTGACTGGAGATCCCATAAAATGTGACCCTCGCTAACACATTTCACCAGATCATCTACGAGCTTCGTGATCACTCTTCTGGTTTGAACTGCGGACGCTGGGACTACATCTTCAGCACCATCAAGCGTTTCCGCCAGAACCCTAACTTTGTCTTGCCTGACCGTTCAGCTGTCACCATGACTTCTCCTTTCATGGATGCTTACGTCAAGCTTCTGATCAAGACATGTCACCGCAGAGGTGTTCACGCCATGGGTGGCATGGCTGCTCAGATCCCCATCAAGAACGACAAGGAGGCTAACGACAAGGCCATGGCCGGTGTCCGTGCTGACAAGCTCCGTGAGGTCAAGGCTGGCCACGACGGAACCTGGGTTGCTCACCCTGCTCTCGCTAGCATTGCTGCCGAGGTGTTCAACGAGCACATGCCTACACCCAACCAGCTCCACGTCCGCAGATTGGAAGTCGACATCAAGCAATACGACCTCCTCAACATGAACGTTCCCGGAAAGATCACCGAGGACGGTATCAGAAAGAACCTCAACATTGGTCTCGGCTACATGGAGGGCTGGCTCAGAGGAGTTGGTTGCACCCCTATCAACTACTTGATGGAGGACGCTGCAACTGCCGAGGTCAGCAGAAGTCAACTTTGGCAATGGTGCAGACACCAAGCACAGACAGACACAGGCAAGACGATCAACAAGGAGTACGCTCTCAAGCTTCTCCACGAGCAAGCCGAGGAGCTCGGCTCCAAGGCACCAAAGGGTCACAAGTACCCGTTGGCAGAGAAGTACTTTGCCACACAGGTTACTGGAGAGCAGTATGACGAGTTCTTGACATCGTACGTATCAATCCTTCCAATGATCGTGTGGGACAAGATTGCTAACCGAATCACACAGGCTGTTGTACGACGAGATTACGACTGTGGGTAGCCCCGCTCCTGCCTCCAAGTTGTAGAGGAAATGAAGCGAGATGGTCGGCATGACCTGGAGCAGCCCCAAATTGATACCCGAGCGGAAGGCTGATGAAAGGCACTTCCTTAGGTCGGACCGGCCCAGGCTGCGATTGATCTATGATGCGCCATGCCACAGCAAATGTAATATGAACGTAAGAAATGATTTCCTGTACATGTCGAATTATGAATTGGCAACATTACAACATGAAGTATCGTGCTTGGAAAATGAGTAGACTGGCATGTCGGCTCGCTCATGCCATACGTTCACCAACTGACAAAGGTCGTGTTTCTGAACAAAGCAGTGAAAATGATCGGATGTCAAGTCCAAGTGGTGGCTTGTATGTAACACAAACCAGCCATTCCGGGAGTCGGCCAAGACGATCCGAAGCGGGGCTAAATCAATAAATCAAGATGCGGCTCCAATTGCTACAAGTAGACGATGGCGTAGTCGAACTCAGGCACATGTTTCTTCAATGCTTCTCTCCTGCATCGATGTGAAGAGTTCAACATAAGTCATTTTCAATTTCACTCATTACATGTCATAGAAATCGACCGCAGCCATGGCGCAAAACTATGAGTTGACGCGTCAATCGCTCGACGATTACCGCCTATCCACGTCGTCGTCGCGCGACTCGATCTCGTCATCAATCAACGAACTAGACCCTCTCAGAAACTCGGACCGACCATACCAGGACAAGACAGCTCAGGCTCACGACTCGCTCTTCACCACACGCCGTCGGTCGACATGGCGTCGCTTCTTGGTTCCGTCGCGCATGTGCTGCATGATGGTCTTGCTCTTCACTGCCGCTCTGGTCTTACTTCTAAGCGCCGGGGGCATCTGGGTATACAAGAGTGAACCTGAAGAGGGTCAGAGCGACCCCTGGTATCCATCACCAAGAGGAGGCACCGTTGCTGCATGGGAAAAGGCGTACAAGAAGGCTGCTGCTCTGGTCAGCCAGATGTCTGTCGTTGAGAAGGTCAACATCACCACCGGCACTGGCTGGGAGATGGGCATGTGCGTCGGAAACACCGGACCTGTCGAGCGATTGGGCTTCCCATCTCTCTGCTTGCAGGACGGGCCTCTTGGTCTGAGGTTCGCCGACAACATCACCGCCTTCCCTGCCGGCATCACTCTTGGCTCCACATGGAACAAGGACTTGATCTACCTCAAGGGTCGCGCACATGGTCGTGAGGCTCGTGCTAAGGGTGTACACATCGTCCTTGGTCCAAGCATGGGCCCATTCGGCCGTCTGCCTGCCGGTGGTAGAAACTGGGAAGGCTTTGGCTCGGATCCTGTTCTACAAGGTCTTGCCGCTGCTTCCATGATCCGTGGAATCCAAGAGGAGGGCATCATTGCGACTGCCAAACACTACATTGCCAATGAGCAGGAACACTTCCGCCAGAGCTGGGAATGGGGCACTCCCAACGCCATCAGCAGTAACCTCGATGACAGAACTCTGCACGAAATCTACGCCTGGCCATTTGCCGAAAGTGTCAAGGCTGGTGTCGGTAGTGTCATGTGCTCTTACAACCAGGTCAACAACTCTTACGCCTGTCAAAACAGCAAGCTGCTCAATGGTATCCTCAAAGATGAGATGGGCTTCCAGGGCTTCGTACAGAGCGACTGGCTCGCTCAGAGAAGTGGTGTTGCTTCTGCTCTTGCTGGTCTTGACATGAGTATGCCTGGTGATGGTCTCCGCTGGACGGATGGCCAATCTGTCTGGGGAGGTGAATTGACCAAGGCTGTCTTCAATGGCAGTGTTCCTATGGAGCGTCTCAACGACATGGTCCTGCGTGTTGTCGCTGCTTGGTGCCAATTTGGCCAAGATGACAAGTCCAAGTGGCCTGCCGAGAAGGACGGCGGTGGCCCAAACTTCTCCTCCTGGACCAATGACAAGATTGGCTTGCTGCACCCCGGAAGCAACGACACCACCACGGGAGTTGTCAACAAGTTCGTCAATGTTCAAGGCGAAGGCGAGGATGCTCACGGCAAGCTTGCTCGTCAAATCGCTGCTGAGGGTACTGTTCTGTTGAAGAACGATGATCATGTTCTTCCCATCAACCGTGATGGCAAGAAGATGACCAAGAACGGCGACAAGCTTCGCGTAGCCATCTTTGGTGAAGACGCCTTCAACAATGGCAATGGACCCAACGCCTGTGCAGACCGTGCTTGCAACCAAGGCACTCTTGCTCAGGGATGGGGATCTGGCACTGTGGAATTCCCTTACCTCGTCTCTCCTGCAGAGGGCATTCATCTTGGTTTCGACAAGGAGAGTGTCACGCTCTCCGACTACCCGTCAAACTCCCAAGACCTTGACAAGCACTCATCGCGTGCAGCTGATCAAGACTTGTGCTTCGTGTTCATCAACTCTGATGGTGGAGAGGGCTATGTCGCCTGGGGAGCTGTCAAGGGCGATCGTAATGACCTCTACGCTCAGAAGGGCGGTGATGACTTGGTCAAGAAGGTTGCAGCCAAATGCGGTGGTCCAACCATAGTCGTGGTCCACTCCGTTGGTCCTGTCATCTTGGAGAAATGGATCGATCTGCCCGGTGTCAAGGCTGTGCTCTACGCCAATCTGCCTGGTCAAGAAAGCGGAACTGCGTTGGCTTCAATCATCTTCGGCGATGTGAATCCCTCAGGCCGTCTACCATACACTATCGCTAAGCGCGAAGATGACTATGGTCCGACGAGCAAGATCCTGTACCATCCCAACGCCGTTATCCCGCAGCAAAACTTCTCAGAGGGGCTCTACCTCGACTACCGCTACTTTGACAAGCACGACATTGAGCCACGCTTCGAGTTCGGCTTTGGACTCTCATACACTACATTCCATCTCAGCAGCTTGTTCATCCACCCAATGGCCACTGAATTCTCTTCTTTACCTGCAAAGCGACCTGCTGCGCTTACTCCTCCCCGCATGGACGTCTCAATTCCCGATCCTCGCGAGGCGCTTTGGCCTGCCAATTTCATCGCTCTGAAGAAATACATCTACCCCTACATCAACTCCATCGACGATATCAAGACGGGCAAATACCCTTACCCGAAAGGCTACGAGATCGCACAACCACCATCCCCCGCCGGCGGGGCAGAAGGCGGAAATCCTGACCTCTACACCCCCATCGCCGTCGTCCAAGCCTCCCTCACAAACACAGGCTCCCTTGCTGGCGACTGTGTAGTCCAACTCTACATCTCCTATCCAAGCACCCCTATCATCGATTCCCTTGGCAACACTGTCGATTTCCCCGTCCGTGTCCTCCGAGCCTTTGACAAGCTTTTCGTCACTACGGAAAAGCGAGTCGAGGTTAGTATGGAGTTGACGAGAAAGGATCTCAGTTATTGGGATGTGGGGATTCAGAATTGGGTCTTGCCGATGGGAGAGTTTGAGGTGCAATTGGGCTTTAGCTCGAGGGATATTCAACAAAAGGGAAAGATTAGCACAGAGGCTTTGCTTGCTTGATTGCCCGAAACATTTCAGGCTGAGGGGGTTTCAAAAGGGAAGGGCGTTTTAGGGATATGATGAGGATGAGGGCGTTGGACTTGGGTAGGTAGAAGGGGGCGTTTTTTTGTAAATATGTATCCAGACATTAAGAAAGATGATGTGTTGCCAAAAAGGTCCTCGTTGATCCTGTTTGTGTTGCCCAATATCGTGTTCCTCTTCTCACTGGCTCCTGACCTGGTCAAGTGCAAAGTATAAGTCATCGTGCTTCTCAAAAGTCGAAAGCAGGCGGAAGCCGTCGACAACGACAAGAGCTTATAGACAGGGGCAATGCGCTGCTCTAAGCACGTCCAATCTTCCAGAAACCGTCTACGTAGCTAAAACATTTAACTGTATTGGAAACCAAAAAATTTGTTGATCTGGTTTGGAAGGCTGAGACAGGCCAGGGTCTTACCGACGGCAACCCCTCTCTGACTTGACAGCGGCATAACGAGGCAACCACCATGGCTACTGCTTTGGATACCAGTTTATGCCATGCTCAAGATATTTAGAGTCATCTCTTTATACTTTTTGGATCGATACGGGTCTTTAATGGATTGATGGATCATGATACAGGTTTTCAGTTTAGTCACACAGCGAAGAGCGTCAAAAACGTGGCGATGTCATCGGGAACCTTCGCGCGCCACACTTACAAATAAGACATCCAGATCTTTGATGATGACATGGAGATGACAGATGTAAACACGAAAGTAGTTGTGCTTATGTGAGCGAAGCAGAATGTACGAGTATGTCCACCAGGTGTAATAATGCTGTCAGTGGTCCAGACCTGAGGGACAGGGTCACCAAAGCTTTGACGGTGGAAACGCAGGGCAAGACCCAGCAGGGATGCCCCAAATCGAGCAGCACCTGAACAACAAGACCGACCAACCAGTCACCCTCGAGCCTCACGCTCAATGCAGGCCCAGAAGATGAACCTGCAGCCAAATCTATTGATCCCCGCCCAGAAACCGCAAAAAGACCATATCTCGCTCAAAAGTGCTGCAAAAAAAGAAGTAACCACAGTTTTGGACCCGCAATGGCAAAAATAATTGAATTAGGCGGGAATCGAACCCACAGCAATCGCTCACATTGAAGAATGGAAGGCGATTATGTTACCACTACACCACTAATCCTGCTTGATGAAATGTGTCCAAACAAGATGATAAATATTCCTCACAAACGTGCGTGAGATTGAGTATCGTGTTCGGTGCTTCTGATGACTGTACTAGGCTATTGTGGCATAAGTGACATGAAGTGGGGATAGGCGAGGTCGAACGAAGCTTCTAATACCATGCACCCGTGATCTGTGGTCAAAACATACCTTTCTCGCTCTTACGCCCTCAACTTGCAATTGCGCAAACAAGAACAACTCGAGAACCTCTGACAAAGAAACCAACACGCTAGCTTAATCAGGCTAGCTTTCTTGCTCGGGCAACGTGATTTCTTTGTCCCAGCGTGTTTTCTGCGCAAAATTCGATGTAATTGGGACAGTATGAGAGGGTCTGGTTGTTTGTAGGTAAAAGCGATAGAGATATGTAGCAGAGTTGCACAGGGCGTCTGCGAAAATGTGGAGGGGAATTTGAGATTCGGAGTGGGTGGTGCATGGACCATGTGAAGTTATGTGAGTTCATCAAGGGTGGAGTTGTGCCAGTTTTATGTACAAAGTCATGCTTTGATCTGGTGTTTACGGTGCTTCAGATATCACTTAGATCAATGAATGTGGTCGTTCGAAATATTCGGTAGATGTGTGTCTAGACTATGAGCCAACAGCATGTTCTTCGGCACCTAATATCCTACCTTCGACCCTGCCGCCATACGCACCACCATCCAAGATCCACTGCTCATTGTCATCATTATCGTCTTGTACTCTCCTCCAAGTACTTTTCCTATCCTCACTTCCTTCCTGCCCCTTGGCTTTCCCTTTATCAGCTCTAGCAGTCGGTCTAATCAGCGCACCCAGCAAAGGATTATTGCTGAAAGCCCCCGACCCAGCATTATCGTCCCGTTGCACTGGTGTCGTATCTTCCTCCTCTGCCTCTTCCTCAGCATCGCTAGCAGGTCTATCGACTTTAGCCATGCGCTTGACGAGTTTGCCGCCTACGACATCGATACTGGCGACCATGCGACGCTTTTCGTACTCAGGTCTTGCGTTCCACTCCATCTCACGCATGACTTTTTGCTGGCGTTTGAGTTCTGCAGCACGTTCGGTTGGGGATGCCCACATATTTGTGCCAGAGGTGGGGACGTCAAAGTCTGCAGCCTCGTCGTATACACGTGTACGTCTCGCGTTGTTGGCTTGGAAAGCGAGAAGTTTGTCTCTGTGCTCTTTGGCCTTGCTGACTGCCGAATCGCCTTCGTCTTCGGAGGGTGCTGCAGAGGAGAGTGGAGATGCTGCTGTGGATGCTGCTGCTGAGGAGGAAAGGAAATCGCGACCGGTAAACGCGCGAGGCTTTTGGCTGACCTCGGCGCGCTTGTGAGTTGCATTGTTGGTTGCTTGACGCTCTTTGCCGCGCTCATCTTTGAGCACACGCACCATACTTGTGATTTCTGTGGATGAGAGGAGGGGAGTTTCACAGAAAGTGCATGGTCCGAGACCCTCCTTAACACAGACGATCTTTCCACAATTAAGACAGTTTGGTGCGATGGTCAAGAGCGGGTGGCGTGTAGCCATGCAATTACACCTTCGCTTTGCGAGATCAGCTGCTGATTGTGAGTTTGAAGCCAAGGTGGGGTTGGTCTGCAGCTCCAGAGCTCGAATAGCAGAATCTAGATCTGACAAAGTCTTTCCAGCTCCATGCATATTGGTACCTCCAGTAATGTTGACCTTCGTCTTGGTCGGTGCGGGTGATGCAGTACGAGGAGTAGATGATTGCGATGGTGGAGGAAGGACATCAGAAATCAAAGGCCCAGATGCCGAAGGTGGAGCCCGAGGTCCACGAGATATGCCTCCAGCAGTACGGAGAGGAAGTTGTCTAGCATCAGGTGCCTCCTGCAAAGCCAGAGTGGTTGACAGAGATGATTGAGGCTTCTTGCCTCTCGATGATCCAGCCATGTAAACACCCTCATCCTGCTTTCTGTATGCGCCAGAAGCACCTCCGAGATCTTGAACCTGCCGCGCTGGTAGGTTGTGGATGTTCGCCTTCTTCTTTGGCTGCTTTGGCTGTCTCTTTGGTACACCTTCATCCTGAGTCGAGGGAGCCGCAGCCGCAGGACGAGCTTCTGAAGGCGGTGTTTGACGACGCGAATTAAATGAAGCAATGAACTCCAGAGCTTGCGGCGAGTCACCCAACAAGCCTCCAAGTTGTTCTGCCGCTACATCTCTGGGTAGTGTGTCGTGATATGTGATGATTTGCTTGAGTGAATCTTCATCCAAAGGCAAAAGACGTGAGATTTGGGGCACTGCCCATTTAACCAATGCTTCGGTCATGATACCCAGTCACAGATTCAACAATAATGTCTCTTGGCTGGAAGTTGAACAAAGTCTTGAGATGTCAAAAGAGAAGTTGAGCGCGGTGACTGGTCTTGGCGTCATCATCAATCGTCACCGTCACCGTCACCGTCAATCAAATCGGCGCTGGCCGCACGCGACTTGAGCCTCCCTCCAACATGCGACGCTCAGAGACACGTCCGAAGATGATCACATTCCTTCCAGCGTGTACGTAGACCAGCATCGAGTCATGATGAGAATAAGTACTCCCAAACGTGTTAATCTGCACCGCATGTAAAGATCGTGTTGGAGAGTAACAATGCTCATAACTTTTCAACTCCTATCTAGAGCCAAAACTATTCGCCATCTTCCAGATGCTGGCCAATTGCCGTACCATCGATATTCGAGGGTGCACCAACCCAATACAAGAACTAAACGCTATCAGAACATTCCAGCCAAGCAAAAAAGTCCCACCAATGCCTCTTGAGTCTAGAAATCGATTCCAGCAAACAAGTACTAGCCATGAAAGTACGCCTTCCTTTTGAGACCGGCTATGGGGTAGACATGAAGGGCTACCAATCAGAAGCGAAAAAAATGAAAGAAACAAGAACTAAAAGACATTTATCATTCTGATTAAAGCGATTTGTGACTCTGAGTCTGCAGACCACCATTCGATCCCTGGTTCCTCGGAGATTCTTCAGATCTCAAGGAGCAAATGTGGGGCGGGCTCACATTTTTTGCTTGCAAGACCAGCGACAGAGCGCATACAAGTGAAGACCGCAGTTCACATGCGCTGCTGGTTATTGAGCTTGCTGAGCATATTGCTGTCGGCTTGGCTCCTACCACCTTCAGAATTGGCCTGATTCTGCGCTTGTTGTGCAGCAGTTTGAGTGGCGCCCGGTGCTTGCTGCGGCTGCTGAGAGTGCGCAGCAGTCGAAGGTGGTGGCCCTTGAGTATGGTTTTGCTGGGGCTGAGGTTGACCACTTGGACCTACAAGCTCCTTGATGCGCACACCTCGAGCGTTGTTGGACGGGCTTGTACGCTCGTTGGTCGCAGGAATAGGTTTGGAGTCAGGATGAGACGTCACAGCCGGGTTGTACGCAGCCGCGGGAACAGACGCGGCATGAGTGTGCGGAGAATGAGAGGGGCGAGGCTGTTGTTCGTATGAGTAGGCTGTCTGAGGGGATGGTCTTCGTGGAGGTGCAGGCGCAAAGTATGGCTGAGCGTGAGGTTGCGCAGACTGGAACGATGTGGTAGACGAGGCAGGCGAAGCCGCTGCAGGAGTCAAGACAGTCGGATCAGGGTAGGTGTACTGCGGCTGAGCGTGGGGCGGGGGAGGTCCTTGTTGAGGCATCTGAGCAGCTTGAGCAGGGTTCGGTGGAGGAAGAGTCGGGGTATGCGGCTCTTCGTTGGGACGTTTGCGACCGGCCTCTTGAGCAGGGTTTGGTGTTCCTGTGGGTTGTGGAGGCGCAACATGAGGTGGTGGGGGTCCCTGTGGGACTGCACCAGGAGGCATTCCGTAGACCGGACCTTGAGGGGGGTATCCTTGAGGAGGAGGGTAGCCATGTTGCGGCTGAGGATAGGGATCACGAACTGCGTGCTGCTGAGGAGGTAGCGGCTGTCCATAGGCGCCATACAACTGCTGCGGAGGTGCACCCTGCTGTCTCCAGACAGTGTGGGCGGGAACGAAAGCCTGCGACTGTGCCGAGACAGGCGTGAAGACGCATTCTTGTGAGAAACGCTGACAATTGGTGCAGCGACCATCCTCGGACTGATCAAAACCAGAGCATCGGATCTAGAGAGTGTTAGGTGGTTACTTTCGAATGTCGGTCACTTGACATACCTTGCGACGTCTACAATAACGGCAAGCAATGGCCGTTCTCTGGCGAGGGGCAGGTTGAGGAGGGTAAGGGAGAGCCTGCTGGTAATGACCTGGTGGACCGTAGGCGTGCATTGGTGGTGGCAGTGAGCGATATTGTTCGGGGTGAGCAGGTTGAAGAGTGGTCATGTTTGGAGGACCTCCGTGAGGCACTGCCTGGCTGAGGGGAGGAATCTGATAGGAAAGAGAGGTTAATGTCACGCGAGAGTGTTTGCTTGTGCAACTCGACATACCTGAGGGGGCGGACGCTGTTGCGCGTACTGAGCCGTGGGATGCGGTGGAGGGGGTTGCGCCCACTGCTGCTGGTGCTGTGGAGGGGCAGAAGTGGACGGTGGAGGTGGGGGAGGTTGTTGATGTTGCGGCAACTGTTGGTGATGTTGTTGTTGCTGCTGCTGCTGCTGCTGTTGTTGGTGCGGGTGTTGCTGCTGATGTTGATGTTGGGGGTGTTGAGAGTGTTGAGGATGAGGTTGTTGTTGCGGTGGTTGACCATTGGCGTTTGGAGACCAAGCAGCAGGAGGTCCGGGGTTTGGGTACATCTCAAAATAAATAACTGCGGGAGGGGTGCGACTAATGCGCTTTGGTGAGATTTGTCGAACAGCAGTAGCCGAGTATGCACGTCGGCTGGCGTGGGATGTGGGATGTGGCAGCTATGTCGTAGTTGCACAAGGGAGGCGCGGGCCGCAGGCGAGCTGCAGGATCAACGGCACTCAAGGCAAGACAGCGGCGTCGGGTGACAGCTGCAGCAGAAAAACCGACAAGAAATTCAAAGACCTGATGCGCGAGTATTGGACGCTGCTGCGAAGAGTCGCGGGTGCGGATGTGCTGTCTCTCTTGTACGGAAAATCGACAGAATGACCTCAAGCGCGCTTCTAGGGGCGGCAGAAGGAGCGGTAGAAAGAAACGATGTGAATCCGACACACAGGCACGGAAATGTCCAAGGAACAGACGGTGGGGTTCCTGCCGCTATTTCAGGTGCGAAAGACCACCGGCTGTCCAAGCGGATCAGTTTGGTTGGTTGAACGGTACTGGTCTCAGGCGGGATTATGGATAGGCCCGGGGCGCTCTCTGGTTAGCGAGAAACGCGGACGGGTAGTGTGTCCGTGAGTTTGTGGATGCTTTTTGAGAAATCCAATATTCTGTATCAAGTCCGAGCGTTTTTGCGACGCTCCTCAAAACACTACTGACCACCATGCGCACCCGCGACCAACTCTTAAAGTGTCCATGTAAAGAAAGACGAGTAGACCCTGCGCCCGCTCCGCTCCTGCTGTCTCGCTAATCCTCTCAGTCTCTGCAGAACGAGGGCATGCGCGGCTCTAGCGTAGCAAATTTGTACGCAATAAACACAATTCCGTCGATCACGGCGCGCGCGGGTGAAGGCAGCCACGCAGTGTCGTAGAGACTTTAGCTTTGCGGACGCTGCCACTCTGTGCGCACAGAGCCGTGCCGTGATCGTAACGTTGTTCGGTGGTAGACTCCACTTTGGCGGGCAGGCGGTCAGAAAGACAAATACTACCGGCAGGGCAAAGCGAGATTCGAACGTGTCACGGAGGGGGCCTTGGTCGTCTCTACTAAGCTGCTCCCTAGCTGAAAGTGAACTTTGGCTGTCGTCGTCTACTTGCGGCATCACTGGCATGCATCGGTCGCCGGCGCGCTAAGACAGCAACTTGCTTTACCTGGTCCGAGTGCTTCTGCAGGCCTGACCCTCGGCTTGCCACGCGACAGCATGAACTCTCTGACCGAGAAGGATCTCGAGGTATGCAATGATCTGCGTTTAGGGTGAAGCCACCGTTCGCCGTTTTCGACGGTGCGAGCCTCGCCAAATTCTACTCCGTCAGCGGCTCCCGGCGTGTGCGCGCGTATGTTTGACGCGCTTAGGGACGATCTTCCTTGCTGACCGCTTCAGCGAGTCAACTTTCTTGCGCCCTTCGTTTGTCACTGTCACCTCTGTTCGCCCGTCGTCTCGCTTGACCGGTGACTTTTGCAACCTGTTTGCTTTGAGCGATCACGGCATCCGATCATCACCTTATCGTTTGCCCTATCCTTTCTAGTCAGTTTGCGCCTTGTCAATTGATTACGAAAAGACGTCGTCCTTGTCTTAGACAACACGTGCGGTACGGGACACTTGCCTTAGCCCAAACTATCCTCCCGCTGGCTCATGCGGCGCCCCGAGGAGACTGAGTTTGGGGCAACTTCCGGCTTAGAGGATGTTAAAGATCAGACCGTTTCAACGAACGCCATCAAGGGAGTGAGACTGAGGTCGCGCTTGACTGCTTGCCTCCACCGTCCGGTGATTTGACGTTCGCCCTGTCTAGGCTGTCCTGATCCTATTGGGACACAAGTCACCGAAATCGGAAAATCTGGGAAGGAGCAGTCTGGACAATGTCTTGCTTCGAGGGAGCATAGTTGTAAGGTATGGTCGGGTGATTCTCGAAGCGACGCATGCAAGCAACGCTGCTCATTCCAATTGGCGCTTGTCCGACTGTACTAACAGATCGAGACGGGGATTTATGATCTATCAGTCATCGAGATACCTAATTTTGTATGCAGAGGGGACAGTACAAGGTTTCAGTCTCAATGAAGGCCCGGGACGAAGCGCGAATGCATGGCATCTCTGAATCACATCACATTCCCTTCTTTCGTTTGTTCCCTTGCTTCTAACATGTCGCTGACATGCCGTACAGCACATAGAATGCGGAGTGGTGGCCCCGGGTCGTATTTGCGATAAGATGTAGCCTGCATGATCTAGAAAGTAAGTTGAAGTACACATGCTTGTTGATCAAGACAGTTACAGGCTGTCATGCGAACTCGCGATAGTCAGATGTAAATCTGCTATCGAGATCCAAATAACTCCAGAGCTATACTTGCTCTCGCGATATGGCTCCCAAAAGAGGAAGCCGACAGCATGTCAGCTCGAAGCCTTGAGCGTCGCTTGTGTCTTGCACGATCGCTCGCGGCTCGTATGCCCCTCGTCAGGCTTACCCCTCCGGCCGACGGCGGTCCGATCCGACTGTTTGACAAAACCAGACTAGCGAGGAATAGTGGACGATGCGATGTGTTTTGTCTCTTGGAAATGAAACAAATACAGGGCAAAAGCCATCACGATTAAAACAGAGACCTGTAATCTGTCGGTGACGTTGACCCGTCCGCGGCGTCCCGAAGGCGATCTCACTCATTTCGAGAAGCTCGCTGCCACCCGCGCGCGTAAAACTCCTTCCAAATGAACGATGAACATAAGGTACGGTACGCTGGGAAGCGGTGCGGATCGGAAAAAGACCGTCCGTTTCAACCTTGATCGTCATTACTGATCGGTCTGTGACCCGCGAGCGACGCCGTCAACACCAACACTCGTAAAACTGGATAGATTGCCGCGCAGGCTCGACACTGAACAGCCACCTCCTGCAGGAAGCATTCCCTGCCCAGACATGGATGCTGCATTTACAATTCATCAATCGTCGTCAAACCTCATACAGATCTGCCGTCCTTCCTACCTGGCCCAACCACTGCCCTGCTGATGATGAACCACACCCGAACATAGGAAGCACAGACTGGAAGCAACATGATAGTGGCACTGCTTGCACATGTACCGCGAAGCTCTAGTCCGAAAAGCGCATAGTGCTTCGTCAGGTGATTAAATTCTCATGCAGGTGGACAACGCAAAATGCACGCCCTAAAGCGAGGAAGAGACCAATCATAACTTATTCGAGCCTTGATGCGCTGGCATATTCTTTTTGACATTCAGACGTCGACCTGTCACCGACGACAAGTGCTGCAGAATGCGAGTTGATGGATTCAGAATATGCTGCAGCAGAGAATAGAATGACACATTCGTGGCAGTCGTCGATTTGTTGATCGCAGATTTTACGTGTCTATTGGTGCCTTTACCCGTTTCAACGGCATCTCTCTGACTCCCACTCCAGTCGCCTTTGCACTCTGCTATCCCTAAGCATCCGAGCTCTCTGCCTCTGAGCCTTCGTCTTCTCCATCTTCGGCTTCGTCCTCGCTGTCGTCTTCATCATCATCCTCCTCCTCCTCCTCACTCGGATCGGGGAGAACGATGCGGTTCAAGCAAGCGACCTTGAAATGAGCAAATGTCAGCCATCAATTCCGCAGATCCATGGTTGGCTAGTAAGGGTATTGGCAAGGAAGGTTTCAGAGGGCTTGCTTCAAAGAAGAACAGCCCCCGAAACAGACCACGCACCGTCCCCTCGGGCCGAACGGTTGACACTTTGTGGATACTGACTCGCGACCTTAAAAGGTCCATCAGACCCATCGCCGCCTCGTCGAAAGACGGTGCAACTCGAGTACCATGGTTCAACAACGCGCCTTCTCCTTTAGCCGAAGACGGTTTGAGAAGTTGAGCAAGGGCAGGCCTGCAAGAAGTCGAAGGATAGAACTCACAAAAGGGTGCAACGCGGAGAGCAGAGCCGTGATCCGGCGCAGGACTTGCGTGTCGAGGATTTCAGCATCCATCAACTTGGTGCCGACGGTAAAGCGTCTGAGACGTAGGAGGTCGATGTCCGGATGACCAGCGTCGTATCCCTAGAGCATGAATAGGGTCAGTTTCCGAACTTCCGTTTCGCATGTGTGTGCCACTGTATGACCATCTCGTCATGAATCATCCTGTTAATTTTGGCGTTCATGGCATGAGACACATGCATCAAAGGTAGGTTCAACTAGCGGGGTTCAACCGACTAGTCTACCAAACAACAACCAATTCACGAGTCTTGCTCGCCATCTCGGCACACGCGTCTCTGGGCGTCTGCAGGAGATGAATTCTAAGTGAATGGATATTAGCCATATCGGATGGGTAGGGCAACTTCGTACTCACTTTTGTGGTTTTCGCTCGAGATGAATCGAGGGCGGTCATCATCTCCTTTGCTCGTCTCATTGAAGTGTCCAGAGAGGCAACGCGGGACGCTCCAGCCCGAGCGGGAGTAAGGTAGTCGCAGAGGAACCCCTACCCGCCCGGGATCAAGCATGGACCGAAGGTTCCTAGCCATCACCTGTGACGAGTTGCATCCGCGATCCTTCGTGACCGATCGACTTTGCTTCTTCTGCTCCTTCCCTCAAATTGAGACGTCCGGCAGTTGCTCTTCTGATGCTACTCGCTGATTGAGATGTTCACACGCCGAGGATCATGAGACGGAAGTTTCGCATCGCGTTCCATCCCGGACGTGTCCCTGTGGCTTTCGTGAGGGTATCAGCCAGCCACAACGCTCCGGAAGGGGCTGAAAGCTGGTTATAATCCTCCGTGAAGCATGTGCTGACACATCGTGAATGTAGAGCGCCAACAAAGATGTCCGGCTTGGCAACCTTTACTCACGACGACATGCACGATCTATGTACTGAGTGGAGTAAAGAGAGGTTGGCTGCTTACCTTTGGCTTGGTCTTCAATGCAGTTTCCGCATTCGTCTTGACAAACGCTTTCACAGCCGATTTCGACGAAGAACCGGACAGGAATTCAGCTCGCATCGTGTCATTCATCAACACGTCCTTGAGCCGCTGCGGATTGTGGTCGATGGTGTTACGGAGTGCTGCTAGAGCTCTTGCATCTGGAGACCAGTAGCCTCCACCTGCGCGACGAACTGTCAGCTTCGGTCCTAAATGCTTAGTGCTCACTGCTGCTGGCAAAGACAGCTTGATGTAGCTCGAGAAGCTCAAGGACAGTGGAGACTAGGACGTGCAATGCAGTCCTGACGAACTCCTCGACCCAAAGCTAAGAGCCACACGAGCTACCTGACAACGCAAAGAAGCTGCTGTCTCTGATGACGAACAAACGGCGAGAAATGCATGCGCTTATAACAACAATGATCGCAACCTCGTTGACCACCAAGTAGGCATGGAAGCCCCTCCGTAATCCACGTCAGAACCGCTCCTCGGGAACCTAGCGTCACAGCAGGACCAGAACAAGAAGGCGACCAGCAAATCCCAGCACCTTCTTTTCGCACCGGAGTACAACCAAAGAGCATGGAAACCATACTGTCAATCAAGAGCTCGTGAGAGCCAACACACCCTTTCGTGTATTGTACTTCGGGCTATGTCAGGCTTGAAGGACGAGCTCGATCGTTGCCCTTTCTGTGCACTAGAGCTTGCATCCTCGAGTTGAGAGCACACCTAGACCGTCTGAGTTCAAGTCGCATGGACCCAGAACTCGTCAAGCTCTCCCTCACTAGGGAGAACTATGTTGTGACGCCATAATTTTATCTCGGCAACTGAACGCATCGCTACATGTGATAGTGAGAGAGGGACGTGATCGCCGAACTCTAGCACACAGAAACACGACGTCTGTCATTTTGGACATCAAGCCTGAGCCGGATGACGACGCCGGTATCTTATCAATTTAAGCACGGCTCGATCCTAATGATTGACGCTATGGTCGCCCAAACCTCCCGGGAGCGGGTGGAGATTCAGGAGGCTATCGCTCCGAGCACGGGACTGACAGTACGAGTAGATTAAACAAGCCACAGCCATGCAAAATCAACAAGCGCCATATGAAAGGAAAGGACGGGGAACAAGAATCGCGTCACTCACCAACGAAACTTTCGCCTGGGCTAATCTGCACATAGTAGGCAGCATATGGTCCTTTACGGCCCGTTCGACTCCTGAACGTTTGTGCTTGATCAGTATCGTGATAGTGATCCTTCTGCTCTCGCGTGATGAACTAACCAGGCGGCGGAGAAATATGGCTACATAAGGTCAATGCGTTAGTATTAGCGTCGCGGTAGGTAACATGGGCCAGATCGATGCTGCAGGCAGGTTTGCTTTGCGGCCGAGAGGATCTCTAGTACATACTTTGTAAGGTGTAGGATCTTTGCTGAATCGTATGTCCCTATAGATGCGGAAGACCTGATCACCAGGATCTGTGTCAGTCATGTGTGATCGACCTTTGTATGGAAATTACCGACCACATCCTTGAGGGGCAGTTCAGGAATGGTGTCATCGATCTTGGTGAGCTCCTCGGTCAATACTTCCACGAACGAGTTCCAGTCTTTCAAGCTCGAGCGGTAGTCGGCATCGTACACTGCAAGGGTGGTGACAAGTCAGCCGATTGCATGAAAAACACGGGAACGTGAACCAGTCCGTCATTGGAGAATGGCGTGCATGCTCTAGGCAGCGGTGTGATCAAGCGCTTGAGCGTGTGGTGGAGTTGTGGAGTACAGGCGAGAACCAACGTTCTTTCGGTGATCTGGCTGCAAGCTACTGCACAAATGCTCGAGCTGCAAACAGAGCCAATATCACTCAAATAAGCCGAAGGGTAATTTCTCGGCCGAGAGAATGTTGTCTCGTGTTGCGTACTAAGGCGTCGTAAGAGGAAAATGCCCACGCGGCTATCTGGCGACAATCGAGACCGAGATGGGAATGTGGAGAATTGATAGATCAGGGTCCTCATCGGATTCTCTGGACTCGACACGGAGCGAGATGCACACGAAATAGGTCAGGGAGGGTAGATGAACGCTTACTCTTGAGCCACTCTCGGTCATTGTTGGCTTTGAGATCCTTGAGAAATAGCATGGTGTTAGGGTGGATCGTGTTATCGGCGTAAGGAGTGTTGCCTGCAGTCCTGGGCTTTGGCCTCTTGATGATAATCTGAGTTCCAGGAGCAAGTCCAGTGTTGACACCTTGACGCCAGAGCTCCTTCCCTTTGCTGCCTGTAATCGGAGCGGTGTCCGTGACTTTCGACGACGCAGGTGCTCTTCGCTTCTGCGGACGCTGCGAGGTATCTGAAAATTCCTCTGAAGAGATATCGGAATCATCTTCAGATTCTACGACAGCACTGGACGATCCATCTTCTACTTCGGATTCATTCTCGGGATCAGGCTCGAAATATTTGCTTTTAGTAGCAGCTCTTCTGGGTGCTCGACTGGTCGTCTGCTTGCGTTTGCGATCCCCAATATCCAGGTCGTTCGCTTCCTTCTTCTCAAGCGTCCCTGCCGGCTTTGGTGCCATATTGTTGCGCGTCTATTTGGCTGTTTACGAAAACGATGTCCAAGTGGAGATGAGGGTCCAGAGTTTCCACAATATTCAATCAGTATTATATTCCTTGTAGATGTTGAGACACCAGTCTTGCGACTAGAGATGACCGGCGTAGAGTGAACCAGATTTTGATCAATTTGAGAAAATGCGATGAAGGCCAGCACTTTGTCCGTGTGTCCAATTCAATTCGCGAGTCGTTTCCACGCGACACCGAACCGGGAGCATCGCATTCCAAATGACATCATGAAGCCCCTCTTACATCGAAACACCTTGCATCTCATGGATTTTCGCTCGACAGGAAAGAAAAGAAAAATAATCACACGATCGCACTCGCTACTCAATACGAGAAGCATTGAACACTGCTGAGCGAAGCCACATCTCTACGTCTGGTAAACTGCGGAATCCCACGCAATGTCGCCGGCATTCGCGGCTAAGAAGGCGAAAATTCTGCAACAACTCACAGCGCCTAAGGCTCCGTATACGGACACCTTGCCTAAAAGCAGTGTAGATGTCGGCATCCGAAAATTGGTCGACGAGATCAACGAGATAGACACACTAGCTACGACAAGCAGTTGCGCCGGACGCATTGCCGTATATCTGGAAGGCAGGGAGCAGAACTCACCACGACCGACGCCGGACGATGATGCACATATCTCTGATGTCGCCGCTGCAGGTGTAGAAAGCGGTGGTCAGTCGTTGTTTGTGTCGCATGACCCATTGCCATTGTCAGGCAAAGGACCCGTAGCTCCTATGTTGGGTCTATCCGATCACACCAACTTGGGCGTGCCTTCATCTGTGAAGGGCGTGAGGTGGGTACGGTGCAAATTTGAACCGATGGTAGGTGCTATCTTCATGCCTCATTCTCTACCTTTGGCTGTTCGGGCCTAGATCACACTTGGTTGAAAGTAACGAACATCAACCCCGAGTTAATTGACGAGCCAGATCTTACATGTTTTGTGTTCCTCGCTTGAGAGCGCGCAGAAAGTAAACACAGCGGCCCTACAATCTGGCTTCAGAGAAAGCGGCATCTCGAGCATTTCGACAGACAACCTTCGGACATCCACGGCCAAGGTAGCAATTCGGACGACCAGTCTTGCTTTCGACAGTGTGATCGGCTATGAAGCGGCTGATGGCAAACTAATACCAATGGTCACGGAAGCATACATGCGTGTCCTTGTTGAGCTTTGCAACGAGAGGTTCCTAGTCAACAAAGAAAGGACGGAAGCATTTCGCACAGCAATACTCACGAGTTTTGGACCGCCAGAAATACAATTTTCTGGCCCATGCGCGTGGGAACCTATTGAACAGCGTAGGGCAAGGATGAAAGAGGATGGCATCCGACGTCAAGCAGAGACGGACGCACAAAGAATTGCCGATAACTGATCATCTCGACCCCTTCTCTACACCCAATTTTTTTTTTCAAGCACTTTGTAATTATCCTACTGGCATTCCTATAATCCTCGACCAGCTCGCGCCGTCTTTCCCAACCAAGATTTCTGAGACCAAATCGTGCTCTGTTTGTCGAATTTCTTCTGCACAATGGGCCACAATCAGCTGCACAAAGCCACACGGACACCTGGAGGAACAAAACCACAATCACGCTCAGACTTCCCAATTATCTGCGTTTGTGTCAATATTTTCGCCGTCAGCTTTGCAACGTCTACTGCAATCCTCACATGCAGTTGTAGCACTGCAAGCCACCCGGCGTGTTCACAGCCTTGTAGTTGTGCCTCGATATCACATCATCCTCAATCTGTCATATCTGGACCACTTTCAAAGAAAGCCTGTCACGATGGCACTGTTCCAAGAGTATCAGTCTTCAGAGTTGAATAATTTACATTATAGACCTTGGTCGGGCAAATCTAAACCAATAAACAGACGCAATGGTGTAAAGTGTTGATGTTATTGTCGAGATGCTGCTTGACCCGGATTTCCCCCCCGATGAGTCCTGTCCTACCTATGTTAGAAGCTACGAAATGATACCTCCTTCTCGTCTCCGATTGTTACGTACAATTTTACCGACATGAGCAGGGCTGTGCCTATCAGTAACGCTACTGCTGGATCCATCCTACAGTGACGTAGCTTGGCAGGCTACGACTATCGGCTATCCTTTATACTTGAGACGTGAACAAAGGTCGTCTACGACATTCTGGCTGTACTCGTAAACAACAGATTGATATTTCATCTTCCGCACGAGCAAACTATCCCGATATAATGATAACAGCAATGGCAGTCCGAGCCAGCAACAGCAAATTCCCAGCAAATTAAAACAACACAACCATCCATCAAATCCATTCAACTCCAGCAATATCACAGCAGAAGAACGTGAAACATCTCGTACCCCATCTCCCATATCCTTTCACACTCATCATCTCCATTACTCTCTCCTCCCCTTCACAAAACCCTCAACTCAATCCCCCCAAACCCCTCCCCCTGCTCCGCCCCCAACAACCCCCTCGTAACCAGCGCCAACACATGCAAAAACCCTTGCGCAGCCACAACCCTCGTATTACCCCCCGGTGACAACAACACCTCAAACTCCACAAAGCCACCACGTTTATCTTCTTCGGATGAAGAAGCTTCCACATCAAGAACAGATGCAATGGCTTCTACTACAGTGGTTTCTGCTTCTTGTTGGTGGAGTTCGGAATTTATGGCGGCTTTTACAAAGGCGAGAAAGTTTAGGGATTCGGTGGCGAGGGTGGTGGTGAGCCAGTTGGGGGTGGAGGCGGTTTGGGTGGATACGGCGGCGGCGGGGCCGAAGAGGTTGTAGGAGGGGGCGAGGGAGGGGTGGGGTGGTGAATCTTCGTCGTTTATATTGTCGTTGATGACGGCAGGGGGAAAGGTTTCGTCAAAGTGGGCATTGTCGTCGCTGTGTACGAAACCTAGGTCTTCGGGGTTTGTAGTAGGGTGGGCTCCACGGCCTACTAGAGGGGACTGGGAGACAATGCGACGATTGCGGGTGTGAGAGGCTGGGGGGATGAAGCCACCGCCTGCAACTGAGCTGCTGGGGCCTGCGACGGGAAAGGGTGGTATATAGCCGTGGTGAGAGGATCCACGGGAAGGTGGGGCGGCATGGTTCCAGGGCAGCGTATGGGCTGAAGAGTGTTGATCTGCCATTGGAGTCGGTGCCTCACGACCTTGCTCAATGGTGTCGACACTGTCATCAGCAAAGCCAGTGTCGAAAATAGCGGCATTGTCAACCTCTGCTCCTCTGCCCACCTCGTTGTCGTCGCTGCGGGCGCGAACTCTTCTGCCTTCGTCGTCGACCTCTCCCTCATCGCTTCTGGCATGCTTTGCCCCTGCTACTGTGAGCTGAATGCCAGTCAGTGCCTCAAGAAGAGCACTTCCGCTAAACATTTTCAAAGGCTCAGGCATATGCTCCTCAGCACCTTGATATGCCAAACCCAGACCGCCAATACCATTCTGCAACACCCAAAAGTCTGCATTCTTGCGTGCCAGAGTAACACTCTTGTTCTGCAACTTATGACGAGAGACTTCTGACTGATGCTCCAGGTAATCACGATCCCAATCCTGGAGATCAGAGTTGTGAAGTTCGAGTTCTTGATCCTGAGGTAATGGTTTAGGGATACGGACGCGAACCGCTGGAGCGATGGCCGTGGTAGATGAAGTTTGGCTTTGAGCTTTTTCTCCTTCAATAGGTGCTGGGTGATCTGAGTCTGTTTGTTGGGCGGCAGCGCGGGGAGAGAATGGCTCTACATCTTGCATGTCGACGTCGTTTTGATATACAGGAAGAGGATCATCGTCGTACATGACCACATCGCGGTCAACGTTCGAGCCTGGCAAAGCGCCATGACGCAAAACAGGTGCAGGCGTATGAACAGAAATTGCGCGTCCAACATCAGGTGCAACGACATCGTCGATGAAGTTGCCATCTTCGTCAAAGCCGAAACCGACATCTTCAAGCAACTTCTCCTCACGGGCGCCGTATAATGATTGACTGAATCCTCTGTTGTGGCCAGAACTCGCAAGGCTTCCACCACCAAGACCAAGACCAAAGCCACCGCCGGCTGAGTTGGAAGACGCTGACGGCGGAATGATGATGTCCAGATTCGGATCCAGATGTTCAGAACCCAGAGCACTTGAGACAGCAGTATGTGGCGAGAGAAGACCTGATCGCGGAGACGAGCCTTCGCCACTGGTGAGACCAAAGTCGTCGCGGAAAGGGTCAAAGTCGATGCCCCAGGCTAGCTCTGGAGAGAAGTCTGGATCGTCGTTGAGAATGAGTTGAGCAGGTCTGTTGTATGTTAGTCAGTCACGGCAATATGTGGGAGAAATCGAGATGCATACTTGGCCTTGTGCTTGCCATCGAGCTCAATCGGTGCAGCGTGAAGAGAGCGCAGCAGAGCACGAATCTTGTTTTGCTCGACTTGTGCGTCTTTGAGCACGAAGTTGCATTGCTCGCCATATACACGCGTGACTCCATACCTGAGATGACGTGTCAATATTGCTTCGATCCCTACTGGTCCAAAAAGTTACTCACAGTAGATTGCTCTGTAGTCTGAGCGCCATAGGAGCTTCTGGCGATACAATAGTCTGACATGCCTTGGTGATATTGACGGCGCAGATTTCCTTGCGGTCAACTTTCTTGAGCGTGGATTTCGAGCCCAATGTAGCAACAAGCCTAAATACTATACATCAGAAACGACGCATCGAAGAGTGATCGATGTGGACTTACCAGACTGTTGCAACGCCGTGCTTGCGCGAGGTGAGAACTATGCCCACTCATGTCAGATGCGACAATGGTGATTGAGAGTGCGCCGACTTACCCTCGTGACTGTAGAACATGATTAAATTTCGCGCAGAGACATGGGTCAAAGAATAAAAAGAACAGAAAGGATTGCGCACGAAGTAAGTAGATGAGCTGATAGTCAACGAAGAAAAGTTGGAGAAAGTGTTTTAACGCAGAGGGAATGTACAGAGGATGTGTTGTCCGATGAGACGCGTGGAAGAACAGCGAAAAGGCAGAGCGCGTTCTGAGAGCGGCGTATTTCGTGTCGAGAGAACACTCACGAAGAAAAGCTGTGTCTGGAAGAGGCGGATGAAATGTCTCGAGACTAGGTAAACTATCTCGACCTCGATACTGCTGTTGACGGGGTTGACAGCCGACCTCATCTCATAGTTTACTCCATCTCAAAGCGCCCTTGGTCCTAATTCAAAGCCGTGGGTTGGCTCTGTATATCGGACACTGATCGCGGGCAACTCGAGCACCACTTCAACCTTCACTTCCACCTTCGCTTAGCTAGTCCATGTATTCCGCCAGAATCCAGTCCTTCCAGTAATCCTAGTCGTGTTGCCCAATTGCGTCGCCTCAAGGCTCGTGCGATAAAACCACCGGCGGCTTTTCCTCTGATAGTAAGGGGGTCGATTGGTTCGAACTTCCGGCGCAGCGAAACTCATTTGCTGTTGTACAAGATTCATGAATTTCTGCTCGGTTTTTCCAAGGTTCTTTAGCGAGAGAATTGACTTCCTCGCCACAGATGGGGGACGTCCCCAGCTATGTGTACATAGGGGCTTGGGTTTTGCCATTTGTGGATCCAGATTTACTTTTTGGTCTTGTCGATGCGAGTGGTGTATATGTCGTCGTCTCTCGACGTTTTGACTTCGGATGTCCCTTTTTGAGCAATGCTGACCGGATTGATGGCTGCCACCGCGGTGATCTGTGCCGTAGTCGTAGGTCTCTCCAAGAAGTCGGCCTCTTCTCACGCATACATCTCTCCTGTCTAGACTCCATCTTTTCGACCAAGCCTTTTACTTGACGTGTGCGGGGGCATCTTGTACCATGGCGGCTCTCTTCCTTCATGCCAGACCAACCAAGATCCTCGGTGAGCCGGTCAAAGAAGCTGTTAGTCCATCTTAATGGCCGCCCCAGGCTGCAGACGGAGACTCTGCTATGTCCTGCCAGCGACCACCCTTTCCTCTCGATGGAAAGGCTTGAATGTCTGTTCATGTTCTCCATGTCTCTTACTTTTCCTTCTCTGCTTTTTCCTTCTCCAACCTTGCCAATTCTTTCACTCTCTTCCTCTCCTGTTTCCTCTTCTTGACTTCCAACTCATCAATCTTCTTGTCCAGCATGATTTTCTTTTGCATCAAGTTGGCACGATAGGTTTCGAGTTCTGTGATTTGCTGGAGTGGTGTTGCTGTGATTGCCTTTTCTTTTTCCTGTTGCACAATCGCTTGTCAGTGTGTGTGCTAGGATGAAAGATGGAAAGAAGAGACGTACCTGTTTGATGTCTTGCTTCATCTTCAGACCGGCACCATACCAAGCTCCTGTGGCAGTGACGGCGGCAATACTGCCAGTGAGGACGAAGCGACGGAATGTCGCAAATTGAGGTGTCGACATGGTGTATGTCTGGTCTAGAGGCTATTGACAAGCAAGGAAAGAGTAGACAGCCAATGATGGCAGAGATTCATTGCTGCTGCTGTCCGGATCGGCTTGTCCCGCCGCATGACGCTTTTCTCCGCAATCTGCATCAATTGATTGTTTACCCTCCAAACTCTACGCCAACCCTCTCTGTCGCAAACAATCTCCGCAAGCAACAACCAAAGCCACCAACTGCCAAAAACACCTGTCCATCGTCCAAAACCCTCTGCCTCAACGCCGTCAAACACCCAAACATGTCCAACTACACCTCCCACCGCCAATCCCTAGCCCCCAACCCCCGCACCTCTTCCGCAAACCACACCTCCCACACCTCCCACGCCTCGAACCCATACCCAAACCCTCACACCTCAAACACAAATTCCCGCCTCTCCACTCTCCCTCCAGTCGCCTCCAAACAACGACAACTCTCGCATCTAAACTCTCAATTGGCGCAATTGACAGCACACATGTCTGACCTTGAGAATTTGCTACGCATGACTGCTGTACAGGCGGAAGGGATGAGGGGGCTGGGTGGGTACGCGGGGGCTATGTTTATGGCTGCTAGTAAAGTTTTGGGGGAAGAGGCTGTGAAGAATGAGGAGAAAAGCAGTGGGAAGTGATGGGAGATGAGAGATGAGAGATGCAAGCACTATCCTCGTACTTGTGTATCCGAAAGCAAAAGTGCTGTCACAATACCCCGACAACGCCATGATCTACGAGAAGAAAGTACGCTTTTGATTGCTGGAGACATGTCGAGGATTCAACGACATTCGTCATCTTTCATTGCTACAACGCTCAGCTCTCGACATCTTCGGAGCATCCTACGCAGGCCTCGCACACGCCGCATTGGAGCGCTTCTGCCCAACAAGAGGTCAAAGTCCAACCGTCTCACTAGGCGTATAGATGAGCATACTCACAACGGGCTCGACAAAACACGCAAAGGACCAAATGCGCTACCACCTCGTCACTATCACATCGTGACAGAGGAAATGAAAGTGACACCTGGGCAAGGTCAAAGCAAGGTTTTGGAAGTCATCATGCATGTCATTCCACGTCATTTGTCTTACAAAGAAACCCTCAAGGCCAAATCTCTATAGCCTGCCGCCGCTATGGGGGGAAAAAAAAGAGAAAGCAAAAAGTCATCCCCTCCATGTAATCAACAGAAGTTGTTGCAAATTCCATCCTCTATGATCGTGAGTCGTTGTAACCCATGCTTTTTTCTCTTGTCAATGCAAAAAAAGGAAAGGGAAGATTTGCAGAGAAAGAAGCTTTATGCCAAAGCCTTCTCGGCGTCCTCGATCGACTTCTTGGAGGGCAGCTCGACGGCCTTGTACAGCAGGATCAGAGCAGAGTGGCTCTCACCGCCGCCGGACAGTGTCTCGACCTTGTCGGCCTCGACTTCGCTGACCTTGTCGTCGTTGAACCACCACCACTTGCCGTCTTCCTCCTCGATGCTACCGTCGATGTTCTTGCGGCCGGTCTTCTTGATGTACGAGGTGTAGTGACCGCTGTCGGCGCTAGAGCCCTGGTGAGTGATGACGGCACGGAGCTCGTAGAGTCCAGTCTGGTTGGCTGACTCGTCGGCGGCGAGTGTAGGAGAGACCTGGGCGAGGAGATCCTTTCTCATGGCGAGAATCTTCTCTGCGCGCTCTCTCTCGATCTCGGCGTCGGTCTTGTAGGACTCTGTACCACCCATCTCGGTGTCACCGCCGGATGCGCTCATGCCAACGTCCTTCTTTTGCTTGCTGGACTGAGTTTCCGTGTCCTTTTCCTTCTCCTTGCGCTTCTCCAGAGGCTCGGAGGCGCTACCGGCCAAATCGTCGTGCTCCTTCTTCATTCGCTTCTGTCTCTTCTTGGCGCGTTCGACGTCCTCCTCTTCCTTGCGTACCTCGCGAATGCGGTCGCGGATGGGAATGAGCTGCTTCTTGAGCTCGTCGGTGCAGAACTCGACAGCGTCAAGCTCCATGGGGAAGGTGACCTTGCGCATGATCTTTGCCTTCTTCTGGGTGTCCTTGCGCCAGAAGAAGCGAACAAAGTGAACGGGCATGTACTTGGGCAGGCGAGAGATGCGGGAGGACTTTGTGTAGGTAGCCTCGCGGCCAAGGGATTCGGAACGCTTCTCGATGGTCTCGTTGAGAGCAATGTTGACTCCCTCACGGAGGTGGTTGGTGTCGCCGCGGATGTTGCAGTCGAGCTTGAAGAAGACGTCGCTACCCTTGACGGGCTCTTCGGTGGCACTAGATTCGTCACAGGTCATAACTGATTCGGTCTGGCCAGCCATGAACTTGTCAACCCAGTTGTTGCCACGGACGTTACCCGAAGACGACGAGGAGGAACCGTCTTGCTGCAGCTTCTGGCGAAGCATCTGAACGATCGAGGACCAGGCCTCTTCGGCATCCTGTTGTGCGTAGCCGTGGCCATCCTTGGCCTTTTGAGAGAACTGAGGGTAGCTCTGGCGGAGAGCGTTCAGGAAGACGAGAGGAGGGAAGCCTTGCTGAGTCTCGCCCATCTGCTTGTACAGGTCGCGCAAGGAGCCAGTCAGGTCGGTGGACGAACCGAGACCACTCAGGCCGAATTCGCTAAGGTTGCCGAGACTGGAGGAAGGACCAGCGTTGCCGCTGCAACTCGCGTTAATCATGTGCTGCTCAAAGAGCTGAGAGTGCCAAAGCGGTTGTGATGTTCGCGTACCTGTCCTTGTAGCTGTCAAGAGCCTCGCTGAGCTCAGGCATGCTCCTCAAAGTCTGGAGGGCCGAGTTGAGGTAGCAGGTGTTGCCGAGGTTCTGAAGACCGGCGGGAGTAGCGCCGGAGACTTGAGCGGCCTCTGCCTCTGTCATGTCCTCTAGGAAACGGATCTTTTGGGCGGGGCGGTCGACTTGGGATGCAGGGTCGCCGGAGGGCGTGCCCATCATCATGAACTGCTGACCAGCCTTGGCCTTCAGGGATGAAAGAGGAGTATCATCCTTCAACTGTCCTCCCTTGATGAGGATCTTTTGACGCTCGGGTTCAACGTTTGTGAGAGAGTACACTTGATATTTGAACTCCTCGCCGGTTGCTTCGGGGTCAAGATCGACTTCGTACTTTGTGCCCTGGTGTTTGACGATGACGGGAATGGAAGCCATGGTGGATATGTGCACACAAAGGCAATGAGATGTTGGACCGAGTAGTTTGTAAAGATCGTGGACGCTCTCGTCAAGCAGAAGGCGAAACACATCGTCACTGTTGTTGCGCACGGACCGCACAGAGGGCTCGCGTCGGGAAGCCGAAGTCAACCCTAAGCCCTAGATGTTGTGAACTGCAAACAAAGTCCTGAAGTTTGTTGTCGTCTGCGGGGCTTGATGAGACAGAAGACTCGACCGTGGAACAGTTCAAAAGTCCCGTCAGGTCAAATCTCTCGGCGCCCGCAAGCCTTCCAAAACGACGACAAAACAATGCAACAAACCTCTGCCGACGAGAGCTTTGCTCATCTGAGCCGCCTGTCGCAAAAGGTTGGCGTACAAGCGACCCTCATCCTCTCCCGCGAGACTGGTGCCATTGTCCGTTCTGCTGGTTTGGTCTCGCGCGATGACTCTGCAAACTCAGAGAGCACTCTACCTGCTTCTAACGGCCTCACTGATGATCGCACGGACGGCGCCATGCCAAATGCTGAGCACGTCGCTGAAGTGGTCTGGAAGTTTGCAAAAGCTGCTGGCGATATGCTGCAAGACTTATCGAACTTGCCTGATGACGACGTGAAGCTACTCAGACTACGTTCAAAGAACAAGGAATATGTGATTTTCCCAGGTAAGAGCATAAGTTCCACGGTTGCTCTCGTGAACTCTCGTCTAACACAGACAGATGCCAAATTTATCGCAGTGGCTATTCACAACACTCCACCAGCATGAAGACACTGTTCGAAAGGCGACATCGGCTTATCAGATATGCCAAGAATCTTCGAATAATCACACCACTTGCTCGTCGAGACATGACGCGATTGTGAATGCTTGCAAGATCAAACTTCACGGATTATCTCCTACCAATGAGCCTCGGAGATATCGACCGAGTTCACATCGACACCCTCCTTGAACCACCTCTCGGCCTCATTGATCTCGATGTTATTGCCGCTCATCTGTCGCTTGCGCATCTTACCATCATCTGCAAACGTCCAGTCTTCGAGACCGTAGCACCTCATCCACTTGCCGGTCTCGGCGTGTTTGAACTCGTACCAGAATTGCACAGCAATCTTGTTGTCGCCAAAGGCGAACAGTTCCTTGCGAAGGCTATATTCCTTCTCTGTCTCCCACTTGCGGGTCAAGAAGGCAATGATGGCATCTGTTCCGCTGAAGAAATGGTCTCTGTTCCGCCATATGCAGTCTGGGGTGTATGCCTGCGTAAACGTGATCAGTGTGAGGACACTCGATGAGGGACTTTCCAGAAGCGACTCAATTGCCAGGGACTTGAGTTGGTGATTGCAGGACGAATGATAGGTAGAGAACCAACAATGGCCGAATTGGGGGCTCAAAAGAGGCTTCCACGTGCTTGACAAGCTTTATTTACCTTTGCAACGTCTTCGGGCTTCCTACGGGATTTGATCAGCTTCTTGAACACACAATCTGAATGTGAGGCTTGTCCTACTGCGCATTCCATAGATCTTGAGCCTTCTTGACCTTCTCCTGCGCGGTCGCTAGAGTAAATGGCGGCTTAGACATGACCGTATGCTTGATCAGACAATGTATGAGATCAGATAAGGAATGATGGTTGGTGACGTGGTTTCGTTTCATCAAGGTGAAAGGTAGTACAGCTCCCCGAGATCGGTCCGTCCGGCCACGAGTCTGATGTCGGCAACTTCCACACGTTTTCGTCAATGCTCGAGAGCGTCCTATGTGTTGAGCAATCGCAAGAGCGGTGGAGGCTCACACGGTCCAGTCATGGAAAGTGCCAGAGACTCATGGGCTTTGGTTACGGGCTGATAATCGTCTGATTTGAAATTCAGATCCCGATGTGATAGGTAGCTAGCTCCAAACATAAAGGTGCCTTCTTCTGCTTTCCCTCTTTTCATATTTCTTATCAGATCATTTCAATCTAATACATTCCCTCTCTATCAACTTTCTGCCCGTTTTCTTACAAACTCACATACCTGTTCACACTCACAATGGTTCTCCAGGCTGGTGACAAGTTCCCCGAGGGTGTCAAGTTTGGTTGGGCACCCATCCTCGACGAGGATCCGACTGTTTGCGGTATTCCTCAGATGTACGATGCCAACAAGGAGTGGGCTGGCAAGAAGGTTGTAATCGTCAGCGTTCCCGGTAAGATAACTGGTTGGCCCTACACAACTAGGTACAAGATATTGACGATGATTGTCAGGTGCTTTCACTCCCAGCTGCTCCGCCTACCACCTTCCTCCCTACGTTCAGAAGTTCGAGGAGCTCAAGTCAAAGGGTGTCGACAAGGTTGTCTTCATCTCCAACAACGACGAGTATGTTCTTGCTGGTTGGGGCAAGGTCAACAAGGTCCCCAAGGGCGAGGACTTCGTAAGTCTAATCTCAAGAATCAGGAAGACTAAAGGACAGTGGCTAATATAGTGCCAGCTCATGCTCTCTGACACCAAGACCTTCTTCTCCGAGCAATACGGCTGGCAGGCTGGCCCCAACAGAGGCGACCGTACTGGTCGTTGGGCCATGATTGTCGAGAAGGATGGCAAAATTAGCTACGCTGGAAACGAGGGTCACCTCCAGGAGGTCAAGGTAAGACTCACGAAACATAGTGATCAGAGTACACATGGCTAACCTTAATAATAGGCTTCCGCTGTCGAGACCATCCTCACCAAGGTTTAACTACCTTTGATTTGGAGGTAGAACACAACATCGTAGATCATGGCGTCGGGAGATACCATGCCGGTCATAGAGAAACATACACCTAGACTATAGAAATGCTGCAACGAATAATATACATTAACGTCCTAACAGTCGATAGCATCTTGCATGACGTCCTTTCGTGGGAACGCGGTTGAGACTTCGTTCTCTGAACGTAAGAGAAGAACCACAAGCCAGCAGGCGAATCTCGAATTAAAGGATTTTCAGCTCGATAGATGCGACCTGCACGCTTATGGTCTCGGGTGCCTCTTCACACAGTGTACATCACAAGGATAATTCTGTTGCATCACAAACGACCCGCTTCCTTCAGGTGAAATATGGAGCAGGAGATACAGGACGGACTTCGTTCTCACGCAACCCATCGGGACCGACAATGAAGCGGTCAACCTGCCTAAAAGTCTTTTCGTGAAGTGATCAAAGACTCGCAGCGGGAGCGGTTGAGAGGAGAAAGACCAGAAAGCTCGAGCGCAAAAAGTTAGGAGGTCGACTGCAGGATTCGCTTAGTCATCCGCAGAAAGCTGCGAAATTCACAGAGCACCCCTCCTCTCTCCAACTACAAAACCGCAACCATCATGGACTCACTTGATGGAACAAGCTATGATGTCCTGATCTCTGGAACAGGCATCCAGCAATCTCTGCTCGCTCTGTATGTCTCTTCATGCTTTACTGTTTGACTAGACTCAAAGAGCTTGTCTGACTGACGCAGCTTCTTTGCTTAAAGTGCTCTCTCGCGCTCTGGCAAGAAGATCTTGCATGTCGACAAGGATGACACTTATGGTGGTCCCGAAGCTGCCTTGAGTCTCCAAGAAGCTGAACAGTGGGTTGAAAAACTCAATTCTGGTACGTCGTTACTTTCACGCACGACTTGACACCACTCTCGTACTGACTTCAAAACAGCAAAGCAATCCAGATTCAGCAATGCTTCCATCACCAAGTCAGACGAAGCTGCTCAGAGTCTCTCTCCTTCTAGAGCTTACAATCTATCGCTCGCGCCAACTCTGATCTACACCCGCTCTGGCCTCCTACCCATTCTCGTGTCGTCCAACACCAATGCGCAGCTTGATTTTATGGCCGTTGGTGCCTGGTTCGTCTTCGAGAAGCAGGAGCAGGATGGACGTCTGGCTCGCATTCCTAACGGACGCGAAGACATCTTTGCCGACTCTTCACTCACTTTGAAGATGAAAGGTCAGCTGATGAAGTTCGTCCGCTTCATTGGTGCGTTCGAGGAAAAGCCTGAAACATGGCAGCCTCATCGCAACACTCCCTTCACGACCTTCTTGTCTGAACAGTTTGGGTTACATGCTGTCGATTCCCTCATGGCACTCTGCTTGAGCCTGGAGACTCCGGAGAAGACCACCACTGAATTCGCTCTGCCTCGGATCGCTCGCCACCTCCGTTCAATCGGTGTCTTTGGCGCCGGCTTTGGTTCTGTCACTCCCAAGTGGGGCGGTCTCTCTGAGATCATCCAGGTTGCTTGCAGAGCTTGTGCTGTTGGTGGTGGTACATATGTTCTCGGTCAAGGCATATCTATCATTGATCACGCTCAGTCTGACGAGGACGACATCGAGGAGATTCCGCGAGAACCGGAAAAGCCCGATGTGTCGCAAGACATACACAACATGATTACCGAAGGTGAAGGTTTCGTTGATATCAATCCCGACAGTCTTGACGAACTCGAGTCTGGTATCAAGGAACAATCCCTGGACGATCTTCTTGCTGCAGCTGGATACAGTATCGCTGGTGTCGAGGAAGAAAAACCCACACCGGCGGTTGACGAGTCTGCTGAAAAGCAAACTCCCGCTGCATCGGCTTCTGAGAAAAAGTCATTGTACAGTGTCCAGCTTAGCAATGGAGAAAAGGTGTCATCGCAGTTCATTGTCGGCTGCTCAGACGACCTACCTGGATCACTCCCTTTCACAACTATTGGTAACAAGGTTTCTGATGCACAGCCTGATGCTGCTTCGCGGAGTGTGACAATCATCTCTTCGCCTATGCAACATCTGTTCGTGACCGCTGCTGAAGGCGGCGTCTCGCCTGCAGGTGCTGTGGTCATATTCCCAGCTGGTTCGCTTAGCAACACAAGCTACCCGCCTGTCCAGATCATGGTTCATTCCAGTGATACTGGCGAGTGCCCTCAAGGACAATGTAAGTTATTTCCTCTTCTCCACTCTCCCCCTGGAAGCACCATTGCATGATGAATGATTTTACGAATACTTATCTACATTGTCTGAACAATAATGTCGATCAACACATCTCTGACAACCTGATCGCTTTGGTCTTCCAACCACTCGAAAACGCCTTCAATTATCACTGCTCTTGTCAAAAGCAAATACTAATAAAGTTGAATAGGCATTGTATACGCAAGCACCGCGCTTACCGGCCAGCAAGGCCAGCAGTTGCTTGCTCAGGCCATCTCTTCGTTACTCGCCGCGCACGACAACGAGGCTAAGGCTCTATGGTCGCTTGTCTACGAACAACATTCTGAAATGGGAATACTCTCACCCGAGGCGTCCCAGTCCAGCATTCTCAAGTTCCAAGACGCGCCTCTGGACTTTGCTTTTGACGACGCGATTATCGAGAATGTCCAGGCCGCTTGGCAGAAGATCTTGCCCGAAGCTGATGACTTTATGGTCTTCAGAGACAGGGGTGAGGCCGCCGAAGAAGATGCAGAAGCACAAGAGGAGAATGAGGAGTAATGAGTGCATGTTGGAATTTACCATAGATTGCTATCTCACATGAACGACATGACTATGAACCAACTACACGATACATACATTGATACGTTTTTTCGAGATCTCTTTGATCCTTTATACATGATTGACGAGGAGTTGACATATTGTGACATGTTGGTGTATAATGAGCTACCCCACATGACGTAGGTGTTTCGTTCCTGCATCACCGTTGGAGTTCCTCTCCGGTCCTGCCGCCTTGGATATAACTTGTCATCCTTCCTACTTTTCATCTGTTAGAACAAACCACTTACTCGACTCAATCCAATACAACGAACTCTCTCTAATCTAATCATCTACCCAACTTCTGGCAAACCAATCCCACATCATGTCTTCCGACAGTCTCGCACTCTTCCGCAAGAGCATGGGCAATGAGCTCGGAGCTCTTGCAGAGCAACACTACCAGCACGAGTTCGTCCTCGTTTCTCTGCCGCTTCTCGAAACCGTATACTGACAGTATCCACAGTCTTCAAACCTCTGATCGCGATGCCCTCAAGTCTGCCGCATCTCGCGTCTCAATGCACACTACCATTGGCTCTGTCGTAGGCTTCTCCCTCGGCCTCTACCTCTCCTACCGCCTCCGCGCCAACAGAACCGCCATGTTTAACGCCTTCCGCACATCTGAGAAGCCCGTCGCCGTCCAATTCGCTGGTGGCCGTACCGAGAATCTTCCTGATCTCACACCTATGCTTAAGCCATCTACTTTTGGTGATATCGCTACATACACTCTGTTCGGCCTGGGTGGCCTGTTCGTTGGTGGTGAGACTGGACTTTTGACTGGTGGATTGAGTGCACAAAGTGCGATTAAAAAAGATCCTGAGTCTAAGAGGAGGATCGAGACGGCCTTCAGGAAGTTCAGAGCTGAGACTTTGAGATTGGAGGCTGATCAGCTTGAGAAGGGCCAGAAGACTTTGGGACTCTAGATTGTTCTGCAAAAAGGACGTTCTGTACCGCGACGAAACACGTTGTAATTGACGACGGAAATGATTGTACCTGATTTTAATCCATTTCTCATTGTTACATCTCAACTAGGAGGCACGCTGACTGTGGAGCTGCTGCATGGCGAGTGCTGACGAGGTGAGTGGGACCCTACAAGTTTGTGTGGACGTCTCTGACGTGGCAACGTTAGACCAAAGTACATTCCTTCTAGTCTCGGTGCTTGCAGACAAAGGTCCTGCAAGGGCCAGGTATGCCATCTTTCCATGATGCTTTCAAGATTCATGTAAAGAGCGAAGAGAAAAATACTTCCCACTGAGTCTTGAAGGGCTTAGCAAGATCAATCATTGAAGGCTGTGTTTGTCTTTGGGAGTCTCTTTGCATTTCTCAATCTGCCTTGTCCTTCTTCTTCGACTTTGTCATCAACTAACCTAAAAAGCTGATTGCCAGTTCTTACTATATTGGAAACATGAGCTGCGCTTTGTGGAAGCTTTCTAGCTCTGCGACTATAGGGAACTGGAAGATGCCGGCAATCTGAGAGCCAGGTATATAAAGTCGTTCTTCTCGCTTAGATGGATTATCAGATTCGTCTTATGTTGGTCCTACCTGATCTTTCATGATACAACAGCCGGTTTATATATACAAAATCAGCGTCTTTGCGGCTCTGGTAACTGCTGCTCACGGCTAAGTCCAAGTAATTCCTGGTCACCTATGTCTTGCCAGGAGGCTAGTACAGCGTGTGTGCTAACTGCAAGTGGACTAACGGTCAGAAGTACAGTTGCAGTATCTAACTTACCTTAGCACTGGAAGATGACGTGTTGCTCTGGACCTATGGTTGGAGCGTACTGCTAATAGATGGTCGCCAACTGGATCACTATTACTCGCACAATGAAGTTCATAGAGGAAGTATCGAGACAGCGATAAATGCTTGATGGTCTCCTGCGTTTTAGAAGCATTCTGCACTTGGATGGCAATATATTTCTCCTACTGGAACTGCCACCAAGGACTCAACCTCTACCCCCAGCTGTCCGAATACGAAGGCATCCCATTCCATCGCCAGAAGCTCAAGGGCCTCTATCTATTCAGGATCGACGATGGTCCTGTCTACCACTCGTCTCAGCAGATCATCGAGCGTTGCCAAAATCTTGAGACCTCGTTCGGGTTCAACGACACCTCAGAGCGACTGAGAAGAGAGATTCGTCCAACGATGACACTGACCGCCGTAGCAATACACACCGAAAGGAAAGGGCTTGTTGAGAGATCGTCTTCTATCTTCCTCTGTCTCTCGACTTCTCAGCGCCGCATGAGACATCTGGACGGCGGTATTGACCCCAGAGAAACGCCATTCGATCCATCTTCCATCTCCTAACGCTCTCGACGCCTTCCTCCAAGATATACTCCTCCTTGTTCAAAGTGCCAGTCGCTCGGTCACATTGTTCCTAACCACAAAAAACAATATCTTTCACCACGATGACTGCACCGCTTGTCTCTATTGTTGGCAGAAAGTTTTGTTGCGAATTCTGGGCATGATGGAGGTAAATCGGATAGCAGGACTGGACTTTAGAGCAGCGCGATGTGCAGACCAGTGGAAAAGACTGGGAAGGCGGTATAGTCGCTATGAGACGGTTGGCAAAAGCGTTTGATGGTGGGTGGGATATGACACGGACAGAAGTGCTATGCTTCATGGTGGAGGGACGCAGGGGCTCGTCTCGACCATGCGATATAGCAAGTGATTCCATCGTAGTGAAGGCTTCTTAATTTAGCGACGTGGTGGGATATACACGAGCTCGAGGGAGTTTTCATAGATTTCATAGAACGGAGTCATGAAGTAACACCTTGCAGAATCCACGGGTACCATGACTGGCACGAGGGCCAATATAAAACTCATAAAGACTCGTCTTACGATCAATACTCGTACGTTCTGTCGTGCATCCCCTTACTTCTCCTGTCTGGACAGGGTTTACTTGGAGTGTTCAGCAAATAACATCTGGTTTGACGCACGAAAACGCCACTTTCAAGAATCGAGACTGCTACCAAGTTGTTGAAATGTTCTGGATTGGACCAGTGTCTACATCAAGCACTGCTCGTGCTGTTCTTTCATCTCTCTGTCTTAAAGGCATGACCGGACTCGCAGCCTTGTAAGGCAGTGCCCAGCATATGTTTTGACACCCTTCCTGCACATAAGTAGTAAGTGGCTTTTACCCTGCAGAAACAGTGAAAGAGCACTTCAAGATGCACTATGATGGGTGGCTCTGTAGTATTGGCTGTTCAAGCGCGGCTGGGTGATAATGCCATCTGTGAGACTTGTCGCTCAGAACTTGCGAGGTATGTCCTTGAACATGAACGACGTGTCGTCAGACCAGTCATCAAAAAACTCTTTCTGAACATCTTCGAGCGAGACTCTCTTATGCAGATTTGGTGCTGATTTCTGCGGCTTAGGACTCTTCTTTTCTGGCGTGCTTCGAGGAGCAAAGTCGAAGCCACCGCAACTACACATCCGGTCGTGTTTTTTCATGGCCTTGACTACGACGATACTTCTTATCTCACATATATTGGAGCCCTTCGTGGATGTTCGTCCAGTCTTGATGTGCTCGAAATTGCAGTCGCAGCCCAAGACACTTCGGTGCTTCATCAATGTGTTGACGATAGCTCTGCATTCTTTATCAATCTTTGCGGCGTGGTATCTAGACTTTATCGGTTCGATCTTGCAGGTGAAAAGAACCCATGGCTCCTTGCAACACTTGTGTGTGTTAGGTCTAGGACATTCATCGTGCAGAGCGTATTGGTGCCATGTTGAGCTAGAACGGTACAGTCTGCGGACGTAGTATCTCGAACCGGTCTGTCCAGAAATACGCCATGGCTCGTCGAGATCGTCTCGAAGTTCGTTGTGCAATGTCCTCGTGATTGATAGCACCGGGGCAGTTCTTGGTTTTCTCGGCGAATTAATGACTTGGCCCATTTTTTGTATGCCTGTGTAGATATGTTAAGTAAAGCAATGTAAGGTTGTAACTAGCACCAAAGAAGCGTTCTGGCCAAAGAGTCGGAGCTCGGACTGATGTACTTGGTCAACAAGCTCGAACTTGCTCCTTTCTTCTTGGCCCGGCGACCAAAGCTTCTGACTCACGAGGCCGGGAGCAAGGTTCCAGCTCTCCTTCAGCATATTCCTCCCAGTCTCTCACACACATCGATGGCTGAACAAAATATCGGATTAGACGCGGCGGAAGCCGATGCCTGCAAGACAATCTTTGGGCGGCTAAAACGATCGATCAAGAATCATCAGCATATACGAAGACTGGTAGGCCAGGCTGGGACACGAAGCCAGACCGGCGACCAGTCCAGAAAAACAATACAGAAGCCGCTCAGCCAACGCCTCCAAACACGCTCGCTCCAGATCTTCCTCCCGCCTACCACGATGCTGCCAGACAAGAGAAATGGACTATGATAGGCAACAACAGGTTCAAACGTGAAGTCCTCGTCAACAGCAGCAAGAAAACTCAGTACGGGCTCAGCGATCCTGGGGGAAGTACGCCGGCGGCCGTTTTTACCTGCAAGAGGCCCCACATGAACGTCGCTCTCCGCCGTGTGAGGATAACCATAGAGCTCATAAAACACAGAGAAAAGCTGGAGCATGGTTGTCACTGTGACTTTGAGTATCTCAAGACTGGCAAGACCAAGCGCGACACGTCAAGATTGTGTATCCGAAGACCAGGTAAAACTAGAAAAAGAATCGTGAAGCAGATGGACAAGCATGATAAATTATGCGGCTGCGGTGCTTTCGACTTTCCGGAGACCAGAAAACAGGCCGCAGACTCCTAATGGCCATTTTCCAGGGCCAGTGAGACGACAAGAATAATAATTCAGCACAACGGAGAATGCAAGCGTGGTGGCGAGAACAAAGTGAGGAAAGAGGTCGAGCTGGAACAGCCAATCAGAGGGCGATAGATTAGCTCGTCATCTCCATAGTTCGGCAATAAGAAAAGTATATCTCCATGGAGAGGATCGCGAAATCCATCTTGAGCCCGAAGTTCTCGACCATTTTATCCACACTCAATTCAGAAGAAATGACACGCACAAAGAAGAACAAGCCTGGCGCTAAGCAGAGAGAAGAGAAGGCTGTCAAAGCACAAGTCTTCGAAGGTCCAAAGATTACAGATGGAAAGATTCCTCACACGAAGCTCGGCCAGTCGGAAGATTTCTATCATCAATTTGTCAAGAAACGTCAACCTGTTGTCCTCCAAGGGAAGCCCGAGGATCTCGAGTTTGTCACCAAGAATTGGAGCGATGTCGATTATCTACGCAAAACAGCTGGAGATGCTCCGGTCAAGGTCGAACCCATGCACAAGGAGAAGAAGCGCTACGGCACGGATGTCGAGCGTGTTGATACCACCTTTGGCGCATTCCTCGACTCATTGAAGGAAGAGAAGGACGAATACGACTATCTCACCACCCAATACTCCGACGACGAAGACGACATGTGCGACAGCGACGACGACGATGACGATGGAGAGACCAACGAAGGACAAGACAATGAGATCAAGAGCGGCACATTCCCACAGCCCATTCGTGCCCTTTTGCGCGAAGAGGTCCCTCTGCGTCCCAACGTGATGGGCAATCTCGTTCTTCAACAGATGAACATCTGGCTAGGCAAGAGCAAGGCTGGCACTAGCTCTGGTCTCCACCACGACTTCCACGACAACCTCTACATCCTGCTCAAGGGTCGTAAACGATTCGTTCTCTATCCTCCCCCCGCCGTTCATCACCTCGACACCTATGGCAAGCCCAAGAAGATCCACCACAATGGCTTGATCGCCTACAAGCAACCTGGCGAAGATGAGGAGGAGGACAATGAGGAAGAAGAAGACAATGAAGCCGACCAGATCAGAGCTGATGGTCTCGTTGAGAGAGATGCCGCTGCACTAAAGGTACAGGCCTTGGAAGAGAAGATGGACAAGATCGAGGAAAGCGGCGAGAAGAGCAACCTCGAGAAGGTTCAGAAGGAATATGGTGACGCCGTAGAGCGCCTGATGAGGTACCAGACTGCCGACTTTGGCGAGCTGGGCGAAGACGACTTTGACGAGGTTTCGTCAGAGGAAGAGGAAGACCCCGAGGAGCTCAAAGACCAAGTCTTGCGCGACCGTCCTAGCAAGAAGCGTAAGGCTGATGGAGAGCTTGACGGCAGAGACGCAAAGACATCGAAGGCAGGCGCCGAAGATGACGAGGACTCTGATGCCAACGACGATGACTCTGATGCCGATCTCCTCGAAGCACTAGAGAGAGCGCAGAATGGGCAGCTCGACGACCTTGACGACGATGAAGATGCCTCCGACATTGACCTCGAAGAAGCCTTCGCGAACGCACAAGGTGAAGACGTTCCCTCAGAACCTCTTTCCTTCTCCCAGATCTCTACACAAGAACTGCACTCCCACCTCGGCCTGACTTCACCACAACAGACCTCTGCTGCGCTCGAGAAGGCAGGAAAACCATACATCGTGGACCTCAAGGCTGGAGAAATGCTTTATTTGCCGACCAGTTGGTTCCATGAGGTTACTTCATTTAGCGATGAGAGCGACGACAACATTCACATTGCTTTGAACTACTGGTTCCACCCTCCAGATGGTTCGTCAGGAAAGTTTGAGCACCCTTATCAAGACGTTGCTCTCTGGGAGTTCATGGAGGAGAAGGTGAAGAGCGCCTATGACAGTCTTGTCGGTGATAAGGAGGAGTAAGAATGTGGCTGAGATACCCCTGACACGATATATTGCAATCACAAAAGTACGTTGGCTTTCCCAAGCATTCATACGCTCCTTGTGCTCCATTCCTCCCTCCCCCCTCCCCCCTTCCCCCAGCCCCCTAGCCCCTGAGTGCTGTCCTCTGTCACATCTGCCCGCTCTCAACGATCAATGTAGAGCAACAACGAGCTGTAGCAAGGCATAATTATATCTCATATCGACAATCCGACGCAGAGAATCGCTAGAAAGACGTATCCCTAGTGCCATCGCATCAGGTTCAGAAAGGGTTTGTGCCTTGAGACAGCTACACTCATGACGGTGTCTCGTATACGGAGAGACCTCACTGATCATGTCTCGGTTGCGCCTGTGGCACTACTTTGACGATGGCAGTATTGGCCGTGTTCACACTCGGTCTACTTGGCTGGTGTTCAGACCATCGAAGCATGGAACGACTCGACAGCAAGCAAAACGCAGCACAGGAAACCATGAACTCCCATCAGAGCGAAGAGAATTCACTGGACATCCTGACTGATCTTCCACCATCATACGAAGACACCCAGCAGTCGTGGGAGCCCTTTGGACCACACCTGTTCATATGTCAAGCCCGTAGATCAGACGGTGCACGTCGCATTCAATGTAGTACTGCCGAGAAGAAGAAGCAACCATCCCCCGACATCTTCTTCACCTGCACATTCCAGCCTAGAAGCATTGAGTATGGCAGAGCATCGCTGACCTGAACCTGTATCTAGTCCTGCAGCATGACGCTACACTTTCTCTCAGCTCATAGCGGCGCACAAAAGTATCGTTGTGGTTTTGAGCACGTCAAGGCTGGTCGTAGCTCACAGTGGGATGCATCTGGGATGTGCACGTGTAGAAGCTTCTGGGTGAGCCGGTGTATCAAGCAGCATGACAAAAAGTGTGCTTACGGTGCTTTCGACTTTGGGGAAGAAGATAAATCTGCTGCGTTGCCAAAGGGCTTGGATCCTGCCTAGTGGTCCTTTGTTGAAAATTGATTTGGTATTGACGCACGATGTGGTGCAAAAATCCCATTTCTGCTCATGATGTATGAACTGATTCTGGTCTCTCCCAACCCCTGAGCTCCTCAATATCCAGTTCACCTCTATCACAAACCCAGAAGCAAGCGACCATCTTTATTGCATACTACGATCACCAATAGTAGTCGAGCAATGACGTTCTCAAGCAGCTCATCCAACTCATTCTCATCTTACCACAGATATAAGACTCAACATCGACCAAACCACCTACCCACCTACGACGAGATCGTGCGCCTCTGGCACCGCTCCCATCGTTACCGAAACTCCCAATAAAAGCACCCTGTTCTATCATCACGCTCTAGCCCGCACATACCGCGAATACGGTATATCTCTCTGCAGTAACCCGTTTCCAGACATCACATTCACCTGTATCTACACACCAAGAAATCCCAGTCTAAGTGTCAAGACTGTGGATAAGAAATGCAAGAAAGTGATGAAAGCGCTACTCAGTTATAGGTGTATGAACGTGTGTCAGTGTGGCTGGGAGTTTATTAGAACTGGATGGAGAGGCGAGAAGATGGGGTTCTGTGAGGAGAGGAGTTGGTGGGTTGAGAGGGCTATGAAGGGGCATGATAGGATATGTGGTTGTGGCACTTTTTACTTTATGGACAGACAGGATGTGAGTTCTATACGACGGGATTGTTTGCAGAAACTTTCGTGGGTGGGGAGACATGCCTTGGAATTCTGGTGCACCTGGTAAGAACTCTTTGTAGTATACTAGAACGGTGAGAAGATTGGCAGTAGGAGCAAGCGTATGATTTATATGTAGGTATGTACAGCAGGCACGAGCGTCTAACAGCCCATGTACCTGTTCTCCACCCATCTCTCTTCGTAGTCGTCGACAATCCTGCAGGCAACGACGTGAATATCGGGGAAGACGGTCATCAGTCTATTCAGACCTCTCTTGCCAGCGATATAGGTGACGAAGACAATCCTGCTTTCTTCCACCCCGTGATCGAGCAAAACGCGAACGGCCATGAGAGCTGCACCACCGCTTGACATTTGCGGGTCCAACAGCAGGACTTTATTGTGTGTCGACACATCGCCAGCCATCTTGAAGTAGTGTAGCTCAGGCTCGCCAGTACGAGGGGAGGTCTGGATGAGCATGCGACCAGTACGGCAGTCAGGGATGACGCGTCTTAGACCAGTCTCGAGAATGCTGCCACCACGAAGGATGACAACAGCGCTAACTTCACCAGACATGCGCAAGCCGTTGTAAGAGTGGCTGCGAGGGGGAGGTGTCTCGACAGTGACGGCATCGAAGTCGGCGTTCTCAGTTGCGCGCTCGACTAGCAAAGCAGCGAGACGATCGAAGTAGAACACAAAGTCTTCGCGCGTTGTCTCTGGGCCGCTGAGCAGAGTGTTGATGCCTGTGATTTGCGATGGGCCATCCAGAACTGCGACATTAGGCGACAGGGGAAGGTCCTTGGCTTCTTTGCCCAAGCGCTTCAGCTCGGACTGATGCTCCGCGGACTTCATGTCGAGAGTCTTGTGGATACGGTCGGCCACCATATCGATAGCGACCTTGTTCTCAATGCCACGAGGCACGATGATGTCTATGCTCAGCGGTCAGCATTGGTCAAATCAAAAGAGTGACTGAAGTTTGTGGTTGAGGGTAACAGATCAGATAGGAGCGAAAGATGATGCGAGTTTTATCAACACGATTATTCTGTTGAACTATGCTATGGATGTTGTATCATCATGAAAAGAGGGGGTGGGGCGGAAAAAGGAAAAGGAAAACATACCGGCTACGTTGCGTTGAGGCTCGACAAACTTGTGAAAGTTTGGCTTGACAAAGGCGAACCATTGTTTGATGCAACCTTCGATGTCGCGGCCACGTTCTTTGATATCTCGAACGAGTCTTCGTGAGAGACAGAGGTCTCCATCTGCCTCACAGAAGATCCTCAGGTCGAGAAGATCAAGCACGCGCGGATCATGGAGAGCAAAGATACCCTCGAGGATGAGCACGTGAGGGGAGTAGATCGTTGTAGTCTTATCTAGACGAGAGTGCTTCTCGAATGAGTAGACAGGGATCTCAGCCTTCTTTCTGCAGAGTTGTTAGTGACGAGGTGTAGAAGACATGAGGACGATGAAACATACCCTTCCTTGATGTCTTTCAGTCTTTCAACCAAAACATCAAAGTCGATGGCGTCAGGTGAGTCGAAATCGTACTCGTTCCTGTTGGCTGCGGCGATCTGATCCGGAGTGAGGGGTCGATAAAACGAGTCCTGATTGGAGTTGGTTCAACAATCCCTCAGTCAAGGACCAGACAAACGAACCATTGACAAGATGACAACCCAAGGCAGGCTCATCTGCTTGATGATAGCCAGAGCAAGCGAGGTCTTGCCCGAACCGGAGCTGCCGGCAACGCCAATGATGCTCGTGTTGGCCCATGGCGGAGAGTAATGGGAGCGCTCCATTCTTTGGAGAGCATTAGGGGCGGCCATTTTCAGTCGTTGACATAAAGTCGTGACACGACCATGGCGGAGCGAAGCAGGAAAGATAGCTAAGCAAGCTTGGAGTGAAGAGGTGAAGTGACTTGTGAAAAGAAAACGATCTCGCTAAACTTCGGCTTCTTCGACGTTCTGGTGGAAGATGCCGCAAAGCGTCGGGTCCAAGCGCCCGAGCGCAGGAGCAGCTCTTTTCTTCACAACCGACACAGCTCAAGTACTTCCTTTTCTCCTCACCATCGCAATTTGCATCTCTTTGCTTTTCGCACACCCGTCTGTTGAACGCGAGAGAGCAATTGTGAACTGTAGTCGCTCTTGTCTGTCATCCAACCTGATGGACCCTTGCGGCTCGACTCATCTCCAACAATGGTACGTCACAGCATGCGCACTCCTCAACGCGCATCTTGCATCAAAATTTCGATAGCTGCTAACATTTTTTGCGCAGAGCTCTTCTCTTCTCCCACCACCGACGTCCTTGCGGCATCCATTCGATCGCCGCGTGGACGAGGTGAAACCATCAAAAGCGTAAGTCTCTTCACAGCACTTGTCCTTCGCTACCCCTCCATCGAATGATGTTGATTACACTCAAAATGGGAATCTCTCCGAAATCTATGTGGAGAACTACAGTATTTTGTCTTTCTGATCCGACCCTCAACCACACTATCACTACAATGAGCTGTGTCAATGAATGTTGTTGGCTAACGTGCATCAACAGAGACTTGAACTTCCTGATCATGGACTATTTGATCAACGAAGGCTACCCTGACGCCGCAATGAACTTTGCCAAAGAAGCCAGCATCGTTCCTTCGGCTGACGGCGAAGCCATTCAAGAAAGAGTAGACATTCGTAACGCCATTCATACCGGTGACTTGCAGCTTGCCATTGAGCGCATCAATGAACTCAACCCACAGGTCAGTCATCACTCCTCTACCTCTTCCTTTTCACCATGTTGTTATGATTATACGGTATTTCATGCACCACGCATAGCTTCGGGCATTGATGATACAAACCACACACACTTCAGTCCTCAGTATGACCAACAACCACACTCTCATCTTCTTGTCGCATCCTCTTCTCTCAAGACATCGACGCTAACAGATGATTGTACAGATCCTTGACAATGATCCGACACTGCACTTCCAGCTGCTTCGCCTGCAGTTGATCGAACTCATCCGTGAAATCGTGAATGCGCCGGGTCCTCCTTCGCCTGCTGCGTTTACGCCTGCTCTCGAATTTGCTACCTCGCAACTCGCTCCACGGGCACCAACTTCGCCTGCCTTCCTGCAAGACCTTGAACGCACTATGGCCCTGTTGATCTTCCCGTCGGACAAGCTCACGCCACAACTCAAGCAGCTTCTCGATCTCAGCCTGAGACAGACAGTGGCCAGTCAAGTCAATGAAGCCATCCTGTCGTCTCAAGGCCAGAGACGCGAGGCGCGCATTCGTAATCTTGTTCGCTTGAGAGCTTGGGCAGAGCAAAGAGCGCGAGAGACAAAGAACTCTGACCTGCCTGAAAAAATTAGTTTGGGCTTGGAGACTCATCTAAACCATTCTGCGGATGGCGAGGCCATGATTACGTGAACACATGAAACTTCTTCGACTTGCTTCGGTTTTAGCGATGGCGCTGGTTGGTTGGGACTTGCATAGATACGGTACACATAGCATTGTTAATGGATGTTCGCAGAACAACTTTGACACGATTTATCGCTTCAATCTCCTTTGTCACTTGCTGTGCTCGTGCTTGACTCATAAGGAGGAAGTCGTGCAGCCCCAGAAGGCTTTCGTGCCTTCCTATCTCCTGAACACAGCGTCAAAGCGCTGCAGTGGTCGTGCTTGTCCGTTCTGATTATCTCCTTACACCTAGCCTGCTCGTTCGACTCACATTAACTGAACTGCAAGTCTAGCCTCGACGTGCTGTTGCACTGTCGCCTATAACGCTGCCCATGTGCTCTTCCCAGTGGCGTTTGCTTGGGTGAGTACATGCCGCTGCATCTATTCTCAATTGACCCGACACTCTTCAACTCACAAATTTACGTCTGCATCTCATGCAGCGGAGCCCATCTTCAAGAATCGGCAATACGACCATCACGCCGGTCATGAGAGAGGTGGCGTTTAAGTCATGATCGGGAATCGGCCACGCTACATAATCATCTTTGAGTCGCGACGTCATCCAATACTAGCCTCCATACCGTGAAGTCAAAGTCGAAGGATTCCACGCAGGCACGTGGCCATGGTTCAACAGCATCTTCAGCTTATGATCGCATTCCCACCAGTTCCAGCTCATGGAGGATTCGATTTCTGGTATCAAGCGCTCCGGTTTACTGCATCTGTACTTCTAATCACCGACCTAACGGACACTACTTCACAAGTCCCTGCTGATCACCACGCTCTCCATGTTTGCTCCCCCACGTTCGCGCATCTCCGCAGCTGCCAACCCCGCATCCCGCGGGACAGCATGCAGATCTTGTACTCTTGTATCACAATCCCGCGTCGATGGCGAGGCTTATTACCCGATTCATGCTTGCTCTTGCACACGCAGGCCTGTACCAATCTCTATTAGACTCCCGGCCAGTGAATGCTGCCGCGTAGGACAAACAATCGGAGAGTTGTGCGGGAATTCGATTGCCATATGTAGGTCGTCAACCTCTCAAGGCCCGTGGGTTTTGACTCGTATTCATCTCTCTTCTTTCTTTTCCACTCCGTCATCGGTGTTATACAGAGAGTCATAGGAAACATGCCTCACATCAACATGTTTGGGCGCGGTAAGCCGCTGCAAATAGCGATCATGGTTACCTGTCAGGTGAGTTGAATGTCAATTTAGGCACGGATTGGTCTAATGAGATATAGCTTGCGTTCATTCTGTTCGGCTGTATGTTTAATGCAGGGTTGTCGTGCACTCAGAGGACTGACGACACACAGATGACCAAGGAGTATTCTCCGGTATTGTAGGAAACGCAGATTGGCTCGAGACATTCGGCCACCCTGGTAGTGGACTCGAGGGCATCATCGTGTCGATCTACAATCTTGTACGGCCGCCTGTGTAGTTCTGTGATGTTCCCCGATGCTGACGAGGTGCGTAGGGAGCTTTCAGCGGTTGTATCTTGGCTTTTTTGGGTGGTGAGAAAGCAGGACGTCGTCTGTCCATGTGGATTGCCATGGTCTTCATCGTACGTTCTGATGCAATGGTTGACTTGCTAGTTCTAACATGAAACGTCAAATTAGATCATCGGTGCTATCCTGCAAACAACTTCCTACGGCGTACCACAAATCCTGGTCGCTCGCTACATCACTGGAATCGGAACGGGTATCGAAACTTCCACTGTCCCTATGTATCAGAGTGAGCTCGTCGAAGCACACAAGCGCGGTCGAGTCGTCAGCTCAGAACCACTTTTTGTTGGTGTCGGAATCGTCATCGCATATTTCTTCGATTATGGCATCGCATATGTCGGTGGACCGATCGCATGGCGTCTTCCAATTGCTTGTCAGATCATCTTCGCCATCGTGAGTGCTTAACAATCACACACTGTCATGACTTATCTGACGTACCCAGGTTGTCATCATCATGGTCTTCGGTGTTCCAGAGTCACCTAGATATCTGTACAAAGAAGGTCGCAACGAGGAAGCCTTACAGGTGCTGTGCGATGTCTACGATGGAACACCAACCGACGAGAAGATTGCCAGAGAGCAGAAAGACATTCTCGATGCACTAGCGATGGAACGAATGCATGGTGAATACAAGTACGATGCAGCACGTCATCTCAGACATTTCAACCACTGACTCGCGTTCACAGGTGGAGCCAAATCTTGAAGCGAGACGAAGTGCAGACTGGAAGACGTGTCCTCCTTGCTTATGGAATGCAGTTTATGAACCAGATTGGCGGCATTAACTTGGTTGTGTGAGTTCTATCTGCATTCGGACGTGAAAGTGGCACCGCTGACCTCATACCAGATACTTCGTCCCTACAGCCCTCGAGCGGAATGTCGGTCTCTCACACAACTTGTCTCTCCTCATAGGTATGTTTCGAGATTCCCAAATGAAGAGGATCAAAACTAAGATAAAGCCAAGGTGGATTCGTGCAGACGATGTTCTTCTTCGGGTCTTTGATTCCGACATTCCTTCTTGACAGAATGGGTCGCAGACGTGTAAGTTCATGTTGTGGAAGCGTCTCAAACTAGACTGACACCTAGATAGCCCATGATGTGGGGATCTCTTGGTCTGGCCATCTCCATGATGCTTATTGCTGTCCTTCTGAGCTTCACAGAAGCCCGTGGATATTCTGAGAAACTAAACAAGGCTACCTCCAGTGCCAGTGTTGCCTTCTTCTTCACTTACGTAAGTTCGATCACAAGCTTATCAAACAATCGCGGTGACTAATTACCGATCAGATGTTTATCTTCGGAGCATCTGCGAACTGCATTCCCTGGTAAGCCCTGCGGTCGTCCTTGGTGACACAATGATCTAATGTCTCGCAGGGTGTACGTACCCGAGATTCTGCCTCTCCACGCAAGAGCAAAAGGAACGGCGATTGGAATTTCTTCAAACTGGCTTTGGGTAAGCTCAATCTCCGTGCATCTCATCTCTCAAGCGCTAATATAATCGTAGAACTTCGTTGTGGTATGTCGATGGTGAAATACTGATCCGCAAATTACGGTTTGTCGAGATTGTACTGACAGACACTAGGTTATGATTACACCGACTCTGATCAACAATCTCCAATGGCAAGCATACCTGATTTTCATGTGCACAAACTTGGCATTCGTGCCACTCGTCTACTTCTGGCAAGTATCTGTCCACCTCATCCGACCCGTCAATCTAACATATGAACAGCTACCCCGAGACCTCCAATCTTACTCTGGAAGAAGTCGACTACCTCTTTGTCGGTGAAGGAAGCAAAGGAATCCACAAATTCATTTCACCCTGTCAACCCGTCAAGATCAGTCTCAGTGGAGATGTCGAGAGAGGAGCCAAGGAGATGATGCATGATGAGAAGAGAGGCAGCGAAGGCGATGCCGCATATGTGGAGGACGTTGGGAAACCCATCTCGCATTCTGGCGTCACTTCAACCGGAGGCGCTGTTCCAGCATCGGGAAGATTGTAGGATGTGGTCGCAACATCCGATCAGCGATAGCTCGAGACGTACTTAGGATGATCTCACATATGGTAGTCTACAATACATGGTGGCCCCTTCGTTTACGTATCTTAGATGGCTATAGAGCTCCGGCATGGTATTTCCACAATCGACCATCATCCAGCCTATATCTTCCTCTGTGCAACCCTCGATAGCAGGATACAGTTCGTCCAATTCGTCGTCGGTGAAGTCACCTGCATCCTCCGGATCATCTCTTTCGCACTCGTTACTCTCACTTGCCCGCAGGAAGTTTTCCTTGATTTGCCAATCGTCCCTGACCAGGTTTATCCACGCGCATTGTTCGTTGGAGACGATGCTGTCCAGTGAGGCGGTGTCAATCTGTAGACAAAATCGATATCTTACTGCCAGATTTCCATATGAGCACATGGGCTCCTTTTGTCGCTTCTCTGTCTCCTCCGCAGAGCCTTGCTCTTTGTGCAATGCATGCTTGCACCACTCGTAGAAGTGTTGACGTATAGCCGATGTACTCGCTCCAGCAAACCTACCTGTGTCTTCCATAACAGTGATCCTGAAGGTACTTTCATGGAGTAGATCATGTCCACGGTAGAAATCCATGTTCTGCTTTACTGGTGCGTGAACGCGCTGCATGCACAATTTCCATGCCTCATCGTCGGTATAGTCGCAACGGTACACGACGAAGCCCCACAATCGATATCATTCAGCGAGAAGACCACGCTCGATATTGTCGGCCTCAGTTGATTGACTTGATAGGCGGTTTGGTGTACGAGGAGAAACGCCGCCGAACTCTGGGAAGAGTTTACGCAACTCTTCCACACGTCTCTTCATGGTCTCGGTTTGGGACAATTGGTCTGTGTTCTTTACAGATCCTCGATCGTGATTCTCATCGGTACGGCGATGACTAGTCGTGTGGAGCAGGCATCCAAGTGTCCGACGTGCACCGAGTGTGGTGGCTGGTAGCCGTCGCGTGAGAAAGACTGGACGCGTCGAGAGTCGAGTCAGGAGCCCGACTCCAACGCGAGCCTGATAGACACGCATCACATTGTTTTAACAGAACAGCACTGTGTCATTAAGGATGTATATGCAGTAGTGAAGAAGACTTGGAACTTTGTTGACGACTCGTAGGCAAGAGTTTTCAGTGCAGAGCGATGCAGATCTTGAGCAGGGTTGCACCGCCAACAATGCCCTCAAGCATCATTAGCGGCATTGTGTGACCGCCTCGGGTGTTATCCTGATAGAAATACTGTCAGAGCACTGGTTATCTAGTTAGCAATGAATACTGTGACTCATGGGGTCATGTAGCGTCTAGTGGCTGTGTAATCATAGGTTTTGATTATCTGGAGTGGCTGATGGAGAGTGCAGATTCAGACGACATGACCTTTGGTCGGCACAAACGTGGCCCACTGTTTGACTCCAACAAGGAACTCGATATTGCAATTTCGAATCCTAGGTCTTGCTCACTGGCCAAATGTCTGGGAAGCGAGTGGCCGGAAGACTGTGCGTGGCACGCGACTGCTCATGTGGCTCACGTGGTAACAATTTAGTGAGCACTATATTCCATCTTGACGAGCCATTTCACATCAACTGGTTCTGTGGTGTAGTTGGTTATCACTTCTGTCTAACACACAGGCGGTCCTGAGTTCGAGCCTCAGCGGAATCATCTCTTTTGCCACCTCGCGCGTAGCTTTTGGTCAGCACAGGTAGGTGACGTTCGAAGAATTTGGCAATGAAGTTTTTTGTAGAATTGTGAAACGATGCGCGCGTGGGCAGCTCTTGCAACACGGACACCACATGACGGGATGCAACGCGGGAGCCGACCAATGCCGACCATCCGGACGTCCGTCCTTTCCACGAACACACTCCCAGTGTGAACCTTGATTCTTTGCACTTTCCTTCTTTCGGGTACTTGCAGCCCTTGTCCCCACCGTAGCGTCTTCAGTCAACATGACCAGGAATCCAAAAGATGTCGAGCACGGTCAGATCCAGCTCAAGACCAAACCGTCCTCAAACCTCCACTACAGCTTCATGCCAGGGGACTTGCATAGTAAAATATTGGTCGTGTTTCTGAACGGCCTCATCTTACCGCAGTCATCGTGGGAAGAGACAATTCTTCAAACAAAGCTCAAGACGCAAAAGGCCGGTGCAACACGACCACATCTATTATCCTACGATCGATATGGACAAGGTCTTTCCGACAAAGATCCGAATGGTGATCATGATATGTTGGATGCTGTTCATGACCTCCATGATTTCCTCGTCGAATCCAGCGAGAAGAAACTTGACTTCAATCTATTCTCTGCACCTGGGCAATTGATCTTCGTATGTAATTCCATCGGTTGCGCAATAGCACGATTATTCGCTACCGAGTATCCTGGCAAGGTCTCTGGCTTCCTGTTCTTAGATTCGATCATGGCACACGTTGATCTGGTGGAACTTTGGCCTAATCCTGATGCTCCTGGTTTTGAGGAGAGCGAGTTGCCTGCAGGTACAACAGTGGATCAACTGCGCAGCGTGAGACAGAGCTACCGGCAGCGATTCCACGCCTCCGTGCCTAATCCTGAAGGACTGAATAGGCAGACGCTCAGTACACTGTTGCCACACGCGGACTCCCCGAAGCTAGAAGGAGCCCCTATGATTACAGTGATCGGTCACGACTGGGACAGATTTGCCGAGGAGAATGAGGTCTGCCCGCTTCTCGGAAGTTTTCTCGCCTACGCGCAGCTAACATAAATTACAGAAAAGTTTTGGTGTGCCCAAAGTGCTTGTTATGAGATACGTCAATCCAGTCTGGCACGAGTATAATAACAACCTTGCCACACTGACCAAAAGTGACAAGAGTAGGGGTCCGATCATCGCTGAAGGATGTGGTCATTTCATCCAGAAAGACGATCCCGTGTTCGTTGCCGATGAGGTGTGCAAACTTCTACAAAGACTTGGTTTGTGAGTCGGTAAGCAAGATGCTCATAGATGTGGACATTAGGCATTCGAGCTCAGCTCGCTTGTATACCAGAAGTCTACTACATTTGGCGATCTGTTGGTCGCTGACTCCCATCCATCGTCCATCACGTGCAACCATGAAGCGATTCGCAGTCAAAGAGCTAATTAGCAGGAACGGGGACAGGGCCAATAGGCGCCAAGAAGGCACCGATGTTGGCTTGATGCATAGTCCGAGGACCATACTTTGACGGGTAGTCGATGGCAGAATGGAAGCATTGCCAATCAGCCCATATGATCACGTCGCCTTCTTCAACCTTTGGCAGCATAATATACTCTGGGCGAAGGATGCGGCCCTGAATAGCCTTCACCCACGCTCTGATTTTGACGACATCATCGATAACCTCGGCTCTGCAACGGGAGACGAACGCAGAGAAGGCTTGCGAGCGCAGATTCAATGGACTTGGAAAGCCTTTTCGCCCGTGACTGGATTCAGCCAGACCATGGGGTATCGCTTTACATGCTCGTCCTTCCATTCGCCCAGATCTTCAGCACTCGCCTCAAGCCCTTCTGAGGCAACGTCCAAGCCATTAGGGTTTCCGCGACACTTTCCCATCCATTTGTAGGGATATGGCGCATACTCGACCCAACTGTGGTCGGCTATAGCCTTCTCTTCAGCACTCATGAGATCGTAAGTCTAAACATTCCTGAAGAAGGCAGTGAGGCCGGGTTCGGTATCTATTTTGAGACCGGAGCCGTCGTCCCAGTGAATGGCCAGTGTGGGACTCGTCGGGCGTTTGATGCAGCGAAGAGTGGTAAACCAGGCAGGATCTCGTTCATATAGAGGGGCATCCATGTGCCATCGTTGGAAGCGTGTGTGGCCGTTCTCGAAATCGTCATCGAATAGCTTTGTCGCATGCCAGTCATGAGTCAATGGCTTTGTGATGGTTCGATCCTTGATACCGTAGTGATCTGCGCCTTGGTAACATTTGCCGATCAGACGTACGTTCTCAGCGCCTGGTATACCAAGGACCTCTCGACTCGCCTGATAGTGAAATAAGCGTCATAAGTCTTCCGTCAGTGAGTTGATAATGATGTTGCTTACAGACAGTATGCCACCATTCTTGTTAAACGTCTTAACATCACCATGAGAATGGACTTGTGGTGCGTCAGGATCAAAGCGAGTTACAAGTTCCCATTGCTGGATTGGCAGGAGATCTTTCTGCCCTTTCACAACAATCACTTTATTGGCCCAGATTGTATCGCGAAGTGCCTTCAAGTCCAGGTCTAGTAGTATCGAGGTGTCAGCCACGTAGATATTGAGAGTGCATATACATGAGTGACACTGCCATCAATGTTTCCCGGTTCCATACCATCGACAATGGCCCCGAAGTTTGTCTTTTTGCCTGCTTCCTGAGGCAAAGGCTTCACCGTGAAAGTTGGCATGATCGATGAGTTTCGTTGATTTTTGTTACTTGTTGCGTTGGTGACAGTACGATCCATCTGCTTGAATCTCTCAATATTCGAAAACCGTAGAGCAATTTATACAGTCAACATATGTGTCTCCACAGACAGCCTTCACTTCCATCTCCTTGTTGATCTGATGCTCATTCGATATCGCAGCGGTTCGGGCTCGGCCGAGGTTGATAAGAAGACGTGCATGACCTGCGTGCCGCACGAGACAGGCCTATCTGTGCTCGCCCGAAGGTAAACTGGCCCATTCTGATCTGTCGATATCTCATACCAAGCCAAGTAGCTTGGGAGATCTTGTCTCCCAAGAGCAAGACGCGACATTGAGGAGGAGGTTGGTAAGGATAGGACGTGCACACGCGTCAAAGAGTTTCGTGGAGTCCCCAAATTGCCCCACATTTCGCCTGTTCAATCTTGGTGACTTCATTCATCCACGGTGTCGTCTTCACCTTGGTTTCGCGCGCAATTCGAGGACACAAATTGTCAAGAATGTTTCGCGCAGGGCGTCAGTATCGTGCTTCAAACGTGAACCCGACGATGATGGTGATTCGGGGAAGCTGAACAATCTTGATAATGCGTCTATCTCTGCCGCCTCGGTCGGCCTCAACGTGTTAATCCGAGCTGACCGAACCCTCCCAATAGAGAGATACCATGTCAAGTGAACTGCCTTGGTAGATACAGAGACACAGGTATGGCATGTATATAGTCATGGGATCTGAGGGACTCTATGATAAGACCAGAGTGCCTATCTGCACGTTGGAGATAAGCCTGTTGTCTCGCTGTGAAGATGGCAGACGCCGCCCATCACGTCCGTCGCTCGTCATGTTGGTCCTCCAGCTGACCGAAGCAGAATCTCGCTCTGAACCGCATAAGGAATGTTATAGCAAGTGTCAATCGCCAACAAGATCCTGATGAAACACAGGGTACGCGTGTGCAGAGTCGAACGCGTCCGCAGTTATCGACATATTTGGATGAAGAGCGGCTGATTCCTCATTGGGCCTAGCTTTGGCCGAATCGAGACCTTTCGCCGATGACGCGACTTGCGCTCCTCCCAAATGACAATATGTTCAGTCATGATCAATGCTGTACTCGGAGCTGCATGATAGCGAGTCGATAGACCATCAAGATTAGCCGTGCTGGCATCGAGTCTAAAATAAATACAGAAACTTGTCATGTCTGTTTCCGCAGTCTCCAAGCCCGTGATCGACCTTTCCTTTTTGAGAAGGTCAGAGAACAACGCGGTCGGTTGAGGAAACACAATTTTGTAGAAGGTAGGGCGTGCCTTCTTTCCTTGCGTCCATAAATCGCGTTTGTCGGCAAGGTTCAGTCATCTACTACCTAACTGTACCACACACTATGGACAGCCATGATCTGGTCTTGAATTGGCGCGGCGATGTCATCGAAAATAGCCATATCGTCCATGCCGCTATCGTCGACAGCAATAACAAATTCCTCTACTCTATGGGCGATCCGTCACGACTGACGCTTGCCCGATCTGCTGCGAAGCCTTTCCAAGCTCTTGCGATTCTTGAAACTGGAGTGGCCGAGAACTTCGGATTTGATGAAGCCGATATTGCCTTGATGTGTGGCTCACACAACTCCGAAGACAAACATGTCTCGCGCGTTATGAATATGCTAGGGAAAGTCGGCGTGACTGAACAAGACATGAACTGCGGTGGTCATCCTGCCCTCTCCAAGAAGATCAACAATGGATGGACGAAAACCGACTTTGTCCCGACAGCAATGTATAGCAATTGTTCCGCCAAACATGTAGGCATGCTGGCCGCCGCAAAATCCCTTGATGCTGGTATAGGCAACTATCAGGATCCGAGACATCCTGTTCAGTTGAGGATCAAACGAATCCACGAAGAATTGAGCGACTTGAAGCCCGAGGAGATTCGCTGGGTCGTTGACGGATGCAATGCACCATCTCCAGCCCTACCTCTCCAAAATCTGGCCTTGATGTTTGCGGGGCTGGCTCACGCAGTGGACCAAAATGATGAGGAATCCAGACAGCATGCTTCTAGCCAATCAACACGAAACAAGGCACAGATATATCATGCAATGGCGCATCATCCGGATATGATCGCCGGGGACTCTCGATTCTGCACCGACTTGATGCGAGCCTACGACGGTGCCCTAGTCGGCAAGCTTGGAGCCGAAGGCTGCTACGGTATTGGCATTCGAGACTGCGAGGCAACGAGACGCCTGGGTGCTCAAGGGGGGCTTGGTATCGCTATCAAGATTGAAGACGGCAACATCGACATTCTATACGCAGCTCTGATGGATACACTTACGAGACTAGACCTTGGATCCGAAGAAATCAGGAGGCCCCTGAAGGAGACTTATTGTACGATGCCGAAGAATACCATGGGCGTTGCGACTGGGCACATCTCGTTCGAGATGGAGTTGAAGAAGCACGAATGAGGTGTAGCGTCTACTCCATTCCGTCATACCCCCCTGCTCTACTTCGCTGTGCCCCCCTCCCCTGCTCTACCTCGTTGTGCCCCCCTCCCCTGCTCTACTTCGTTGTGCCCCTGCTCTCCTAATTCATATCCCAATACAACTCTTTTCCCCCTTCGCGTTGTGAGCTGCTGTCAGACCTACAGCGATCTCAAGGCACGAACCTTTCCACATTTGCAGCGATGTCGCTGGGATACCTCTCTTCGTCAGCTCCCCGTGCTGGGTGCGTTGACATTAAGTTAGGCTGTGCTTTGCGACGGCTCGTTATCGCCTAGCTACAGACAGCGAAAGGCTAAGAAGGACTGAATGTATACCCCAAGAGGGAGTGATAGCTCCTTGTGTTGTTGCAGTGATCTCCTTGTGTTGTTGCAGTGACGTAAGTGACAGCTGCCTAGTCACTTCGAAATCAGAGCAAGAAACGCGTCGAATACATCGTTGTTCCGGGATCGCTTGATAATTCATTGGCTTGCTACTACACTGCAAGAATATTCGAAGCCCACTGGACCCTACAATACTACTCCCAGAGTCCTAGCTCTTTCACTATCGTTCAGTTTCACACCTGCATCGATCAAATTGCTTCCTACATAAAGCTCTCTCTTCAACAACCCAATATTGTTATCATTAATCACTATCCGACAACCATGGCTGGTGTGAAGAGATCCTTCTCCTCCAGGTCCTTGACAGACGCATTGTCCGACGAGCTTGAGCCACTCAGGAAGAAACCACAACCAAAACGGACCTGTCTGGTTTGCGACGTTGGGAAAGGCAACAATCAGCTTCCCGGCCCGAGGAAAGTCTCGTCACACGACCATGGATCTAACATTTGTCGTCGTTGCTATGTTAGCCATATCGAGACTGAGATCGATCGAAGAACTGGGACCAGGTTGCATGCCCAGAATGTCCACAGGTGCTTGGGTACAACGAAGTAAAAAGAAGATGAGCAACAAGAAGCATTTCGAAAAGTATGAGCAAGGGTCCCTGCGAGTAGCTCTGGCTGAGGACGACGAGTACCGCCACTGTTTCTCAACTACCTGTGACGCCGGCCAGCTGCATCACGGCGGTGTTGATCAGCCTATCTTCACCTGCCAGAGTTGTCAGCACAAAAACTGCGTCGCATGTGAGATCGATTGGCACGTGGATGAGACTTGCGACCAATACCAAGCACGTCGCCGCACAGAAAGAGGCGAAGAAGACGAAAGATCCCGAGCCGAGATGGAAAAGATATCGAAAGAGTGTCCCGAGTGCCACGCGCCTATCGAGAAAAACGACGGCTGCGACCACATGACTTGTAAGTGGCTTTATGACGATACTCAAGGCATACATGCATGCTGATAAGACAGGTTCCAAATGTCGTCATGAGTTCTGCTGGCTCTGCTTTGTAGACTATCGCAATGTCAGACGTGAAGGCAATCAGCTGTACAACAAGAGTTGCCTTTATTACTACCCCATCCTGCGCGAGGCGGAAGATGAGTTTCTGGTAGCAGAAGATCCAGAAGATGAGCTCGGCTTCCTACAAGAGCTTGAAGCAGCAGCTCGAATCGCAGGCCAGAACGAGGATGCATAACGATACCGTGGATAGAACTTTGGCTCTATAGTGATCATCACCACTGAATTCACACGAACAGATATTCTGAATGTCATTTCCTTCCTCCCTACGTGTGCAATAATTTTAACCACTTTCGTCATGTTTGGAAAAGAGCAACGACGAGCTGTAGAAAGGCAGAGTCATTTCCAATACCGACGATCCTGACGTGGGGAGTCGATGAAACAAAGTATCTCCATGATACCAGTACAGTATCTTGATAACACTGTGCGCCAAAGCAGCTGCAGACATATGTGCTGTAACATACGGAGAGCACAATGGGATCATACGGGCGGGGCTTAGTAAGTGCCATTCCCAATCCCCTCTTATGACACTATAGCGCGACAAGAAGCTGTACAAAGGCATAATTATTTCCAAATCGAGACAGTCCGCAAAGAGAGTCAGATAGATGACGCATCTCCGTGACAGTACTTCTATTCACAAATAACTACTGTGAATTAAGTCAACTACCATTGTATATACTTCGGCGTACAGGGAGTACACAGGGAGGAACTGACTATCTTGGATTGCAGGAAAAGACTACCTAAGTTATCTTCCCACAATAAATATCTTGCCAAAAGCCAGAATCCAGAAACTGCTATAGTAACCCAGGAGCCAGCCTGAGATACTAGCAGGAGAACTCGTGTGTGTTTTCGATCATTCCATCTCTCTAATCCCTTATACATTCCAATCCGCGGCTGTCTTGTGAGTAGGCGAGCGTGGTCTAGCAGACGGAGACGTCAGACTCCTGGTAGATACAGGCGTCGGAGGGACCCTCAGAGCCAGTGGAAGGCTCCTCGTCATTGTTGTTAGTGCCCTTGTACCTGTTTTCAGCAGTCAGCAGTTGTTCTTGCATCACTGTACAATATGATTGACTTACTCCTGGCAGATGTGCTTGACGGAAGTGGCACAAGTCTTGGTGATTGTGGCAGTGTCTCCATAGTTGGAGTTGATGCCAACGAGGTACTTGCCGTTGGTGGCCTTGACGTTGCTGATAGTGACCTCACGAGCATCACTTGATTATCGTTAGTGCATGTGCGAATGTGGGATCGGAGAAAAAAACATACCCGTTCTGCTTGCAGTTACCACAAGAGCGGTAAAGCTTGCCAAAGTTCTCAACAGTAAAGCCATCGATAGAGATGGAACCAACACCATTGTGCTGGATCACCTTATCATCGGCATCACGAGCACCACCACCGATAACCTTGCCATTACCATCACCCTTGAATGTAAGCGCATCCTCGCAAACAGCGTCCCACCACACATTTTCAATGGTGCAGGCACCGAGACAGTGGACACCCTCGCTCTGGTCCTTGCCAATGATGGCGTTCTTGAGGGTAGCGCCATCCTCGAGGACGAAGACGGCGTCACCATTCTGACCCTCGGCTTGACCGCCACATTCGACACCACGGCCGTAGGTCTTGTAACCACCGTCGAAGGTGCCTGAGATGGACTTGGCGTCGTCGTAGGTGACGGAGCCCTGGCTGGCAGGGATGGGGAAGCTGCTGGAGGCGCGAGTGCGGAGGGGACCCATTCGCTCGGCGGCAGCCAGAGAGAGGGAGGCAGCGATGATGGCAGAAGTGCTGAAACGCATATTTGCTGATGTAAAATATGAAGTTGTTGAAGAGAAAAGAGGTTGTTGAAAAAGGTTCAAAGAGTGACTTTTGAGGAATGAATGAATGTGTTGCTTGATTGATCTGGAGCACGGCTCTGGAGAAAGAAGGAGAGTTGATTGTGTGGTGGTGAGGGTGATATATATACTTGATCGATGGACAGGGTTGGTGTCTTCTGTTCTCGTACCTTCCGAGAATTACTGCACCGCATGTCCCGCTGTATTTTTCTGAAACGATGACAACCTGCCATGTGTAGGCCCACTCAATCTCGTCTCAATGTACTCCACATTGAAGGATGCTGTGTGCTACGAGGATCACAAGGACCACGCTTCGGTTGAAGCACATTGGGAGTGGGCAAAACAACGTATCAATGCATGCGAGTCAAGACAATCTCGCCGCCTTTCGGTAGCGAGCGAGCTGAAGCTGATCGACGACTGGACCGATATAATCGGAGTGCACGAGAGGATGTGATGAAAAGTAAGCCGCTAGGATGTGCAAGGCCAAGGTCGCAAGGGCGTTCGAGGTGATCACCGAGCCCTAATTACATGATCGTTGCTCAGGGCCAATCTAGCAAGCCTGAATCAGTTGTTTTGCGTGAAGATCTTGCCAGAATAACGACAGTGATCGATGTTTGTGACCATGTGGATGATCTATATGGGTGGAGAAAACACAGCCTCACTCGCTGAAACGTGCCAAGGCATGCTCGCCAAGACGAACGAATATGAGGGAGGTTTGTAATAAAACACGGCGGGATGCAGCAGCCATGCAAAGTGTGGATGTGACTGCAGCTCCTTGGTACATCTGACTTTAGGGTTGGTGAGAACAAGATTCTCAAGACTGCTGGGCGCTGTTGGGCGGCGTTTCGAAAGCTGAAGCATTGGCGGCAACACTGACTGAGTTCCACCACTGCTGCCAATCGACGACCTTCTTTTCGAGCCGCGCTTCTTCAGCTGCGAAAACAAGAGTATGACTTCTGATGACTTCTTCTAGGGTACAACCAAGATGCTGAATCTGAGCTTCTTCAATCGACATATTCTTGTTCTTCACTGCATCGATGGCTTTGAGGAAATGGGTCGCAAGTCCGTGATCTCCTCCACCATGACCTCCGCCAGGCCTGCGCGGACGGTGGTGTTGAAACTCACCAGTAGAGAAATCATAGACCGTGATTAGGGTTCCATCGTATGAGATCTCTCCCTTCTCTCCGTAGATACGCCCTCGCCGCTCGCACTGTTTCTCGGTTTGGGCGATCATATGAAAGGATGCGGTCTTCGCCATCCTAGCTGGGGAATTGCAACCATCAGGGTTACAAGAGCCGGTACTGAGTGTTTCGGGCAACGGATCGTCATTCCAGGAGAGAAGGACGAATTGATCGTCACACACGTCGTTCTCGGACTCCCATACACATCTTCCAAACCAAGGACGCTTGGATATCTCTTTCGGCGATATGTTCTCATCGTAGTCAGCCTCAAGTGACTTGAAGAGCATCTCTTTGGCTGCTGCTTTGCCATGATCGTTATAGCATGCTTCAATCTCTGGATTGACGATGTTGACCGGCCAATCAGTGTTTCCCTTGGCGAGTTGGTTGTCGTAATATATTCTTGGGGCGCTATAGGTACATGTCTTCTCAACCGGACATCGTAGACAATTGGTGGCAGTGCCTGCACTCGCGGGTTTTCGAGATCTCTTGAACTGTTTCAGCGAACCGAATGAAGCCACTGATGCCGGAACATGTGGAGGATGATTGGTTCCAGGGGCAGGTGAACACAGCATCCACAATAGGAAGTCAATATCGTGGCATGATTTTGTCAGTAACGATGGGGCTGTGCTTGACTCCTTTCTCCAATTGCCTCTGATACCTAAATATCAACAACGGAGACTTTGATGTCACAACTTTGAACTTACCTGACATAGCTGTGCGAGAAGTGCCAGTTGCCAACAGGCTCAGTGTGCTCCATAGACAGCACGGGTCCAATGACTTGGTCTTCGAGGACCAACTTGCGCAGGAGCATGTTATGTGGACTGTAACGTAGGACGTGACCGATGCCAAAGATGGCCGACTGTCCTCCTTGTTGAGATGACATGGCGGTAGATATGGCCATACAATCTCGTAGTGTTGTAGCCAGTGGCTTCTCACAAAGTGTATGGATGGCCAGATGACCCAAGGCAGTGATGACCTCTGCATGTTGTTCGTCTAGTATGCATATGAACATACCGTCGATACCTGGAGGGACTTGACGTCCAGCAGCTGCATTGCTCCGGCGCGTGGTCTCATACTGTAGGAAATCTTTCCAGTCATGGAACTCTTGTCCTTGTCCGGATCTCTCTTCCGACGACCAGATATACCTGGAGCCTAGCAAACTGCGCTTGAAGGCTATGGGTTCTGCGATGGCAGCTATGATACCCTCTCCAGATTCCGACACAGCCCGAGCGTAAGCATGACCGCGAGAGCCCGCGCCAATAATTAAAATCCGAGGAAGTGTCGATGTCGGAGATTGGCTATTAGACGACATGGTAGAGACAAACTTGGGTGCTCAAGTGAAGTCTACTTGAAGTCAGAAGGGCTTTTGGTTGTCGTCTCGTCGTCAGCAGTGCCGTTGTTCCGTCCACGATGTTGCCTCGGCCGCTTTCGCACGAGATCACCGAGACGAATGACCTCGTTGATTAGATAAGATCTTTCGGAGATTGACGGCGTTTTGCTGACATAAACTCTCGCCGCCGCCCTTGAATGTGACGGACCAGCACCTGCATACCTACAATTCATCAAACCAAACATGGCGCTTTCAGGAAGGGACTCTCTGCTACGATGCTGCCGCAGTGCATTCAACCAAGCGTCTAAAGATGCGCGTATATTTTACCCACGCCGTCAACTATCACTCTCTGCTCGACCATCGCAGCTGTCGCCACGAGCAACACCAGTTCCTCGCTTTGCGCCCTTCTCCGGAAAGGACGTCTTGCCGCCACAGAGCAGTCGAGCATTCAGCGCATCGAGCCGGCAGGCAGTGAAAGCTATCATCAACCCGCGAAAGAACGAAAATGGCGAGGACATGATGATTGACATCCTGCCTCGCGCTGTCAATGTAAACACACTTCCTAGCATTATCGTAATCTCAACATGCTGACGATGTCTAAAGCGCCTTCACAACATCTCGATGAAAGAAAACAACCCTTCGCTCTGCCTACGCGTAGCAGTAGAATCAGGTGGCTGCCACGGCTTCCAATACCTCATGTCGACAACAACACTAGAGGAGATATCGCAAGAGGAAGATACTGTGTTCGAATCGGAAGATGGCAAGGGTGCAAGGGTCGTTATTGACGAGCCCAGTCTCGAGCTCCTGAGTGGCAGTAAGATTGATTATACCATGGAGTTGATCGGCAGTCAGTTCAAGGTGACGGGCATACCGGGAGCTACGAGCAGTTGTGGTTGTGGGTCCAGTTTTGATATCCAGGCATGAAGAAGAATCAATAACGAAAAGAGGAAACCAATGTTTCAGACGGCAGCAAATGCCATCGACCAACAGCGTATCGCGTACAGACTTGCCGTATTGTCGGCGCCAGAAGCACCATTCAATGTATGCCTGGATGAGCAGAGATCGAGTGGCATCAGTATTGAGTGATACAAGTTCATGCAATGCGACAATTGACGGGGTAATATTGGGCGATGGCAGTATAGATCATCCGAGCTTCGAAATTGGAGGATGAGACATGCCGAAACGGGAATGACGAAAGTCGACTCTCGCAATCAACAGTCATGTCACGGAGGCCAGCTTTGAGCAACGGGTGATCGTTTAGCTGTTGGGACAAGAGCAGCTGGAAAAATCGATCAAGAGCCGTCTAGATCTAAGAAACAGTTCATTGAATTGCAGGGTGGCGTTCAGTAAATAGAAGTCGCACCCCACGAATGGAAGCTCGGGCGGCCCAGTTCTCAACGCTTCCACCGCTTGCCGTCACCGCCTTCGGGCAGTCCCCCACTACGTAAGGTAAAGCTGAGGTAGGAGCGAGCCTATTTCTGTCCCATTTCCCTGAATCTCCCAATCTTTCCTCCTTGACAAGCACTCACATACACAAATCATGAGCGTCAAGACTGTTTCCCTGAAGCCATTCCAAGACCAGAAGCCCGGAACGTGAGTCGTTTCCACCTCTTCTGAAGCTTGTTGCCAGCTCTGCGCAAGGCGACCCACTTCAATTGTTTGGTTCAATTGCTGACAACTTCACCAGCTCCGGTCTTCGTAAGAAGGTTAAGGTCTTCCAGAAGGAGCACTACTCGGAGTCCTTCGTCACCAGCATTCTCCTGTCTATCCCCGAGGGCGTCAAGGACTCCACCCTTGTCATTGGTGGTGATGGTCGTTACTGGAACCCCGAGGTCACCCAGACCATCGCAAAGATCGGTGCCGCATACGGTGTCAAGAAGCTCATCGTTGGTCAAGACGGTATCCTCAGTACCCCTGCCGCTTCTCACGTCATCCGCATCCGCAAGGCCACTGGTGGTATCTTGCTGACCGCCTCGCACAACCCTGGTGGTGAGTTTTGCAAGACTTCAATTGATCAAGACACGTCGACTAACATTGTGCTAAGGTCCCGAGGAGGACTTCGGTATCAAGTACAACCTCGCCAACGGTGCTCCCGCACCCGAGAGCGTCACCAACAAGATTTTCGAGACTTCAAAGACCCTTACCGAGTACAAGATCTCCGACATTCCCGATGTTGACCTCGCCGCCATTGGCACAAAGACCTACGGCAACCTCGAGGTTGAGATCATCCACTCGACCGAGGACTACGTCAAGATGCTCAAGGACATTTTCGACTTTGACTTGATCAAGGCTTTTCTCAAGGAACACCCCGACTTCAAGATCCTCTTCGACGGTCTCAGCGGTGTCACCGGCAACTACGGTATCGACGTCTTCGAGAAGGAGCTTGGCCAGAAGGGATCTACCCAAAACTGCGTTCCCAAGCCCGACTTCGGTGGCCACCACCCCGACCCCAACCTCGTCTACGCTGCCAGTCTGGTCGACGCCGTCGAGAAGAACAACATCCACTTCGGTGCCGCTTCTGACGGTGATGGTGACCGTAACATGATTTACGGAAAGGGCGCTTTCGTCTCTCCCGGTGATTCGCTCGCCATCATTGCTCACCACGCCGAGCTGATCCCCTACTTCAAGAAGCAGGGTGTCTACGGTCTGGCCCGTTCCATGCCCACTTCTGGTGCCATTGACCTTGTCGCCAAGAAGAAGGGTCTGGAGTCATACGAGGTCCCCACTGGCTGGAAGTTCTTCTGCGGTCTGTTCGATGCCGACAAGATGAACATCTGTGGTGAGGAGTCTTTCGGTACTGGTTCCAACCACGTCCGTGAGAAGGATGGCCTCTGGGCTGTTGTCGCATGGCTCAACATCATTGCTGGTGTTGGTCAGCAAAAGGGCGAGACCCCCAGCATCAAGTCTATCCAGCAGGACTTCTGGAAGATTTACGGTCGCACTTTCTTCACCCGTTACGACTACGAGGGCTGTGAGTCCGAGGGTGCCGAGAAGATGACGGCTCACATGAAGGAGCTTATCACCACCAAGAAGGACGAGTTCGTTGGCTCCACAATCTCTGGCCGCAAGGTCATCGAGGCCGACGATTTCAGCTACACCGACCTTGACGGCAGCGTCAGCAAGAACCAGGGCATTTACGTCAAGTTCGACGACGGCAGCAGAATTGTTGTTCGTCTGTCAGGTACCGGCTCCAGTGGAGCCACTATCCGCCTGTACGTCGAGAAGCACGATGCCGACGAGAAGACATACGACATGGACGCACAGGACTACCTCAAGGACAACGTCAAGCTCGCCACCGACCTCCTCAAGTTGCAGGAGTTCATCGGCCGTACCGAGCCCGATGTCAAGACCTAAACATTTCGCTTGGATTGAGATGTAGCATTATAATATAACGACTTTTAGCATGTACAGAATCAGAGCGTACATAAAATGACAAGAAAAACAGTTCAAATTTCAGATTCACGCCGGTGTGCAATTGTTGTGTGCTAGATCGCTGAAGACACTTACCACAATGTGTTTGATGACTACCTACAGATGGCGGAGGCTATGAGGCTAGATCGCGGTTGCCTCCATTTCTGTCAAGGTTGGGCTTGCCAGAAGTAGCACCGAAGCCTTCTGCCTCTAAGCTCTGCACCGTCGTCTGGGCCTTTGCGGCGCCGACTTCTTGAGTGATCTCCTTGGGCTTCACCTCCCTGTCGCCAATGATTGAGGCGTGAGCATCGCCGTCAACCTCAGCAGTCGACTCCTCTGCCTCTGCCTTTGGCTCGGCACCATTTTGGAAGAAGACTCTGCGGTAGTATCTGGCTTCCTCGATGCTCTCGAGAATGTCTGCTCTAGCCTCGTGTAGACCCTGCTTGCCGGGACTCTTCTTGAGGATCTCTACAGGAGCCCATCTCTTGGCCGCCTCTTTGATAGCTGACACATCCAGGATACGGTGATGCAGCCACTTCATGACAGGAGTATACGGCTGCTGCACCAAAAAAGCTCTGTCGGCATGTACAGTATTTCCAGCCAACAGCGCCTTTTTACGTTCAGGACAGTACCTCTGGATATACTCTAGCAATTCTTTAGACACGGTCTCTGCATCTTTATCCGAAGCGAGACATTGAGCAGTCAGACCAGTCTTTCCGTGCTGGTTTGTGCACCATTCACCCATTGCGTCCAGCTGTTCTTGGGTGTGGTGGATGACGGCTTCGTAGCCTTTATCGTCGAGGAGGTTTAGTTGGGCGTCGGTGACGAAACAGCAGAGGGACATGACTGTGTCTTTTGAGAGGTCGAGGCCGGTCATTTCGCAGTCGATCCAGACGAGGGGGTGCTTGGAGCGTGATTCGGGCATGGTGGCGGAGAATTGGCGGAGGTGGAAGGCTGGAAAGGCGGAGCGCGGAGTGTAGAGATGGGACGTGGAGGTTGTGAGAACAGAGATGCGAGTGGTGATAGGTCGAAACATGCAAAGTGCTCGAAGGTAAAAGATGGAAAATGTTCAAGGGCGACTAGCTGCGGTGATGACGCGCGAGCTGCTTGAGTTGCTAGGGCCAAAGCTCATTCGGGTTAGACTGATCGATTGGTCGATTGATTGAAATGCGGGCGGCCCACGAGCGCGACGCGAGCAGTCCGACGCGTCCATCGAGAATCAATCAAACATCCTACACAACTTCCACCACTTTTGCTGACCCATTCATATACCCCCAATTTCTTACAACACATACATATAATACACATCACATCATGCCTCCAAGCAGAGCGGACCGATTGGCCGAGCTCCGTGCTGCAAGAAAGGCCGGCAAGACTGCCTTCTCATCATACGAAGTCCAGGACGAGGAACAACTCTACGAGACCGTCGACGAGGATAGTTACAAGAAGATTGTCAGAAAGAGGCTCGACCAGGACGACTTTGTTGTCGACGACAACGGCGAAGGCTACGCAGATGATGGTCGTGAGGACTGGCAGAACGAGCAACGCCAAGATTATGATGATGAGAGTGACGACGACCTGCCGGCGAGGGGAAAGGCTGGTAATTGATCTTGGCCACATGTTTCGTCTCTGGTATTGGACTGACAGCTACAGCAAAACGTAAGCGCGACGAGGACGAACAGAAGAAGGACAAGATCAACAAAGGCATCAGCAAATACTTCAACGCAAACCCGACTGTCGCCGCTCCAAAGCCCAAGCCCGCCACGACTGCTGAAGATGCCGCATTCATGGCCGACCTCCTCGGTGAGGTCAATGCCAACATCCCCTCATACAAGCCTAGATCAAACTTGAATCCCATCAAGTCAGAGTCCCGCCGCAAGACGAGAGTCTTGTCACCACCTGTCCAACAGATGAGCCATATTCCCAAGTACGACCCGAGGACTAGACAAGCCGACTCTCCGCCAGCTCCCGTAGACGACGACACATACTTCCCTATGGATGAAGGTCTGTTCCCGCCGCCCGAGGACAACGACGTACCCATGAGCGACCCCATGCCTTCCTCTCCCGTTGCAAAGGCTGCACAACGAAAAGAATCAAACGTCAAGGTCGAGGAAGACGAGGACGAGGACATGCTCGAAGTTGCTCAAGTCACGAATCAATCTTCACGAAGCACCGCCGCCATCAACATGCGTGGAAACAGGCCTATCCCGAAGATTATAAAGACCGACTACCCGACACCAGCAAGCTCTTCTCCTTCAAGGCAGGCCCCTGAAGCTATCGACACCTCGGCATTGACCAACGTCACCGACAAGTTGAATGTGCTGAGCAGTTCTGGTGTGGAGACTGTCACATTTGGCAAACTGGATCCTCAACACGCTCAAGAGGAAGATGGAAGTGTACGCTTCTTCTGGTTCGACTACACCGAGATCAACGGCGGTTTGTGTCTATTCGGCAAAGTCAAGGACAAGTCCACCGGTCGCTTTGTCAGTGCATTCGTCAAGGTCGATAACATTATGCGTAAACTCTTCTTCCTTCCTCGCGAACATCGCAGAAAGCACGGTCGTGAGACGGATGAGGAAGTCGAGATGGGTGACGTCTACCAAGAGGTTGACGGGCTCATGTCGAAGTTCAAGGTCAACATGCACAAGATCAAGCCGTGTTCGAGGAAATACGCCTTTGAATTGCCAGATATCCCGAAAGAAGCCGACTACTTAAAGTTGCTCTATCCATACGACAAGCAGCCTCTGCCAACGGATCTCCAGGGAGAGACTTTCTCACACGTCTTTGGTACCAACACTGCCCTTTTCGAACAGTTTGTTCTCTGGAAGAACATCATGGGTCCTTGTTGGCTCAAGATTGATGCAGCCAGCATCAACTTCAACGCCGTCAAGAACGCTTCTTGGTGCAAACTGGAGATGCTCGTTGACAAACCTCAAGGCATATCTACTCTTGGAGATACCGACAACCTAGATGCCCCACCATTGACTCTTATGAGCATTGCCCTTAGGACGAAGCTCAATGAGAAGGACAACAAACAGGAGATTCTGCTTGCCAGTGCTCGCATCTACGACAGCATGTCATTGTCAGACACCACAGCACCCGAGAAGCTTCCCTGCAAGACCTTCACAGTCATGCGTCCAAACGGTCCAGATTACCCTGTAGGATTCAAGACCGATGCTGAGAAATATCGCGGTAACATCCAGATGGAGAAGAGCGAAGGTGCAGTTCTCAGCAAGTTCCTGGCCCTGCTCGACCGAAATGATCCCGATGTCTTGATCGGTCACAGGCTCGATGATGTCGACTACACACTCTTGCTCAGCAGAATGCGTGAATGCAGAACTCCTGGTTGGCACCGCATTGGAAGACTGAAGCGCCACGAATGGCCCAAGAACATCGGCAAGGGTGGTGGCAGCTTCTTTGTTGAGAGACAGCTCGCAGCAGGAAGATTGCTTTGCGACTTGGGCAACGACATGGGCAAGTCTCTGATGACAAAATGTCAGTCATGGAGTCTGGATGAGATGTGTGATCTGGTCCTGGGAGGCGAAAACAAGCGTCGTGATATCGACAATGATGTTCTGTTGAAGATGGCTACCAATAGAGCCGGTCTGATGCAATACATCAAGCTTGCCGAAGCGGACACATTCTTCATCGCTGCTATTGCTCTCAAGGTGCAAATGCTTCCGCTTACCAAGGTTCTGACCAATCTGGCTGGAAACTCATGGGCCAGAACACTGAGTGGTACTCGTGCTGAGCGCAACGAGTATATTCTGCTTCACGAGTTTCACAAGAACAAGTACATCTGCCCTGACAAGATTTGGGGCAAGGGTAAGGCAAAGTCTGATGAAGACAATCCGGAAGGAGAGGAAGGTGCAGACGCCAAGAAGAAGGACAAGTTCAAGGGTGGTCTAGTCTTCGAGCCTGAAAAGGGCTTGTACGACAAGTTCATCCTTGTCATGGATTTCAACTCTCTGTATCCCAGTATCATTCAGGAGTACAACATTTGCTTCACCACGGTCGAGAGATCAGAACTCGTAAGTCATTGATTTTGATCACTTCAGACATGCAACAAGGCTAACACATTAGTAGAACGATGACGAAGAAAAAGTTCCCGAAGTCCCATCGGATACCAATAACAAGGGTATCCTTCCTCGACTGATTAGAACCCTCGTCCACCGTCGTCGCGAAGTCAAGAAGCTCATGAAGGACAAGACCGCCACTGTCGACCAACTCGCAACCTGGGAGATCAAGCAAATGGCTCTGAAGCTGACTGCCAACTCCATGTACGGATGTTTGGGATACACAAAGTCGCGTTTCTACGCTCGACCTCTGGCTATGCTCACCACGTACAAGGGTCGTGAGATTCTGCAGTCGACCAAGGATCTGGCAGAGTCTGCTCATGGTCTGAGAGTCATTTATGGTGATACTGATTCGGTCATGGTCAATACCAATGTCGACAACATCATGGATGCTATGAAGATTGGCAACGACTTCAAGAAAAGTGTCAATGAACGATACGAGTTGCTTGAGATCGATATCGACAACATCTTCAGACGTCTGCTTCTGCACGCAAAGAAAAAGTATGCTGCAGTCAACATGATTGAAAAGGACGGCAAATGGATCGACAAACTCGAAGTCAAGGGTCTCGATATGCGCAGAAGAGAATACTGTGCGCTGAGTAAAGATACCTCGACTGAGCTTCTGAACTTCTTGCTCTCTGGTGAGGACCCAGAGACTGTGGTTTCTCAGATCCATGATCATCTTAGGGAAGTTGCGTCACAGATGCGTGCCAACACCATTCCTCTCCGCAAATACACCATCTACACCCAACTGGGAAAGAATCCAAAGGAATATCCTAATGCGAATAGCATGCCTTCTGTGCAGGTAGCTCTGAAGCTCATGGCCAAGGGCAAGCATGTCAAGGCCAAAGACGTCATGTCCTATATCATCTGCAACGACTCCTCCGGCAGCGCGGAAAGTGCAGCAAAGAACGCTTTCCCAGTGGATGAAGTGCTTCGTGCGGAGAACGAATTGGTGCCTGACATCGACTACTACCTACACAAACAGATCTTACCTCCTGTGGAACGTCTATGTGCTCCCATCGAAGGCACCAATGTAACGCTACTCGCCGAATGTCTAGGCCTGGACACGAGTAAGTACCGCGTCAGCAGCACCAGCAACACCAACACCTACAACGCCGAAACCGAAATCCACCCCTTGGAATCCCAAGTGCCTGATGAAATACGCTTCAAAGACTGCGCACCCCTCGGTCTCCTCTGTCTGTCCTGCCGCTCACCATTTCAATTCCGCGGTCTAGGTGTTCTTGCATCTCCAGATCAAGAAACTCCTAGTGCCAAGGTTGAAAATGATGGGATTCATTGTCCGGCTGCTTCTTGTGGGAAATTGATGGCTCAGATTTCGCTGTCTGCGCAGTTGGAGAGTCAGATTAGAGCGCATACGGCTGAGTATTACGCCGCTACTCTGGTCTGTGATGAAGCGACTTGTGGCAATCGTACACGACAAATGAGCGTCTATGGTCATCGCTGTCTTGGTCCTCGTGGTCTTGCGTTTGGCTGTACTGGGAAAATGCACCTCGCATATTCGGAAAAAGCATTGTATAACCAATTACTCTTCTTGTCCAGATGCTTTGATGTGGACAAGGTCGTCAAGGAGCAAGAAAAGAAGAAAAGTGAAGAGGCTGAGAGAGTGGTGGTTGTTGCAGAGGTTAACAGGAGAGGGTTTGGGAGTATGAGAGCGGTGGTGGAGGGGTATTTGGATAAGAGTGGGTGGGGGTGGGTTAGTATGGATGGGCTTTTTGGGTTTGCGCTCAAGGCTTTGGGGTGATGAGAGGGTATGGAGATGGCGTTTAGCGAGGAAGGAAAGGGGGAGGGAAGGGAAGGCGAGGGGTGGAAGTGATAAGGTGGTCTATGTGTCGTATTGGCAAATGTGTATCATCAAATTGTATAATCACGTCCCACTCTTGTGTGTCTTCTCGATAGCCAAATATGGCTGTCTAAAATGCATAGATGTAGATTCGTCCATGAATACATATCGACAGCTGAACTCCCTCGCTCTATCCTACCTACTAGAGCCTCTTGTCGCTCTCTCTTGACTCCTGAAGCAAAAATTTATCCGTATTTTCTCCAATCCCTCCCCCCTCCTCTCTAGAGCTTCTATCGAACAAATCCTTGACTACCCAAGGTACAATCATCTCGGGTTCAGATAAACTGCTAAACATGCGCTGAGAGTCTGCTCACGCTGTCCTCTTTTCGATAACTGTCTAGTTCTGTTCTTCAAGACTTACTGTGAGTCTTGAATGGGCCATTTACAGAGGGACATCAGATATACGATTTGTGAGAAGGGGAACTTGTGCTTTGGCCTATCTAGAGCTTAAAAGGGCCAGGTATCATACAAGCTATCTGACAAACGAAAAGAATACTGAAAAGCGTACCGCTATGCAAAAAGAGAGTTTTGCTTTTCGCTCACCCGGGGAGCTTGACCTTGTGACAAAAGAAAGGAAGAATTTATCATAACATCATTTTTGTGTGTCCAAACCACAGAATTTACCTCGCCGAAGAAGTGAAGAGCAACTACCTCGCCCAGATTGTCGCCAGCCAACTGGGCGTACGCGAGATTCTTAGACCGCGAGCAGCATACTCGGCAAACTCTACACCATCAACAAAGGCAGCTACATCATCTGCACCGAACGGCTTCTCCAAGGCAGCGAGCCAAGATTCAACGTCCTTTATCTCGCGGTCCGAAGAGGAACGGTGATGGTGAGCGGCGTGCGCTGCAACTGCTGCACCAGCCAATGCTTCACTCTCTCGCCGTTGATCACCAGTAAAGGCATGAATACCTTGAAGAGGCTCTCGAGAGTTGCCGTTTGAAGGTGTCCACGCTGGTGTGTGAGGATGGGAATGTGGTTGGGGCGATGCATCGGAATATGCGGCTCGGAAGCTAGAACTCGGATGACTGCCGCCAGGTGTCGACGCGGCCGAAGTTGGAGGAAAGGCGTTGTAGAATCGGAAGTGTGGATTACTGCTGTTATTTGGAGCAGGCGCTGATTGTGTAAGGCTTCTGCCAGTAGCCACGGCCGACGCTGCTGCCGCGGCACTGTTGATAGCGTTCCAGCGCTCTTCTTGCTGTGCGTGAGCTTGTGCTTGTTCGGCAGGGGTTGAGAGGGGTTGTTTGGGTGGTGTAGTGCCAAGGCGAGGGCTGCTTATATCTGATCGAGGAGGGGCGGGCGCGCCGTTGTGCGCATCAGAAATGGCAAGAGCATCTGACATGTCGACATCAGAGTCGCCAGAGTGATCCGAGTCTCTCAAAGCTTTCTCAAGCAGCACTCGCGTACTTTCCGCATTCGGCGGATGTAGCTGTGCAGTAGCGATACTTTGATCGTGGAAGACTCCCGGTAGTCTTGCTGCCGAGTCTACCCAAGTCTTCCTCAAACGAGAGAAGTACTTGTGTGAGCGCTTGACAGTCTGGAACCAGCCACCAGCCATGTATAACCGATTCTTCATTGAGGCGAGAGTTTCAATGGCTTTACGAGCAGCGTCTGCACCAGAAGCCGTACCATCGTCCTTGGCTGTGCGGCGAAGGTAGCCTTGGGTGTCCATCCATGGGAAGTTGATAACATAGACACCGAGAAGCGCGACATTGTAGAGAGCGAAGCCAACCAGGGGAGTCTCAACTACGACGCCCCATTCTTGGAAAGAGCCGATGAGATCAACAATGTCCCGAGCGGCAGAGAAGCACTCGTGGGCACTGTCTTCCCAGAAACCTGGAGGCGATGGAACAGTATCGAATCGGGAGCCATCTAGAGGGCCAGAAGGCTTGCCATGGCGGAAAGGGATGAAGGGAAGGAACTCGCGGGTAAGAAGAAGTTGTGAAAGGAGGAAGGTAACATGGACCAGAGCGTAAGGAGTTGAGGAATGGAGGTTGATGTGCGCGGATGTGTTTTGAGCAGTCAGAGAGTGGTGTCTGGGCAGGCCAACTTTGAAGTCCTCAAGTGTCTTGCGCAGACCATACCATTCTGACTGAGCATTCCATGGCGGCAAAGCATCCCGTCTGGGCTTGTTAGTCTTGTGTCTTGTAGACTCGTGCTGGGTAAACTTACTTTCTACCTCCTCCACATGCCCAGCTCATCACTTTGCCGTGAATGTCCAGGACTTTGATATATCGGCTGATCAAGCCTTCATCAGGACCAACCTCCCAACGACCTTCAGGGTCCTGAGGTGAAGATCTGCCAGTGGCACTGTCATGAATCGAGGATCTCTTGTGAGCAGGATTCATCGGATCAGTTGCCAACGAGGCTCGACGTTGACTCTGAACTTCGGCTCGGGACGTGTCTTTCTCGCTCAGTAGCAGAGTACGGACCTTTTCGCCGAACAAGAAGGCGTGCTCGCCCGCTGGCAGCTGGATTCGCAAGTCTTTCGCGTTGAGACCTTGAGGTCTGAATTTGCCATTGCTGAAGTAGCGATCCAGAATGAAGCAAGCCCAGAGAGTACGGCGGCGGATTTCTTGCTTGACAAATGCTTCGTTTTGACAGATGGCGCTGTCGGGTGAAGCGTTACCAGACTCGACCAAACTTTGCTGATCGTTTGCTCTCGACGGCAAGGAGCGCGAGAGAGGTTGGTCATCGAGCTCTTCCTCGTAGTGCAAACCCATTGCTTGTGCAGAACGAATAACAATGCCGAGGTGAGCCCATGCTTTTGGACCTCGGTTCATGCCCCACTCATGCAGAGCAAGCATCAGCATGGCTTGGATGGTGCAAACATCGTGAAGTCCCAATCTGTCGGTGGTGACAGCATTGAGTAGAGCAGAGGCAGCAGCGGCATAGAACTCTGCAGCTACAAGGGGATCGTTCGGACGGTTAGTATTTCGTGGTGAGTGATGGGCGACGAGTACCGGATGGAAGCGGGAAGTCAAAGCTAAGAAGGCCAGCAAGAACTCTGTGGGTGCCGGAGGTTGTACTGGCGGAGCAGGAACATTGGTGTAGGGACGGTATTGCGGTGCCTGCGCTTGGGAGCTGGCCTGACGGAGAGGTTTGAGGAAGGTTGGAGGGTGGATAAAGGGAAGGTCGGCCGAGAAGTGCAACTGGAATATATCGAACTGCATTTTATGTTAGCTGAGAACACGAGAGATAGGTTACAGCAGTCATCTCACCAATTCTTTCCAAATAGCTGGCGTCAAAAGGTTTGGATCTAGAGCATCCGTTGGTACGACGGTAGGTTCGATAAAAGCGGGCATGGGCTGGCCTGGCAAGCCGGCGTTGCTTTTACGCTGCTGTCGTTGTTTCCGGATCTGGAACAGAGTTAGTATTGATCATGTGGCCGACGTGAGACAGCAATGCTCACCTCCTCAGTCATAGGATCGATCTTGGGAGCAGGTCCGGTCAGACTGTTCTCCCTCTTGCGACCACCCGTGACGGGTACTGGATATGTGCATTCCCGGTTGCCGGCCTCGCAGGACCGACATGGCGTACCAATGCCGCTGTTGACACATTTGACCTTTGACCGGCGGCAGCGAGCACATGCGATCGAGGACCGCATACGTGCCTGAGCAAGCCGTGTTTGTTGAGCGTTGCCGGCCTGTTGCCGGGCTGCTTGATCCAATACCGGAGCTGCCGCCGCTGCGGGCTGTGTGAAGCCTTGCGCAGTAGGAATAGGACGAGATGGAGTCATTATCGAGGGGATATCGGGACGAGGGCTCTTGTGAGGCCGGCCATCGTAGTCGTCGTTGCCGTCGGGAGAGACGGAGAAGCGGCGCTTTGGCGATGGTGCCGAGGGCCCCGAGAGCAAGTTGGAAAGTGCGACCGAGGAAGTAATGATTGCGGTATTGCGTGAAACGCGTCACGACTCTGATACGACAGGCCTAGAGGCACTGAGATTCTGCTGGTCGCAGGAACGGATCAAGGGAATATCTCTCGACTTGTCGGCTACCAGCTCGGCGATAGAGCTCAGATCAGCCGAGGGAAAGCGAAGATAGCGAACTTTGCGGAGTAGCTGTTATCGAAAACGCGCTAGCGAGAGACGGCAAGAGCAACGGCAATGGCAAGAACTTGAAAGTAGCAATCACTCGTGTGGGAAACGACTGTCGGTCGGGAAGGAGGAGCGAGGGAAAGGGAAGGAGAAAGAGGAGCCGGGTCCTTGGTCCTCTTGAGCCGTGGCCATGGCCAAACATGCTACTCCGACTACAGCCTGCTTCCATATCAGCTTCGATTAAGCCGACACGGTCCGACTACTCCACATGCTACAGACCCGAATGCCGCCCGAGCTGTTGATCTACCCATCTCTCTGACATGTGATCTTACCCGCACGCTCTTTTCCGTATCCCGTAGCACCGCCGCTAGGTTCATAACACTTCTCGTCGCCCTCAATGACTCCCGATGCTTTTTACCGTCTGTTTTCCAACATGCACCACCACGGAGTAGGGCTCATTTCTCCTGATGTCGTTCTCACACGCTATTCCCCTACTCTGCCTTAGCCGCATTCCTTGCTCCGGTTGGTCTGCTTAACCGCAACCGCCAGACCGTCTCCCGCCAACTCGGCTCCATCGTGCCTCTGACTCGGCAATTCATACTTGGTGCACTTCCCGTCCACTCAGCTTCCTCACATTTTACCCAGACCAATTCTTTGGAGAGCTTTCGTGTCACTCCATCTGCCGGAATGTCGTACAAAAACCTGCCGAACCCCGCGCTTCATTGGGCAACTGTCCCTTCGCGCGGCTACTCTTCCGTCGACGACTGCCCCGGATTAGTAGAGGTCCAGATTCCATGTCACCCTTCCGCATATGCAAAGCAGATCGACCGATCAATCACCCTGTCATGGACATGTAACACTCATAGCCAAAACATGGCGTGGTCTTGAAGCCAGGATCTTGGCTGTGCCGTCAAGTCAAGCAAGGGCATTGCAATTTTTGAGCGATATTATGGAGTTCTTGCACATTGCGATGTTGTACTTGAGTAATGTCTGACGTAGCAGCGAACGACTTGAGTCAAGCTCAGACTCCCTTCTGGTCAAGAAACCGCAATGCGGCTTCTCAGAAATACAATAGTTACTGAGAGCGACGTGCATGTCAGCAGTAGCAGCGCAACCAGACGTCTGTCAACACGAATGACCTGATGCAGCCCAGTAATTCAGAAATCAATTTTTACCCTGGAGGACACAACAACCAGGTGTGACACAAGCAACGGCTTGAGCTCTGAATACATCTCGTTGCGCATCTAAACCAGGTTATGGCACACCGATACCAGAGCCATGGGTCAGATCACACTATCTCATTTCGCGACTCAGCGATGTGACGTACTTCTAGCTATGTTGTGTCAAGCCATGCATTGTTCTTCCTGTCTCAATCTATCCCTTGCTGTCATCTACCGATCCTCTGCTGCTCGAGCACGTCTGTCATGTAGGCTGATACATCGATCCCTCGTAGATCTCGTGCTCTTGCTCTGTCTCTTCTCTGCTCTCTGTCGCATTGGCACGAGCATCGCAGGGGGAGCTTCTTGGTGTAAAGCTGCCGTTGCCCGAGCTGTCACCTCCAGCCTCTTCGTGGATTCCGTCAGCTTTAGCATCGTAGTTGCGGAAGCTGAAGATGCCGTCGTAGGCGTTCTGAGGTTCCTTGTGGGTCACGCCATGGACCACGTCAGGTTCGCGACTTGTGGCAGAGCTTGAGGATGTTCCACTGGCAGCATTCTCGGTAATATGATCGGCCTTAAGCTGTGACTGCTGTGACTGTTGCGGCTGTCTAACGCTGTCTTGAAGCTGAATTGGAGGCAAGGTGTGGTTGTGATATGTGTTGCGACCCTGGGCCTGTGGAATGTTTGGGCGTAGCGTAGGAGCTCCAGATGTAATGCTCTCCGCGTTGGCAGTACCAGGCGCAGGAAGTTGCCTCGGTGCAGAGTGTTGTTCAGACGCAGGTTGACGAGGCACGGAGCTAGAAGGGCGAGGTGGGCCGCGGTAGGTTGTGGCAAGGTGACGGCGAATATCCTCAGCGGTGTTCCTGCCCGCGAAGAGCCGCAGGGTGTCCATGACAGCACCCATCTTGATGTGGTAGATTTCATCGGCCAAGGCAGCATTGTGCATGATCCACTGAGTGTTGTCGGCAGTGAGATCGTGCGAGATGTAAGCGCTCATATTGGTCGTAAACAGAGAGCTGGGACTTGGAGCAAGAGCACAATACTCTTGTAGATGGCCGAGTTGTTGGCAACCTCCGCACCTAGCTGCTTCCTCTTGACAAGGGCTTGGCAGATGCTACGTTTAGGGTCAGCCTTTTGTCTGATGCTGGTGCCAAGGTGTTTGGAAAGCACATACCCACTTCTGGCAGTTGTGACACAGGGCGTAGTACTTTGCGACTGTCAGTGACTTTTCCAATGGCACCACGAACGTGAGGGCTTGGTATATTACCTTGTACTCGGGCTGCAACCTGTGCGCTCCCAGGTGACAGAAGTTCCAGGTATGGCCAAGGGCGCCACAGTTCAAGCATTCTTGGAGAGGATGCTGGCAGATACGAGGTAGATGAACTTTATGTACGGATTAGCGACGTAAGAGGCAGATTGTAAGAGAGTGGCATACTCTGATGGCAGTTGTAACAGAGGTCTGACATTTCGGCTGTGCTTCTGTAAGTCAATTCACGCTAAGGGTAATGAATTGCGCGATGATAATGACCCGAGCGTCGTTGAAGTTGAACGGTGGCGGGACGACTGAAATGTCTGGCGAACTTAGGATATTAGACGCCGAAGGTAGGAAGTTGCTGCTCGCTCTTTCCCAGCACTCTCCAGGCAACAGTGCACTTTTCGCACCACTTCCCACTCGCAAGTGAGCCGAAGCCTTCGATTCATACCATATCTATCGCTTGTGCTTCTTCCAATTTCCACCCTTTCCACCTTTTCTTGCGGCTGGTGGCTTACGGTCGAACAGCTTCTCTCTGCTAAATCCAGCGTCTGCGAGTCTCAAGTAGCTGGTGACACCCTGGTCCACAACAGCCAGGATGACGCTCTTGTATCCACTACGCAGCTTCTGGTACAATTGCGCGTCTTGTCGAGGCGGCTGGTATGGTTGTGTGTCTATCAAAGCACCCAATTGAGCAACTGTTGGGAACGACGTCTCTCGAGCATTGATGACTGCGATACGGAAGTCGGGTGTACCGGGGTCGCTCTTCTTGTAGGTCGTGGAGCCAGGCTTCCAAAGATGGTAGGTAATCCTGAAGGCAGGATCTGTCGTCGCCGCAGAACCTTGCGCTCTGGTTGACGGATCGTAGCTGGGGACGATTGCCAAACGACGATATATTTGAGCTGAACACGTTAGTAGGGCATAACAAACACTCCTTTCATCACTTACCATAGTTGCGATATAGTCCAGGTGTTACCAATGGGCCAGTCTTTTGCTCGATCTCGGTGGCAGAACGGGGAATGAACAGGCCTCGCCACTTGTCTCTCAGCAAACCCACCGTCCAGGATGTGCCTTGCGTGGGCGGATAGCAGTTGGCTGAAGGCTCCTCGCCTGGACTATCCCAGCTTGGCGCTCTGTGGACTGTATAACCTGACCTCTTCAGGCCAGAATACACAGAGTATCTCTCGAAGGTCAAGGCGCCTCCAGCAGTACCTTCCATTCCTAAGAAAGCAGCGTATGCGCCTTGAAGACTCATCGGCAGTCCCTCACCACCTTCATCATCTTCGTCAACAGGCCACCTGACGTCGATCGTACCTCGCTCGAGAAGGTATATCACTTCTTCCGGAAGTAGCCAAATTCTGTTCTCGCCAGCTGTACGAGGACCTAGCGGATCTTCCTTGCCAGGGAAGACCTTGCCCATAGTCTTGAACAATGGTCCTTTGGGATCCTCTGTATAGACCATATTACTTTCCGGATGGTAGTGCGCAAGGACATATTTCTTTGATTGATGAACGCGCTGGAACGACAGAGCAGTATGCATAGCATCTCTCGATGCGGCCAGAGAGTCCGATTGTTTGTTAGTGTGATGAGGCTCGAAATCCTTTTCGCCTCTCTTTGGAATCTTTGCATCATCGCTACTGATCATATGGTCAGCAAAGTAGTTGGCTCGAAACTCTGGTAAGGCAGACATACGAGAAGTTCAAGAGGAAGCGGAAATCTTGTGTCTCATCCGAGAGGTCAATGTCTCCAACGTCTGGACCACGCGGGATAACATCCTCGTCTGCATCCGCCATAGTGACTCGCAATTACTCAGGGGGGAGGGATAGTCTCTTTTGTGAGTTAAAGTGAATGGAAGTGGTAAGAAGAGGCTGAGTGTACAACTCGCGTGCAGCACTCTACAATTCTTCTTGGGAAGTGGTGCTATATGGAACAGTCGCGTTTGAGCTTTGCGTTGATGAAATCTGCCACAAGTCTCCCAAAACGTCACTGACTTTGTGCTCTTGTTCGCGGACAAGGACCATCTGACGCGAAAACGCAGTTCAGTCAGAAAATCAGGACGACGCGTTACACTTTTCGGCGCCATCCGAGCGGCTAAATTAGCCCTACCCGCCGGAAGCTCTCTCCACTTCACTAGACCACAACACCGACCACGAGCTTTACCCACCGGCGCGACCTCTTCCTTTGTCCGGTATCCTCTCCGGCATCACAAACATGGCTCGAATCAATCAGCCTGCCGGTCAAGGCAAAACCGCCACCGGTTTAGGTGGGAAGGGCCTTGGCAAATCCACTGCAAAGCGCCATCGGTACGTATCCTTTCGGATCGCTGGATGAGCGACCCTGCTGACCGCTATTAAAGTAAGATCTTACGCGACAACATCCAGGGCATTACAAAGGGTTCCATCAGGTAGCGTTGCCAGATCTCTAACACTCCCTATCCGTTCTCACTGGCTGTCTTAGACGCATGGCTCGTCGCGGTGGTGTCAAGCGTATCTCCGGCTCGATCTACGATGAAGTCCGTATTGCGCTTCAAGAAAGACTGCGCACGGTAGGTATTTATGTCTATATCCTCATTGTACTCTCTCTGACAACCTTCGCAGCTTCTCCAAGACATCTGCGCTGTTCTTGGTATGTACAACTGCTTCTCATCCGGCATGATTGACCACTTACCGGCCTATAGAGTGCACTAAACGCAAGACGGTCACCGTCCCTGACGTAGTCTTTATTCTTAACCGTCATGGTATCCCCATCTACGTAAGTATACAAGAATTACAGCCATGTCTGTCACATCTAACGATCGACAGGGTTTTGATGCTCCATTCCGCACTCGCAACTAAATCTGCACATTCTCGCTCAGATAATGAGCTGTCACGATTACGAAGAAATTAATGATGCCCAGCATGAGGGAGGCGTTTGGTGATGAGTGTCTCGGAATTCGTGTGTTTTCAGGGCACGGCATGAACGCAAGGAAATGGCGTTTTGTTATACAGAATTTGTACGCAGGAGTCTTCGATATTGCATCTCTCCCCTTGACTTAGAGGCAGCACAAAATGATTGGTGTCGTGAAATGATGTCGTGCAGTGCTTGCATCATGGTGCTGAAGCGCCGTTTGTTTGATGCGGAGATCTGTTGATCATCTTCAGGCTGGCCGTGGGGAAGGCTGTCCTTGAAATCTTCCTTCCCGTACCACTCCTTGCAATAACCGGGTAGTGGCTGTCATGATGCACAAACAGGGCCTATCAAGCTACATCAGGCTGCTGTGTGTGAGCACATTGTGCATAGGAGTGATCGGTGAAACGCCTTCGCGCGCTGCCAAACGTTTCATGTTTTAGGTGCATGTCGACCAACACCGCAGATGCTTGGTTGCAGAAACTCGCACAGAGGCAAGTGGTAGAGCGACTCTTGTCTTTCATTCATGTCCGCGTCTCGTGTTCTCCCTTGAAATAGTTGGACCAATCCTTTCGCGCTTTCCCTCCCGAAGCACCTTCTTCAGCTTTCCGTCAATCACACTCCTTTGTACAAACGCATCAAGCATTTAATTGCTGCCATCACGCTCCTTTACCCTCTCTTCTTTTCTCCAGATCCAATTCACACTCTTTTGAGAACTTTTCGTATTCTCTTTGCCGCCTTTACAGTCCCTTTCTTTACGCACCATGAAATTCTCTCATGTCGCACCTGTGCTCGCCTTGATGGCTGCACAGAGCGTCAACGCCCACACTCTGTTTGCTGAACTCTATGTCAACGGCAAGGCTCAGGTGAATCTCAACAGATCGCTACTCATTGATCAATGCTAATCATGCACAGGGCGATGGCACTTGTATTCGCATGCCCTCTGACCCCAACACCGCCACAAACCCCATCAAAGGCCTAGGCAGCAGCGATATGGCTTGCGGTGTTGATGGTACCAAGGGCGTTGCTCGCGTCTGCTCAGTCGACAGCGGCTCCACTCTCAGCTTCGAGTTCCGTGACTGGCCTGACAACCCCTCGGTCGGCAGCATCGACATCTCCCACAAGGGACCCTGCGCTGTCTATCTCAAGAAGGTCTCTTCTGCCATCGATGACGAGGGCACTGGTAACGGCTGGTTCAAGATCTGGGACGAGGGTTACGACGAATCTGCTGGCAAGTGGTGCACCGAGAAGCTGATTGACAACAACGGTCACTTCAGCGTCAAGGTGCCCGAGCAACTCCAGGGTGGAAACTACCTCGTCCGTCCAGAGGTTCTGGCGCTCCACCAAGCCGACAAGGGTGATCCTCAATTCTATGCTGGATGTGCCCAGGTCTGGCTAAACTCTGCCGGGACTCAGCTTCCTCGGGACACTGTCTCCATCCCTGGCTACGTCGACTACAACCAACCTGCCACCAGCTTCAACGTCTACGGCAAGATGGCTCTTCCTTACCCTATGCCTGGTCCTGCCGTTTGGACTCCTTCATCTTCCGCCAGTGTTAGAAACCAAAAGTTGAGAGTCACTCAACAGAAGCAGACTGAAGGTCTCGCCCCCAGCGACTGCATCATCACGAACGCCAACTGGGCCGGTATCGAGCTCGAGAAGTACAGTGATGAGGAAGGCTGCTGGAACGCCAGTACTGCGTGCTGGGCTCAGGCCAAGGAATGCTACGACACCGCACCTCCTACTGGCAACACAGGCTGTAAGATCTGGGAAGGCAAGTGCCAGGACATCAACGACCAATGTAGCGCTGGAAACTTCAACGGCCCTCCCAACTACATGAAGAACTTGAACCCGGCCGTCAAGCAGGTCAACCTTCCTGCTGCAGAGGCCGCTCAGGAGGGTGACGGCTCTTACTCGCCCGGTACCGCCAGCAACAAAGTCGCCACTACCCTCAAGACCGCTGCTATCATCCCGAAGGCCACCGCCGTCGTCGCTCCGTCGAATGGGAACTCACTAACAGTCTCTACCGAAGGTGACTGCGGTAATGGTGTCACATGCAAGGGCTCGAGCTTCGGTGATTGCTGTTCCAGCCATGGTTGGTGTGGCTCCAGTGACGAGTACTGCAGTGCCGGCTGCAACAGTGCTTTCGGCACTTGCGGCAGTCAGCAAAAGAGAGCTGAGCACAACCACATGCACAACCACAGACACAAGCGCACTACCAGATGAAGGCCATGATGATCGACGAACACAAAACATCTGAGGGGAGCATGGACGGGGAGTTGACTTTTCTGATTCATGGTTCAGGGGCATGGAGGATGGTGTTGCAATGGATGCTGGGCGTCCGTTTCCTCATTCGGCTTTTTCTTCTTCTTTTTCCACTTCTTCTACTTCTTCACTTCTTGCAGGGATGATGTCTCATCATACTGTTTCTCTTTCTTGCCATGCAGGAAAGTCTAGCTTCGAGCAACTTTTCAAAATAAGACACGTTTGTTCTGTTACATCTGTCCGGTAACTTCGTGAACACGTTCAAGAACAGGACAGAAGCCATGTGGACTCCGCTGACTTTCGTGGGTTCACACATTGACATAGTAGGTCGAGTGTGAGATAAGAGAAGAGTAGGTGATTGAAGAGGTAATAGCAATAGGGTATCATGTTTTGCAAAAAGAACGCCAGGTCTTCCCCACCACATCTCCCTAAACGACAGCAAATGATTTCCACCTTGACAGCAAAACGCCCTCGCCTCAGTTTGAAGCATAGTTGAAAGCAAACCCCGCAGACCATCAACACAATCACCTATCAGGATCCCCACTCCCCTTCCTCTGCCTCCAACGATCCCTGACCCCCTCGGCCCGTCTCGAACAACCCCTCCTAACCCCCAAATCCCTAACATGCAACACCAAAAGCGCCAACGCCAAACAAGTCCACACATCATAGCCCAAGACATTAAAGTCAAAGACACCCACCGTGCGTAAATAGCCAATGGAATCGCTTTCCTCGCCAGGAGGCATGTAAGCCACTATACCCACCAGAGTATGCGAGACCAAGATGCCGTATAGAGGTGGTGGGGACTGTTGTTGTTGTTGGTCATGGGTAGAAGCAGAGGGGCGACGGGGTGCTGAGGGGGAGGTTGCCCAGGCGGTGTGGAGGGTGGAAAGACGGGATAGGAGGGAGTCTTGGAGGTCAGCTACATCTGTATCTTTTGTGCCGGCGTGGAGTTCTATAAAATTCCATTTTTCGTGTTGGTTGTTTGCGTCCCATTCGCTCCATTGGATGTACTTGACAATTTCCTTGACGATAAGGCTCTCTGGCAGTTTTCCCACAAGCAGCAAATCCCTGACTTTGGGACCTAATTGCATGAGCTCGTTGAAAGCTTTTTTGGCTCTAAACTCATGAGTTGCGACTTTTTGCTGCAGAGAATTGATGAAACCTGGATGGGCATGATGAGGAGGTAAAAACATGCCTTCTGGCATCATTGGGAAATCCATGCGCCAGGTGTGTGTGAATAGAGGTTCTCTTCCACGGTTGTGGATGTGTTGGACTAGAGGTACTGTGGGTTCTGGCCAGCCGCGCTGGAGTAGTTGGTCCTTGGACACACGCTCGTCTTCGAGGCTGCCGACGCGGGCGCGGGAGTCGAGGAGGATGGTGTCGCCTTCTTCTTGGGCTTCTTCGAAAAAGGAATTATAGAGTGAGTGGTCGGAGTGCGAGGGGATGAGAGAGGAGGCGTCGAGATGGTCGTTGTCCGTGTCGAGGGCATTGTTGTCACTGGCGTCCGTGTCGTTGGCAAAGACGATGAGGTCTTCGTCGTTTGGGCCGTATCGAGGAGTGTCTTGACGGGGGAGAACGGTGATCATGTCTTCGTCTTCCGAGTCTTCGGCGCTGTCGATGGTGATCTTTGGGATGCCACTAGGAATAGGACTTTCGAGGAGTGGCTTTGATGGTGCTCGAGGTCTGTCGGTGCGGATGGTGGGGTTGTACGTGTTGTAGTCGTAGATGATACTGCCATCTGCCTCGTCCTCGTAATCAAAAGACTGTCTGGTAGATCTCCCTGAATCGATGGTAGGATTGTAGACGTTGTAGTCGTAGTCGGCACCTTCCTCCTCATCCTCGTATCTACTGTCATAGTCGTCTCCCTCGGAGAATGGGCCGTCGAGTTCATATTGATTGGCATTCGCAACTCTAGCCATGTACTCCAGCTTCATGTCTTCAAGACAGACCTCTTCGGCTTCGTCTTCCGCATCTTTCACGTCGTACTTTGTCTTCTTGTTGTAGTCCTCGACCTCGGCGGCCCTCTTCCTCTTTGATCCAGTATTTGTGTCGGCGGGAGTGAGTGGCGCGTAACTATTGCCAGGGCGTTGAGGAGTGACGAACTTGGTCGGTGAAGGGACTGAAGAAGGTCGAGCGTCGCGTGTTGTGGTATGTCTTCTGCGCGCAGCCACTTGTTGTGGTGAGATGTAACCCCAAAACGCTGCCGAAAGTCGTTCGAAAAGTCGCGGTGCCATACTCAGAATATTCTGCAATTTTGCTCAGAGTCGTGTCTGTGGTATCAATCGAGTCTGCGCATACAATCGGCGTGGTTGTGTGTTTCAGGCAACCAGACTGGGTCGAATGATAGCAAGGCTTGTGTCAAGACGTGACGGGGACGAAATGAGTGACCAGAAGCCGCGCACGGAGGACACCGAAAAGTGAATAACCACTCAAGTCGACAATGCGTGTATTCATAATTGTCGCTGCCGATTGTCTGTCTTTGTACTCGGTCCTGCCTGTTTTCTGACCCTTGTCGATGCAATTTCCCCGCATGCGGTATAGACGCTCGGGCCGTAATTTGGAGTCCTTTCCGTTTTCAGGTCCTTATCTTATCGCTCAGCCACCTTGATGATTATGCTCCCTCCCCATATGCGAAATACTGTCACACTTGGAACTGCCTCAAAGCACAATAATTTCTCAACTTGCAACCATGCCGTTCGAATACATCGTGTTCAAGACTCCCTGCGCTAGTTTCACCGATACGAGATATGACTGTGCCTTTTCATAGCTCGTCGTTGCCTGCTTTGATCTCCTGGAAGAGAGGGTGTGACAGTATTTTGCATATGGGGAGGTTATGCTCGTCTGTTTCGACAACGACTTTTCATGTCAAATGCCATGCATGCCGACTAGAATCGTGTGTCTTTGAAGAGGAGAAAGTGGGTATCATTAGAAGCAATTAAAACATGATCGAAAAGTCGCGCAAAAAGAAACATTTCTCCTCCCTTCCATTCACGTCGTCAATTGTGTCTTCTTCTTTGTAGCTCTCATGCCCAAGATCGTTCCATCTCTGCCTAGACCTCTTCCACATTCCAACACGATCATGCGGACAAAGTCTTTGAGGAGCCAGTAACTACTATGCGCTCCAAGCATAGTCAGATACTGAATTTCAAGTGGTCCGCCGCCGTACTTGAGGAAGAAGTCGATTTGTCCATTGTCGTTTAGAAGAAGCATACGCTGCTCGGCAATTTCCTCGCGAGAGAAATTGTGCGTTTCCAATTCGACGTTGGAAGGCAGTCTAGGTAGCTGATCTGGGCGAGTCGCTGATACGCCCTCGGGTGACGTGTAGAACCATAATCCAGATGAGGAAAACCACCCTGAGTTGGCTGTAGGCACCCATGCTGGCTTGAGTGACGACGCATACGAGGCATCCACCGTAGCGTTAAGACGATATGACACTGGATCATACGGATTGATGATGTTGTATATGTTGTCCACAGGCAGGCAGCCATATGTGCCATGACTACCACACACTGGCTTCCTGATTGACGAAGGATTTGCGCCTGGCTTTTGCTTGCCCAGTCGTGGCGTCAAAGAAGCTCGCTTGAGGAGTAAGAAGAAGCCGGCTGGCGAGCCGCAAAGGAAGAGACCAGAAGTATTAAACAGGAAATGTTCGAGAGATGGCGATGAGGTCAGATCGACCGTCGTCGGGTCAGCCAACTCGGAAGGTATAGAGGTCGGCTGTGTTGACAGAATATCGACTGCCATAACACTTCCCAGGGAATGTGCGATGATGTGTACACGTCCGTACTGAGAGAAGCCAGGATTGTTCTCGCACCAAAGCTTGTAGATGCGATTCGCTTCACCGATGACAGCTGCAATCATCTTCGGCTGGTGATGCGACAGATAGTAAGGGACGTCGAGCATGACATCCGAGACAATGTTGCGTACGGAGGGTAAAGTCTCAGGTGTGATATCCTTGAGGCCAAAATCATTCAGAGCAGGATCATCCGGCACGTCTCGCTGTCCATCCTCAAAAGACAGACTTTGACGCCAATTGACCGGCAGGACCATGATGCCGCCCATGTCCTTTCTTAGCCGTGCTTTCACACTGTCCGTGCCCAGCTCGACACTGACCTCTCGCCTAAAGGCATTGATGGCATGCGTAAAGTGGAAGCTCTCCATACGTTCTGACAACTTCTGACCGATACCGTGGATCACCAAGATTAGCTCGGTGACCTTCGGGCGCTCAGCATGAGCGAGAGCAGGATCGAACTTCATGCGTCGATTCGGAGTTGCACCTGACTGTGAGGTTGACACACCCTCTTCGGCCTTCGCAGCAGTGGCCGTCTTCTTGGTCGGATAAAGGCGGTCATAGGCCGCTTGGTCGAAACCACGAACGACAGCAATACCAAGCTTACGACCTTTGCGTATGTAGTTCGCGAATGGACGACGACCATAGTATGCGGATGGTTGGAGATTGGGCTTCAAGATATAGGCATCAGCTGCGTTGGCGTAAACGACTCCAGCCGTAGGGTACCATCTCAGGAGACCACCACCTGAGGAGTAAGTTGATGTGCCCGAAGCTTTGTTATCAGGTCCATCAACACCTGCAGCAATGTCGATGATATCACAAGCGACTTCAACAGCATGTTCACGCTCCTTCTCAGCCGTGGCGGGCTCGTCATCAAAGTTCACAGAGGTGATACTACCCATTTCTGTTCTGGCAGTGTTTGGCCTGCTCTCAAGTGTTTTGTACAAATCGGGCCAAAGCTTGTGTAGGATCTTTGCTTCTCCCGCAGCGCCAACCTCAACAGCGCTGTTGAGTTCATCGCTCCAAGTTTCGGTCCAGGGTCGTAGCTCGGTGTAACCTGCCTCGAGCATGTTTGCAACAGGAGGCTCGACCGGAAGCATGGTGTCCTTGTAGAACCAAGTGGCTCGTACGACTGGAGAAACGTCATTGACTGGCCGCCAGTATATGGGCTCCAAGTTGAGATCTGGCATGGCCACATGATGCAGTCGTGATACGCCAACGGCTATCTTTGCAGAGGGCGCTTCTGGATCGGCGTGCGGCTTCGAAGCTTCCTCGTTTACATCTGGCGGGTCGTCCCACTTGTAACTATCTAGCAGTTGTGGCTGAGGTCTAGATGGAATTCGATCGGCTCGACGCGAGGAAGGGGCGCGAATGAAGGGAGTGCCAGTCGTATCATGCATTTCTGCCTCTGGTGGGATAGCTGGAGCCTCATGGATGACTGTTGGTCTGGCGCTCCTCGTCGAAGCATCGCTCTTGGACGGCGGCCGGTGCCCAGAGGGGGAACTACTCAGCACACTCAGACTCGCCTGCTTTCCCTTCTCTTGTCTGGTGATAGGCTCGGGTTCTGCCTGTGGCTTTTGCTTCTCGCCTCGCTCTTCGTTGTATCGGAGCAGCTTCCGTCGGAGGTCGTGCCATGACTTGTCAAGGGCAGTGTTGTCGAATTCGGAGAAGGGCCGTGGAGGTAGTTTCGCATACGTCGTCTGGGCAGTCTGGGCTGAAGGCGGTAGAGGGGACAGCGGATCGTCTATTGCTAGCGGTGAGGTGTAGAAAAAGCGGGCTTTCACTGGAGGTGGTGCCTCGCTATGGTGCAGTATCTGGCGGATATACTGATTTGTCGTCGAAGAAGCCATCATGTCGCCTTGCACGCTTCATCTTCAGCCAGACGACATGGCGACTCTTTCCAGCGCTGTTTTTGTCATTCTGTCCGCCTGAGCATGACCCACCAAGAACTGACAAGAAACGTCATTGCCCCAAGCGTCGCATGTGAAAGCCTCCGCAAACATCACTTAGAACATGCCTTCCCGATCAAGTTACATGCAAACTTGGCATCGCAAATATTTGATTCTGACTCTGATTATTCATTGCTTGCGTGCACCCATATTTCCTTCTTTCAATTCATGGAATAGAACAATTCAGCACTTGAAAAGTCCTTTTGATGCGACCCACCAGATGCGACAACCCAAACTCCTTGTTCATGTTCCCACCCGCTCGCCTGACGCTTAAACAACAGGAATCAAATGCAGAGAACCGTCCATGCTGTTGCTCGAATCCCGATCTTGCCGACCGCGCCGTCGTCATGCTGTACTTCTGTCGCCGTCCTTCTCTTCTTTCTCCACTTCTTTGTCGAACATTCATTTCAACTTCCTGCTCAGGTTAGATTCTTGTTGTTGCTCGGAAGTGAAATAAACTCAATGCTGCCACCCTCTTTGTTCCGTAGTGTATGTTTGCCCTTCGTTGAATGTTTGTGTAAGGGCAGTGACATGTATGGAAAGAGCAGCCCGCGGTCCTCACGGCGGTTTACTGCGTAATATGTGTTGTATAGTGTGAGTTGTGTAGAGGTGTGGTGAGGGACCGCAGGCTGTGAGGGCAGTAGCGTGTTCGATCTTATGTTGTTTTGCTGTCATGCAAAGGGGTCGTCTCTTCGACCAGCGACCATGCCGGCCTCTGGCTGAAGTCGAGAGAAGACCTCAGAGCTCAAAGTGTTGGCTAAAACCTCCCAGCTTGAGCATAGAAACCATTGCGCGTCTAGCGTGGGGGATTTGCTCTGGTCCAAATTCCTCTGCCGGGTTACTGAGCTCAAGTGCAGAGGTCAAACCATTGAGGCAAGTGAATACGCCACAGTCCGAGCCGTTGTTCTGGATGGCGCTGCGACGGTCGACTGGGTTCCATTCAGCCTCGACGTATTTGTCGCCTAGCTCCATCTTGAGCCATTCGCGACCCAATTTGATGTACTTGGCGCTCTTGCGATTCACTGAGTGTCCACCGTCCAGGCTGTCCAAGTACTCGATCGTGTGAATGTCTGGGCAAATGACAAGCAGAGACCAGTGATTGCCCGGGTTGACTGGGAAGAATATGCGCTTACACTGCAAGAGCTTGTCGCCTTTGATGCCCTTGCGGCGCGACCATCTCTCGATAGCGGTAACACCCTTTTGTACAACAGAGCCATACCAGCCAGTGGCATAGGATGTGTAAGGGGGTACCTTGCCTTTGGTGTGACCGGCTTTGTCATTCATGCCATTGCACAACGCGGTGAAGAAGGCATTGACAATGTTGTCGTTGAGCCATCCTTCGGGCTCGCCGGTGCGATAGTTAGGGGAATCCAGGAGAGTGGCAAAGTCTCCGCGACTCAGGTCGTTGCCTTCTTGAGATTTGACAATTGCTTGGCGGGGATTGGTCTTGTTGAGAATGTCTGTGACACTTTGGTCCAGATCAGGAGGTAATTGGGAAAGAAAGGCGGCGAGTCTTGCTTTCGAGGCTGCCTCTGGGTCCTCTTCGGTGAGTGTGATTTGGCTGATTTCTTCGGCAAAAGCAGCTGCTTCCTCTTCGGATGTGGTAATGCTCTTCTTCCAATCGACCAAAGAAAGCGAAATATGAATGTTGGAAATTCGGGCAGATTTGAACTCTCCTTTGGCGTAAGATTCTGCTTGAATGCTACGACTGGCCCAGTAATGCTTCTCAGCAGCATTCGACGCCTTTGCTTGGTTAGTTGCAAAAGTGCGCGCTTCTTGTGCCCAGTGATTTGATGGGAGATCTTCAGGCTTTGGCCAGGGTGACTTCCAGTGTTCAACTGCGGTCTGGAGACGGAGCTTTTCGATTTGCAAGCCATCCGGAGAGCTGGCAAGAAGGTGGTCGGTATATATGTCATCATCATCGGCTTCTTCTGATTCATGTTCATCGGTGAGCTCTTCGTCTGGGGCTTCGTCGATGTGCGAGCGGTGCTTTTCGACCTTTTGACGCGCCTTGCTGAGTTCCTTGGCCTTTTTGATATCTTCGTCGCGTTGTTTTCTGATCCTGTCCTGCGCGGTATTGAATGTTTCAGGGTCATCAATTTCCATGCGCCCGTCATATTCATCGCATAACATGCGCAGGACTTCGAAGTCATCTTCTCCTGGACCTTCGGTCGCGTGGATCGCCATCATGTGTTGTAATTCTTCCTCGGTATATTCGAGGGTCGGTAGGATGGGAGTTATGACTGCGCGTGAGTTGACGATTGACGCGCCGGATGCAGCAACTTGTGGTTGGTGCGGGATTGTGGGGTTTGCGGCGTTTGCGGCTGCGCGCGTCTCTGTCGACTTTGTTTCATGGGCGCTGACGATTGTGCTGTACTCGTCTTCGACCTTCACTTTCTCTGGCTTCACTTGCGATTCATAAAAGTTTTTGCTGTTGCTGGCGTAGTTTTCGAGTTCGGATAAGAGCTGCTGCGACGGTTCGTCGATGATTCCGGATTGTAGGGATGCAGGAGACATTGTAGGTAATTGCTCTGCTGATGGTGAGAGCTCAAACATTGGCGGAATTGTCGCGTTGATATCATGAGACTCGGAGACTGGAGACGGAGTGCTCTGAAGCTTGATGGCTTGCACAATCTCAGCACTGGACTCTCTGATCGGCGAGAGACGGCCCTTGGTGCTGGTAGTGGCGGTACCCACGGCTGCGACAAGGCCGGGTCCGCTGGCTGAGGTACTGGTATATCCAGGCTCCCTCGCTAATTGCTGCTGGGCTTCGGAACGATGTCGAATTGTTGCGGCAGCTTGAGCGAAACCACCGAACTTGCTTCGGAGCAGTTGGGGGCTGTCGACCTCGCTCTCACTACCGCTGCTGTCGGCACGAGCAAGCTTGTAACGAGTTACGGGACTCGGAGAGCGACTTTCAGAGACCAGTCGGGGGTCCAGAGATGACCAGACAACAGGCCTGTTGGGTGCTTCTTGCCCGAGTCGGTCTCGATTGATGCCACCGCAGGCATTCTCGACTCCTGACCCTCCTGGAAGGAACTGGCGGGAGGCAGGGTCATGGCAGGCACCCCGAACGATGCCACTTGTTCAGGGGTGTTGTCGGCATGCTGGCCGAGGTCTTCGTCACTCTCGTAGTCGGGCAGCTCCTCCAACTCCTCCAACTCCACGTAGCCGGCACTCTGACCTGCGCCAGAGCCCGCGTTGAACTCACCGAGTAGCCCGCTTTGCGAAAGAGAACGGGATCTACTTGCTGCAACCCCCTGTCTTCTGCTGCGAGAAGACCTTAGCCAGTCAGCCCTGCGAAGGGCAGCTGCGTGGTCACCGTCGAGGTCATTGACCGAAGTCATGCGCCTCTTGGGCGAAGGGGGCTGAGCGTCGGCATCCTGGTCCGACGGGTCGCGAGACCGCTTGCCGCGGGTCGGCGAGGTTGCTGAGATAGATGGCCTTTGGGTGAGGGGAGGCGACCCCGAGGCGATGGTGCTGGTGTTACTGCCAGGCCCGGACGAACGGGGCTTCTTGACGGGTCGTTCGGTGAACTCCCACGTCTCGCCAGACTCGGCGACAAAGGACTCGAGCTTGCGCTTCTCGCGCGGAGGTGATTTGCTGTTGCTGCTGCCGCGAGGCGAGACAGCGCGCGAAGGAGAGGCGGCAGAGTGCTCCATCGTGCAACGCTTTCGCTTATTGAAGGCTACGGCGTGCGTGTTGGAGACACTGGAAGGAGGGGCGCAGGGCAGGGTAAGCAGTTGGTGGTGCTTGGTGGTGGTCGTCGAGAAATAAAAATTCTGACTGTTTGCGGTGCGCTGAGGGAAAGAAAGGTTGAAGGAAGAAGAAACGAGATTTGATATCGAGTGACCGCGGGCTCTCGTCTGTCGATGTGCTTCACTCGACTCACTTGTTTGCCACGTTCACTCGAGCTTGTTACTATAGCGATGCACATTGATTCAAACTTCCGAGCAGGCTACCACCGAGTCGTGATGCGACTTCACCAACCACTCTTTCTATCTTAGGTTGACCCCATGTGCTGATGGGTACTCACACTCTCTCGCTACGACGTTGGCACACACTAGCTGTAGATTTGCAGAACAATGAAAGTCCGAACAAACGCAGGCTTGGAGAGACATTGTTTGCTCTTTGGAGGGAAGCCACTTAGCTTGAGATAGACGATTACGAGCTTTAGGCTGTGCATTTGCACAAACACAAGCCTCCAGCAACACGATGATCGAGATACGAAACAAGAATGACAGTGTTGATGGGCTCGATGGTGAGAAAGATTGGAGTGAAAGGGAGATGGGTGTTGAGTGAATTGAACTTGCGTGGCCACCAGAACCCGTCAGGCTTCTAAGTCGACGAGATTGTTGTATCTGACCCGTTCGGTCTTCTCTATGATGCAACTGTGTATGTAATCGTCCGTCGAATGGCACAAGGTGGCCCTCAGCATATGAGAAAGGAGAATTGGTGAAGAGACTTGGGCGCGAGGATTGGCGGGAAAGGCGGTGGAGCTCGTGGATGCGCAGAGCACACCAAATTAACCTGTTTGACAAGCCGCAAGCGCATAGCGATAATTGACTTCATCTCCCTGCTACTACCTACTACCTACTCGAACCTCCGTCTCGCATTCTGGCTCCAGCTCAGCGTGTGAAGAGTATTAATTTGGCCGGCGGCTTGTCGATCCTGTCAGCACAAAGCGAAGCAGCTGACGTCTCCAACAAGTCGCTCGCCGTTCGCTCCTCAGGCGACATCTTCAACCACCCAACTTCGACTCCAATGCAGCCCCAAAATTCACGCTAACCAGAGTCAATTCGCTATTACGACCTTGATCCGACCTCAATTCTTTTGACGGCCCGCGAGGCAATTTCTCCCTCAAGTCACCCTCGTCGCTTCTCCCAGCCGCTGCCCCTCACTTCCGCAACAACATGGCCGTCGAAGGCGCGCGCTACACGTTAGGGCAATTGAAAGCTCTTCGTGAGTCGCCCTTGGTGCGCAAACCAGACGAACTGCCCTCGATCGATGAGTGGATAGAGTAAGCCCCTCCTCTGACCGCCTCCCCTCAAGAACCAATGCTCAACCAAGAAAAGAGGTACTCAACAATCGCAACAAGAGAATGCCGGTCGCAAGCCGCGCAACCAGTCCCAGAGACCCGAAGAACCTGCGCCCATGGGCAATTTCTCTTCGCAAAGACCATCATTATTACAGACCAGACATACCTCGCGTTCTGCTCAGCAGCCCGGTACGTCGCGAGCTCTGCGGTGCCCTGACGATAGCTTACACCCAGCAGACGAAATCATACTCGGCCCTCCAAAGACGTCATTCGCATCATCTCGCAATGTGAACAAGCTCGAAGAGCGTGAGCAGGAACAGCAGGATCCCACCACAGCCAACCAACGATCCCGCTTCTTCCGTGAAAGGGAAACCACAAAGACCGGCAACAACAGAGACTGGCGCTCATCCAAACAACAGCAAGAAGACGACGATGCATTCACTTCCGAGCCTCGATTCACACCCCGCCAACCACGCGAAGGCAACGGTAATGGCTTTGGTCAGCGCTTCGACCAACGCTGGGCTCGCGACAACAACGACCGCGATCGTGAGAGAGACCGCGAACCTCAACGCGAACGCGAGCGTGAGCGTGAAAGGCCCAGTCAGCGCGGAGGCTGGCGCGACAAAGCACGCAACGAGCGCCAGCAGGATGTTCCCGAGAAGGAGCCCGAATGGATGGACGAACCATTGGAGAAAGAGAATAAGAATCAGATGCACACACAGGAGGACTTTGAGCACTGGAAAGAGCGCATGAGGGCTGCTGCTAACGGCTCGTCCGCAGAGCCCAAGCAAGATGCCTTCGCCGATGGTGTCGCTACACCAGTCAAGTCAACACCGGCTCATTCGAAACCACAAACTCCCATGGTTTCAGACGCGCCAGGCTTCGACAAGAGCATCTTCGGATCCTGGGGAGAGAGCAAGAGGCTTGAAAGTCCTGTTGATACTCGCGCAACCAAGGCGCCTGCTGGAGCAAAGGGAAAGTCTTCTCGCTTTGCATCCATGTTTGCTCCTAAGGAGGAGGCCCGCCCTTCCGTCGAAGAGGCCGCCAGTCCCGCGCCACTCGAATCCAACGAAGACAAAGCAGGCTTCCTCCGAATCATGGCTGGCCTCCGCAGAGGCACCTCACACTCTGGCGTCGATTCGCCTGTCAGAGAGCAGGACGGTAGAGGTCCCCCTCCTGGCCCGCCGCCCGGCTTCGGCATGCAAGCGCCTCAAGATGCTCTGGCTGCCATGTTCGACAAGGCACCTGCATCCACTCAGTCTCCTCGCCCTCAATCAGGATTTGCTTCCGACTCTTTCCTGCCTCCTCCGACTTCTCAATTCAGCCGCCCTACTAGCAATGTCGCCTCTCCTGACCCAACATCCATGAGATCGAACAACCCTGCTTCGCACCTGCCCCAACAGATGCAGAACATCTTCCTTGACCAAGCTCCTCGCAACGGTCCTACTCCGGAGAGCTTCAATCAACAGCATTCACGCAAGCCAAACTCATTGAACAAGGACTCGGAGTTCTTGCTCAACTTGATCCAAGCGAAGAACGCCAACAGAGCTGCGCCTCCATCACGCAGCCAGCACGAGCCTGAGCCTTTCCAGCTCTTCCTCGATCAACCACCGAAACCTCAAACTCAGACTATTGCACCAAAGTCGCAAGCTCCTCGTCCCACAGAGTCAATTGAGGAGCAGCTGTTCCGTGGCAACCAGCACATGGATCATGGCCGCCCTCGTGCTCCTCCTGGATTTATTGAGGACCCTTCGATCGTCCTGCAGCAAGCTCAGCGTAGCTATCCAAATGGTCCTCCCCAGCCCCGCCGCCAGAGCGCCGTTCAGCAGATGCCCAACGCTGGTCCTGGAGCTCCCCAAGACTTCCCTCCCAACTTCCCCTACATGCCTGGTGGTCCTCCGCCTCCTGGTCCTGGTGACCGTATGCCTCCTGGTTTCAATCCCAACATTCGACACCCGCCTGGCTTTGCAAACATCCCCAACGTTTTCCAGCAACCTAGTTCGCAACCACCTCCACAGCAAGGCGCAGGTATGCAAGGTCTACCTCCCGGCTTCCCGCCCGGCATGGCCTTGCCACCTCCCGGGTTTGGGGCTCATGGTCCACCACCACCTGGCTTCTTCAACAACCCGAACCACATTCCTGGTGTGCCCCCTGGCTTTGCACCCCCAGGCATGATGATGATGCCTGGCTCTAACATCAGAAGCCCTGAAGGTACACCTGGTATGAGGAGTCCTCAAGACGGCCCCGGTATGGGCATGCCTATGCTTCAGGGTATGGGAGCTGCCTTTGGAGGCAGACGATGAGGAGCGTCTGTAACTTCCATGATTGGTACGCGACCATATCGCTGACATGTAATCCGGCGAATGTTCATGGATAAGAGGCACGCTAACGAAGAGAAGTGCCAATAACCAGAAAAAGGGAAACTCAGGGGATGACTTTTTCGGTTTCGATGTTCTGAGATAAATTATGAATCAGATCAAGAGCAATTCATGCCCACTCGCTATCCCATACATTTTACATGATTGTACCCGCCGTGCCATTTTACCAGAAGCGTACTGCTCTTCGCTCGTGTTATGATTTGAGGTGTTGAAGCGGGGGTCCAGGACCGCCAGATACAGTGCGCATCTCAAAACACGTGGCTAGAAATTGATCTAACGAGCTTTTCTCCACGAAACAGCTTCTTTAGGATCTTAGACCACTGTGTAGTATTGATGATATATGTTTTCACCCACTCCAGAATTATCAAGAACAACACGGTTGATGCTGACAAGTTACGGGCGAAAGACATGATTTGATGCTAGTAAATGGTATGACCCTGTCGAAAGCACAAGCCATGTCTGTAGCCCGGCGAAGAGGATTATGTCCGAGGCTGTTTTTCTCGACCTTGTAGAAAAATGTTACCTTGAGCATTTCTGCGACTAACTTGCAGTTCCAAAACATTGCTCGCCGTAGTTCCTGCTGGTTTGCTACAGTCGCGAATATCATCATACTCTAGATTGGTTATCGCATACTTCACAACTCAACATGCCAGCTCAAGGCAAAGGAAAGGGCAGTCGCCGCAATGAGGGCGCATCCTCATCTGCAGCAGCGAGTAAGTCTAAACACTCGGTAGAAACAAGATCGCGTACTGAAATGTATACAGGCGATCCTCGTTTTGCGTCCATGACCACAGACCCTCGTTTCCGCCTTCCCTCAGCACGACACAGCAAAGTTGGAGTCGACAAGCGCTTCACCCGCATGTTCAAGGACGACGACTTTTCAAAGAAGTCCACGGTTGACAAGTACGGACGCAAAGTTGAAAAGGGCAATGCGAAGAAAGAGTTGGAGCGATTCTACAAGATTGAAGGTGGAGATGATGAGGAAGAGGATGAAGAGTCGGAGGAGGAGAGTAAGGTGCAAAAGGTGAAGGCCAAGAAGAGCAAGAAGCCGATGAAGGAGGTCGTGGGCAGTGATGAGGAGAGCGAGGAGGATATTGTTGCTGATGATGACGAGATCGAGGCTGAATTGAAGAGACTAGACGAAAGAGTCAGAGATCCGGCGAGAGAAGGCGGTTTCTCGTCCTCTGAGGATGACAGCAGCTCGGAAGACGACAGCGAGGACGAAGAGGTCGAGGAAGACGAAGTCGAGTTTCCCAACGAGGGAGCTGCTGATGTGCCTCTTGGTGAAGTGTCGCATCGTTTGGCCGTCGTCAACCTGGATTGGGACAACATTCGCGCCGAAGATATTATGGCTGTCGCTCAAAGTTTCGCTGCTACTGGTCGCGTAGCAAAGACCGTCGTATACCCCAGCGAGTTCGGCAAGGAGCGAATGGAGAAGGAAGAGTTGGAAGGCCCGCCGAGAGACATTTTCGCCAGCGCAACAAAAGAGATCGACGAGGATGAAGACACCGATGACGAAGAAGAGAGAATCAAGAAAGAGCTGCTGAAGGGAGACACTGGCGAGGAGTTTGACTCGGCAAAACTACGCCAATACCAACTGGACCGCATGAAGTACTACTACGCCGTCATCACCTGCGACGCTAAGGATACGGCAAAGTCGATCTACGATGGTATGGATGGTCGCGAATACCTGTCTACAGCAAACTTCTTCGATCTGCGATTCGTCCCTGACGACGTCGACTTTGACACCGATATTCCTCGCGACGAATGCACAAAGATCTCATCCGGCTACAAGCCAAACGAATTCGTCACCGACGCTCTCACTCACAGCAAGGTTCGCTTGACATGGGATGCCGATGACACTACCAGAAAGGAAGTACAGAAGCGTGCTTTCTCGCGTGCTGAGATTGATGAGAATGACCTACAAGCATACATTGGCAGCGACAGCAGTGACGGCGAAGAAGACGATACCGGTCTGAGCAAAGCTGAGCAACAACGACAAAAGATGCGCGCTGCCTTGGGACTGTCCTCGGTGGCAGCAAAGACAAAGTCCAAGGATGAGGGCCCGGTAGGAGACATGCAAATCACCTTCACCTCTGGTCTATCGAACGCCGCCTCAAAGGAAAACGGAGTCTTCGAAAACCAACCCATCATCGAAGAGACAACACGCGAGAAATACGTCCGCAAGGAAAAGGAACGCAAGGCCCGTCGCAAGGAAAAGATGAAGGCAGCACGAAACGGGGAAACCGTAGAGGAAGCTTCCGACGACGACGCAATCACAGAAAAGAAGTCTGCAAAGGAGACAGTGACGGCACCAGCAGACGAAGAAGATCCATTCAACGACCCCTTCTTCAACGATACCGTAACAGCACAAAAGGCCGAAAAGCTAGCCCGTAAGGCCGACCGCCAAAAGAAGCGTGAAGCCCGCGAAGCAGCAGATGCAGCCACCGCTGCTAAACGCGCCGAACTCGAACTCCTCATGGTCGACGACAAATCAGACAACATGCGCCACTTCAACATGAACGAAATCGCAAAAGCCGAAAAGACACTAAAGAAGAAGTCCAAGAACAACAAGAAAGCCAAAGACGCCGCCGAAGTCCTTGGAAAAGATGACTTTAGCATGGAAACACAAGATCCTAGATTTGCAAAGTTGTTTGAAAGTCACGAGTTTGCCATTGATCCCACGAATCCTAGATTCAAGGGTACACAGGGTATGAAGGCTTTGCTGGAAGAGGGCAGAAGAAAGAGAAAGGGCAGAGCTGATGATGACGGCGAGAGAATGGATGCACCGCCAGCTGAAAAGAGGGAGAAAAAGGCAAAGACCGAAGCTTCCTCTGGTGAGGACTTGAACTCTCTACTCGCCAGAGTAAAAGCAAAGACCAAGGCCAGATAGAAAGAGCACCGGTTTTCTTTTCGCTATTAGCATAACTAGACAACAAGCCATTTATCGATATTTCCCAACATCGGAGAAATTGCAAAATCGCATGTGCAAGAACAAAAAAGAGGCGCTCTTGTCATCTGTCAAGGACGCAATGTCATATCCCAAGCCACAAATATACGCCCCCTTTCCCAGCCCTGCCTCCACATATTTGTCTTTTGTTTGTCAAATGCATTATAGCGCCTTGCTACGCAAGCCACGATTTGCAAAATATCCTCAGGCCAACGAGATGCCAATAAGCCTCTTTCTCGTATAGATGTTGTTGCCTTGCGACAGCCACTGTAAAGTCTGAAGTGTTCGTATATGCAGGAGAGTGGAGTCAGCGACGAAACTTGCCTACGCAAAGCCCTATACTAGGCGGCTCTATTGGAAAATTATCAGCCTCTTCAGCACAACGACTATCCGATGGACAGCCATGGGCAACATGAGGCGTATAACCGATATTAGAAGATGTGGGTTGCCAGATCTTGGGACAGAGCCACGATCTACTCGAAAGCCCCGCAAGCCATATACTGGCGCCTCTATTGGAAAACATCAGCCTCTCGAGACAACGACTGTCATGATATAGACTGCTGTGGAACGACAACACGAGGTTCTCCATCCAATATTTCCACACATTCTGCCAGATCTTGAGAACGGACCACGATTTGCTCGAAAGCCATACAAGCCATATACTGGCGGCTCTATCGAAACCACCAGTCTTTCAGCACAACGACTGTCGTGATGGACAGCCATGGAGTAGTATTACCAGGCGTGTAGATGTGTTTGCTAGATACAGGTAGCGAGCCACAATCTACTCAACCAATATACCAAGCCTCACGGGCCTTCGGTGGATAGACCGACCTTTCATCGGTATTACTATTGATTCTAGTCGGAGCCTAGGGTAAGTACTGCCGAGTGTCGAGAATATGATGTCTTTCATCATGCCGTATCGGATGCCAGGTAAATGCCGCGACATGACCCAGAAACGAATAGATAGTCCCATTGTGCATGCGTAGAATACCACTCAATCACCGAGAGGATGTGTGTAGCTAGTGAAGGAGCGTGTAACGGTAGGTCCTTGACGAAATGTCGCTTCCAGATATCGTGAGCTTGTGTCTTCCCGCAACTCACCAGATGTCGCATGGGGGATTTTCATTGGTGGAAAACCCGACGGTACGAATCCTCGCATTTCATACCACATCCGTAAGTCCCATAGATTAGGCAGGAACGACTCAGAAAGAGATCAGTCAACGGGAAGGAGCGACTCAAGCGTCAACCCTGGCAGGAACGACTCGGATTTTTCGTTCGTACGTATGTAGAGCTTCCAGACTTGCCAGACATGCATACAGATGCCATAGGATTGAGACGCCATAGGATTGCAAGACTTCCGTTCAAGACTTGTAGCAAACGTCCACGATATCGTCAGATGATCTTGAGTCATGAAGGATGGAAGGAACGTTCGAGGATGAGAGAAACGACCGAGGCTTGAAGGATCGTCCGAGGACATCCGCACCTTCCATTCTCGAACGATATTCATCAACGCAGAAAAAACCTACGGCCGTACTTTCCAAAGAAGAGACACTACTGAAGGATGGACTGTACACAATAGTATGGTAGGATTGATATCGCGTACGTCAAAGTAGAAGGATCGATCGTGCGAAAAAAAAAAAACGGTCTAGACCTTTTTCCATGACATGTTCCCCATACTGAGGCAGCGAGAAAAAAAGGCGCGATCCAGGAACCAGGCACCAGGAACGCAAAGAGAACGATTGCCCAATGAACGATGTCCAGAAGAAGCAGGTCCATCGACGAACGAACCATGAGATCCAGCCGAACACTCGATCAACGGGTACAGAGATCATAGACACCTCAGGAAGGATTTACCGTACCATAGAGGAAAAGGAAAGAACAGTCGAGAAATTTATCACGCCTTCCTCATGCTCTTGCTTTTTTCTTGTTACCGACAACAGTTTCATCGACTCGGAAACTTGGAAACAAGGAATTCGGAGTCTGGCTACCGAAGCAACGAAGCGTGTGAGACAGAAAAGTCCCCGTTTGCAACCTTATACCGATGACGGCAGAGTTCGGCAAAATCCTCGGCCGAGCTCGAGACAAGGGCGAGAGTTTTGCTTGTGGAGACAATCATCGTCAAAAGATGCAAGTCGAGAGTGAGGGAAGAAGAGTTTTGGTATGGTTAAGTCAGAAAAGGTTCGTATTTTGAGGAGACCGAGCGGGTATATCGACAGAGAAGAATAGAGTAAAACCAAGATCATTTCCAAAAAACACCTTGTGCCAGCGCCAGTCAAGACTATCAAAGCCTTTCTCACCCGCACACCAACTTTGATTATATACATTAAAACACATTCCATAGTACAAAGAGTCATTCGTTACAAAGTAAGAAGTGAAGATCGTTTAACCAGTCTTGGCTCTCTTTCTTCTGAGTTCACCGGCAGCGGCGTTCATCATGCTCTCTCTGAGTGCCTCGTTCTCTTCCTCGAGTTGTCTGATGTACTCGGCAGCTGCGGCGAGGACCTCGGCCTTTGATGGTTTGGGAGGTTGTCCGCTTCTTGCGGGTTGCAGAGTTGCAATCTCGGGTACTGCATTGCGCAGACGAGTGAAGTTGTCATTGAGGTTTGCACGGTAGCGTTGCTCGACAGCAGTGTGAGGAACACGGCCACGAGGACGACCAAGTGCTGGCGAAGGAGGTGCTTCCAGAGGAGACTCTTCTTGTTGAGGGTAAGATTGTTGGTTGAAGGTAGATGAACGAGGAGATGATTGAGAGAAGGCACTGAAGCGTTTGGGTTGAGAAGCACTGGTGTTGTGGTAGGCAGCTGTGAGCATAGAGTCGATATCGCAGTAGCCGGTCATGGATGTAATGCCAGCATCGATAGAAAGCTTCTTGACACTCATGTCGAGGCTCTCATATGGGTTCCAACGAGCTTCGTAGGTTGTCGGTGTGCATAATGAATCTGCATACTCGAAAGGACTGCTCTGGCTAACATTGCTTGATGATTCTGATGCTGATGAATCTGAAAAGGCAGACATGGGCGTTTGTTGTTGTTGCTGTTGCATGTGGTGTGATGAAACTTGGTGGATGGTGGGTAGTTGTGACTCGAAGGCCTTCTCGAAAAGGTCATGGTCATCACTGGCATAGCCCGAGTCCTTTGGTTGTTGAAGTAGCCATTGATTGTTGGTCATGGCAGATGTGTAGAACGCTTGTTGAGGGAAGGAACCCATGGTGTTGGAGTATACAAAGTTCATATTGATGTTCTGGATGTAGAAGGTGAAGTCTGTGTTGGTGTGATGATGAACGAAAACCGGATCTCGATAGCAAGAAGACGATGTGAGATATATGTATCCAGGGTCGAGTAAATGTATTGACCAATTTTAGCAGTGACCAGCGCTGTCGACAATAAGCTTCTGCAGGGCTCCGTTCAGGGGGTAGAGACATGGACCTAGTAAACTCTAAGCTCTTTTGGAAGTACGTCAATGTTTAGTCGTTGCGACTGTTCGGTCATTGGTGCAAACGGGTGCACGTCGGTGGACTTGCGTCCGAATGCAAATCCCATGGCCTGGGGACCTGGATTATGAGGTACTGTCGAAACTTACCTGAGTTGACTGAGCTGATCCCGTCGAGATCTCATCTACTCATCTACTCATCTACACGTCAAAGGTATCTTGTGCCCCTGCATTCACGGGGTCCACAGGCAGTTCAGACGCGTTACGCAAGAGTGCATCGCGTGCGCCGCAATCTCAGCAGAGCAGAAAAAAGCCACTGCCATTTGCGCGATCCGTATGCGCCAAAACCTACTCTACGGCACAGATGCGGTCAATGGTTGACGCCAGAATAAGAAGAGGCGCTTTTCTAACCGGATTCGCCGGTGCATCTTGTGCAAAGGGCTTGAGTTGGTGCGATTTTGTCACGATATTATTTACTACGCAAGCCACTGGTCTAGGCCTGCGCTGACAGATTGGCGGGGCCACGTGAAATCTTGCCCGTCCCTGTGAACCGGAAGCATGTCTGGCGCGACGTTGGAGAGAGTGCTGTCGTCCCGGCCAATCAGATTTCTCTTCGGAAAGCCAGCCGAAACGTCTTTTTGCAACCGTGACAACTTGGACGCAGGTTTCCCATCTCTGACTTTATCGGAAAGCCCGCGTGGCTTGCCCTGAGCACCGTCGAGTCGGCAGAGCCTTCGCATAGGTTTGGGCCTGAACGTGTCTCAGGGATCTCATCGCCGATCTACTACGCCCATGATGATGCTTGGAGACTCTCTATGCACAACGTTGGTCCAAAAGGACTGCAGAGCCACCTAGATCTTTTATGAGTGCCGGATTCAAGATCCAAATCCCGTCGATCTCCAAATGCTCGCCGGCCCGCTACCGTCGATGGTGGCAGATCTCTTGCATCACAAATCTCTACGTCTCCAAGTCCTCGAGACTTTGCGTAGGACCAGGCACGGTGTGCATAGTACAGGCCAAGTGACCTGAAGGTACGCGACGAGCTGGAGGTGCCCCTTTGAGGGAACCGACCTGCGCATCCCAAGTGGGTCGCAGGCGCTCAACGACTCCGCCAGCTGAAGACCGAAGGCATCCTGCTGAGGACGTTCGCAGCGAGAACATGAATTCGGCAGTTCTCTTTCGGCATGAAGCGACCTCATGGTCTTCGCTCTCTTCGGAGCGGAGTATTTCTCGATCGGCGAACTATTCTCTCTGACCACGAGCCTGGCTACCATGCCTTGGCAGCAGCGCAAAGGTCTAGAGCGTCCACGGAGTCTGCTTTGAAGTATAAAATTAACCTTTTCCTGCAAACCCTTCGTCATGACACGCTTCTGCTCGAGTATTTGATGCGCGGCTGTTCTCGCAGCGCACTCCGAGATGAACTGCATGTTTACTCGAAAGTTCCGAGACAAATTCGCAGCCGAGACTCGTGGTTGTGGATAAGGCTGATGGAATATGTAACATCGAGAAACGGTAATATTATCCAGTGCGGAAAACCGACTCACTTTCCTGTTTTCCGGCTTCGCTTGCACATTACAATAAATAAGCATCTGCGGCACGACGGTGAAACACTACGAGGTGAATTGCAGACAGCCAAAGAGAACACTGCGACTGCCATCGTGCCTTAATAGTTCAACGTATTATCGGGCGAGAGCGGCACCCCGCAAATATCAAGCAAAGCTTTCCAGAGCAGTGCTTTCCAGAGTAGACCTGGCCAGAATCTTATCTGCCTTGTTTTCGAGTCCGATCTAACGTTGCACAAGGCTGGGACTGACAGAAGAAAGACACAACGGTAAAGTGGCTGTGAGGATCGTAGATCACGACGGTGCTGACTCGTAGACTATGAATTATTCCATGCTTAGAGCTGGACCTCGTACAGACTACTAGCGTACAACAGTATTGAAGCCTCCACTGAATAACAATCTACTGCTTCGTCGTACGTACGGCGGCAGCGACAGCGGGTACATCCTGATCGAGAGGTAGGATGTCGGGAACTGGACCAACTGGAGTGATCGAGAACGGGTTGATCTGCTTGTGGCTCTTCGTGTAGTGGTTCTTGATGTGAGTAAACTCGGTGGTACTCTTGAAGGCGTCGTTGTTCCAGTACAAATTGCGCATCCACCTTGAGATCAGGTTAGAATAGTCGACGCGTGTCAATGGCAGGTGGAACTTACTTGTGCAGGTGTGGGTATCCACTGCGGATGTCACGAATATTGCACTTGAAGTGCTGAACATAGACGGCATCAAATCGGATGATGGTCGTGTAGAGGCGAACGTCGAGCTCGGTCAGTTTGTCACCCAGATAGAATGGACCACCAGACTTGGCAAGATCCTCCTCTGCGCGATCGAGTGCCTTGAAAAGAGTTTTGACATTCTTCTCGTAAGCTTCTTGAGTACTGAGAAGAGTTAGCGATGTTCAAGTCTTGTACGCGTGTCCCATGCGCTTACGTTGCGAAGCCAGACTTGTAGACACCGTTGTTGATTTCGTTGTAAGTCCACTCGTTGGTCTCTTCAATACGCTTCTCGAGGTCGGAAGGCAGAAGATCGACGTTCTTGAACTTCTCAGGAAGGAGATCGTCAAAGGTGTGGTACATCATTCTAATGATCTCACTGCTCTCATTGTTGACAATGCGCTTTTGCTTCTTGTCGTAGAGAGTGGGCACAGTGTAGCGACCTTCATAGTCCTTGTTGTTCTCGAAGTAGATGTCGCTCAGGTGAGTGTAATCATCGTGCAAAGGGTCCGGTGTGGTGTTCTCACCAGGAACCTCTTCACCAGACTTTGGGAAACGCCAACCCTTCTCAAGCATCTCCCAGTGGACCGATGTGTAGGAGATGATGTCTTCGAGACCCTTGAGCTTGCGTACAATCAATGCACGGTGAGCCCAAGGGCAGGCATATGATACATAGAGGTGGTATCTGCCTTTCTCGGCCGGAAATTCAGCACCGGGCTCGTTCTTGATGAAGTCACGGAAAACAGATTGTTGTCTTTTGAATTCTCCAGACTTGTCCTTGGGGTCGACCCAGTTGAGAATATCTTTCTTCTCTTGAGTCTGTTTTGATGTCAGTATGCCGTGTCAGACAGAATGAAGCCTTGCATCACTGACTGCCATTGTACGGAAACGTATGGGTGTCAGATGTGAATTAATCAGTTGAGACCGTCTGAGCAAAGAGAACATGCGGTTTGATTGTGAGCAATGCAGAGTTATTTATCGCGTCTACGGCGCGAAGAGAGCTCGAGTGTAGCTCGTAAGCTGCTGACAAGCTAAGCTCGTCATCGAAAGCTGTGAGCGAAGTCATGACCGAATGATCCGATTAATTACCATTAATCTTGGCTAATGTATCACAAGTGCCACTAATTAGTCATCAATTCTCGGCTGTCCTGCAGCTTGATCTTCCCGCACTCCCGCACGGCCGCAGGAACCGTCTTCACGGGTTCGTAAAAATGGTCAACACAGAGATCTTGCTTCAAGAGCATCTGCTCTCTACATGTGTCTCTTCGGGTAAATGATTGTAGACAAAGGAAGCTCTTGCTCGTAGACAGAGCTTCTAGATTGTAGCTTAGCGATACCGCACTCAACAAATTGATTTGCTTGTGCCAACGGCCTGACTCGGCGACCACTTGGGTGAAAAAGTTTTTGCATAGTTTGTGCACCTCAGATCGGTGAAGCTGCTCGAGTAGAAGTGAACGAGAACCCGGACAACAATCGCAGCATTTCACATACCTTTCCCTTCCTTTTCACACTCTCTCAAACCTCTGTAGAGTCTCCCGGCTCACCTCTGGACAACAACTTCCCCGTCTTTCTACCAATACCAGACAAAACATTGACCACAACCTCTGACGCACTGCGCGCACGTTCCTTCAGCGCGGGGTCTTGGCATCTGGAGACAATTTTTTCCCATTATTCCGCTTCGAACTTCCTCCTCCTTGTGTCATCAGTTCAAACTGGCCTCGTCTTGCACAATGGCTGGCCACACTGGAGATAAACTTATCGCTCTTGAGGCAAGAGAAGGCACGGAATGTGTCCGTCTCGCCGAGGGCAAATCCTTTGGTGCTGAGAAGAGTGTAGCTGGCGAGCTGGTCTTCTCGACTGGCATGGTCGGTTACGAGGAGTCCATCACCGACCCCTCATACAAAGGCCAGATCCTGGTCCTCACATACCCTCTCGTCGGCAACTACGGTGTGCCTGACAGAAACGAATTGGATCCTCTCTTGAAGGACCTCCCTGCCCACTTCGAGGCCTCCCAGATTCACGTCGCTGGTTTGATCGTTGCTTCGTACTGCGGCGAAGACTACTCGCATTACCTGGCCACCTCTTCATTGGGCAAATGGCTGAAGGAGCAAGGTGTGCCCGCCCTCTGCGGCGTCGACACCCGCGCCCTCACCAAGATCATTCGCGAGAAGGGTAGCATGCTCGGCCGCATGAGACTGCAAAAGTCTGGCTCGCACGCCGCTGCCCCCATCACCAACGGTATCACTCTAAGCAACGGCGAGTCTGAGGAGAAGCCCGAGTTCGAGGAGGTCGAGTGGTCCAACCCTAATAGCGAGAACTTGGTCGCAGTTGGTAAGACTACCCGACAGCATTACTTGTGAAGCTGCTTCTGACATGGTCTAGTTTCGATCAAGGAACCCAAAATCTACTCTCCCGACCCATCGAACGCCTTGAAGCACCCCTCAGGCAGACCTATCCGTATTGTCTGCGTCGACGTTGGTCTCAAGTACAACCAGCTTAGATGCCTCGTCAAGCGTGGTGTCGAGGTTCAGGTCGTCCCTTGGGACTACGACTTCCCTTCATTGGCCGGCAAGGAATACGATGGTCTTTTCATCTCCAACGGTCCCGGTGACCCAGCATTGATGGAGAAGACTGTCAAGAACATCCAAGCCAACATCCGTGAGGCCAGAGTTCCCATCTTCGGTATCTGTTTGGGACACCAGCTTCTCGCTCGCGCTTCGGGCGCCGAGACTGTCAAGATGAAGTACGGTAACAGAGGCCACAACATTCCCTGCACCAACTTGATCTCCGGAAAGTGCTATATCACATCACAAAACCACGGTTACGCGGTCGACTCGCGCACCCTCACTCAAGACTGGTCAGAACTGTTTGTCAATGCCAACGATGGCTCCAACGAGGGCATCAGACACGTTAGCAGACCTTACTTCAGTGTCCAATTCCACCCCGAGAGTGCTCCTGGTCCCCAGGACACCGAATTCCTCTTCGATGTTTTCCTGGATGCCGTTCAGAAGACCATTGAGGACCCCAGCATAATGCACCAGTCTATCAAGTTCCCCGGCGGTGATCTTGCTGAGAACCAGAAGGCTAACCCCAGAGTGACCGTCAAGAAGGTTCTTGTTCTTGGTAGTGGTGGTCTCTCCATCGGCCAGGCTGGTGAATTTGATTACTCTGGTTCCCAGGCTATCAAGGCCCTTAAGGAGGAGGGTATCTACACCATCTTGATCAACCCCAACATCGCCACCATCCAGACTTCCAAGGGTCTGGCCGATAAGGTCTACTTCCTTCCTGTCAACGCCGACTTCGTCCGCAAGGTCATCAAGCAGGAGAAGCCTGACGGCATCTACTGTACTTTCGGTGGTCAGACTGCTCTGTCCGTTGGTATTCAACTGAAGGACGAGTTCGAGAGTCTCGGTGTCAAGGTTCTTGGTACCCAGATCGACACCGTCATCACCACTGAGGACCGTGAGCTCTTCGCTCGTGCCATGGAGTCTATTGGCGAGAAGTGCGCCATGTCCGCTTCCGCCAACAACATGGAGGAGGCTGTTGCCGCCGGAAAGCAAATCGGCTTCCCTCTGATCATCCGTGCTGCCTATGCTCTTGGTGGTCTGGGCAGTGGTTTCGCCGACAATGAGAAAGAGTTGATCGATCTCTGCAACAAGGCTTTCGCTGCCAGTCCCCAGGTTCTCATCGAGCGCAGCATGAAGGGCTGGAAGGAAATTGAGTACGAAGTCGTCCGTGATTGCCAGGACAACTGCATCACTGTCTGTAACATGGAGAACTTCGATCCTCTGGGTATCCACACCGGTGACTCTATTGTCGTTGCCCCTTCGCAGACTCTGTCCGATAAGGACTTCATGATGCTCAGACGCACAGCCGTCAACGTCATTCGTCATCTCGGTGTCGTCGGTGAGTGTAACATTCAATACGCTCTCAACCCTGACTCGAGAGAGTACTGTATCATTGAGGTCAACGCTCGTCTCTCGCGTTCGTCCGCTCTTGCCTCTAAGGCCACTGGTTACCCTCTGGCTTTCGTTGCTGCCAAGCTTGGTCTTGGTATCCCACTGAACGAGATCAAGAACACTGTCACCAAGGTCACCTGTGCCTGCTTCGAGCCTTCTCTTGATTACGTCGTTGTCAAGATCCCTCGTTGGGATCTGAAGAAGTTCACTCGCGTCTCCACTCTCCTCGGCTCTGCTATGAAGAGTGTCGGTGAAGTCATGAGTATCGGTAGAACATTCGAAGAAGCTATTCAGAAGGCTATTCGTGCCGTCGATGTTAGCAACCTCGGCTTCCAGGAGACCAGCGCCCTCATGTCCATCGACCAAGAGCTTCAGACTCCTTCTGACCAGAGAATGTTCGCCATTGCCAACGCTATGCACTCTGGTTACACTGTCGACAAGATCTGGGAGTTGACAAAGATCGACAAGTGGTTCTTGAGCAAGCTCAAGGGCCTCAGCGAGTTCGGCAAGCTTATGAGCACCAAGCAGGTTGGCGAAGTTCCCTCGTCGCTCTTCAGACAGGCCAAGGAGCTCGGATTCTCGGACAAGCAACTTAGTATCTTCTGGTCCACCAACGAGCAAACCGTCCGCAAGCACAGACTCGAATACGACATTATGCCTGTTGTAAAGCAGATCGACACAGTCGCAGGCGAGTTCCCTTGCCACACGAATTATCTCTACACGACATACAATGGTACCGAGAGTGATGTCGAATTTAATGACAATGGTGTCATGGTTCTCGGATCCGGTGTCTACCGTATCGGTTCATCCGTTGAGTTCGATTGGTGTTCGGTTCGTGCCGTTCGCACCTTGCGCGAAAACAATTTCCGCACTGTGATGGTCAATGTAAGTAAATTTTTCTTTTTGTTTGCGATTTTTTTGCGAAGCAGTCTTGTGAAAGTCACGTGATTCTGGAAGCCCTGGACCTGGACTGGAATTCTGCCCCTCCAATCTTGCTTTGGGAAGGTGCATACCACCACCCCACCTGCCTCCATCAACGCGACTCGCGATGATGCGCGTTTCTTCGCTGCTGCCTGGCTGGCAGCTTCCTCATGCGTTCACATGCGAAGCGGAGACGCTTGACACTCTTCTTGCTCCCACATTCCCTCTCTTCACCATCAACACTCCTACCTTTTCGTCAGCAGTATCTTGCATCACCTCTGCATCAACGTTACCTCTGCATCAACGTTACTTCTGCATCAACACTACTATCCCGTCTTCACTCATTCGGACGTCGTTCACTACCCTCAGCCTCTTCCTACTACGTCCTTCGAAGCCTGCAAGATGGACACTGTTCAGCCAACAGAAGCTCCGTTCAACGAGTCACTCCATGACTTGGTCCTCGAGAAGGTCTGGCTGTGTCTTTCCAACCAACCAACCCACGCCAAAAACGACTACTTCAACATGTTCTTCACTTCACCTTCCATCATCCAGAACATCGCAGTCGAGACTCGGCTCTCGTTCCCTCCTTCCCTCAAGGCTTTCATGGAAGGTGACAGACCAGACGACATCCAATTCTTCAAGTCATTGCCTACAGACTTCGACGATGAGTGGGCTATCTACGCCGTCACCATGGAGAAGCTCAACTGCAAGCCCAGAGTGCAGATTGGATCTGCCACTGCTGCCAGGTATGGTGCACCGTCTCGCGTCAAACACTACTACACGTTCACTCTGTTGCCTATCAATGTCGAGAAGTCTCTCGAGGAAGGCTACATCATCACTCACGTCGGCAAGATGTGTGGCGCTCCTATTCCCGGTTCTGCTGATATTCCTCTTGCCCGCCTGCTATTTGTAGCCGTGGAGGCCACCTTCTGCTACCTCTTCTGGACAATGAAGGCCTACATGTCAGACTATGGCATGGGCTTCACGTGTCTTTGGGACTGGCAAGGCTTAGCTTGGGATAGTCTCTCCAGCCACTCTGCGTTCTACGAAGGTATACGTAGCGAGTACAACCTCACCCAGGAACAACTTGTCGAGCACGCCGCCAACATGAAGGTCAAAGCCAAGCAGATTCACAATATCGGCAACAGTCACTGGCATCACATGAAGATGGAGACCGACTACGACGCATACATCACCGCCTCCATCGCTCGCAAGATGAAGTCCAGGGCCGCCAACCCTGGCCGTGAGATGGAGGTTGAGCGTGCTCGCCACAAGCGTGACCTCGAGGCAAAGAGGTTCTATTGCGACGACTGCAGTGAGGCCTTCACTACCGCCTACTTGCTCAAAACACACAAGACCAAGGATTCTCACAAGAACATGGCCAACGGTACGCCTGTTGTCCATTGCCGTCTTTGCAAAAGAGGATTCGGTAGCAAGAATGTCTTCACCAAGCATCTCAAGTCTCAGGATCACAACGACGTTGTTGTTGCTGCTCGTCTCGCTGCCACCACTGCTCGTCTCGCTGCAATTGCCGCCGACACTGCCGCCGCTGCTGCTACTTGATTTACAACTACGCAATCACTCCGCCTTGAGACACTGTCCGCTCAACGAGTGACTCGTTGGACGACGTTCAACTCAACGGAAGCTCCGTTCCTCTGGGGGTTCAATCTTCCGGGACATTTCTTGCCTGGTGGCTTATGTTTCTCTTCCCTCATGGCTTTCTTGGACATGTCTTTCTTTTCTTGCTTCCTCATGGGTGAGGAACAGTGATGGCTTATCCTGCACGGCTACTCTGGCTTTCACAAGACTTCTTCGTAACTAACATGAATAACTTTTGTACTGTTTAACTTTTTGAACACCTTGGCTAACTTCCTTCACGTACAACCCTGAAACAGCACGTACACCCCTGTAGGCTCAGTAGATTCGACTTGTGAGATCATTTCATCAGTGAGATGTTGTTTGGACGTCGTCCGGAACAACATCGCCGCGTGAATTGACTTGCCAGACCGACCCATTGGCTCTACCCTTCCTCTATGTAAACCCAGCTAACATTTACCAGGTATCCACTGATTACGACGAAGCCGACCGTTTGTACTTCGAGAACATCACTCTCGAAACCGTCCTCGATATCTACCAGCTCGAGAACTCTAGTGGTGTCATCCTCTCCATGGGTGGTCAGACTCCCAACAACATTTCTCTGCCTTTGCACAGACTCAACGTCAAGATTCTTGGTACCTCTCCCGAGATGATTGACTCCGCCGAGAACAGATACAAGTTTTCGCGTATGCTCGACAGAATTGGTGTCGATCAGCCTCAGTGGAAGGAGTTGACTAGCATTGAGGAGGCCAGAAAGTTCTGTGATGCTGTCACCTACCCCGTGCTTGTTCGCCCCTCATACGTTCTTTCAGGAGCTGCTATGAACACCGTTTACTCGGAGCACGACCTTGCCAACTACCTTAACCAGGCCGCTGAGGTTTCCAAGGATCACCCCGTTGTCATCACCAAGTACATCGAGGGTGCCAAGGAGATTGAGATGGACGCTGTTGCCCGTAACGGTACCATGATTGGTCACTTCATCTCCGAGCACGTCGAGAACGCTGGTGTCCACTCCGGTGACGCCACTCTCATCCAGCCCCCTCAGGACTTGGATGCCGAGACCGTCAGACGTATTGAGGAGGCCACCAAGAAGATTGGTGAGGCACTCAACATCACTGGTCCTTACAACATCCAGTTCATCGCCAAGGATAACGATATCAAGGTCATTGAGTGCAACGTCAGAGCCTCAAGATCCTTCCCCTTCGTTTCCAAGGTCACTGGTGTTGATTTGATCGAGTTGGCCACCAAGGCCATGACTGGTCTCCCCCTTCAGGAGTACCCCCCTGTCACCATGCCCGCCGACTATATTGGTGTCAAGGTTCCTCAATTTTCCTTCTCGCGTCTCTCCGGTGCCGATCCCGTCACCGGTGTTGAGATGGCCTCTACTGGTGAGGTCGCTTGTTTCGGTCGCACCAAGTACGAGGCTTATATGAAGGCTCTCGTTGCAACTGGCTTCCGTCTGCCCAAGAAGAACATCCTCCTGTCCATTGGTGCCTACAAGGACAAGCAGGAGTTGTTGCCTTCCATCGAGAAGCTCCACAAGCTCGGCTACAGCCTCTACGCTACCGCTGGTACCGCTGACTTCCTTGAGGAGCACGGCGTTCCTTGCAAGTTCTTGGAAGCTCTCCAGGACGACGAGCAGAGAACCGAGTACTCTCTGACCCACGCTCTTGCCAACAACTTGATCGACTTGTACATTAACTTGCCTTCAAGCAACCGCTTCCGTCGTCCTGCCAACTACATGTCCAAGGGTTACCGCACCCGCAGAATGGCCGTCGACTACCAGACCCCTCTGGTCACCAACGTCAAGAACGCCAAGATTCTGATTGAGGCCATTGCTCGTAATTACGCAATGGAAATCAGCAGCGTCGACTACCAGACCTTCGCTGACCACCCTTCGACCTCTCTTGAGGAACCTGTTGCTAAGAAGACTCCTACCCTCCAAGAGCTTCTTCACAACTCTCCTCTCAAGGGCAGAGATATCACCTCCGTCAACCAGTTCACAAGAAAAGAGCTTCATCTTCTTATGACTGTCGCTTCGGAGATGCGTCTTGGTGTCGAGCGTGACGGTGTCCTGGACATCCTGAAGAACAAGCTCCTGTGCTTGATGTTCTACGAGCCTTCCACCCGCACTTCATCATCCTTCGATGCTGCTATGAAGCGTCTTGGTGGCCAGTGCATCATGATCAACGAATCCCACTCGAGCACTAAGAAGGGCGAGACCCTGTCGGACACCATCCGGACTCTTGACCAGTACGGTGATGCTATCGTTCTCCGCCACCCCAGCGACGACAGCGCCGAAATTGCCGCCGACGCCGCCGACCACCCTATCATCAACGCTGGAAACGGTTCGCGCGAGCACCCTACCCAGGCTTTCCTCGACCTCTTCACCATTCGTGAGGAGCTCGGTACCGCCAACGGTCTCACCATCACCTTCGTCGGTGACCTCAAGTACGGCCGCACCGTCCACTCCCTTTGCGAGCTCCTCAAGCATTACAACTGCACCATCAACCTCGTCGCCCCCAAGCAGATCGAACTCCCCGAGAAGGTCCGCAGCGCCCTTCAAGGCCGCGGCCAGCTTGGTGTCGAGTCTCACGAGTTGACCACCGAGATCGTCGCTCAATCCGACGTCATCTACTGCACCCGTGTGCAGAAGGAGCGTTTCGAGGACCTGTCCGTTTACGAGCAGGTCAAGGACGGTCTCGTGGTCAGCGCCGCCACTCTCAAGCATGCCAAGAAGAACATGATCGTCATGCACCCTCTTCCTCGAAACTTGGAGCTCAGCCCTGAGGTCGACAACGACCCCAGAGCTGCTTACTTCAGACAGGTAAGTTTTGCAACTTCCCACTACCCAACACATTTACTGACAATTTTCACAGATGAAGTACGGCATGTTCGTCCGCATGGCTCTTTTGGCCCTCGTCATGGCCTCGTAATCAGGAAACACCTTGCATTACAAACTAAAAATGGGATAATTGGCGTTTTTCACTGTAGATTATTGGCTGGAAAGCGATTTTGGCGGACTTTTTCTTTTTGTATACAATCAACTAAACCTCACCTCAAATTTCATATTGAGGGAAAGTGACTCTTTTTACGTTCAGTTGGATCTAAATCATCACTGTTCGTCAAAATCTGTCAGTCTCACGTATTATTGAGCAGCTGGACTGCCCTTTACGCGTGTTATGCGTTACGTCATTTTATGTATATACCCATTTTTTTTTATTTTTCTTGTATATAGAGAAGTCATTTCAATTTGTTTTCATCGTCTTTTTTCGTCTTCTGTATTTTCTGTATTCTCATTCATCGCATACCGACGTACTACTGGTTTTTGGAGATGCAGTGTATCCAAGAACACCGGCTGTAAAGATGCAAGATATTTAGAGAGATTTGGTTGCTTGATGGGGTAGAGACGGGAAAATGCTGATTTTCTCGCATCATGATCTGGGATATAAATGCGTCTATGCAATCCAATGTGTAGAGGTATCCGAATACTCAAGACACGAGATGAGATGCTGATCAGAAAAATCAAAACAGTAGCCTCAGACAGGGATCGATTGAATGTAGTGAAGCTGTCTGGACCGTCTTTCTTGTGGGACCGGGGTCATTTGCCGTCGTAACCATACAAGTTTATGATGGTCTTTGGAAGGAACATATGCTAAAGGTTGTGATTTACTGATGTGAACATGGTTCAATGGTGTAGGCTGACTTTTAATTTAGCATCTGTATCCACTGAAAATGGAAGCTATGTGCTCTACCTAGTCGTCGTTTCTGCTCGAAAGTTGCTCGTGCATCTCGAAATCTATCCACTCCATGAGTTGGTTTTCTTGATGGAGAATCGAACCCAACTAGAACTAGAAATTCTGGGTGATGCCATCGAACTTCTTTCCAACACCCTCCAGGAGTCTCTCGCGCACAGCTATCCGCACCAGATTTTTGATCTGTGTCGCACGGTCTTCCGAAGTGGCATTCTTCATTCTCTCCTTGACGAACCGGAAGATCTCATCCCAGAAGAACCCTGACCAGTCCGATGTCAGGTGCTCTTCAATCTCGACCCCAAGAGGTTGCGTTCCACCGTTTGCGCGACGGAGAAGTTTCCACATATCGCGAATTTTGGCCTTGATTTGAGCAGCGATAAGACTATCGACGATTCTGGAAGTGCTAATCAAAAAAATTAGTTCCTTGTAGACTGCTTTGACGAGATCCAAGTACATACCCAGCAGTCTTTTCCTGCACACTCTCGAAGATGCATATCAGTTCGTCGCTGGCGATCTCACTAGCAACAGAAGCCTTGGTATCCTCACCGCTAGATGTAGCGGCGTCGCGTAGCTGAGTTGCGAGGATGCCAGCACGCTTGATCTGCTCATTGATATCGAGGCGAGGTCTCTTGTTGGACTCATCGGTGGATGCATCGGATTCAGAGCGCTTCGACATTGTGATCGATCGATTGGAGGGGCTCAAAAGGTCGATAGTCGAAGGGAACGTGTTATTGTGTGAGAGATTCGAGTAAAGACGTGAACTAAATGCAGATTGGCAGACGCGTTAGTAGTCGAAGACATATATTGTGCCGATAGGTCGATGTGAAGGAAAGGGCGAGATAGAGTAAAGTAAAGGCCACAAACGAAGAGGTTAAAAGTCACAGTTGGTTGTGCCGTCAGAGCGTATGATGGAGTTGATCTGACGTGAGGAAGGCACGATTCAGAAACAGACAAGAAAGCCGAGAAGGCAGTTACCTGCAAAAGTGAAGTCAAAAGCTATTCGCAAAGCAGCAAGCGCGTTATGGTGTTATGACTCTTCCTTCCTTCCATCACTAGCAAAAAAGTGGAAGCATCCTGCCTCCGATCAAGTGTGAGCTCCATCCATGACTTCATCGACGATGGCAAGCATGTTGCGGTTCACGACCAGCCTGAAGGCAGCCTTTGTTTCTGCTCCGATCTTCGCAGGTATCTCTTTGCTCAGCGCCCCTTGCACCTTCTCAGAAACGATATCGACGACTCCCTCCTCAATGTCACGTCTCTTGACCTCTATCCAATCACACAGATCACTGCCTGAGTCATCCCCCAGATCGCGTCTCTTGTGGGACTGTTTCTCAAACACCTCGAACCAATGCTGGGCTTCAGCAAGGATCGTAGCGTTGATGAAGCCGTCCACGGTATGGTTTGCCCTAGCTGATGTCAGTTGTGCTTCTCAACCGTGGTATAGTACAGCCCACGTTTTGATGCTCTTCTCGAGAGCAGCAGTAGAAGTGACCATAGCTTCGGCTTTGGCGATGTGATGCATGATTTCCTCGCGGCGGATAGTATGACCCCACTGGAGTGTAGACTTTTGAGACTTGAGAGCATCCAACAGAGTCGTGGCGGTCTTCTTGACTTCTGAGATACCAGCGTCGAGATTCAGCCGGGTCTTTTTGATTGGAGATGGAGCACCAGCTATGTCGTCGATACCAGGGCGTTTTGACATTGTGATGGCAGGACATAATTGAGAAGAGGAGGGTGAAATTTGGAGAGCAAGAGATTGAGGTGTCACCCGGAGGCCCAAGCCAGGAAGTCGCGATTGCCTCAAAACAGAAACTAGAATGGCATGTGATATCCAAATCTGGGAGTAGCCCCTGCCCTCCCGTCCGTCAAGACCTTGCGCGTTCACTTCAATAGCCTTTCACATAGTTGATGCTCCAGATCATTATCAGAGGCAATCACGCACGCAGGGTCGGGATCAAAACGCAGAGTCTCATCTCTGGAGCCAACTCCTTTCCTTAAGAGCATCGTCGAAAGCGACATCTGCTATCCCTAGCTATGTCAGTTCCAAGTTAGTTCAAGACCACTACCCGCGAGAAATACATCACAACAACATAAAGAACCAAAAAAGAATCACAGGTCTGATGGCTGGGGAAATGTTCACTCACCTCGTCTTCTCCCCATCGCCGTCACCTCTCTCCCTCTTTGAGCAAACCCTCTCTCCTCCTCCTCCTCCTCCTCCTCCTCCTCCTCCTCCTCC